GCAAGAGAAAATAAACTTGAAAGCTTTTGATATGTATAAAAATATGAGTAGCTAAACAATTTTAAAGCTCACTTTAATCTATGATATAAAAAACTATAAAAGAAGATAAAACATATAAACTAATATAAAATCTTATAGAATAGTAATGATCTAATGTTAAGATAATTACCCAATATAAAGAATACAACTCTGAGACATACATATAAAATGATAAGCCATGATTTCAGGATTAAAGTAAATAAGAAAAAAAAATAACTGTTAACATATCTATCTATCTTGTTTACAATGAATTAGCTCTTCTTCCTTCCATACAAGCTTTAAAGCTAAATTAAAGCTAAAACTCTATATTGTAAGAGAACAAGAGTTCCATATATATTAGATATGTATTTTTATTTAAAAGAAATGACATAGACTTTATCAGGTTTTATAAGAATTAAATATCTGCTACAAAAGTTAGTTAATTATAGAAAAACCATAAGAAATAACAGTAAATTATAATTGTAGTATATATATCACAATTGAATGAATAGCAAACTCTACAACCAAATACTGATTCTTTCTTACTAATGAATCTGACAAGTTAACAATCTCCAGAACTGTTATATAGCAGCTATACATACACTACATACTCATATAGTATAAACCAACTATTACACAACAGAGATTTGAATTACAGAGATTTTAATAGTAGTAGATATAAACAATATTATTTTGTTTCTTTAATAAATAACACTCTCATAGTATTCACTTTTCTTATTATTAAGATACTAATCTAATAATAATCTCGAATACCTCAATAATTCTATGACTGGTAGGTAGTATATCATAATATATTAGTTATAAATAAAATATATAGTAAACAAGATAAGATCTGGACAGTAAAATTTATATATAATAAGCTATTTTCAGTATGACAACTGTTGTGGTGGTTGAAGTTGAAGAAGTTTTTAAGAGGAAGAATTGAAGATTTGAGATTAGGAACGAAGATTCGTGAGAACTTGTGTAGGTTTTGTTTATTGAGAAAAGATTTTGTATCAAAGTTTGACCAGGTTCCTACACTGAACTACTACTGCTATTTATATTATTTTGGATCGGGAAAATTATATGACTGGGGTCAGGTAATCGATCCTATCTGAGCCTTAATCAGAGCAACGTGATCTTGGGATAATTAATGTATGATTAATTATATAAATGCGTGTAGTCCCAATGAAGTATTAACATCGAAAGTAAATGTGTTTATGAGTTATAATTATGCTTATAATAATCTACTGATGTATCCCATATTATGGTGATATCATCATATGAGATATAATCACTATCATGCATGCTAAACCTGTGTGTTAAATAATAAAGTAATTGGTAGACACCTTTGACTGGAATAGCTGAGGCCTTGTATTATTTCCTTCAGACTTATTCTCAATTACAGCAGTAGTCAATATTCATTTACGACAACAACCAATAAAACACTTTTTATAAGATCTACTTCTGTTACAACACCCAATAAAATCACCTTGTATAAGAAATTTTAGTAAAAAATGAATTTACCATCCAATTAAAAAGATAAAGAATCTAAATTATATATAAATAAAGCCCAATTAAGTAAACATTACTTGTAAAGTGACTAATGATTTGAAATATAATCTTAAGTAAACATCTGTAATGCCCAATAAAGATGAATCTTAAACCAGAACTCGCATATATAAGTACTAATAAAAAGACACATATAAGCTACAGAAAAGTATATCAATAAATGAATAAAGTTTCATATCTGTTAGATAGCAGATTTATGTAATAATCCATAACAGGCAAGAGGTGGGAAAGGGGGGGGGGGGGGGGAGGGGAGAATGAAAAGCTCCCTCTGGATAGCTTCCTGGGCAGCCACCCAGGAAACCCCCAGAAGCACTTCTTTTTTTCCTGTAGTGATGAATTTTATTATATTATAGACATATTAGTATACTATATTAATAAAATTGAAGAAGTATATTTTAAGAAGTGTTTTTAAGAAATATATTAAAGAAATATATATAATAGCTATAAGAGTAGAAGCTATACTCAAAATAAACATATATCTGCTTTCTTTATCGAAAGTTAATGATATTTCTGTGATTTTTAATATGAAAATATCATTAGTAATAATTTATAAAATTAAAATATAGTCAATTTTTCTATTGTCAAATAAAGCTTTTACTATAACAATAAAAGTAATAAGTATATCAAAAATAAGCATATAACCTCTATTTGCTTTCTTTTTAATACTTAATAATATCTTTAGTTTTGGATAAAATGATAATAATTACGAGCAATATTTTCATGTCACAATACCCAAATCATTGATTCATTTCAAAATTGAGCTCTTTACTAGTTGAAAAAGGTATTACAAAATTCCACCGCCATTTTTATCTTGTACTGTCTATAAACTACAGACTAATAAGAAAAAGATATGATTAGACGAGCTTGGGGCTGTGTAAATGGGTTATTCGATTCTAGCAATATTCAGCTTCGCAGGTATAAACGTAATTTGAAATCCATCTAGCACAGTACAAACTTCTCTATTAAATAGTGAAAGATTAAACACGCTCTCTTGTTTAGAAGAAGAAGAAAAACAACAAAAAATGCAAGATATCTCATACCAGCAGAATGAGATAATAGCCGATGGGAAATATCCCAGACATGATAATATATTAAAACCTATGCAAGTTTGAAGTCGCGGAAGTAAAAAAGGTAGAGACATATTCTACAAAAATATTGAACGATAGTAGCAAGATTTCTCATATAATGAAGTCGATATTTGTGAATCTCTCAAAGCATTTTCCTATGAAGCAATTGACCATTGAGAGGATAGTCATGGCAGATACGTTAAACTTTAGGTTGGAAAAGCTGTAAATACTACTGAAATTCTGGTAGAGAGTTTACAGAAAAGACGATTCCCTTATTGAAACAAATTTAGATCCCCAAACTTACAATGGAGGCCTGACTTATTTCAATCCATCATTCTACCTTGCTTTCAAACGCTGAATTAAGAATCTTTTCGGTTCTACACTTTTATATTTCCCATTATGTATCAGTATTTCTCTCACAAAACAATACCAAATATTATTGCATGAGAAAAAAATAAAAAACCATAAAATTAAGAAAATTCATAGAATAGATCAGAGTCATTAATGAAGTATTAGATTATCTAATCATTATTTCACCATACCAGACTATGTAAAATTATCTGTAGATTAATACTTTTTTGCCTATTATATAATAGTCTACTATTCTCTACTCTGTTTCGGTTGTCTTTGTTATACTTTATTAATCTCTAGCATTGTGCTTTTCTGTGCCTTCATCGAGGTACCAGTACCGTTCAGATGATTTTTTTTCTGTCCAAATTTAGTAAAAAAAAGTCTGAAAAAATATCTGTGTCTGAAAATAAATCTATTTCTTCTGAATTTTTTTTTTCAAAAGTCCACCAAAAAATCGTCTGAATTCAAAATCGAAACACTGTATTAAATCGTGGGGAGAGAGCTTATGATTGGATCAGTTTGCTCAGATTACCAGTATATGGTAGACCATTTTCCCTAATAAAAATAAAAATAAAGCTTAAAGGCAACGGATATATGTTGTGGATAAATTCGGACAAATGTATTCAATTAGGAAAGTCGAAAAGGAGATAGGCAAGAACATCATTGCTTTTTATATATATAATTAGATTTACCCCGCACACTACACGGGATACAAGCTGTCTGACATAATTGAGATAAAATACATGGATCTATATCATCTTTGAACGTATCGAATTTCCCCCGCCCTAAAAAGTACAGCTTATTTTAAATCAATACAGCTGAATTAGTTATGACAGCATCAGAAATAGTCTCGTAAAACTACAATAAAAACTCTTGCTTATTTTTCTTTATAGAAAGCAAACCTTATAAAGTATTAAGAAGAAGTGTCTTTTGAGATATATAGCAGATAAATAGACTTGGAATAATAGAATTGTTTTATGTTGATTCTATTGAAAATACGCCCAAATAAGCACTTTATTATTATCATTATTTGCATTATATAACCGAAAGTTTGAAGCAAACCAAAGAAAGAAACTCTATTGATTTATTCGTTCTTTTGTCTTGAATATCTTTATACTTTTCCAATCGTATGCAAATATTCAAGTTTTTTTTTTAAAAAACCTAATGTGTGTTTCTGCCTGCCTGCCTGCCTGTATCGATATCCCTCTCATTTCTCTCTCTCTTAATCTTCTCTCCGTTCTGAATTCTCCTATAAGTTTGTTGATGGCTTGAATGTTCTAATATATCGCTTGTTTGTTTTCCTAGATCTAACAAACAGAGGGTTGACTGCCTAGTTACCGGATAATCGATGATCCATTATGACCCATTGTTGAGAGCGAATAGTACTTGATTAATTATTGTCATGGTCAGTACATGTATTATAAAAAAATCAGACTTTCTAGAACGTTTGGATACATCGTCATTGTTGGTATCTCGAATGTTTGAGACCCAGGGTAATAATAAGGAATACCACCTTAATCTTTGAAGCTACCCCCCTGTGCTTATTATTTATATATCGGCCACAATATACTTTCTGTCTGATGTATGAAAAGAGAAAGACGGGTTACAAATAATGATATTTTACAGCCAAGTAAAGCATACGAAAAGTCTGCAACAAATGAAAGCAATGGCTATGGATATTTATTTAATTGAAACAGCAATGCCTTTAAATTACTTTTGCATGTAGTATGATCAAGAGACGTATATAAAATATACGCACGATCACGCTTTTCTTTCTTTAGACCCTTATTTTCCGCATCTTTCCATCTTCATGTGGTTATCAGAAATAAAAATAAAAATAAAAATAAAAATAAAAATAATATATAAAAAAAAAGTTCGGGAAAAGAATCAAAAGTATAAAAGACACTCGATCCTATATAAAAGCAGAATCACAACTTCAATACTCTTCTTTCTTCATTCATCACTTTTCTATAAAAAAAACAAAAAGACAAAATGTCATCAAATTTCCAATCTAATACTCCTGGCGTCATTGTATTGGGACCTGTCAGTCCAGTCCAAGCCGAGATTCTGACACCTGAAGCCCTAAAATTTGTTGCCACTCTTCAACGTACATTTAACGCCACCCGCAAGGCCCTTCTCGATAAGAGATCAAGCCGTCAGAATGAATTAGACCGAGGTGTTCTACCCGACTTCTTACCCGATACCGCCTCTGTCCGTAACGATGACACATGGCGTGCTGCAAAGCCTGCGCCTGGACTTCAGGACCGCCGTGTAGAGATTACTGGCCCAGTCGATCGCAAAATGGTCATTAACGCCTTGAATTCCGGCGCTTCCACTTTCATGGCCGATTTTGAGGGTAAGAAATCTAACAAGTCTATTATATTGTAGATACTAACATTTGTTTTCAATTTTATTTTCAAAGATTCCAGTGCACCAACCTGGGACGTAATGCTGAGCGGCCAAGTTAACCTTAGAGATGCTATCCGTGGAACGATCACATTTACCAATCCAAATGGAAAGAAGTACGAATTACGCAACGACGGCAAGGTGTGCACTCTTATTGTCAGGTACATTATATAATATCTATCTATCAATGATTTCTGTATAATTAACGACACTTTTAATAGACCAAGAGGATGGCATATGGTCGAAAAGCATCTTCTAATTGATAACGAGCCTGCTTCCGCCTCGATATTTGATTTTGGTCTTTATTTCTTTCACAATGCAAAAGAGCTTATTAAGAACGGAAAGGGTCCCTACTTTTATCTCCCCAAAATGGAATCTCATTTGGAAGCTAGGTAAGCACAATAAAAGAAAATACTTACAAAATATCAAGTTATTAAGCACCACCTCTCTCTCTCTCTTTTCTTTTTAAATAAAAGACTTTGGAACGACATCTTCTTTCAAGCACAAGACAGCCTCAATATCCCAAGAGGTACAATCCGTGCCACTGTATTGATTGAAACTATCATGGCTGCATTTGAGATGGATGAAATCATTTACGAGCTTCGTGACCATTCATCCGGTTTGAACTGTGGTCGCTGGGACTATATCTTTAGCTTTATCAAAAAGCTCCGTCAACACCCCCAATATGTATTGCCCGAGCGGTCTGCTGTTACTATGACCGTTCCATTCATGGATGCCTATGTCCGCCTGCTAATCAAAACATGCCACAAGAGAGGTGTTCATGCTATGGGTGGTATGGCCGCCCAGATCCCTATCAAGAACGATCCTAAAGCCAATGATGTTGCTATGGCAAAAGTCCGCGCTGATAAACTTCGCGAGGTCAAAGCTGGTCACGACGGCACCTGGGTCGCTCATCCAGATCTTGTAACGATCGCCTTTGAGATCTTCAATGAGCATATGCCCCAGCCTAACCAGCTTCACGTTCGCCGTGAAGACGTGTCCGTAAACCAAAGTGATCTATTGAATATTAACTTTGAAGGCAACGTCTCAGACAAGGGAATCCGTGACAATATCCAGATCGGCCTAGCTTACATGGAGTCCTGGCTTCGTGGAGTTGGCTGTGTCCCTATTCACAATCTTATGGAAGATGCAGCTACAGCAGAAATTTCTCGTTCTCAGCTTTGGCAGTGGGCTCGCCACAACACCAAGACTATCGAGGGCAAAATAGTAACGGGTGATTACCTTTTGAAGGTACTTGATGAAGAAACAGACAAGATTCGCGAGTCTTTGGGCGAAAAGTACTCTAAATCAAAATACGAAGCTGCCAAAAAGGCATTTGCAACCAATATTACTGGCGAGCGATATGATGATTTCTTGACTACACTTCTTTACGATGATATTGTTTTGAGTGAGGCAAAGCACAGATTGTAGATATTTCTTGACTTTTCCCCCTTTCTTTTTTATATTATATTATATTATATTTCACTTGTTGTTTTTTCTTCTTTAATTTAAAATACTACCTGTTTTTTTTTGTTTTACTCATAATAAAATACTTCAAATTATGTACCTGTAAATGATTCTCCTGATATTCATAGTAACATCCTCACACGCCGCCCAATGATTTGCATTGTGTATCATAGACATCCTCTAGATTACCTAATTGAGTTTAAACAGCCTTCAAATCGCCTTTTTTTTACCCTTTTGTTTCTTTACTCGTCCTCCAGAGAACTTCAACTCAGTACTTTGTCTTTCCTTTTGTTTGCTCATCATTGACAGACTAGTTTTGAATTTGATTTGATAATCAAAAGAGGATCGTTTTTTTTATAAAATCAAACCTCTTGAAGCTCATCAAGTCATATTCATCATTATGCGTGACAAATTACTGCCACTTACTCCATCAAAGGCAGTCAAGTACATCCTCCTGCTGTATGTGGCTGGGTCTTTATTATACACCACACTCCATCTACTGGGCTTAAACTCAGCCACAGGTTATCGATCCCTTCAACATACAATCACATCACGAACAGGTGCAGATGAGCAAGCAATGAGTGTTGCTGAATTACAGCAGAAGTACATGGGTACTCAGCGTGTGACATGGAGTAATAGTGATGGTAATATACCCCCGATATTTTAAAATAAAAAATAAAAAATAAAATAAAGAGTATGGACTGATGATGGTTGTTTGATAGGTAAACAAGAGACCATGCCAGAAGAGCTTATGCTCGGAAAGGTATTTTCGGATGCTATGGGGCCTTCCAAGGTGATTCCTTACTACTTCAAAGCCGAAGAGACGAACATTGATAGCGAAGAAGTCACTATTGCCACTCTTGTGACCCAAAATCGTTTCAAAGTGCTGGGAAGATTGGCTTCACACTACAAAGGCCCTGTTTCTGTGGCGATTCATGTGAATGACGACGATTCTAAGCAAGAGATATTGAGTGAGCTTCATAAGCTCTATGAAGAAAACGAAGATATGCGAAGATATGTGGATTTACACTTGGTGGTTGATAAGTTTGACAGACAGTTCAACATGTGGCGTAATGTAGCCAAGTTTTTTGCACGGACCGACTACATCATGATGTTGGATGTTGATTTCCATTTGTGTACCGATTTCCGCAAGGCTCTGAAACGCGAACCAAAGTTAATGGAAGAGCTCCGGAGTGGCCGAGGTGCTATTGTGGTACCTGCGTTTGAGTTTATCGAAGAGAAGGATGGCGAAGATTGGCGGAAATTCCCGACCACAAAAGAGGAACTTGTTGATATTGTTGCAACAGATAAGATTGACATGTTTCATCGGTCATGGAAACGTGGGCATGGGTCTACAGATTACCCACGCTGGTACGAGTCCACAACACCTTACAAAGTTACAGACTATAATTACTCGTATGAGCCCTATGTGATTTTCAAGAAGGAAGGAACCCCTTGGTGTGATGAGAGATTCGTTGGTTATGGAGCAAACAAGGCTGCATGCCTGTATGAAATTTATCTTTCTGGAATTGACTACTGGGTCCTTCCCGGAGACTTTTTGATTCACCAGACTCATCATTACATGGAGGAGACCAGAGCAAAAGAGGTAAATATTACGCGATGCGCACACACACACACACACACACACATATATATATATATATGTATGTACATGGCTTTCGGATAGTTAACACTTGTATTATAGCGTAAATATAACAAGAAGCTGTATGACTACTACCGGGAAGAAGTCTGCCTTCGATATTCGCGTATAATGATTGCAGCCGGACAGTGGGACATGCCTGCAGCCGAGAACGTTCGACGCGAATGTGCTAAAATCAAGGGGTTCAACGACGTTATTTCAAAAGTACACAACTAAAAAAAAGACGCATACGCACACAATGAAAAACGAAAAACCAAAATATAGAGAAGTCTATACGTCTTGTTGAACCTATAGACAGATACAAGAAGCACTCACTCACCCATACACACCCACACATTCACACCCTCTTATATATTCAACCAATCAATCAAACAAGCAATAAAACAAACACAATACACTAGTTATGCTTTAGTGTTTAGCCAGAGTTATTCTTAGCTTTGGTTCGTAAAGCAAGAAAGAAAAAAAAAAGAAAAAGACCCTTTAGACCCGCCTTTACAATCCCCCCTTTTCCCTTACAACCTTTGCCATGTGTGCTGTCGTACGATTGTGATGTGACAGTGGCCACAGGTTGTCAATAGCCTTCTGGTCACAGAAAGTGTGTTACTCTAATTTTGGAAAAAAAAAGAAAAAAAAAAGAAAAAAAAACTATATCTCAAAACCCAAACCAAGCTATTTCTTTCCCTTTCTTTCACTTTTATTTTAATTCTTTCATAAATACATTTTTACTCTTTTCTTTATGGCTGGCCAGCAGAAAGCTTTTTTGCCCTTTACGCAAACAAGCACCTTTTCATTGCAGGGTCTCTGCCAACACACTGAGGGCTGGGTAAAATAAAAGAAAATTATATTATATTATACTATACTATACTATACTATACTGTAATATAAACATCTATATTTACTAAAGTCATTTAATAAAGGGACCTTTTTCAAGTATCCGGACACCAGATTTCACATATTGTTTCTTAGACATGTAATAAAGAGATAGAGAAAACCTCTTTGGTGAATTGGCTGCTCTTACAAACTCTTTTATATGTAGGGTTGTTATGGTGATCCCATCGGTGTTTCTATTGATCGCTGCAATGGTCCGAATACCGATTCTTCTCAGACGCATCCCACTTGCACATGATACACACCATTGGATTTATTTTATAAAACTGGCAAGCAGTGCAGACTTATATATTTATATAACAACAATAAACTGCATGCTAACTTCTTCGTAGACCATGTTGATCATCTTACTGTTTGTCACCAGCAGCAGTCTATTCCTCGCATCAGTCCAGGCCCAATGGAATCTTATGAGTGTAGCCATCCTTAGTCTTGCTACCAATGTATTTGCTGTGGTACGTTTCATTTTCATTTTTAATTTTTCATTATTATTAATAATAATAATAATAATAATAATCTATCCCAATACAACCCAATAAATCCCAGTGACTAATTCGAAACTATCTACATATTAACGCCCAATAATAATAACAACAACAACAACAATAATAATAAAAAGATGCTGGCCATGACACTGCACCACTTGGAATACACCCGCAACCGTACGACATCCGGAACACTTGTGTTTTATTGGATACTTGTCCTTGTGAGCGACACAATCAAATTGCGCAGTCTGGTTCTCTCACGAAGCACTGATACCACTGAAGACTATCCGGGTCAATTTGGACTATACTTAATCGGAAACATATTCTCACTATGTATGTTTTTACTCGAATTTACCCTGAGGCCCAAGCGTCTATCTTGGTACAAAGACATCAATTCCGACGAGGTTGGCCTTTTTATTACTATTATTATAAAAACACATACACACAGGGCGTACAAATCTTTACATTTTTTTATTGTTTTTTTTTGTCAGAGAGAGTGCCCTGAAACCACGACGTCAATGTTTGGAAGACTAGTATTTTCTTGGATATCACCCTTGATGACATGGGGATCCGATCAGTTATTGCTAATTGACGATTTATGGTATGGCCGAAATGATAATAATAATAATACGATATATATATATATATATATAAATCTTATCGTACCGACATGGTGGGACACGGCTGATTAGAATTTTAATTTAGGTTCCTTGGACATGATATTCGTTCTTCCATTATCAGCACCAGATTTCAAGACGCCTGGGACAAAGAAAAATCCAAGAAAAAGTATAATGAGACATTGTAGATATCACTACTTGTAGTTCTTATTTCATTCATCTTCCAGTCCCTCCTTATCTCGCATCCTTTTCCCACTCTTGGAAGGCTCATTCTATTTTGCAGGGGTAACGTATATGACCACAAGTTTATTTTATTTATTTCTTAACTCACAAGACATTTACAATACTGTCTTCCAGTTATTGAAAGCCATGCACGACATCCTGCAATTTATGCAGCCTATTCTCCTAAAACAATTAATGAACTGGGTAGCTAGCTACACGACGGACGAACCAGCGCCGTCTTACAATGGCGTTTTATTGGCAGGTAAAAAAAAGCAACAACTATCAAATTTTTACAGATCCTAAAAATATTTGGCATTATTCGTTTTATCTATAGTTGGCATGTTGATTGTCGCTCTAGGACAATCATTGTTTTACAACCAGTTCTTGCAGCTGTGCCATACAAATGACATGAGACTTTCTGCAGCATTGATAACATCAATGTCTAAAAAGACTCTTGAATTGAGTACTCCAAACAGACAGCAATCAGCAATGGACGAAATACATAACATCAAGGGTGTCTGTGCTCATCTGCATAGTGGTAAGGAAGGAGATAGAGCTAGAGAGAGAAGGATATAAGAGGGCTAGTGTTGGCGCTAGTGCTATTTTAGTATTTTCAATTTATATTTCATTAATACTCGATCAATAGTATGGAGTGGCATATTTCAACTGGTCATTGGATTGCTGCTTTTGTATAGCACACTAGGATTGAGTTTCTGTGCAGGTGCTCTTGTTCTTGTTCTTGTGATCCCACTTTATGCAATACTTGATGTACTGATGCGCAATCACAAGAAAATGCAAAAACAAAACAATCAAGGGAGAATGGATCTAGTGGTATGCCAGAAAATATATACATAATTATTAATATTCTATTCTATTCTTCTGTACTCTATTATATCACTGTTTTATTAATATTAAGATCATTATTAGAGTGAAGTCTTAAAAGGTATACGTGCTATCAAGATCAATTGCTGGGAGGACACATTCATTGACAAGGTAAGTGAATAATACCAATTTTCTCTGTATATTATTATTCTTAGTATTTTTTTGCGAGCTATAGATTAACCACGTTCGCAATACTACTGAGCTTCCTGCAATCAGAAAACAAAGCATGTTGAGATTGTTCCACGCCTTTACTTTTAATGCCATCCCATTCTTTGCAGCCGTCTCTTCATTCGCACTTTACACAAAACTATCGACATCTGCACTAACAAGCCAAGTCGCCTTTGTGTCTATTTTGCTCTTCAACATTTTGTTTTCCTTGCTTTCCCTTTTTCCTACCAACCTTGCATCTGCCTGGACAGCAACCAGAGCCTTGCGCAAAATCCGCCTTTTCTTGACCTTGGAAGAGCGCGATCCTGACGTACTACACAAACAAGATTTTCGACTGCTTCCTGAATGGACATCTGACACACCCCTAATTGATATCTCCAAAGGAAGCTTCGGATGGTCAAAAGCAGGTCCATCTGTGCTGAATGAAATTGACTTTCAAGCCAAAAAAGGTGATTTGGTAGGAATCACAGGATGTCAAGGAGCAGGAAAATCAACCTTGTTAAGTACTCTTTTGGGAGACACATTCAAGACTTCTGGAAATGTTACCATTCGCGGATCTATTGCGTATGTATCCCCTGAACCCTGGCTAACTCAGACAACACTGCGAGACGCCATTGTATTTGGCCACAGATGGGACAAACTTTTTTATCAGCTCGTATTAAGCGTGTGCAGACTTCAGACTGATCTGGAAAACCTACCAGAAGGTGATAACACTTTGATAACGGGAGACTATTTCCCCTTGACTTCCAGTCAACAGTCTCGTGTAGCTCTTGCCCGTGCATTATATGCTCGCGCAGACATTTATTTGCTAGACGACCCACTGAAAAACATCGATCCTATCACAAGAACAATGATAATGGAAGACGTACTTGGCCCACGCGGTTTATTAAAAAACAAAGCGAGAATATTGGTTACAGAAGCCATCAGTGATCTGCAAAGGGCAGACAGGGTTTTGTTATTGAAGAACGGCAAAATCGAAATGGACGGAAGCTTTGCAGCGTGGATGCACAGACGTTCAGGATTGCACACTCTATCGAGATCGTCAGCATCAATAACACAGAACCAGCCTACTCACAGACAACGACGTTCACGACAAGAAAGTGTAGAAAGTATCGAGACCACCAAATCGCTCAAGAGAGCATCGATGGCAATGTCCTTGTTTGAAAACAGCCCACCTAGACATACACGAACAAGGAAAACTGTCGATGAACCCCTTGAAGCACTAAAAGAATCCGTCGATGGAAAAGTTGTTCAAAGCTACATGAAGTCATGCTCACTATTTGGGATCTTTGCCATGCTATTATTCTTGATATTTGCTCAGGCTTCTCAAGTTCTGGCAAATCTGTGGCTCAAGTATTGGCTTGATTCGAATATTCAGTTGAACTTTAGTTCCTACAGCTCCCCATGGCTATACATTGAACTTTATGCCGGGCTAGGTTCCACATCTACTGTAGCGTACATGCTATACACACTTATTTTGTGGGGATACTGCGCCCACGGATCAGCCAGAAAGTCGCACTCTAGTATGCTAAGAAATGTTGTTCGGTAAGAAGCATTTTGAGTGTACTATCGAAAAAGAACAAAAATATAAACATAAATATTAATCTAAACTTTAATAGATCGAAAATTGAGTTTTTCAATGCTCCTTACAAGACCATTCTAAGCCGTTTCTCCACTGATCAGTATGCGATTGACCAAATATTACCAGAGTCATTTGAAGTCTTTTTCCGGTAAGTAACTCTATTAGCTTTATATATGTTATCAGCTTTATTTCCATGTGCTTCTAGATCAGTATCATGCTTAACATATATTTACATCCCTTTAGTGTCCTGGTTTCTATTATTGCAACCATAATTACCATTACACTCTCAACCCCATTCTTTTTGGTCCTTGTAATCCCACTCTCACTTATACTCGTCAATATACAGCACACCTATCGACCCATCTCACTTAGACTAAATCAACTTTGTGAAAAGTACAAAGCCGATCTCACATCTCGTCTCCAGGAGCTCCACTCAGGAATGGTTACCATTTGTGGTTTTAACCAGCAGCGCCGATTTTTAGTACAGAATGAAGAGTTTTTAGACGATTATCAGAATATCTATCATTTGCATTTCTCGTGTAAGAGGTGGATGTCAGTCCGTATCGAGCTTTTGGGATCTGTAGCTATATTTGGCGCCGCTATATTAGCCGTCATTGGTGTATTGTATGGCGCAAGCTCTTATAGAGACCCGGGATTAGTGGGTCTTGGACTTCTTTACGCCCTGACAGTAACCAAATCGCTTCATGAAATGGCCAGCTCACTGAGTGATATAGAGGTATACTTTAACAGAATCTGTTAATCTGTGTGTATGTGTGTGTGTGTGTACATGTGCATACAGAAACTAATCATTATATATTTATTAGACTCATTTTATTAGCGTGTCTCATGTACAAGAGGTAGATTCAGGCACTTCCTTCTTTTGGTATTTAGCACATAATTAACCTTCTAAGTGTTTAGTATATCGAGCAAGTACCTGAAAAATATGAAGCAGTCCGACGCGTTCACCCAATGTGGCCTATTGAAGGTTCCATCGAATTTTGTAATTATTCTGCAAATTATCACGCAGGTGTATACCACAACATGCATGGATTGTCCTTCAAAATCGAAGCAGGAAGTCGTATAGGTGTAGTAAATAGATCTGATTCCGGAACAGTCCCATTAAGCTTGTGCTTATTACGAATGATCGAACAAACTCATGGGGCAATATTAATTGATGGAGTTGATATTAGCACTATCCGCCTTTCCGATATTAGGTATGTATATACATCTACATGCACATACACATACATAAGACGTCTTTTCTGACCAAATTATAAAGATCTCGATTGGCTATAATTCCTTGCAACCCAATATTATTCTCTGGAACTATTCGAGAACATCTGGTATTTTGAGTCTACCTTTTTTTTTAAATATTATTTACAAGATAACATTAATTATGATTACTTACCAAGGATGAATTTACACAGGACCAATCAGGAATTTATGAAGACGTACAAATATGGAGAGCTCTCCAAGCCGTTGGCATTGATGGTGTTGTGACAAATTTGGAAGGGCAACTGAGTAGTGTCGTGACTGAAGAAAATATGCCTTTCTCAGTAGGCCAAGCACAGGCAAGTACACAAAAAGAAAACAAATATTAAAATGCAATACAATACAATACAAAAAGCTTATTTTGATAAATATAGCTGGTTTACTTGGCACGTGCAATTCTGCGTAGAGCCACCATTCTGGTCTGGGAAGAGTCCAACGAAGTTGTAAGCAAGATAAGAGTGAAGAGCTCAAAGAGAAGAAAAAAGAAGAAAAGTCTGACTTTATTTTTTACGTATGCGTACATAAAAGACACATGTGGAGAATGAAATTTTCCAGGATATAATTCAACAAGAATTCCAAAGTTGCACAGTCCTTACCATTGCACACAACGTTGGCTCAGTCATGGATTCTGACAAGTATGTGAATCGTGTATATAGATAGATCAAGTAGGCATAAAGATTTACTAAAACTAACTTGCGTTATCTACAGAGTGCTTGTCTTTAGTCAGGGAACCGTAATCGAGTACAATTCACCTTGTGAACTCTTGTCTGATAAGGACTCTATATTTTACTCCATGTCAACAGAAGCTAATATCTGCGACTAGTACTAGCTGTGTATACACTTACATTTAGAGTTGCCTTTATAAAAGAGGAACCTTTTGTATTCTTAAAATTAACCTGACTACCAAATCCAAAACGTTCTTTCTTATCCTTATACTTAATTACCTACTTATTTATTTACGTATTACAAATATCTTTTTCTTTCTCTCTAAATACAGACTTATTATATATCATTTGCACTTTACAGAATAAAATTAACCTAAACACTCAAATATATACAGAGCTGGTAGAAGATGAATATCAAGAAGATATAATATATTCAGTGTATAAAGTAATTCGATTTATTTAATAATTTATGTCAAGCGTGCTATTAGATATTAAGAAAGATCTTTAAATATCAAAAGGGACAGCAGTAGCGTCGTTCTGTCCAAGATTGCCAAGCTCCCACTGTGTAGTAAATAATATTATTAGTAAATAATGTATATATTTATAGATCTCTAATACTTACATTATCTTCAATTGTTCTCAAGAGAGAGTAATGGTTGTAAGCGGTATCATCGCTGGAACCAGTAGACGAACGCTTAAAGTCAGGGCCAAAGAGGAATGTCATGACTCTGTTGGGAATCTCTTTGGTGTGGTTTTCATCAAATGTGGTAACAAACATAGTATTCTTGTTGAAAGCAGTTTGATTAATACGAGGCTCGATAAAGCTTTTAAGCCAGTTTCCAGCATAGCTCATAGAGGTATCATGAGCATCATTGTTCATCTACAGATCAGAAGTAATGGGAATTAATTCTTCAAACTTATATATATATATATATTTCTGTCGATAATCTGAGCAAAGTACTTACATCAGGAGTATAAAAGACGAGCTGAGGAACATCATTGTTTGCGATATCAATATCAAGCTGATCAGCATTGACAATCTTGGCACACAATTTGGGATCTTTTTGGACATTAACCATGGACATAAAAGGATTGTGTTTACGTGCGTATGTAGAGATACGCATATCAAGGTTGCAAGATCCTAAATAATCAAGTGTTTAGTGAATGTAAAGAATATACGATAGTTTATTGCTTATAGTGGTTTTGACAAGTACCTGGATATGCTTGCTGGTAAGACTTCCAGCTAATTCCCTTTGCCTCCATAAGATCAACGAGCGAACGACGATCAAGGTTAGCCATAGTATCTCTGTAGACACCTTCAACTGACCCAGTGATCATAGCGATCTGTATTTATGTATGAGACAAAGTGTAGCAAAAAATATGCTCATATATTCTTACATAATTGGGCTGAGAAGGATGGGTAATAGCAAGATAGTTGGTCAAGAGGACGCCTATACATTTTTTATTTTATTTTAGTTTATATTGTTCTTACAGCTATATACATTGAACTAACCATTGTGTTTCTCTGCCAATGAAGCATAATAGGAGTCAGCAGCAGCAGTCTCAAAATCAGTGTTCTCGAGAACAATGATAACCACACGATCAAAGGTCTTTCCATGAACGATGCTAGAGTCATGCTTGATGGGGCAGGCAAAAACACCCATAGACAAACCAGAGAGGGACATCAAAGCGCCAGATATCAAAGTGATTGCAGAGAACTTCATTATGTGAATAGATGCTATTACTTATAGGAAAGAAGCTGATGGTTATTTGAGTATAAGAAATCAAGTTAGCTTATATACCTTTTATCTTTTATTTATTTAATAGAAAAAAAGCAATTATATGTAATTATTATTGATAAATTGTCAACAATGTCAAAGCATTGGCTGCAAGACTATTATAGGTGAATATCACCTAATACAGTGAATTATATTAAGCATGGACGATTGTAAAGAAATAATTGGAGAATATGATTCTTTAACTGAGAGACAAAAAGACACACTTTAAGTTTACAAAATGTACGACCAAGATGAATATATACAATATATGATATTCATTATACACAGCAGAATTAAATAATGGCCGACCAATAATATCGGGAATCAATTAAAGCTATATATGTATTATTGCACTGTAATTTAACAAGACACATATTGATCAATTGGAACGCTAATAATAATCACGACTACGTTGTGTACTACGGTCAATGCAAACCCCAGAAATATATCAATACTGAAATTTCTACTCTATAATAAAATCTTACATTGACATTAACCATATTTATACTATAAAAAGGGTTTTCTCAAATATGCTAGTGTTTATTTTATTTTAATTTAGGTTAGTTCATTATTACTCTTGTTATTCTTATTTGCTTAAATGATACACAAGGCTGTAAATATATGTCTACAAGGTCTGTATAAATTATATTGATTTTATACTAGCTTGTAAGGATGGATCAGTAAAGCCCCCCAAGAAAACTAAAGTATGTTCATATCAAGGTGTTCATTGTGGTCTCTTTTTCAAACGTTTTTGTAAAGGTATCATAATTTTCTCTAAATTTTCTATTGAAATAAATGTCAATGCAACATATAAAACGATAGGCTGCCCTAACAGTAAAAGTTGCAGTGAAAGAAAAACTACAATTGTGATCGTTTTGAAGGTGTTGTAAAAAATCGCAGCTGTATTGTTCGAGAGGATAAGCATTACAAAGTATTCAAATAATATAACTTAACAGAAAACATATATTTTCAAAGCAGGTAGTATCTTATAGACCCAGAAAATTGTTCAGATAAGTTTGAAATGCTCAAAACATTTCTATCATAACAACTATTTCTTAAGGTACAGTGAGATCGACTCATTTACTGAAGCCTACACAAGATTATATAAACAATTGCATGTGTTTGATGTACTAAGCTGTTTGTCGTTATAAAGCCATATCCTTGTTTTTTTTTGAATGATAATAATAGTATTATTTTGAATTTTTTTCTGCTATTTCAAGTGTCGAGAACTATTAATATGCCCATAGGTAATGGGACTATTACAGGTATATAAGTGTAATATCTCCAATGAGTGTTTATTAAAGCATAATATACTAATTAATTATTAGTATATTGATAAACTATTAGGCAAAAAAAAATGTGAGCAATAATTGAGATGAAGTTTATAAAAAACCACAATGCATATGATAGTGGTCTGTAGTCATTGCTAGGATATCGTTTGAGCTTTAAGATACGTTGCGCATTGCTAAACAGTCTTGTATATGTTTTTGGAAAGACAACGAGGGGTTTTGACTTATCGGTAACTTTAGTTGATTTGGAACAACAATATATATATATATGTAAGATACTTTTAAGGCATACTGCTTTTGTCTAAATATACTAAATAAGGCACGCTAAGATATACACATTGCCTCAAGCGCTGGAAGTTTATATTTCATAGTTGGTGGTAAAATATTATCCGATAATGTACCTTATTACCAGGAGCTGGAAAATCCAAGATTTGCACATTTTGAAAAGTGTTTCAACTTAAAAATAATTATATAGAAGAAAAAGTAAGATATTTTTTATTTTTATTTTTATTTTGCAGTACAAGATCTGTAAATATTGACTCAATGCTTGACTTTTTAAGCTTAAAAAGCTTATATAAGATGCTGATATAAATCAATTCGAGTTTTTATTTTATATTTGGTTATACATCATAGTTTTTAGCTGATGTTAATGCATTGTTTTATAAACGTGCGCACATACCTTGTTGTTGTTATATAAATTTCAGAAAAAGAGGAATTATGTGCTCCATTAATAGTTACGGCAGAAGTGGTAGAAATGTCTTTTGATGTAATTATTGGTATATATGTAGGAGAACTAACATTAGTGGTGTACTCTATTCCAAAGTGCCAAATTGATCCTCAGTGCGCCAATATCCCTCAGAGTAGTCTTGAAACATTTCTTGCTTACTGAACTCTTGCCTAGCCTTAGCAATTTCCTGTGGGTAAGGAGGAGGGTAATATATTGTTTTCTGTATGCAGCTTCTCAAAGATACCTTATTGTTTCATTCATACATCAAAATCGACTTTTTTGTGCACAGCCTGTATAAATACAATAAAGACATTACTTGTATATTCAATCTATATCACGTATTTTCTGTCTCTTTCGAGCACACATTTCTTTATTCCCTCTCATTTTTCAACTCTCACTATCTTTTTCAGCTTTTGCCTTTCGCCTTTTGCATTTTATATATATACGTATACATATACGTATACATATTCACATCTTACTTCTGGTAAGACACCTTATTTTAAAAATAATTCTTTACACGGTAAAGCATTCATTTATCCTGTCATTATAGATACAGATACATACATACTTTCTCTATCTAATTACAATACATGCTATTCGCAATGTCCATCCGCATTACCCAAATTCAATAATATACAATTCACGGCATCGGTATTCTCAAATATTAGCTTAACTTTATTCTCACTTCACAGACAACAACAACCTCTAAAGTTAAGCAAGGCTATCGCTACAATGTTAAAATATACAAATAGTATCTTATTTCTTTTCAGAGTTATTCGATTAGATTAATTTCTTCTTGTTAATGAGTCCACCTAATTACAACATTGACATCTTCAATTAAGTAAAAAAAAAAGGTTTAAAAGCGTGTTTTTTTATTAAAGTTGACAATAGCTAAGAAAGACTTTATTTATTTATTTATTTAAAGATATATATAAAGAAACTATTCTATTTGATTTAATTTCACTTAATGTTCTTTTACATGAGTAAAAGAATAAAAAGCATGACACCAAGTTCTTTGTCCCCGCATTACGCGGCTCAATCTCCTTCAGGACGTAAACCTGACTTGGTAGCGAAGGAGGTGCTGGAATGGTGGCAAACCAACGGAAAGCACCCGTTCATCCAGCCCCACATCTCGTCACCGAGTAATGTGGGTGCGAACTCGCCAGAGAACTTACCACTAGGTGATAAGGTCCAGCTCATTCGACTACCAGTAGCTTCACCGTCAGCCGTTAAAGAGTTTAGTCAGGTTAGCAGTGAAGAGCCAGCACATCTCACCACAGGTTAGACCTCCCTCCCCCCAGCATCATGATTCCACATTGGCGATGCGATGCACACAGTAGTCCTTCCAAAAATGAAAAGAGACCATGCCCCACGACTTCTCAGAATTAACTGAGCTGGTGAGTAACAACTTTCACTTTCCGATGCTTGTAGCATGGAAGAATCTCCCTGCAACGGTCGCAAGAGACGCCTCACTATGAAACCGGGACTGTTGTTGCTCAAGGAGAAAACAAACGACACGCGTTGGAGGGGTCTATTTGTAACAGAAAAATTTCATCTGCGATTAAAGTTTAGGACTGCGATTTTTGTCAGTCCTAGATGTCAACGTCAGAGCAAACGTGACATAGCTACATATTATTTTTACTGGGGTTGTGTAACTGTTCTACCGCAGAAGATACAGCTAATAATATTTACTTAGAGTACTTATGAAGTCAACTTTGTAAGGTGAAGTAAAGTAGAGCAAAGAAGCAAAGAAATAATGAAAGGTTCGGTATTGATCGGTGTAGCAATAACTCACAAAGTGGAGTACAAGTTTCTATAACGGCGATTTGAAGGTTACTCTAAAGTGGTCTGTGCACTTTTTGTTCAAAGGGTGCACGAGAAAGTTATTTCTTATTTTCCTAGTACAGTTAGACACAAAAGCAATACAGCAGCTACTAGGGAGTGAATCCATAAATATTTTAAAGTGACACCAAACAATAAGGAAAAAGCAGAAAAGAAAGCAGAATGCATATATATTATCTAGATCTCATCACAATACGATAGGTAGCGGGATTCTGAGTTCCAGGTTGAGTTTTATCGAAATGAGGTATATCTGTAGATTTTTGATCTTATAGATTGTGATCATCAATAAACATCAATAAATACAGAGCCAAACATACTGCAAAACAAAACAAAACAAAAGCAAAGCAAAAGGAGAACAAACATGGTCAATATTTGAATAAAAGTCGATAAATTCGGATATAGCAGAGAAAAAGTATTATTGTCTATGGGAGGCACCCTTGATGGTTTCTTAGTTCTCGCTGTTTTAGATGAAGTATAGACTAACATGAATAACACAAAAAAGTGTACAATAAGAAACAGTCTGAAGGATACTGATGTTTTTGAATGAAATATAACATAGCTAAAATACTTTTATTATGCTTAGTAGCGTATGGACACAAGCAAAGCTAGCATTTTTATTGCATCCTATATTAACTATATCTTACATATTGTGAGTATATATATATTAATAAGCTAGATCCAGCTCTTTAGTAGTGTGTATTACGAGAGTGTTTAGGGTAAGAAGAACTTTTAAACCCTTTGATTTATTTTGGCGTGTATTGTTTGTACTCCTGAGTTTCATAAGTAACGAAACATTTAAACATCATATATGTACAAGGAGACGATTGAGCCGTGTTATTAAATAGAGCAAAAGTATTAATGGGGAGACTTTGATTTAAATTTTTATTATTATATAAACACTCGTTCAGATCTTTTCTCTCATTTACATGTATTATTCACTCGAGCCAAACAGAGAATATCCGCATCAAAGTGTATTTGAGGCTCTTTTTGAAGGAGAAACAACTGTACCAGGCGATAAGAAATTGCTTATTGACTCTGATAATCCGGAAAATTACCTTACACGAGATGCCTTGAAGAGAGACATTCTTTTGTTTGCACAAGGTCTCAAAGATAAATTTGACTTTAGGTCTGGAGACATTCTGGCAATATGTGCTCCAAATCATGTAAGATCTAAAATAAAATACAGAAAAGTTTCAAATTTTTTACTTACATATTTAATAGCTGGACTGCCCTATTGCTCTACATGGCCCTACTGTTATTGGTATGAAAATTAATAAAGAGTGTGTTCACAGTAACCAGATAATTTACTTTGAAAGGTGCAATTACTGCTTGTATACAGTCTGAAGAAGGCTCTAAAAATATACTGAAAGATATGAGCATTGCAAAGCCCAAACTAGTTATTGCTCATAAGGAGACACTTCAAGATATAAAATTTGCAGCCAACAGCCTCGGACTGGAAGACACGAGAATCCTTTTGTTCGGCAATGAGGCTATCAATGGGATCAAGCCTTTTCGTGATGTATTAATGAACCACTCGACATTGGCTACTCCGATAAGATTCACGCCAAGTGAACTTAAAACACTACCTGCCTACCTTTACTATACATCCGGAACCACAGGCCCAAAGAAAGCTGTAGTAATTACGTAAGTAAAGCCTGGTGTAATATGTCTTCATTTGCTTTAACTAAACCTGTAAGCTTTTTTTTATAGAAACGCTATTGTGAATGCTATATTTTATACAAGAGCCCCATGGATTACTCCAGGCGTTCGCTTCTTATCCTATGGAAGCAATGCACACTGTAGTTCTTTAATTATATCCTTATCGGGATGTATCAGAGATGGCACAGAAGTTTATATAATGAAATCTTTTACACTAAAGCGAATGTGTGAAGCAGTACAACGATACAAGATCCATTCTCTTGTAATTCATCCTTGGGTAGCCTCTGCACTAGCAAAAGAGCTGTTTGTGGAAAATTATGATTTGTCTTCTCTACATGCTTCTTTCTCGGTGGGCTCAGCATTAGATCCTATGACAGTAGTTCAGTTTAAAAAGCGTTTCGGGATTACGCTATGTACTTTATACGGAATGACAGAGTGTATCTCGTCATTTGTAGGTTCCTCAGTGGCAATGGAAAGAGGTATTTGGTTAAACACACCATAATCGTTTTTAATGCGGTATTATAGGATCCCTCGGTACACTATCCCCTGGATTTGAAGCCAAAATTATTGATGAAGATAATAAAGGTAACCGCAGGTGTTTGCTGATGCTATATAAAGCTGCCATATAATATCTCTAATTAAGAATTCGCTTTATTAGAAGTTACTGAAGGATCTGTGGGTGAGCTCTGTATCAAAAGCCATTCAATTACACCAGTGAGGAAAATAGTTACTAGTTTCTGAAAATATGTTAACCCAAAATTAACAAATATGTACATATAGGGATACTATAACAATCATGAAGCAACTGCAGCATTAATAGACAAGGATGGTTTCCTTCACTCTGGTGATATATTCAGAGTAGACCCACAAGGATATTTTTATTACGTTGGTCGACAAAAGGATATGATCAAATACTACAGCTATCAAGTAAGCTTTCATTATATTTAGCTGTTATTATAATATTATATTGCATGGCAATACCTAATAGCTATTTTAGATATCCCCTTCAGATATTGAAGATATTCTGGTAAGAGTAAAATTCTTTTTTGATTCACTTACCCATATACGGATTCTTCTTTTTTATAGATCTCGCACCCTTATATCTCCGAATGTTGTGTAGTTGGGTTCTACAGCAGCAAAATATCTACTGAAGTCCCAAAAGCATTTGTTGTCGTTGCGCCTTCTCAGAGAGATTTTATTACAGCAAATGAACTTAGAGCCTATGCGGACGATCGACTACCTGATCAAATGCATCTTAGAGGAGGTGTTATACTTATAGATTCACTTCCAAGATCCGCAGTAGGAAAGGTTCTACGCAATTCTCTTCGACATCAAATGGGACAGCGCACAGTGAATGCTAATTGAAAATACAGTAGTTCAAATGTACTTAATTCTGTTTCTTTAACAAGTTAGACAATTGCAATCCAAAGATAAACTTTATAACCAAGAGACACAATATAAGCAAGTGCATACTTGGCTAATGAAGACATTAAAGTACATAAGAACCGTTGAAGCACATACTATTTGAACTGTGCTATCAATAGTAGCAATTTATATATCTATATCTGTTAAATTAGCTCAAATATATTTCATCACTACTCTTTAATACGTACCGGTTTGATATTTCTTGTTACTTAAAAAGAATAAATATTTATAATCACGGATCTGTATCACTAACGTCGATGGTTATTGTACGTAAATTTGGCTTTTCTTTCTTTCTAACGATAGCCTTACCTAAGTAAAATGTTGATCTTATGAAATCTTTTCAGGTGATTTTTTGTACTACTTTTTGTAGATTTCTATTTTTCTTCTTTGTTAATGATGCCAAGTGTTTTCCACATCCATACTTTACTGCAAAGGTCATCCATCTGTTTGCATATTCTTTAGAGTAATATCTTCCTCTGCAGCACTCTCTATAAGCTACTATAGGTTGGAGTTTTGCTATTTATTAGTACCTCCTATACGTATTTAAAGTAGCTAGTAAATACTCATACGCGATTGTATATTAAACTGCAAGCCTTAGTTTCATGGAAAGGCTTGAGAGATTCATAACCAGAATATACATGTCATATCAACACTAAGAACAACAGTAAAATTTCCGGTCCATACTCTTTTGAAAGATCCATATGCACCTAACCAATTCTCAGTTTCTCCAAAAATCAAGAAGCACTTTGATTTGATCCCTCCTTTTCTTTTTTGCCAAGTGGTCTTTGATACTTGTATTGGAAATCAAACCTTCATTATATACTAGGATTGATATGTTAAGTCCAATAATATCGACGCTATTAACTACCCTCCCCTTTAAAACATATTCTAAGTTTCAGGTTTTTATTTTACTTTGCATCCTATATAAAAATAAATGCCTGCAATTTATTAATCACCAAGAATCTTACTTTATGAAGTAGTGTTAATGTGTGTATATTGGTGTAAATAGCTTTTCTTAATAGGTTTACAGAAAAATATGATATTGTGTAGTAGAAAGTAAACCTGTTTGTGATGTATTTTCTATGATTCTTTATTCGTTTACTTGTACTTATTTAGCCGGGACTCTTCCTCGATAACACTAACAATCCATTAAAGAAGTAGTATTATTAAAGAAGTCTTTTGTATAAGAAGCTTATTTATTTAAAGAAATATAGCTGCTTGCCAGCCTATAGAGCTATGGTGATTAAAAATATTATTTTATTATGTATACATACTGCTTGACTGTACATGAAAGTGTCTGTATGTCTGACTCACTAGACTCTAATAGATCATAATACCAAAAAAAGTATTTAAAGTCAAAGTATTGTATAGTTATTCGATCACAGCCTACCTTTCTTCTCTATGTATTGTACAATCGATTCCACTAAGACTTACCCTTCTACAACTGTCTTTGAGGCTTTGTTCGAGCAAGAAACCGATGTACCAGGCGACTATAAGCTGTTTATCGACACTGACAAACCAGAAAACAACTTGACCCGAGATTCGCTGAAAAGAGATATCCTTCTTTTTGCTCAAGGGCTCAAGGACAAATACAGCTTTGGACCCGGTGATATAATGGCTGTTTGTGCTCCAAATCATGTATGCTATTCACAACTACATAATTTCATATAATCTGTATAATCTTATATGATTTTATTTATAGTTGGATTGGGCAATTGCGGTTCATGCTCCACCTGTTATAGGTGCAATCACAGCCAGTGTCCGGGCTATAGAAGGACCTGAGAATGTTATAAAAGATATAATGCTTGTCCGACCAAAGATCATAATTGCTCACAAAGAGACCCTCGAGACAGTAAAGGTGGCGGCCAATGCTATCAATTTAGAATATAGCCGCATTCTTATTTTTGGAGATGAGACTGTCGATGGGTTTGCACCCTTTCGTAGTGTCTTAATGAATCATTCAACCCTGGCCACACAAGTGAAACTTACACTTGATGAACTTTCAACCAAGCCTGCTTATCTTTACTTCACTTCAGGAACAACTGGAACAAGAAAGGCCGTAATTATCACGTAAGTATACCAGAATCTAATACATAGCTAAGGTCGACTAATTTTTTTTTATTCAAGGCATGATAATGTCGTAATTACATTCTGCGCCAAGCAGATTTGGCTTACTTATGAGACACGCTACTTGTCTTATACAAATAATGCGCATGCTTCTGCCTTGATTGTGGCCATGAGTAACTGTGTCAAAAATGGTGTCCAGACATATTTGCTGAAAGATTTTACTCTCCAGCGTTTGTGTGAAGCTATACAGCAGTACAAGATCCAAGTATTTGCAACTCAGCCATGGGTTAGCGCTGCCCTAACACGAGAACGTTTTGTGAGCAACTATGATCTGTCTTCACTGGAATATGCAATATCGGCAGGTTCACCTTTGGATCCTATGACCATGATTAGGTTTAAGAATCGGCACGATGCTACACTCTGTAGCTTTTTTGGAATGACAGAAAGTTTGCTAATCTTCCAAGTGTCTCAAGAAGGCGCCAGGAGAGGTAATTTGTAAACTACACAAAACAATATACTAAGCAGGTATCCCAGGCTCTATCGGTACTCTTTATCCTGAATTTACTGTCAAACTTGTGGGAGATAATGGAAAAGGTAAACCATTACCGATGTATTGGTTCCATGTACAGGAGACTACATCATGCATGTACTAATTTCTTTCTTTCTTTCTTTTTTTTCTTTTTTTTTTTTAAAAACCATTAGAAGTGCCACATGGATCGATTGGCGAGCTGTGTATAAAAGGGCGATTTGTTACAACAGTAAGTATCTATACCTCTGATTTTTTTTTTACTATAATTCTGAAGATCAATTTTATATATAGGGATATTACAAAAACGCTGAGGCAACTGCTGCCGCAATTGATAAGGATGGATTCTATCACTGTGGTGATCTAGTCAGAGTCGATGACGAGGGCTATTTTTATTATATTTCTCGTATTAAAGACATCATCAAGTATTATGCCTACCATGTAAGCGTTTTTTTATTGGGAGTTAGTAAAATGTATCTCATCCTATTTTACAACAATAGATCAGCCCCCCCGAGATCGAATATATATTGGTAAGAATAATATAATGAAGCCTGAGATGTACTGATATCATCCTTGATAGCTTTCCCACCCTGGCGTTTCTGAATGCTGTGTAGTAGGAGACTATAGCGAGGAGCTTTCTACAGAGCTACCAAAGGCCTTTGTTGTTCTCTCTATGAAAAGCAAATACTTATCAATTGATAACCTTCAAGAGTATGCAAACGATAGATTACCAGACTATATGCGCTTACGCGGAGGCCTAGTTATTTTGAACGAGCTTCCAAAATCTTCTCTTGGAAAAATCCTGCGCAGTACTCTTCGCCACCAAATGGGACAGCCGATAAAAGCAATAGAGACCAAAACAAATTGTGTCTCAAAAAAACCTTCCATACTCACTATGGGACAGTCTACTATAGCATAACAACCCTCTATTAGGAGGATATTATTTGTTATCAAAGCTGAAGAATAATATATATATATAGTGCAACATATTCTACTGGTTTTTTTTTAATTGTGTGTGTGTGTATGTGTGCATTTTCTGTGAATATGGATTGCTTATGATTTCGCCTATGTGTGCACTTTAATGTCTAAAGACCAGCCCAAAAAAAATTACTATCAATTACTTCCAGAGTGAGGGTTTGGTTTCTTTATTATTATTTCCAGATATTAAATGGCAAATATCAACGGAACATATTCCTACAGCTCACGTTCTTCTTCCTTCATTTCTCTCTCTTTTTTTCAATTGTTTGTTTGGATTCTTATCCAAAAATATCAACTGAAGTAATTAAGTATTGTATTTGACATGTTCTGAGTAGCAGCTGGGATACAGAAACATGGACAAGTCGCTATAGCCTGTTGCCAGATTGAATACTTTTATCTCATAATTGCTATCAGAAAGATGGATATTTAGTGTGGCCGGATAAATCCCATTAAATATAAAGAGTACTTTCAATTAATTTACTCTCTTGCCAGCCAATTATATTTGACTTATATCTCTCTCAATAAAACACAAATTCAAAGTCTCAAAGTACTTGTCAAGTCTTTCAATCCCATACCCATAAATACAACATGAAGTACCCTTTTTTTTAGAAGTCATTATCTTGCAAAAAAAAAAGCCACCCAGGGATGAAAGACTCACAGTAAAAAGGGGGATGTACTTTTTTGCTTTATGCATATTTGCTTGGTGCATAATATATACGAAAACAGCCAAAGAGCCAAACAGAAAAATAAATAGTAAACAATATCTTGCAAAACAATTTTTCTACCAATATATACATATAAGGAACATATCGAATACACACAATACTTGTTAGACCATACAATAAGTTACTGGATCTAGGTTCCAAGTAATATATATTATTATATAGTGACAGTAACAAGTAACATTTAATGAAACACATATGTCTTGTCTTGTCTTGTCTTTTTATCAATCTGTTGATCAACTTAATATATTTTTATAAATTCCCATATATTTCTAAGCACTTTACCCCTATCACTGCTCAGCTAGATTGGGTTGTGTTCTGACAAATAGAAAGTCTTTTAAATATAATTATACTATAAATATTTGCCTTCTATTCAGCCACATCCTTTGTATTTTACTTGATATATGCATAGTTGCACACACAAATAAAAAGTGCAAATTTGTCCTTTTTTTGAAATTTACTAAAGTGAGTTCAAACGTTATCTAAATCAATTCTAAAAAAACCACCCACACACACACAAATACGTTTTAAGCGTACATACATACATACCTATATAAATGCGCCCACATCAATTTCTCAAAAGAAATCTGCAAATTGAAAGTATAACAAGTGCAACGTAAGCGACTTTCCTTTTCAAACGTATCGCCTTTCTGCATATTTTCACGGCTGTATTTCTTTTTCTGAGAAAAAACAAACAAACATCTACAGCAGTATATTAGTTAAAAAATGACGGTTACCTAGACATTGTGGTACCAATTCTTCTAAGAAAGGATGTTATGAAAGGTAGTTGTTTTGGTCATTCATACAAATGTTATGTACCAGGAACAGGTTTATGCCTTTTGTTTATTGCTTGAAGTGTAGATTAATATAAAATGTACAGCTTTAAAGAGGAAAAATAGTAGCGTCTATAATCAGTATCCTTTCTTATTTTTCTTCTTCGATAAATGTATTATTCAAACGAGCCCACAAAAGATTACCCTGCTATTAGTATATTTGAAGCTCTGTTTGAGCAAGAAACGAATGTATCGGATGATCAGAAGCTATATGTCGATTGCGACAACACAGAAGAATACTTGACTAGGGCATCGTTGAAGAGGGATATACTTCTTTTTGCCCAAGGTCTCAAAAACAAGTACAACTTTGGACCTGGCGATATAATGGCCATTTGCGCTCCAAACCATGCAAGTTATATACATCACACACACACACACATATATATATATATAGTATATTAAAGTAGATAGGCTAATATTATTTGAGTATTAGTTGGACTGGGCAATTGCTCTCCATGGTCCAACAGTTATAGGCAAGTCTTCATTAATTAGAGTAGTTTTCTCTCTCTCTCTCTTTACTCACAAGTTCAATAAATGTAAAACCAAAAAAAAAAATAGGTGCAACTACTGCCTGCGTGCGTGCTTTGGAAGGACCAGAAAGGGTTGTGATGGACATTACACTTGTCAGACCAAAGTTGATTATTTCTCACAAAGATACCATCAAGGCAGTTGAATTGGCAGCCCAGAATATTGGTCTTGATGACACACATATTCTCTTGTTTGGAAATGAAAGTATCAAAGGTTTCAAGCCATTCCGTAGCGTTTTAATGAACCACTCGGTTTTGGCTACTCCTGTAAAGCTCACACCTAAAGAGCTCTCGACTGAGCCTGCTTATCTTTACTACACTTCTGGTACTTCTGGTGTAAAGAAAGCCACGATTATCACGTAAGCCGATTTTATTTATGTATATATTTAGGTAATACACTCATTACTCGATGTGTTGTACATAACTATATAGACACTCGAATGTGGTGGCTATGATGTATGCAAATGACCCGTGGGTTCCTCCAGGAACACCCTACTTGGCTTATTCAAATAATGCTCATATCTCTGGGTTGGCCTCTGCAATGACTCTCTCAATCATGCACGGTATCCGGACATACTTTTTGAGAAACTTTTCAATTCAGCGCATGTGCGAAGCTGTCCAGAAATATAAGATCCGGTTTATAATGTCTCAGGCATGGGTCGGGGCTGCGCTGACAAAAGAATCCTTTGTATCCAACTACGATCTATCTTCTCTGTTGCTCATTCTTTCAGCCGGATCATTCCTTGATCAAACAACTATGGCCAGATTTAGAGAACGCCACAATTTTGGACTTTCTAGTGTATTTGGGATGACTGAAGTCATGTCGTGTATAAAGATTTCACGAGAAGCCCACATTAGAGGTATTATATATAAAGAAAATGATCAAAGGATTAATTATTTATACAAATTCTGTAGGGTCTGTTGGTAGGCTTTATCCAGGAATGATAGCCAAAATTATAGATGACAATGGTGAAGGTACACAAGCACTAGAGCTCAAAAAATAAAATACAGATGAATTGTGCCAATACTCACGTGTAATTAATCTTATCTTTTGGTAGAGGCCACAAATGGATCTCCTGGCGAGCTTTGTCTCAAGGGACCAACGGTCACACCTGTCAGTATAGATTATAATTATCGAGTATATACCCAAAGCTTACAATGCTATTATATATACATTCATACATAAATAGGGCTATTACAGTGATCCAAAGGCAACTGCTGCAACGATTGACAAAGATAACTTTTTTCATTCTGGAGATCTCTTCAGAGTCGATGAAGAAGGTTATTTTTATTACATGTCTCGTATGAAGGATCGAATTACCTACTACTTTTACGAGGTAAATTTTTATTTTAATATTACTATTTTAACCTCATTAATCTTAAAACTGGGCTTTGTCTGATTTAATTTGTATATATCAGTTCAGTCCTCCTGAAATCGAAGATGTTGTGGCAAGTATAATCCTAATTTATTATTTGGCGTACCTTTAAAATTTACCATTTTATATATTGATAGATAACTCACCCAGAAGTGTCTGAATGTTGTGTTGTGGGAGTCTACAGTGAAGAGCTTGGTACAGAACTTCCGAAAGCATTTGTTGTTCTCTCGAATAGACAAAGCCCTAAAGTTACGGAAGAAGAGATTCGTGCATATGCAGAAGATCGATTACCAGAATACCTGAGACTTAAAGGAGGCGTAGTCATTATCGATGCTCTTCCATTGACTTTTATGGGAAAGGTTGATCGTAGTATTCTTCGACAGCAGACTGGTAGTCTGGTACCACTTAAACACCAAAAGGTCAATTCTATTCTGAATCTCCCGTCTATTATATCTATCGAGTAATCACTTGCATCATGTAAAAATATAAATATAACGAACCTATTAAATAAACAAGTATATGTACGTATTGTGCCAACCTTTTGGATTTAAACCAGCATACGTATATATATATATATTTCTAAGTATATGAATTACAGAAAAAATCATTTAAACAAGATACAGTGTGTGTGTGTGTGTGTGTGTGTTGGTCCTCTCAAAAATGACATATTATAAAGGAGTATATCACTTTTTGTTAGATTTATATTATTGCTTTGTAAAGTAAGCCATCGTATATTCTATCATAACATTTCCCTCCTACCTTCTTGACTTCAACAAGCAAATGCTATTTAGTATAGAGACAATATGCAAGTCACTTAATAACTGCATCTCGAATCTTGGATCTAACATATTTTGATTCATAATTTTTTTTTGTAAAGTTGCACCCATAAAAAAAAAAGGCTCAAAACTTGTCAAATACAGCATACGCTTTCTTAGCTTTGGGGTCTGGTAAAAATTCATTTTATATAATTGGTACACAATACTTTTTGCACAGTTAGGTTCTGACTTTTCCTTCTTCCTTTGATATTAATTATGGCGCAGAAAAGACACATGTATACAATACAAGAATTCAACCATAAACATATACACTACTTTGGCCTTTTACTTATTGTAAGTTGACCAGTTCACCTTAAGCTGAGGAATATATTTTATCAAGGGATATAAGTGCTGGAGAAGTCTGTTTACTTAAAAAAAAAAAAAGGGGGGGGGGGGTTGATGAAGTAATATGGAACGCCCACCTTACTTCCATAATCGCTACTATAGTTATTAGATGCTCAAAAGACGGAATATCCCTTGTAGCTCTTTATTATTTCATTACATATACATATAAATATACATGTGTGCCTTTATGGTCCACTGATGAGTTTACTCTCCAATAAATAATACAAAAAAAACTAAATTATCAAGGAATACGTCTAAAGTATTTTACCCAAAGATATGCTCTTCTGAATCATTAAGCCCAAAGCACCAATATACTTGTAGTTGGCCTAAATAAAACCTCATATTTCTAGATATATCAATATATACTTTGTATATAAATAATATATTATTTTCGAATTTATAAGAGTAAAAATAAACCGGTTTACTGTTTGTTACCAATTAGCTTTTATTTGTTCTATTGAATGTAACATACATATTATATATATGACTTGCTAAGAAACGTTAGAATACTATGGGTATGCTTCATGATACTCTACATACTATTTTTTATTGTTCTATATATACAATTATAGGGATATTAGAAGAAATACAGCATATTCTGAATCAACAGATCAGGGACTATAGGGAATGGCTTCTCTTTTGATCAACCCAGGGTAATAAGCCGGATGAATGGAGTAGATTTATATGCCGTGGTAAATCAATTGAGCCTATTTTTTATAGGTGAAGCATAGTAGAAGTTAAATTCCTAGTAATTATGCTTTGGTTGGAATTAATATGGATAAACCTACCATATGCTACCCTAACCTCACTATTTCAGATGAACAGGTACAAGCTATCTAATAAGACACACTCACATAGTATCCTTTGGCTATTCTTCTTTAGACATCCAAGAAAGCCAATTCTTTGGTGTAGAGGGTTCTTAATATTAACTTTTATTCGATACCATCGGTCATACACCCACCCACAAATCAGGAAGCCAGGCAACCCAAAAAAGTATATTGCCTTACAGAACAAACGCAGAAAGCTTTCACCTTTTTTCTTTGGTTTTTGGCTTTAGTTGTATGCAGAGCAAATGCACTACCTTACAGCAAAAATAAACTATCCACCGTTTTGTTCTTGCCATATAGAACCAATGTGCATCCCAAAATGTATTTAAAGACAAAAAGACAAGGTAATAAGCTTTTTCTTTTACTCATCTCATCTTTTATTCATTTAATTCAAAGCATGTATTATTCAAGCCAACCTACAGTCGTGTCTCCTGAAATCACTCTTTTTGAGGCACTGTTTGAGCAGAATACAATAACACCAGAAGACAATAAATTGTTCATAGACTGTGATCAGCCAGAACACTACTTTACTCGAAAGTCTTTGAAGCAAGAAATTCTTATTTTTGCTCAAGGCCTCAAAGATGTGTATAACATTGGTTTTGGCGATGTCGTAGCAATCTGTGCTCCAAACCATGTAAGTTAATACAATATACAAGTACTTCTTTTAATAACAATAATATCTTTTTTTATAAAAAAAAATCCAACTCTTACTCTCTAGTTGGACTGGCCAGTTGCTCTTCATGCTCCACATGTCATTGGTTAGTTAAGAAAAACAGCGCTTTAGAATTTCTGTATGCTCACGCATAAATTTGATATTATTTTATAGGTGCAATTACTGCCAGTATACGCAATGGAGAAGGAGACGAGAATGTTGTAAAGGATTCGGCAACTGTCAACCCAAAGCTAATAATTGCTCACAAGGACACCCTTTGTGCCGTCAGAATGGCTGCCAAGCATGTCGGTCTTCAAGACACTCATATACTTGTTTTTGGTGACCAATCTATTGATGGAATCAGGCCATTCCGCAGTGTGCTTATGAACCACTCGACTCCGGCTGTTCCTGTAAAGCTGACACCTCAAGAGCTTCGTACAATGCCGATTTTTCTTTATTATACTTCAGGAACAACAGGCACAAAAAAGTCTGTAATACTCACGTAAGGTTTTATTTTTATTTTTACTTTATTCTATGCAGAATCATAACCCTAAAACCGTCTATTATTATTTTATCCCTAATACTCTAGAAATTTACTCATGGTATCCATGCTGAATAGCAAAGACCCATGTGCTTCTCCAACAACACGCTACTTGTCCTATGCCAAGAACGCACACGCAAGTTCACTTATGCTAACCATGACCCTGTTTGTCAAAGAGGGGCAAGAAATTTACCTCATGAAGGATTTTTCGTTCCAAGCCCTTTGCGAAGCCGTTCAAAAGCACAAGATACAGATCCTTGTGATCCAGCCGTGGGTTGCTGCTGCATTGGCGAGGGAGCCCTTGGTGGATAACTATGATATTTCTTCCTTGACTCTTGCCTACTGTGCAGGCTCTGCACTAGACCCAATGACTATGGCTCGCTTCAAAGAGCGCCACAAGATTGCCTTATATAATGTATATGGCATGACAGAAGTATTATCAGCTTTGAAAGCGACCCCAGAATCTATTGAAAGAAGTAATATAGATATATAATACTAAACAGCACGTACTAACATACTTTTTTTCTATTCATTTATTTTGTAGATGCTGTAGGTGTACTTTGTTATGGATATTCCGCCAAACTAGTAGACGAAAATGGAAATGGTACATTGGCGGCTGCTTTTTGAATAAATATAAAGCAAATGCAGCACATATATTATACATCATTATACTAATGCCAGAGTCTTTAATTAGAAGTCCAAGATGGAGAAGTAGGCGAAATTTGCCTCAAGGGTCATACTATTACGCCTGTAAGTAACAGTCAAATAGTGATACCAGAACCAATGCTAACAAAAGTCCATGATCTGTAGGGATATTACAATAATCCAGCGGCAACAGCAGCGGCATTTGATGAAGAAGGATTCTTCCATTGTGGCGACTTGTTTAAGGTCGACAAGGATGGTTACTTTTACTATATGTCTCGCATTAAAGATGTGATAAAGTATTACAGCTACCACGTGAGTTTCTTTCTAGAAAGAAAGAAGAAAAGAAAAATAGAACCTCTTTTTAACAGTACTTTTTGAATCATTTAGATTACTCCTCCTGAAATTGAGGACGTATTGGTAATGCATATACATATATAAGCATATATAAGCGTATATAAGCATATATAGTTTCTCTCTCTCGTGCGTGTGTGCTCAACCTAATTACAATTTATTATTATTTGTTGGCATTATAGATCACACACCCAGAAGTATCTGAATGCTGTGCAGTGGGACACTACGTGGAAGACATGGCTACCGAGGTCCCAAAGGCATTCGTTGTCCTTTCATATTCAGAGAAAAAGAGTGTGACTGAAGAAGAGCTTGTAGAATATGCAAACAGTCGACTCCCTGAACAGATGAGACTCCGAGGAGGTGTTGTAATTCTCAGTGAGCTTCCGAGATCTCCGCTGGGAAAGGTTCAGCGCAACGCTCTTCGGCATCAAATGGGACAGCCAATGAAAGTAGACCCTCTCCACAGTTCTCTTGGGCTTCTTACACCTTTACCTAGCCCTACACCCGTTATAAAATAACTATTATAGATTATTTTGCAGACAGAGAGAACAAATTAAAGGTGACTCTTACAAAGTGTCTACAAAATCAAACCAATATATATATACAAGCATGATTATTGTATAAATCAGAATTTATTATTAGTTAAAGAACTACGAAATATGTTGAATAAAGATGTTGCGTATGATGATTTTTTTAAAAAAAAGACAAAAAAAATAGAATCTAGAGAGAAAGGATTATTGTTATTTTAAGCAAGGAGACGGTAGACGGTATGGAAGGAAGCAGCCAAGTTGGCCAACAAGCTGAGCTGACCGGCGGCACCAGGAATACGCTTAGCAGGTTGACCGGTAGTGTAACCACTGACATAGATGAAACGGCCGATCAACCAGGCAGCACCGGAGGAGGTGGCAATGATAGGATGGCTGATACCACCCATCAACAAGAGAGTGATATAAATGGGGAAGAACTCAAGGGTGTTCTGATGGGCGCGTTGAGTGCAGTTGAAGATGTTCTTCTTGGGGTCCTTCTCTGCTTCAGCCTTCTCAGCATATGCTACATAATAGTAAAATCAACGGTTAATAAACAAATTTACATAATCAATAAATCAATCGGTACGATTCTTACCATAGGGATAGGGAACACCTGCGGCCTTACGAGCGCTACCAACCTTGATGGAGAGAGAGGCAAGGTAGATAACACTGGTGAGGGCAGTAGCAAGGACCTAGATTTTCAAATAATGTTAATAATGATGTATAGGTAAGCCTTTATTTTTCTGTCTGTTTATTTGGTTTAAACATACGTAGCCGTATTGGGAGGGAATGGTGATGCTAGACATGCTTTAGAAGTTGGGTAAAAGTGATTAAAATGATGATGATACTAATATTTTTTTTTCTTTGGAGGTTTTGAAGTCCCAATATTATATACCAGCATTAGCACGGTGTACAAATCCAGAACGGGATAAGAGGCTTACGCCGCCTTGCGTAATCCTTTGCGTGTCTTCAAATTAAAAGGGTTGCGGACCAAGCAAAGGTTACCAAGTCTCCAATAAAAATTATATTAATATTTAGCCAATAAAATCAACTAGCTTAAGCTCAGGTTTTTCTTTGTTCACACCTCAATCTTTAGACTGAGCCTAAAGAATAAAAACAGTAAGAATGAACTACTTTTATATTTAATATTATTATTTCGAGAATACACGTTTCATAACCCGTGTAGTAAAAGAGGCCTGTCAAGCTACAAATTGAAAATTCATTAAATATTAATAAACATCTGCTGTATTACAACTGTGTGTCAATTATCGATACTTGCAACAACAACAGTAACACCGAAACCCCTCTTTTTCTCTCCTCTGTCTCATCTTGGCGTTTACTTGCTCCAAAAGTATAAATCAGCCAAGCGAATTATTACTTATTTATGATGTTACAAAACAACTATACTTCTGTCAAAAAATGGAATATATCAGTGGGCTCGTTGAATCTTCTTCACAATTCTAAAAATTTCACTTCCCCCCTCTCTGAACCAGCAATTTGATTATCAATATTATTATTTTTACAAAATCAAGTCATGAAACAAGGCTTCTGGTGATGTAGTAACATGAAAGTTATGTATCAGTCGCTTTACTTCATTTGAATTTACTTATCTGGTTCGTCGAGTAATACAAAAAATTAAGAGCATATCTTCCCTCTGTCTCTATAATTAATCTTTAGTCTTTTATTTTTCTATCCATCATCAATCATTCGTCATTTATTTTGTTGTCCATTAAAGATCCCTATTATATCTTGCCTTCTCCCAGGGCAAGGTTGAACTATGATGATTCATAAATAGCAATGACAACATTTATTGTTGTTAATGCCCACATAAATGCATTTGCTTTGTTGTCATTGTTAATTTGCCTAGATTGTGCAGAATTGCTTACTTTTTAATATCATTTAAGCATCTGATAACATTATTCAATCTTGCAAACCACTCTTGTCTGTCGAAAAAGAAGATAAACGAAAGCCAACCAATTCATATAATTCAAACTTGACCCTTGAAGAAGAAGAAACAAGATACAATAGAATAGGATGCCGTTCATTTTGTCATTTCATCTTCCTCATTATAAAAAAAATTAATACCGAAAGATTTAAAGTCTTTTATATATATGTGCGTTTTATTATCAATTCTTAATGAAGAACATATAGACGGCGATATCGAACTATACTACAATACTTGTGCAAATGAGAATTATTGCTTTTGAACTCACGAATTTTGAACAGATTTTCTACCAACAATTGGTGTGGACAGACCGAGAAGTTTTTTTTAAAAAAAAGTTCAAAATGAACTTGGCAAATCAGATAAAATTTGACTTTGAACTTTTTTTTTGTTAAAAGAAAAGATACGAAAAATTAGTTCAAATGCATACTATATAAAATTTATTCATAAAACCATCTCTCCTACAAAAAACATGCACTTATTTTCAATCCAATCGATAATAGAAGACTAGTTAGTCAGATTTGCCTGAACTTTTTTTTTGTTGAACTTTTCAGTCTGTCCACCCCAAGTTACTTCAAAATAATTTATTCTTAACTGGGTTTTTAACATATTGGAAACTTTGACTAGATATACTTTATATAAAATAAATCATTCATGGTATTCTTTTTCTTCTTCTATTTATTTATTCTTACTGTCACCAACATTTGACTATAAATATATGTGCGTGTGTTTTGGATTCGCGTTATAAAAGACCAATTATAGAAACATAATAGAAAGAGCAAATGTTGATGAAATGAAACTCTAATTCATTTTTTAGCAAAACCATTTCTTTTTGGACGACATCAAGTTCTGAAATGACGATTCTGATTTTGATTTTGATTTTGATTTTTTACTTTTTTTTTTTTAAAAAAAAAAGACTGTAATTTAGCCTTGCTTTATTTGTTATATTATCTTCTTCTTCTTCTGTGAAATGGATAGATAATTATCATATTGTTTAATGTGAATATATATGGAAGAATGCAAATGAGAACTAGAATTACTCGGGTCTTTGTTGACCTCCCAGATTAGTTTCTTGACGGGTGAATTCAAGGTCCCTGTGAGGTACTTCTGTGATACTAATTGCGTGTGATCGGATGTTTTGCCAGATTATGGTAATACTTTGTCCTCTGGATTCCAAGAATCTACTGTGGTTTCGCAGTCTATCCAACAGCCCGTTTTGGCCTTCTTCTGTCTGACTATTTTTATATGTATATTTTATTTGTATATATTTAAAAGACAATTGATTGATTAAATATATATATAAATATATATAGCTATAAATGCAAAATTTATCATGGCTTACCGAATGATGTCCAAAGTATTTACCAATAGGATATTGATCATTTCTCTGATTTCTAATACAGTTATATCAGTCTCTAGAACTCTGTCTGTCTGTCTGTCTATATTTACCAGCTGCTTCCTCGCTCAGCACAGAGGGGATGGTAGAGTTTGGTAAATGCTGAGTAGAATACTCTGGTCTAATTTCATTTATTCATTCATTCATTGCTCTAAATTAGATTGAGATTGTCGATGTTTGTTGTACTTAAGATTGCCTGTTTTCTAAAGTCCCCATCTGGTCCTTGTAGACCAAGAAAGTTAATATCTGCTGGTGAAACGCTTTGATTTCTTTTTTATATAAAAAAAAAAAACAAAAACAATCTACCTTGGATTCATTTATGTGCTGAGGCTGAGATGGTTCCAAATGGTCTAGAGTGCTTGTCTCTGAGTGGGATCCATAGATTCCATTTTGATTAAAGATCGTTCTGTATTCTTGAGTGGCCTCTTGCTCAGTTTCACAAAGTGGATCAGGGGTCCAGCTGGGATCGTATGGATTGTCTTCCTGGGATGCTCTTTGCCATAGACCAGTATCATTGTATTGGTAATCTCTACTTAGATAGCCATCTCTTACAGTAGGCATCAGAAGAGGAGGAGTCTTTGGCATTCTTTACCCAATCCTTTATACAATTTAAGCTGTACTATATATGTATGTATATCTCCTAAAATAATAGAAAATATATATAAAAGCAAGATGCTCAGTATATACTTTAGAATAGGTACTTTGTACTATTTCTCTGGTTAATTAAAAAAAAAACGTTTTGCGTCACACCATGTTTTATAATCGTACTTCTTGTACGCTTATATTTATGACTTTTGAAATTATGAAATCGTGAATTTGTCTATTTGGGAATTTTATAAATTGATTTAAATTTCAGAGATAAGTGGCCTTGTCAAGTCCTGTCAAATATATATTTTATATATAAATATATATATAAATATATATATAAATATATATATAAATATATATATAAATATATATATATATATAGAGAGAGATAGTACTTTATGGTAAACTGCACAATACAAACAAAAAAATGTTACAAGGGCATGGTATAAAGAAAAGGAATATAGAGAGAAAATAGAGGAAAAAAAACAATAAAATAAAAGTAAAAATAAAAAATAAAATAAAATAAAATAAAATAAAATAAAATAAAATAAAATAAAATAAAATAAAATAAAACAAAAAACATACAGCTCAAGCCAATACATATGTCTTCCAACCCTCTTTTATAGCAGTTGCTTCTCCTTATTTCAAAGGGCAAGAAGACAAATGTAAGGCACAAATGAATTTTTGGGATGCAATATATAAAAAAATAAAAATAAAATAAAGAGAAAGATAAAGAGAGAGAGAGAAGAAGTATGCTATTTTGTTATTTTTGTTTCTTGTTCTTCTTGTATAGTTGATAGATTATACTACTCTTTCTTTTTCTTCTTCTTCTTAAAAGGTCTCCCTCTCATTGGGCCAAGCCAGAAGCATAGATTCTGAGCGAGAAATATTGTCAGAAGAAGAGTGTAAATGTCCATCAGAAATATTTGATGTAACACCAGTAACACCATTGGTGGCTGTGATAGCTGTGGTAGTAGAAGTAGTAGTAGTAGACGAATTGGTGGTTGTGTCCATTGCCTCTCCAAAGAGAGCTCTTGGTGGACTTGTCTCCAGACCAGACAATCCTCCTGCTCGATCGTCTGTTATGTCATGGCTGCGCTCGTGTTTGCGCAGGGATCTCATGTGGTAGTAAGCCTTGCCACATTCTTTGAATCCACACAAATAAGGCCGGATGTTGGAATGGATTTTGGCGTGAGTGGTGAGAGAATCAGGGCGAGAGAATCTTTTACCACAGTCTACAAAATCACATTTTTTTTTGAAGTTAATTTTTTTTCTGTTTTCTTTTTTTGACTGAAATATAATAATTAACAGAAAATCAATTAATACCTGGTTCAACGCATACAAAAGGTCTTTCGCCAGTGTGGGTACGAAGATGGTTGTGCATCTTGTGGCGCTTGGTGAATGCCTTTTGTCGACGAGAACAGTCTTTCCAGCCACAGAAATAAAGAGCCTTTAAAAAAAAATTGCAGGTCATTAATTATTATCCAATTGAAATCACATACATTAATATAAATTTATATTGTAATATATTGTACCTTGCCGCTGCGGATATGCTCTTCTTTTACATGGTTGATGAGCGCTTCGAGGTTATTGAGTTCAAGCGAACAATCAGCCCACAGACATTGTCGTTTCTCTTCTTCCTCTTCCTCCTCCTCCTCTTGATCTGCCTGGTCATCAGTATCAGCAGTGTGAATATCTGTCATCATGCGGCTAGCTAAATTATGTCAAGTATAAATTAGATATATAAAAAACAAAAGAGGACAATTGAAAATCATTGTACACAAAGACACAGATCTATAAATAATAATTGTTTCCTTCCCAAAAAAAATAATAATAATTCATGAAAGTTTACCTTCGTTGGAATCTTCAGCAGCAGATTTCATAGCATCAACTGCTCGTTTTTCTTGTTCAAGTTCCATCACACGTTCAAGTAATTGCTCATGCGACAACAATTCGAGTTCGGCCGAAAGCGGGCTATTGATTGATGGTGAAGAGCATTCGATGAGTCTCTTTTCAAATTCACTCAGGTTGGGCGAAGGCGGTAACTCAAGTCTACCCAGAGACCGGTGTCGCTTGGCCTTGAGCATCTTTCTGAACTTTGCCTGGGGTATCTCTAGATTGATATCCTTGATATCGTTGGGCATATCCTTTGACTTTGCATTATAAGGAGTGGAGACGGTGTGACGCCGAGGAAGGGGGCGACGACCGGCTGATTTACGAGACACATCCTGGGGTTCGGATTGATCGTTGTTATTGGGATTGGGATTGGGATTGTTGTTAGTAGAGTTGCCTGATGGAGTTTGGTGGGAGATTGATGGACAGAGGCTCAATTGACTGATTTCATGAGTAGGAACGGTAGGGATAGAGTTGTCCTATAAGAAATAACAACAATAGAAGAGATAGTTTAACACATACACGCACATACGAACACAACCAAAAAAAAATGAAATAGAAAAACGAAATTATACTATAAAAGAAGGCCATATTATTATCATTATTGTTATATACTTTGTGAATGAGATGGGCTTGAGTTGAGCCAAACAAGGCTTGGGTGTCAGGATAACCAAGTCCGTGTGGAGAAGGAGGCAGAGAGGTGTCGATGAGGTTGGGTACCATGGCAAAGGTAGAGGGATATATTGTCTGATTGCCTTGCATGTCCATCATCGGTTGGCCATCAAACGATTGAAAGTAGTCTAGATCCATAGGAAAATGAACTGTGGGAGTGGATCTGCCGAGGATCAGATCCTCGGATTGCATATAAGGGTACATTGGGTTTGTCTTGTCAAACATCTCGGATGAGCCGGTTGTCATGGGTGTGAGGTTTGGAAAGCTAGCCATGGGAGAATAGCCACCTCCACCAAGCTTAGGGTGCATTCCAGTTGCCCGATGATTATGATTAGGATTATGATGATGATCCATCGAGAGGTGGACGGGGTAGCCTTCATAGCCCGATGCCTGGCTTTTGACAATGGGTGCAGGCGTGATGTGCATAGCTGGCTCTTGTTGGAAGCCATGTTCAAGACCAAACATAGGCGTGTGTTGGGGAGCAGGTGGTTTGGGGTAATGACTAGTACTACTACTAGCAGTGCTACTAGTGCTACTATTGGCCTGGTCAATGGCCGTCTTTAGATAGGGCGAGGAATGGTCGATCGTCAGGGAGGGATTGTGTAGCGGAAGGACATAGTGATTGAACTGCTGCGACGGAACGGACGGGTGGCTCAGTGCCATGTGGGACTAGGAATTGAGTTTAGGTACTTTATACTTCTTTAACATAATATATATATATAATTGTGTTGGTTTGGTTATCGTTTTACCCCCTCAAATTCAGACCCAAAGATATCTTGTTGGCCGGGCATCATTTGGTTGCCGTAGGATGCCTTTGGGCTAGTGTTGTTAACTCTGCCGCCTCCAGACCCAGTCATTGGAGCAAAATCAGTTGTGTTCATTCGGACAAATATATTATATATGTATATAAGATATACGCACGCACGCAGGTACACACACAGAGAGAAGAAAGGTTCAAAGTAGATATGGTTTACTTTGCGGAGTTAAGGAAGCGGCTTTGAGGGTTTAAAAAAAACAAAACCTGAGGGAATAAACTACAAACTAAAGGAATCTACCATCAAGTCAATTGTTATTTATGATTGCAGTTGGTAATGACAAAGTCTTTGAGAATCTTGTCTAGCTTCTTGTACCTCAGAGCCTGGAAGAAAGAAAGCACAAACAGAAAAGAAAAGGGTTACAAATAGGCGTATTTCTTCTTCTTCTTCTTTTTTGTCTTTGATTATGGCTTGTGCATACAATATTAAATCAATAAAGAAAAAGAAAAAGATGTCAAACGACGCCGCTCTTCTAAAAAAATGAAAAGAATATAAAATATATATAAAAGAGAGAAAGAGAGAAAGAGAGAGAGTAGAAGAGAAAGAAAGAAGAAGAGAAAGAAGGAAGAGAAGAGAGACGAATAGGAAATGGCCGGGAGGTTAGAAAGGTAAAACACACACACACACAAAAAAACGGTCGAGTTGTGCCAAAATAGTCTCGGTTTGGAAGAGAACAAAAAAGTCTTCTCTTTTTCTATATGTTGCACATTTTACCGGTTGCTTACTTTATAGAACCTTCAACCCAAACCTGCCCTGGGTACTTCTTCAGATATTCTTTTGAAAGCTATGAATTCCAAAAGATTTGAAGAGGCTCAACAGGTGTTTGGTTCAAGACGAGTACCCAAAAACCACACCAAGCTTATGGTATTCCTGTTACACTAACGCAGTACAAAGGGGAACATGCAATTTATGTTATGCGATTGAGAAAGAGCCAATACTATTTTTCCTCTCCTGCTTCATCTATCACCCAAGCCCTTTTGTCATGTTTGGACTATGGTACTCCCCCAATTCGACTTCCGTGTATATATACTTATATTATATACATTATATATATACATATATTATTCATTCTTTTATTTTTAAGCCATCTTATTTTAGAGCAATTTAAGCTTACGGTACAAATGGTTTTTTGGTAAACCCACCTAAATAAAGAATAGCAACAATAGCAGCAGTAACAAAAATAAAATAAAGGAATCAATTTTCCAGAAGAATTTTGAAAAAAAAGTATTCTGATTAATTTTATTGGCTTACCACATTCCAGTAGTCTCCATTAATCGATTCCACAAACAGTGAAGCACTACCTTGGATACCATATCCACCAGCCTTATCAAATGGCTCACCCGATCTAACATCTAAATCATTCATCCATAAATAAATAAAATCTCAATCTTAATCTCAAATACACTCAGAAACCATTTCTTACACGCTTCCTGTACAACCTTATCGATGATCGAAAAGGTAACACTTGTATTTTCCACAAAACCACTTTGACTGTACCCCTCCTTCTCTTTCTTCAAAATCTGAACAGCTGTCAACACTGTGTGGGTTTGGCCGCTCAATTGGCCAATCATATCCAAAGCCTCCTGCTCTGACCGAGGTTTTTCCAGAATCTTGCCCTGGATTACCACCACAGTATCAGCACCGATCACAATATCAGCTTCCTCTAGGCTTGTTTCGGTCTGTTTTCTTGATCAAATCAGATTCTCGGTTCTTTCTTCTTGTCAACATGACATTTGCTATATATATATATATTTATTACCTTGCAACGACCAAACACTTCAATAGCCTTCATTAGAGCAGTATCTGCTACATACTCTTCAGATGTTTTATAGTTGGCTGGATTATTCTCATCTGGTGCCAAAGTAGTCACAACATCAAACGCCAGACCCTACACACACATATATATATATATTTTTGTAGACATATTCATATATTCACACATTCAAAAGAAACACACACACACACACCAACTTTGCACAATAAATGATAACCAGTTCTTTCTCTCTCCTTTGGCTCTTGTATTTTTACCCCAAGAATAACCAATGTAATTATTATGGATAGCATCTTACCATATCTTCCATTATTTCCTTTCTGCGAGGAGAGGCAGAAGCTAAGACGAGTCTCTTGCCTTTGATATTATCCCACAGCGGTAATTCCAGTCCCATGATATCTTTAATACACTATCTGGTGTACTTTTTATATTTATTTATTTATTTATATCGTTTTAAAATCAATAAGAAAATACAAGCGTGTCTATTAAACTGGCTTTATGTACATGTATATATGTATGCTAAAGAATGAGAAATAAAAGAAATAATTTTTTTTTATAAAATTAAATAAAATATAAAATAGGAATGGCGGTGGAGAAAAGAACCTTGACGTCATCAAACCCTCTGTTGGCCCTGCTGTGTTTTGGTGTAGGTTTCTTCAGCAGCTTTTTTTTTCCTGCTCGTCATTGATATAGATTTCAATCACCCCATCCACCCCCCCTTCTCTTTTTTTTTTCTCTTTAATTCAACTCCCCCTCTCTTATTCGACATGGTAAGAATGAGGAAGATTATACATTTCTCTCTCTTTGAAGACACGCGACAAATGAATGATAGGAGAAAAACAAAATAGAATATTGAAAATGTAAATTATATATCTTTTTTCCAAATGTAATTGTAGCCTGTCCCATTCGAGTCGTTCCTGCCATTTGTCATTATTGCCAGTTTCTACTGTGTAACTGCATCTGGTTTGTCTGTTGCTAGATATTACTCAAACGACAAGAAGGTATTATTATATTTTATTTTTATTTTATATATATATATATATATATATATATATATATATTTTAAGAAAAAGTTATAAAATCTATATATATTCGTGTGCCTGTGCATATGCCTGTATATAATAATAATAATAATAATAATAATAATAATAATAATAACAATTTTTTTTTGGATATTTCTTTACAGCCTACTAGATACGGTCTTGATACCTGGGAGAGACAAATGATGGAGCGTGATCGTCGCCTTACTGGATCTAAGCGTGGACAATCTGTAAGCAAAACGAAGAAGAAAAAGAAGAAGAAAAAGAAGAAGAAAAGAGAAACAAAATTGGATAAAGAAAGAGAAAAGAGAAAGCGAAAAAAAATATATATCACATCTGGATAAATGGGACTGTGTAGTATGTATGTGTGTACTGATGACATTTTATTTTTATTTTTATTTGTGATTTATAGTCAGAGGCTGTTGCTCCTGCTATTTTCTCCACCAACAGGTAAATTGAATTATAAGAAACGAATGAATATAGAGCATGCACGAGAGTTTATTAGGTGCGATTATATGATATTTACTAACTATTTTAATTTGCATTAGCGTTTGGTACTTGGAGAAGACCAGAACTCACTAAACAGAATATGCAAAAATGCTGGGTAGAGAAATAAAAAATACGAAAAAAAGAAAGTATCATGAATGAGAACTTACATTGAATCAATACCTGAGTGTTCTTGGATTTGTGTCGAATATTTGAATGGAGCAACATCAACAACATCATCATCACCAACAAAAACAGCAAAAAATTATATTTATGTGGTATTGTAGGGTAGCGAAGAGATACAGTGGATCAAATCAATTCATTGTAATGGATAATCTCGATACTCCACTGGCAGTCATTTTGAATTCGAGGATCTTGTGTTATATATATATGAATGTGTGAACGTGTGTGTAGGTATTATCTTACTATATACGTTGGAATAATGCACGTATAAAATGATTTGAATGCCTGGATCTTATAATATCTGTGTGTCTCAATTGTTTATCCAACAAGGATTTACCCATCGTGCTCAAAATGAAGACTGGATGTTACTTTTCTTGGCTAGTGCTTGTTGTTGGGGATGTCAACAGATGAGAGCGGTCACGGTATGACAGGCACACATTGCTCATGCGCACTTGAAATAGACATCTATTTTTGTCGTCATGGAAACAAATAAACCAAAAATAAAATACATAAAAGAAAGCCCAATGTTGATAAGCAACACTTACATCCACTGATATTTAAATAATTTATATTTTGATAAGAAACGCCGACCAAGATGTGCAGTCACGCTCCACAATGTTTCATACATTTGTAATTGTTAGTGTTTCAAGTTTTAATAATACAAAAAGGCAAATTTATAAATACATTATATAAACTTTAGATCTTATGAGAAGAAGGCTGTAGAGGTGTTTGATCTTTAAAAAAATAACCATAAAGAAAGTAATAGCACGACTAATATTTAATTGTGTAGACTTGGACAATAATTACAGCTTGTAGTAAACATTTTATGTTTCTTAACTAAAGTGGTCTGTAAACTTCATATCTAATATTACTAATAGCAATAATGCCAGTTTATATTGTGAAATTACCTTTGTATCATCTAAAGCTGTTCAAAGTTACTACGTATACATATATCTATTTCCAAGCTTCCCATAAGAATATCATGTGTGCTTAATGTGGTTTAAAGCAAACTTTTTTTAGCAGACCAGTACTAAAAATTTCTGATATGATAAGATTGCTTCCATTATGGATACCATACAGTTGTGCTGTGGTTTGCACTGTTTTTTTTTATTCTTTCTTTCTATTTTTTTTCAAAGACAACCCCCTTACCTTCCTTTAATCTTTAGTATTTTTCCTTTCTTTAACCAAGAATGAAATGAGATTGCCAGAATATTAATGTATTCTGTCCTGGCTAGCAGTATTGGTGCTTAACATCTTTAATATACCAAATCTCCGGCTTCAGGAACAGCCCTAAATATGAGGTGATCTCCATCATAACCACCACCACCACCACCCAGCCTTCTTATAGACACAGTATATGATTATTTGTAATCCTGCTCAAATTTCCATAACACACCCCCTTGACGCCACAATTACTCTCGAAACAAAATAAAATAAAGTGCTCATCTTATCAGGCCACATTCTCCACCTAAATTTGTTTGACCAATCTACTCGATTATTAGCCCAACAAAAATCTAAAAAAAATTGTAGGCGTACTTTATTTTTGGTCAAAAGAGACTTGCGTGAAGAAGCATAATCTATAAAGTCAAGTTGCTTGACATACTGATTTACATCCTAGCCAATTGAAATTTCAGTTTCTTACAAAAAAGAAGAAGAAGAAAAATCAAATGGGTCCTTTTGTATGATTATTTCAAAGCAGCTATCTGCCCTTTTAACTATACTTCTCAGTGCTTGAATTGTCTTTCTTGTAACAAAAGATTTACATTACTCTTAACTTTGGCTACTAATTATGCGCACGTTTGGTAGGTTCACTCCAAGATCCTCTCCAATATTTCTGAGGAAAATATTGGATTCCCTTCCCTCTTTTTTTTTGTTTTTTAAAAAAAAGGTGATAGACACCTTGGTATATCCTTTTTATACTTTGTACGGGCTTACAAGAGCTAAATGTGTATTATTTTCCAAATAACTTTATGTGTTTATTTGATAGATATATTAAAGAAAAAGAAGCCAAATACATATATTTAAGGTTGGTGGATTTTTTAGCTCTTTGTTTCGTTTTGTTTGTTATCGAGCGTGTACAACTTTTTGGGAGGTGTAACTATGTTTCCATGCGAGAATAACAAAAAAGGGAACTTGCCGTAACCATGAATAAGTGTCTATCCGTGCCGATAGTTCTTGAATAAACAGTCCAGCATTATTACATTGTGGTTATCGCAATTCATACTTACGTTCTACTAGATACCATGAGATCGCGCTATAATCAATATTTTTTATAAATATTTTTTACTGATATATATTTACCATATGTAGACTCTCTTATCCTTTTCATCAATGAATGGTGACTTTTTAACAAGCTCAAGTCTTTAGCAACAATTAAAAGACAGGTTACCTAAAGCGACCTTTGTATTCGAACTGTCGAGGCTGTCATTCCAATACTCCATCCAAGAACAGAAGAAGAAAATAGGTAGTGTTCTTGCCATGCAAAAATGTATTTGATTCTGTATGTTAACCATTTATGCTATCGCAGTATTAGATTTGCCACTATATATAGTTTTTGTATACATTTACAAAAAAAAAGACTGTCCGTAAATTGGGATTTCCATGGCAACTATTAGGTTATGCTGTATCTTGACAATAGACAAATACGAAAAATATATATAAAAACAAAAAGATCTACGCGAATAATACCATTTTCTATCAGTAACGATCTCATGAAATCTTACTTACCATCGTCGTATCAAATACACTAAATAAATAAATAAAAACACGAAATTATAATAAACTAACAATAGTTACATAAAATGACATAAGTTACTATAGTCACCAGAAAAGGGTATGGTCCCAGCAACTTTGATTGAGTGAAGTTATTGTCATTAAAGAGAATTTTTCTGAGCACTGCCCAAGTTACTGGAGAGATTATGCTCAGAAACCACAGTATACTGTACATTATAATTAACTGAGTAGAATAAAGACAATTTTTTTTGATTGATTCTTTAGCATGGACGGAATACAACCAGAATTCAGCAGACATTATGGGAGAAAGAATAGAACTGACAAAAGACAAACACGTGCGAAAGTTCATGACCAACCTTGTTTTTCTCCAGTTATTCCGAAAATAGTGAAGACTATATTGACGTCAGGAATATTTCCACAAGGTCAGATACAATAATTGATCTGCTAAATGAAGGCACATTAATTCGTACAGCACATGCTTATATAATACTAAATGAGAATAAAATAGAAGGAAAATAAATGGTAGTAAGAGTCTGACAGCTGAAGCTTGCTTTCCACTTCACAGTAGTATATAGGATAGTACTTTTTAAAGAGAGAGAGAGAGAGCGTGCGACCACGTGTCAATGGGGTACCTAAAGGCAAAAAGAGACTTTGATATGAACATTGTTACACCAAGAAACATAAGTTTACTTAAGTCAGCTCTACAAGTACTTACAGAAGCCACGAAAAGAAATTGTGCTTTTGAAGTCGAGTTTTTGGAATATAAAAGGCTGATTGTAACATGATGCACGTCATGTTTGTCGTCTGAATTTAGCCTATAGTTAAAGTTTAGGTAGCAAGGCAACCAAGACAATGTGCAAAACAAAATGATTTGATCGAATGAATTTTTGAATAAATTTAGATAGTACACATATACATGTATACGTTTATATATGTATTTAATATAGCTATAAGGAACTATGAGACCAAAATCTTATATAATTCTAGAAATATTTTCAAATCAAACAAATCCATTATGGCAATTTTTTACTCAAGTACCGTGATCGAGTCGATTTGTATAATTTGTAAAGCTGTAAAACTGTAAATATAGAAAATATGGTATCGGTTTTCAAGGCCTATTCGAAAGTTGTGCGTGGACTAAAGTTTAGTTAATAAGTTTATTATTTACTTACACAATGGAAAAAAAGGCCGATTTTGATAGCAATTTCAAGGGTAATTTTCAAAGGCGATTCTAAGGGTCAGTTTGGATAAAATTTACTTGTATTTATTATCATTATTAAAAGATACGGATTCCAGCAAAGAAAATATTATGATACAAGAACCTATTCTCATTATGATTTGAACTTTTTCAAATAACTCAACTCCCAGAACAATTTGAACACTGATTATTCAACTGCTTCCCTCTTTGTCGACCTTGGTCTCCGTGCTGCATAAAAACTGATATTAATATCCTGTACCAGAAAAGCTTGTGGAGATTGTGAATACCATCTATGAATAAACTATATCCAAGAGGAAATATATATATTTAAAGAAGAAGACTTCTCCAAGTCAATAGAACAATAGAATGAGGATCAGAGGGATAATTCAAACACTTGATGCTACCACCTTCATACTGAAACAAAACCATAAAGCTATTTTTAAAATGTCAAGTTAAATCAGTATCATTAATAACCTTTTTTTCCCCCATATTTTGGTCGAATTAGCAAGTTCTTCTACATTTAGTTCTCTTTACTCAAACATTGGCAGTCAAACTAGTTAGTATTTATATATTTTCTAATTTCCCAAAGTTCCCAAACTTTGCCACTCCTCGTACATCACCAAATTCCAAGCCAACAAAAACCTAACAGAGAACGTATGCATCAAATTTGGTCCTGTTCGTGCCTTGGTTAGGAGCATGGTAAGCTGGTCTGGACCTCACAGCCCATATAATGACCAAATCAAGGGTGTAATAATGAGAAGGCTACTTCGTAAATACAGATTTTATGTTTGTTTGATTGATATATTTAATACGTCCAAGTGTTGGCTTTCATGCTCCAAGATATCTCTTGAGAAGAATAAGCAAGTTAACGATATATACTTATGATAATCTTATTACAATCTTTGAATAATTCAATGAACCATGTTATTATACTTTGTACTTCTTGGTGAGTATAATAAAGCTCTTTACGTTGATCATAAAGACGTTTGGAAGGAGGGAAAAGGTAGGACATTGAAATAATGCCTTTACTTTTGAACTACAACAAAGAACATTCAATCCTCCATAGATGACAGGCCCAAGCAGCTTTAATCCTCCAAAAGTGTACTGAGGCAGTAAATTAGCGCCCATCGGTTAGCCTCATTAGGACTCCGTATATTATTCTCTCTCTCTTACATCTTGCGACATTTATTTCCCAAAACATAATCCATTTTGATGTCAAGTAATATGGCTTCTATTTTTGGTACAACGACTGCAGAAATAGCGGGGTGGGACTAATATTTTGAGAGTCCAAATGTTTAAAGGAATAGAGAGAGAAAAAGCAAAAGAAAGGAAAGTTAGATGTTAGTGCTTCAATTCACTGTCCGCCAATAGAATCTCGAGAGGTGTAGGACTATCTAAAGAGATATTTTATGAATGGTCTCGGCTCTCTTGTCGGCCATCTATGCCGCCTTAATCCGTCTAATGCACCAAGGAGCTTAATGATGAATAATGAAGAAAGAAGATATAACTATTTGTATTTGATGTCTTAAATGATCAAGAAATATGTATTGCCTCGTGGAGCCATGTCTCGTGTATCTTTTGTAGTCTCGATAAGTCAAGCCTGCTCTTTAATTTCTTTTTTACTAGGCTTCAGCTATGACTACTGCAAGATACCCAGAAATAATAAATTAATATAGTCTTATTCTGTGCACAGAAAAACCTTGATTTGTTCTCACGGTTCCTAATATGAATTTGTGTATTCTCCAAAAAACACATACACACACACAGCAACAACTGTGTACACCATGGGTAGTCAGTCACGAATACTCAAAAGAAGATAAAAACAATGCTATTGGATACAGAAAGGGTTGGATGAATTTTTCTTTTTCTCTTTTTCTGTCTCTCTGCATCTCTCTCTATCTTTTTCTTCAAAACCGAGTCATTACTTTGATGTCCCTGTTTTTCAAATTTCACAGTTAATTTTACTTATTTATTTATATTTTTGAGGTATTTTAACTGTGATGCAATACCATTGGCCAAAGCAGAATTTTTTACTTATTATGGTATATTCATAGCTGACCACCCCTAGTGCGTAATATATATATATATATGGGTATAAATATTTATATTCGATAGTTTGTTTCATTCCAACTGCTTTTCATACTCCAATACCCATTTATTTCTTCCCCCCTCCTTCCTCTTCAACCTCTAAGCCATGTCAACCCACCGTAGTTTACCGAAAAGCGGTAGTAAGCACATACACGCAATATCGCTTCAATTAAAGGTCCGGATCGATTAATATATATATACGCATATGCTTTAGGTGGTCATTTTCATAATGGCGACAGCGATGAAGAGATGATCCTTCCGCCAAATGCCAACGAAACAACGTCCCTCATGATACCAGACGACAGCATTCCTCGTTATATGACTGCCTCACCTAGTAAGCTACCAAGTGGTATAACCCAGTTATATATATTTGCTTTAATACTTATTCTTTACTGTAGTACCTTCAGCGCGTATTTACAACGATTCTATTCCCAAAGACAATTGGATCCTCTTCAAGGTCCGTTCAAAGTATTATCTTCCGATTCTCCAGTGGCTCCCACTCTATAATAGCAATCTTCTTTTGGGAGATCTTATCGCAGGCCTCACTTTATCCTGTCTCTTGATTCCACAAGGTCTATCTTATGCCACAGCTCTCTGTAAAATTGATGCAGTTCATGGCCTGTACGCCATCGCATTTCCTGCAATAACCTATGCTATATTTGGAATGTCACGGCAAGTGTTTCTTTAGCCTTTTATATTCCTATATTATCATTTCTCTAACTTGGATTTGTGTCTACAGTCAAATGTCTGTGGGTCCAGAAGCAACCCTGTCACTCCTAGTCGGATCCTCGATTGCCCAGCAACAAAACAGCAGCTTACCCGGAGACTATGCAATCGACCCCTTGGCCTGGGCATGTCTGATGACACTTTTTGTCGGCTTATTCACCTTTTTACTCGGCCTGTTCCGTCTTGGCTTCCTTGATAGTCTGATGAGCCGTGCTCTTTTGCGGGGTTTTATCACAGGTGTGGCACTGGTGGTCATGCTGCAACAAAGCATCACTTTACTAGGTCTAGTCAAGATCAGTGAGGAAGCCGGTATTTCCGAGGCATCTTCTAGCATCGATCGATTCTTTTTCTTGATCAGACATTGCAATGAAGCCCATGTACTTACCGCCAAAGTGTCTGCTGTCTCGGTTGCCTTTTTGCTGGGAATGAGAGTAGCAAAATCAAAGCTACCAAAATACAAGTGGATCCAGCTCTTCCCCGAAGTTCTGCTGACTGTAATCGTTTCAATTCTTCTGACAAACTATTATGATTGGGATCTTAAGGGTTTAGGAATCTTGGGTGATATCCAGAGTGACGGTATCCCATGGCCGTCTATTCCCCTGTTTCCTGCCAGAAAACACATGAAGGATCTGCTGGTAACATCAGCAATGATTGCTGTGATTGGATTTGTAGAGTCTGTTGTTATTGCAAAAACCTATTCTAGCCGACACAACTATTCCGTCAGTGCAAATAGAGAACTTGTAGCCCTGGGTGTGGCCAACATTGTGAGCGGTTTATTCCAGGGAATCCCTGCTTATGGATCCGTAAGTGTATCTCAATTTTTGATCATATGCACAGATAGGCATTTATGGAAGAAATACTGATAATCATACTAAATATATGCACACACATACATGTATATATATGTACAACAGGTCGCACGTAGTAAGATCAATGATAGAGCTGGTGCTCGTACACAGATGGCATGTATGATTGCAGGAATTTTTGCTCTCCTTGCCATCTTCTTCCTTTTGCCATGTTTCTATTATCTTCCAAAGTCTGTACTTTCTGCCATTATTTTTGTGGCCGTTTTGTCTCTCTTGGCGGAACTTCCCGAAGATTTGCATTTCATTTTCAAACTTGGTGCCTGGAGAGATCTAGCCCTGTTATCAATCACCTTTTTGGCAACCATTATTATTTCCCTTGAATTTGGAACAATGATCGCAGTCACACTTTCTCTTATCCTCACCATCAAGGAAACAAGTTATCCCCGTATATCAATTATGGTAAGTTGTATAAAAGAAGAAACGTTTACTACTTTTGAACAATATAATGGTTTCTATTAAAGAGAGTGATAGCAACAAAAAATAACAACAATGTTTTTTCTAGGGTCGTGTTAAAGGAACCAACAACAAATTTAGACCTATTAAAGATGACCCAGAAGAAGTTGAGCATCTGGAAGATGTTTTGATTATCAAGGTTGAAGAACCTCTTTATTTTGCCAACACAGGTGTGTGTCAGGACTGATTTTAACATTTAATATTTATTAATATCCACTTTGCTTTGGCTGAAAAGGCCAATTGAAGGATCGTCTTCGTCGTCTGGAACAATTTGGAGATATGTCTGTCCATCCTTCTGAAAGTCCACGTCTAGGTGAATCTTCATACGCCATCTTTGATGTAGACAATATGCCATACATTGATGCAAGGTAAGATGCACCAAAATTTCTGACCACAATCACCTTTGCTTCTTAATTCTGGAAGAATATATGATATTGACTGCTGTGATTTACTTTTGCTTGTAGTGCTGTTCAAATTCTTTATGAAATTGTAGAAGCTTACCATGCCAGAAATGTCGAGGTTTATTTTGTCCGCTTACGTGAAAAACCCATGGAGCTCTTTGAGCGTTCTGGTTTACTTGATCTTGTTGGTAAAGATCACCTGTTTAGAAGAGTTCCGGATGCTATTGAAGAAATAGAGAAGGATATGTTGAATAGGGGTGTTGTTGTACAGTAGAAACAAAGCAAACCCACTTCTATAATCGTCTTTACCCAAGACCAGGCTTTATTGTCAAGGGTAACTATACATAAGTAATCATATATGTCTAAGGACATAAAATAAACATATTCATACTGTACCCACAATATAAAGCATGCGTTTTCAGAATGAAGATACTTTCTTAAAGAGTCTACAAGTCTAGTACTAAAACTAGTAATACTCTGCGTATTCCTATAACTTGTTTTAATCTTGTATTAAATATTTATTTAAAATTTATACTTAAAAGTACTTATTAAATAATAAGCATTTTACCACCTTACACATTTTTGAGACTTGGAAGCTTTGATACTTTTATAGCCACTCCGTAAATTACAAAAAGTCTATAAAGGCTTAAGATCTCACATAGAGAGTTTTCCGTATATCTACAATATCATGAATAAAGATAATTGGATGGAATTGGTATCTAAATACTGTGCTTTTTTCAATTTATTGATATATAATAATGATAATTCAGAAAATTTTAGAGCCATTAAAAACCATTAAAGCTTCTTCCCCTCCCCTGTTTAAGCATAAGACAGACTCAACATAAAACTGATATACCTACACTAAGGAAAGGGCGATTCAAAGGGCGATTTTTAAAAGACATAATATTTTCTAAAACACGCTCTGAAACGCCCCTTTTTCATCGTGCTACTGCTTTAAGAAAATACAGAAATGTTGATATATATCAAAAATAACATCACACACGCACAGTCGATTATTTGATTCATTTGCGAGTTGAATGAATTGAAAAATAATAATATAGATTAAAAACGATCTTCGCCTATCAATTATTTACACCATTGTTGTTAAAGTACTTGCTAAATCGAAAATTATATTGATTATTTCTCATATATATATATATATATAATTTTTAGCTGTAAATCTGGAAATTAAATTCCTTTTATTCCACAGAGAGAAAAAAAGTACTTCTTTCGTACATATTCAAATTTCGGTGTAAACAGTATCCCGGTTTTATTATTACTATTATTTATCTTAATATCATTAAATATGTCTGTTAAGCAGGATAGAATGCGGTCAATCCACGATGATTTTAGCCTCTTGAGTTTTATCCAAGTTTTCCTAGACTCCAGGTTGACTAAATCTGTGTAAATGTTTATTTTCCAGCCTATGGCGTGCAAGTGTGTTACAATGATCTGTGAGCAGAACTAGTTTGATCAGTTACTCAAAAAGAAATACTCCCCTCCTCATCGAAATTTTAAAGGAGAGATCAATTAAGTTTTCTTTTTCTGGATCTTTATTTATTTCTACAGCTCTTTTTGTATAAGCATACTTACACACTTGACTAGCTTATGCGTACTAATCATTAAAGCTCTACTCGTATTTTACTCCTTCTCCTCTTGCTGTACTGTAGCTTGGTATCCGAAAGTCGGGTGTTCTAAAACAATTATACACCAAACATCAATAAGAATGACTTGCAAGAACGATAAAAAAAGACACTTTTGTGCACATGTATTTTTCTGTACAACTTATTGGCGTCATAGGCTTCTCAATCACATTTAAAGAACTGTAGGACGGAAATTACAAGAAGTCTCGTATTCAAACATATGAAATATCACACCATTTTTAAGACGCACAGACTAATAAATACATGAGGCTTTATTCTGATCTCTTGGGGATAATAAATCCTGATCAAGTATAAAAGCTTCTACTAGCGCAAACGAAACTAAGGCTAGACTTGTAAGCCACCAAGATATGCTTTATCTGTATGTTATATAGTTGATTAAATTATCTACAAATACCTCTTTTATAGACGTGTATTGTACCACTGTGTCTTAGGAGCATTTTTGAATGTGGCATAAAGTCTATATTTCACTATTCAGACTTTAAACTGTATTCAAGGGGCAATCTATTGTTTGTTTTTCTAACATAGTGTGTATCCTTTATAGATGACTATGAAACAAAAAACTCTCTTTGAATTTATATAAATTGGAAAGACAAGAAAGAGCAGGCAGCTGCCCAGTAATAAAGTATTTGATATATCAATAGACAGCACCGATTTGGTGGAACTTGCGTTTCTATTAAAAGATTTTTTTTAGATTGACTCTGTTTTCTCGATAAAGAAGTATTCAGTGCTCATACTTTTGGTATATAGCTGAACTTAATTCAAGGTAAGATACTATTGCGGAAAAATATAGCACCGAAGTATCCCTTTTCATGAATATTCTCCTATATATATATTCTAAGCCATAGACTCTCACACACCATGCTGTAAACAAAACAAATAAAAAACAAGAGTTATTGCTTCAAGTCTCCTTATTCTTTTTTTTCTTATAAAGAGTTTAGTCGAGGAGGTATCGTAAACCATGCTTTGAACTACACTGTGCCTATTAAGAATAACGGGATATAATTCCGGAGGCTCTCGGACAATGGAAAAAATTGTTATCTACAGCTTTCAATTGATATTAAAACCAATAAATGCCTGCCCTAGAGCCCTGAGTAGGTATATATACAAGGGATCTTTGTCGTATTATCGAGAATTTCAATTATGTGCTCTATTTGTCGCTTCAAAGAAAATGATAAAAAATAAAAGCAAACAAAGGTCGTTTCTTCTTTAAGCCAAAGAGATTGTATTAACTGACTTTTTTTGGGTATATTCTTTATTTACACACATATGAATCCCTTAAGATATCCTACTAACTTTATTTATTTTTGCGCGACAATACAGAATATCAACTTCTCTTTTACTACCATTACTACTATATTTATTTTGACTAGCACGTATATATATAAGCTCACAAAGTATAACTACCAAAGAGAATGGAAGAAAAAGAGGGATGGGAGAAGTAAAGAAGGAGGGATATATACAGCATATATTTGACAGCATTGCCGATTACCATCATTGGATACCTGTTTAAAAACAGACTCTATCAAACAATTAACAAATATAGGCTTCAAGGGTCTGTGGTATTCAGAATGTGAATGATAGATATAAAGAAGATGAGGGCAACGTGGATATTCGAGAAGTCTTCTGTTTTAATTGAATCTTGACAAAGCAATAAATCTATATCAAACGTGCGGTGTGCCAAGAACGCCAGTTAGAGTAAGGCCAACAATATTTACTAAATATATAGTAGCAATTCGTTTCTCCTCAATATTAATACATATCGAGTATTTATTTTTGTACCTGTTATCCGTTTTTATATGTACGAGAATTATGATCGATTCTTGTGTCTTCATCTGCATTTTTTCGATTCAGCATCTAAATAAACACGATTGATCGAATAGCCAGAACAATTTATTTTAATTTTAAATAAAATTTAAGTAGGAGAAAAGGAACGAAGAAGAGATACTTCTCCTCATAATCTATAAACACACACACACACACACGATTTACTTTGTTAATAGAAGCTGTTCAAGATGTAAAGCCTTTTAAAGATACACTATCAGGAATGTATTTATCACACAAGGATAATAAGCACATTATATCTTTTAAAGAATATATACATACATACACAAGAGGTAGAAAAAAAAAGAGGGGGGAGTGAAGTGGCATCGAACAGACATACATATATTGCCACTAGATCTCGCCTTTCTGTTTTCATTCACTGTTTTACTCGACCCGCCTTGTTACCACATGGTTCAAAAACCAGACCAAATAGAAGAAACAAACATGCAAACAGAATGTCTCCCCTTTTCTATCTATCTATCTAGCTAGCTAGCTTTTATTTCTTTATTTGTTTTTTGGGTCTAACGGACAATTTTTCTCTTATTATGTATGTTCTTCTCAAGCCACAAGCAAAGCGTGCATATACTGCACATAAACATGCACATAAAATATATTTATGTATATATAGACTAAAGACATACTGTCACTCGATGCTCAAATGTAAAAATAAATAAATAAAACATATTCTCAATAAAATCGTCAATTTACATACGCTTTTAGAAGAATATAATGGCACAAGGGGTGTGATATATCAGTATCGCCTTTTTTTGGCGTTACCAACCTAAATCCCATTGCATTCCATTCGAACGAACAATTTTCTCAATGTTAAAAAAATGGAAATCTAAAATAAATCGGATATTTGTAGCCATACTCAATATCTTAATACTTAAAGCATAACATATAGCTTTATATCCCCTCGGATTTATTCAGTTAAACTATTCAGGCATTACTAAAGAGTATCCATTATCACCGCCATTACATATTAATAATATTAGCATCGTTGCTCTGAATGATTATTAGGTACTCGTATAGATTCATTCAAAGCAAAGCTCATTGCTATAATACAAAAAAAACGTTGTGATTGTTTTGAGGTTATAACACACCACATAAACCAATAGTTTTTTTTTCCAAGAATATAATTGACAGAAAAAAAGTAGGAAATAGTTTCTAAAGGAAGATTGCTTATCCGTGTATATAGAAAATATATGGCTATAATTTATATACCAGCCACCATCTAGGCGCCATAAATTTAAGTATTGTTAAAAACACAATAAACTTCAAGAACAATCAGAGGACAATATTTATGTATAGAATTTTATCTCATTTGAGCTAACAATATAATAGTATCAACCACAACAAATCATGAGACAAAATATGATCGTGGGCTTGACAGAACGGTTTGGAATATGTTCCACGAGACCAAAGTCATCTCCAGGTACATATACTTATAAGAGCACCACACTTTGATACAGTGAATTGAGCTGCGCGGATATATAATTGTCTTCATTCTGGACCTATACCTCAGTGCTTAATAGTATCAAAATGTTATAAAATATAAAGTTTAATGGAGCTAAATGTTCGAGGAATTATTTAAACATTGCATTGAGAAATATTATAAGAATACCATGGACTATCAGTACTTTAGGTTAGATAGATTGAGGATGACTAATAAACATAAATACTTATGGTATAATAAATACTCTACAGAAGACTTGTGCTTCTAGGATTGTATTGTAATTAAGATGTGCGCAATTCATTTCCTATTATTGTGCCTATTAGAAAAAGTATATATAATACAAAGTAGTTTCCCTTATAGGCTTAGAAACATCTTAATTGAGAAGCTGGGGAAATAATATATATATAAAAGGACCTTTTAGAAAAAGACACATAAGCACTGTATTATTTCAAGGATAGTTCCGCACAAATCTGTTTATTAGAATACCTTCACGAATAGCTATCGTAAAATTCCAAAAATAAAACAGAAAAATAGTACATGGATTTGTGCTGAAAGCTAAAGAGAGAAACTCCGGGGATATGATATTCTGGATTGTTAATGCCATATCTGTAGTACATCGTACATAATACGATCGGATCTCCCCACGCATAAGGGTTCCAAAAAGAGATTGTGTAAAAGAGGCAAAAGTATGTAACAAAGTCCCGTAAATCATGCTAATCTGTACAATTTTAGAATTAAATAGTATTGGAGACACTGTTTTAAGAGATGTTTCTGACATGTATAAACCTATCATTCCTAGGTTGACATCTAGCAATTGTTTAATTGTAAAAATCTAACTACAGTAGTTTAGTAATCAGCAGTATTATACTGTGTAATTCACCATAAAAGGAGGGAACGAGAATATGCCGGGGATAGACTATATTAAGTAAGTAGGGGAAATATTGTAAGAGCTCATTGATAATATTGAGCAGGCATCTTTGGAAAGAATTGTTTGAGATTTGTTGCTGCTTTGAGAAAATTACAGCATGTGTCTTAGGAGCCTATGTGCGAGTAAGAGATTTTTTTTAAGTCGAACAAGGGGAAGAAGGGGGGAAAGAGGGGAAGAACAAGAGGCATATTTTTTTTTAATATTTCGTTGGGCTGGAGGCTGGAGTATCCCCAGTGCTTATCCTTGTGTACTTATGCTCGAAACTTTGAAGTACATAAATGTAAGTATATCAGCCAGGTCAGCTACAACTTGACAATGGAATTTAGAGTTTAAAACAATCACAACACCAACAAAATTAGTAGTAATGTCTCTTATACATTATTATTATTTTTCTTTACCAGTGATTGCTCAGTTGTGTGAAGCCTATGGTAGTAATATTGAAATTATGTAATATACTATTAGTATTTTAAGCACAGTACAACAAATTTAGGCATGAAATTATTTTGTCATTATAATCCCTTAAGAGAATACATCTAGAGCTAACTAGTAGTACAGATATATGGAACACCTCATATCTTATTCTAGTATAATACAAGCGCGTGGAGACGGCGAGCCCTGAATGGCCTGACATTGATTACTTTTCTTTGTTACGATTCATTCTCGGAATACTGGGCTCTAGATCTCCTTATATATATATATGGCATAACAAATAAAATCATGTACTCGATTGTCACTAACTTTTCGAGTCCGGGGAAGCGGATTGTATACAAAAAGAGATTTGGTAGCTATATACAACACTCACAAACCGAGTTGCGAAATTCTATATGTGAAAAAAAAAATTCTTGGCATATTAGATTAATCGTTTAACTTCGATTCTGTCAAGAACTTTATGCTTATAATAGAGCTAACCTAATCCCCTTAAATCATTACTAAAAATGAACGCTAACTATAATATATATATATTTATAATCTTTTTGCATATGCAATAAGGGTATGAGTACTTACTTATTGTACATGTTCAAGGCAAATCACACACACACACATATATATATATATATATATATGTATATAGTATATCTGCTTGCATATCTTGGATATAATTCAAACTTATTTTCTCATATATTTCCAGCCATAAGATATTTGTTTGCCCAAAATGAGCACCATGTATGTTACCAGAGCCCTGGATACGTCCCTTGTTATTGCCATCGACGCCTATATAAATCAGGCTATGCACCTCTATTTTTACTCTTGTCTATTCATAAAAAAAACCCCAGTCTTTATTATCAGCTTCATTTGTGTAAAACCGAAAGAATCGCGTTAGACAATACTGGCCACCGACGCGCCCGTTATTCTCATCTTATTATCTCATATTTATATATGTATATATTTGACTTTCTGTAACGTTTATAATTTAGACCCTATAATTCTTTTTATTTTTTATATATAATATTATAAAAGGATATATATTTATATTTATATACGTACATAGGCTTTTGTAAAGTGTATTACTGAATAAATACATATATAAACACACACACATATACACACATACACACACACGCATATATATATATGTGTGTGTGTACACATTTTTCCTATTCTACCTTATATACTGCGTATCACCAACTCTGTTCTTACAAAAATGCCTCAATCCTCAGATCACTTCTTCTTAGCAAAAGCTTATAAAGAATCTTCGACTATGCGTTCTAACAGACTGTTTGGTATCAACCTCAGAAAACCAAGACCTCAGAACCCACGCCCTAATCCTAATCCAGAACCTTCGCCTACTCCATCGCCTACTCCATCTCTTCCAGAAAGTACTTCAGACGAATGGACAATGCTGTTTAATCTGGAGTAATCCTCAGATATCAAGAATTTATTATCTTATATACACTTCAGCAAAATCTGACTATATGCTCAATAACCACCCGCTTTTGTCTGCTTTCCTATGAATGGCTTTTGTAAGTAAGAAATTTGATTTGTTAACTGTATACCAAGAGGATATTTAGAAGAAAATGAAATAGCGAATCTAATTATAGGGGTGATTTTCTTTCTTCCTACCTAATAAAAAGGTTTATCAAAGGCTAATTGTTTTTTTTTATTTGTTTCAAAGGCTTTCGACCTTTGATTTTACTTTACCCCTAAGCATAAGCCAAATCATGTTTGCCCGAAATTTAATACTATGCTCTTATATTCTTCAAGCTCAATTATTTTCTATATATGCCCCAGTATATCCTTTCAGCCCTTTATATTGCCACCATATTCTATTCTACTTGAAATATCTTATACTGTCATTATTACTACCACTATTACGCCGCTCAGATATACACACATATCACTTTACATTACTTTTTTTTGACACACTCGCATGCATGCATACATGTATTTGTGTGCACATCAGTCCTATGAATTACTCACTTTTTTATTTTCTTGTATCTCTTGTATCTCTTGTCAAACCTGTCATGCTTATAAATATAGTTTTATGCCCTTCTTGAGTATATATAAATATTAAAGAACAATAATACATATGCACAATATATTAATCTTCATTTATTCTGTCCAACCTAAATTACCACAACCATCAATAATATAATCAACACATATCACAATACATGAACTTTTCTTTTATGACATTTGCTGTTAGATTCTGTATACAGTCTATCCAATTACTCGGATATTTTGGGTCTTTTGATCTCTCCCTTTATCCTTAAATCAACAAAGCAAAGTAGGGGAAGAATTACCAGCGAGAATTCCTATTACATCAAGAGAAACTTCCAATTCTAAATTGAACAGCAAAGCTACAATAATAACTTAATATAAAATATGTATAGATACATTTATTAAAAGCAACAACTTGTAACGACAGAATCGTACCTTGAACAACTATAATTAGTGAGGGAAAAAATGAATATAGAAAACAATTCGAAAGTTGGCATATTAAAAGAAGAACTAAATTTGTGAAATTCTAAAGAGTATCCTTTATAGTAAAAGAAACATAGGTATATATAAATAAGATAGCCAATCGAAAACTAAAGAAATGACTATGGGGTTAGTTACAAATCGTAAATTCTGTAAATAATGATAGGAGATAATTCAACTATATGTATATTATATATTATGATTTAAGTGCCTATCTATAAGAAGAAATAATTAATATCTACAGGATGGAATAGCTTTTAGTAAAATCATGAGCACTATGATTCATAAAAGGTCTTCATCTTTCTTACAAATATAGTTCAGCATTGAGTAATTGCACCTGGGTTACAATATAGTCATGTAATTCTTGTCCGTCTTAATTGTTTGTGGTCAATCTGATACGGATAATCAGGCCATTAACACTGCCATTAATAAATAGAAAGATACCCAAAAATGCGAAAGTAATATTACTGGATTTTGCCAGATAGTAATAATAGCTATCAAATATTTTACTTTATATTACAACCTTAGGCTCTACTTTGTGAAATAAAGTATGAAATGGCGAGAACAAAAGAGTGCAGATCTATCGCTTATGGTGCATTAAATCAACTCTTTATTATTATTATTATTATTATTATTATTATTATTATATATACAAGTAACCATAACTACAAACCGATTACTGCTCAACTATTTTATGCTAGTTTAAAAGACCCAGTTTGTCCCTGACTAAACATATATGGAAAATTATTGGCCGACTTTGTACATTCATATCAAGATTGGTGTTTCAGAGGACTGCTTTTATAACAACAAAAACTCTACATTACTTGGACATTTGTTGCTATCCTAATCATCCAATTATTAATCATCACAATGGCAATTCCGGATCTCAAACAATCAACTTCTACTGGGAATCATTCAATCTCTAGCAACCATGAATTCGATAATCAATCAAATTGTAATCCATTTGAATCAACTCAAATGGATGCTCGCAAACCTGAAGTCGAAACTGGTGTCTCTGACATCTCATATGATAGTTTACTCAACCCTATCCACCTCCAACAAGACCTGAGCGGCGGCTGTGGTGGAAAAACCTGGGAGGCAGCTGACATTATGATCGAGTACTTACTCTGGAAGAAATCCCAATCAGATACATTCTTTGATGGGAAACGGATATTAGATTTAGGTAGTGGAACTGGTCTGGTCGGTCTTGCTGTGGCCTCTGCTTTTCCTGGGGTTCAACACATGACCTTAACCGACCAGATGTAGGCTATAAATAATAGGCTAAATATGCAGGAAAACTAACATTTATCTATTAAGCCCAATGATGGAATTGATGAAACAAAACATCTTATTAAACGGACTTGAAAGAAAAGTGGACGCTCAAATCCTAGATTGGTAGGATAAAACACAGTAACAAAACCGGTTTAAGAAACGGAATCGTATATACTGCATTTCGTAAAGTTCAGTGTCCATCACAGTCTACACGTCCTGTTTTCATTATATATCTATATGATTTCTTCTTTTTCTCGCATTTTGTGAATTCAACACTAATTTCCACCTACACGTTCAATAGGGGAACTCCTTTGCCAGAATCTATAATGCCTCTTTCAGATGTGATTCTAGCTTCAGACTGTGTCTATCTTGAGATTGCGTTTCAGCCACTTGTAGACACACTTGTACTTTTGTCAACAAAAGAGACAGTGATCTACTTGAGTTATATGAAAAGAAGAAATGCAGACAAACGGTTCTTCCAGATGTTACGCAAAAAGTTTATTTTGAAAGAGGTAATTTGGTTAAATATTATTTACCAGGTTACTAATACTTTGATATAGATTGAAGATGATCCAAAGCGGGAAGTTTATTCAAGAAAGGGACTCCACCTGTATTTGTTAACAAAAAAGTAAATGAGAATTGGATATGCATAGCTATAAACACATATACCATCCTGCATTATTATTATAATTTGAAAAGCTATTTGTTGTTGTATTGAACTCCAAGGTATGTATTCATTTCAATGAAACAACATAATACTTGTAAGTATAGCGAGATGTGATGGTATACAGATCAGGTGATAAAAACACCAGTTCTTTCTTCAGACATCAGTATGAAAGGCACTTCATCAAATACCAGACGAAAGTGTACTTCCCATATTTTGCTAATTATGCAACCAAGAACATGTAGCAGGCTGGTATCAGTGTTGCGGGTCCTGATTATTAGAGGGGTGGCAGGGCTGAGGAGGTGAGAGTATTGAAACTGGGTAGGACATATAAATAAGAATATTTTACCTTCGCTTTTCCCTTTTCTTTATTATTTTATAAATGGCAGCTTTTTTTTTAAATGAAATACACTCTGCGAAACACAGCTTAATTTAACGAATGTCTCCGTCAAATTTAGTGAACATTGTTTTAATAAAATATTATAACGAAAATGCACTTGACAGTTTGATGTGGATATAGTAGTACTGTTATTTCTTTTAATTGTACATATAGAAATATTTAACGGCATACTACACACAGTATTACAAAAAGTGCAGCAATAAAGCTGAATATATTATTGACTTTGGATCATTGTAAGGGTTTCCTGTCCTATCTGATGCCGAAGACTGTTACGTTGGACCTTTCCTAAAGATGACCTTGGGAGAGAATCAAGAAATACAAGTCCTCCTCTGATATGCATTTGGTTTGGGAGCTGATTATTTGTGTAGGAAATAAGCTCCTCCTCTGTTGGTTTGTTTGCTTGAGCTGATCTGAGGACGACAAAGGCCTTTGGAAGTTCTGTAAAGAGCTCTTCACTATAGTGACCTACTACACAGCATTCAGACACATCCGGATGTGTAATCTACACAATGTTTACAGAACAATTAGCTTACAGAATAATAACAAGTATTCTTTTCTTCCTACCAAAATATCTTCTATAATAGACGGACTGATCTAAAAGAGTCAACGAAAGCATGTAAGTCAAAGCGTATGATATTAATAATGATCTGTGATAGCATACCTGGTAACCATAGTACTTGATTATGTCTTTAATACGCGAAATGAAATAAAAGAATCCATCTTCATCAACTCTGAAAAAATCCCCACAATGGAAAAATCCATCCTTATCTATCGCAGCTTCAGTGGCTTTGGGGTTGTTGTAATAACCCTGTAGAATAATACAGCCAAAATTAATATATATATATATATATATATACTAGATTCGAGTGTAGCTACTCACAGGTGTAACCACTGGACCTCTTAGGCATAGCTCACCCATAGTTCCATTCATAATCTCTAGTTATATACAAAACATAAGCCCTAAGTAAAGTGTAGACTGAGTCATAAATTAGCATAGAATAATATTTACCTTCTCCATTTTCATTAATAATTTTTGCCGTAAAATTAGGACACAATCTACCGACAGAACCTACTCTCAAGCTGTAAGTATAAATATCTTCTTACTTTTATTAGAGTCAATCCATTACCTCTTTTTGCAGCCTCATTGCATAGTTTCAGACCCGAGATAATCTCTGTCATTCCAAACCCACTAAGTAATGGAAATTTGTGACGTTTCATAAACCGAGATATAGTAACAGTATCCAAAGGTGATCCTGCTGAAAAGGCGACGAGTATAGAAGAAAGATCATAATCTTCTACAAATGGTTCTCTTGCTAGAGCAGCAGCAACCCATGGTTGGATGATGGTAAATTGAATTTTGTACTTTTGAATAGCCACGCAGTATTCTTTAAGTGAAAAGTTTTTCATAAGGTATGTTTCAGTCCCTTCCTTGATACAGACATTCATGGCTATAACCATAGCAGTTGAGTGGGCGTTACTAGCATATGACAGATATCGTGCATCTGGCTTTAGCCAATAGTCTCTTGAGTACATTGCTGCTACTATATTAGTATGTCTAAGAAATGATAAAAGATGAGTTCAAAGTAAGGGGTCTGATGCAGTTAATATTTCTTACGTAATTGTCACCATTTTCTTTGTCCCTGAAGTTCCTGAAGTGTAATAGATATATGCTGGCTCTGTGGTGAGATATTCCAACGAAGGCTTAATTGGTATAGCTAAGCTTGAGTGGTTCATTAGAGTAGTACGGAATGGTTTGATCCCATCGATAGTCTTATTGCCAAATACAAGGATGTCTTCATCTTTCAAACCAAGTTTCTTTGCTGCCCGTTTTACTGCCTCAAGCGTTTCCTCGTGAGCTATTATAAGCTTTGGTTTGGCAAGTAGCATGTCTTCTACGACGTTGTGATTCCCTTCTCCAGCAACAACGCATGCAGAAACCGCGCCTATTAAAGTATATTACTTTGTCAGTTAAAAGTATTGTTAAATTTGGCACTTTGCTTTGATTACCTAAAATCGGCGGAGCTTGGAGAGCAACTGCCCAGTCAACCTGTTATACAAGGCATATTATATATATGTATGTGTATGTGCAATTACTCTTTATATTTCATACTTACATGATTAGGAGAACATATAGCCATAATATCGCCTTGCTTAAATGAGTATTCATCTTTTAGTCCTTGTGCGAAAAGAAGGATATCTCTTTTCAAAGTTTCGCGTGTCAGGTAGGTTTCTGGATGTTCATAATCAATGTATATCTTTCGATCGCCTGGTACACTTGTTTCGATCTCGAAAAGAGTATCAAAGATGGTTCCAATAGGGTATTCTCTGTCAGCTTCGTGTGAATGGTACATTGATAAAATGGCAAGAGAAAAAGGAAGTGCGTTGATCCAGAAGCTCCGTGAACATTATTTGGTTTAAATACCCTTTTTTGTTGTGTGTGTGTGTCTTACCTTTAATAAAAATCCTGAAAGATCATACTTTACGCAGGGGTTTGTTTATGATCTATCTAATCTGTAAGAGAACCCCGCTCTTGTACCTTCAATATAAAAAATATAAGCACCTGTTGTACAGCATAGTAGCTAATAGAATAGTTTTTAAAAGTACCCAACAAATCTTTGGTGAAAAAAGTGGCTTTAATCATAGATGTACAACATGGTACAGCGTCTCTATTTCCAAAAGCTATAGTAAATGAGTAGCACTGTAGTATATCTATTATATATCTATTATATATATACCATTATAAAAACATAATTGATTGCTTTAGATTCTATGCCGCCACTTCTTTGTAGATGATATTCACTGTTTATTTTATTAGACAGTTCATTCTCTCTTACTTTTTCTTTCAAGTATATACTTTTAAATTATAAGAGATCTTTTGGTAATCATAGCGTGTCTATGTTAGTTTGTCAGCTATGTCACGTAAAATTAATAGTATTCTTTTCGCATTGACCATGTTTTTTTTATTCAGTACCCATTAAAGGCGTATTTTCTTTTAAACCACGTAGAGAATTTAATAAACTAATTTTGATTGGTTGCGTATAGGCGTGTTTTTGGATAGATACAATTAAACAGTGATATTTAATTAATGATTGACTACAGCATAAATATTACTTGATCTTGTAAGCGTGCACAAGATCTGGAAAGTTTGTGGTGGTTAAAATAGAGCTCTATGTGTTACCGATGTAATTTTTCATAGCTGATAAAACCACGCAAGGTTTTTTTTAGCTTAATGAAGAAATAATTGTCACCTTGAAAGAAAAAGAGTATCATTTGTGATCAGAAGATGTTTGATCAATAGTTTAAGCTTTAAAAATACAACAAAGTATATGTTGTAATGATGGTATTTAAAGGATATTCAATCTATAGATCTCATCATTTCAAAGAGCAAATAATAAGGAGTAATAGCCATAGCTTATTGGCTATATATATTAGGTGAGCAAGTGTGGAGATAAAAGCTAAAAAGGAAAATTCATCTTTTAATACAAAGTTTCCAAGCCTCCTATGATATATATATATTCGCCACAAATATGCACAATTTCTGTATACTAAACGCACATCCCCACAAATAGAAAAGAACATTGTTTCTCAAAAAGGAAAGAAAGACTTGGTTGTGTAAGATATGAACAGAAATTTACAGGATTTGATTTATTGTTTAATATGGAAAGGATTAAGAGGATAATGAAGTATATTTTTTATATATAGAGTTATATATATATATGATAAATTGAAGGATTCTACCAATCCAACTTTTTAGCGGGCTGAGAAGCTGATCCAATAGCAGTGACCTTGGTAGCCTTTCCCTTGTATGCCTTGCCGTCCAACCAGGGCCAGGTAGAAGTACGCTTGGCTTCGAACTTCTCAATCGCGCTATCCTTCTGCATAGTAAGACCAATGTCATCCAAACCATTCACCAAACAATGCTTGCGGAATTCCTCGACATCAAAAGGAATCTCACCACCGGGGTATCTAATCTTCTGATGAACAAGATCAACTTCAATCTCAGCCTTCTGTGTGGCATACTTGGCGAGGGTATCGACCTGCTCCTGGGAAAGAATGATTGGCAACATGCCGTTCTTAAAGCAGTTGTTGAAGAAAATGTCGGCAAAACTTGTGGCAATAATACAGCGAATACCAAAATCGTTAAAAGCCCAAGGAGCATGCTCGCGGGAACTACCGCAGCCAAAGTTGGGACCAGTACAGACCAGGATCTTTGATGAGCGGTAGGCGGGTTGATTGAGAACAAAATCAGGCTTTTCAGCACCAGTGGCAGGATCATAACGAAGGCCATAGAACAAAGCGCTGCCGAGACCAGTGCGCTTGATGGTCTTGAGGAACTGCTTGGGAATAATCATGTCAGTGTCGACGTTGGAGATGGCCAGAGGAGCAGCAACACCCTTAAGTGTGGTAAACGCAGGCATGGCGCTTGCGACAGGAGCACCCTTGTTGACGGGACTACCAGCAGGAGGACAGTCAGTGACAGGATCGGCCTGGTCGGCAGCTTGCTTGTGGGCAGCTTCATCCTCGACCTTTGGCTGGATGGTCTGGAACTTTGGAGGAGGACTGCGGGGAACCATGGGAGTGGAAGAGAACTTGCGGACATCAGTAAGGTAGCCACGAATAGCGGCAGCGGCAGCCATGGCAGGGCTCATAAGATGAGTACGGCCACCGGCACCTTGTCTGCCCTCAAAGTTACGGTTGCTGGTACTGGCACATCTCTCTCCAGGGCTCAACTGATCAGGGTTCATACCGAGACACATCGAACAACCGGCCTCTCTCCAATCAAAACCAGCATCAGTGAACACCTTATCCAAACCCTCACGCTCTGCTTGACGCTTCACCAAGCCTGAACCGGGAACAACCATGGCGTAGACCCAGTCAGCAATATGTTTACCCTTGACAATGCTGGCTGCACTACGGAGATCCTCAATACGAGAGTTTGTGCAACTTCCGATGAATGCCTTGTCGATCTTAACCTCTTCCAAGGGAGTGTTGGGAACCAAGCCGATGTATTCCAGGGCACGTTCCATAGCAGCCTTGCGAGCGGGATCCGAGACACTGGAGGGATCAGGGACATTGGCAGTGATGGGAGCGACATCTTGAGGACTTGTTCCCCAAGTGATGGTGGGAGCAATATCTGAAGCTGCAATCTTAACATCAATATCATACTTGGCGTTGGGATCAGACTTGAGGGATTTCCAGTACTGAACGGCCTTGTCCCACTCGGCGCCTTCGGGAGCAAGAGGTCTTCCACGGAGGTACTCGAATGTAATCTCATCAGGTGCGATCATGCCTGCACGAGCGCCACCTTCAATAGACATGTTGCAGATCGACATACGGGCTTCCATAGACAACGAGGCAATGGCAGATCCACAAAACTCGATAACGCATCCAGTTCCACCTGCGGTACCAATAAGACCAATAACATGCAAAGCTACATCCTTGCTAGTGACACCAGGTGTCAATTCACCTTCAACGCAAACACGCATGTTCTTGGACTTCTTCTGCAAAAGGGTCTGGGTGGCCAGAACGTGCTCGACCTCAGAAGTACCGATACCAAAAGCAAGAGCACCGAAGGCTCCGTGAGTGGAAGTGTGGGAATCGCCACACACAACAGTGGTGCCGGGAAGTGTGAAACCCTGCTCGGGACCGATAACGTGGACAATACCCTGACGACTGTCTTCCATTCCAAAGTAGGTCAGCTCAAACTCCTTGACGTTTGTTTCGAGAGTCTCGCACTGGGTTCGCGAATCAGCCTCGTCAATAAAAGTAGTGATGCTCTTGAACTTCTTGCGTGTGGTGGTGGGAATGTTGTGGTCCACAGTTGCGAGAGTACAGTCAGGACGACGAACACGTCTGCTGGCATTACGAAGACCTTCAAAGGCTTGAGGGCTGGTGACTTCATGAACAAGATGTCTATCGATGTAGATCAGACAAGTGCCGTCTTCCTGGCTATCGATGACATGGTCATCCCAGACTTTGTCGTAGAGTGTACGGGACATTAGTAAGATAAAGAGAGAAAAAAAGTTATAAGAGAGCGAAAGAGAAGGGGGTGTTGGTGCTAAATAGTTGAAGGAGTCAATGGTTCATATAGTGGTTAAGTTTTAGCATGGTTGGGCATGTATCCCCCGTGAGTCAGTGAAATATGTACGGTGATTGGCTGATCAGCAAAAGATGGACTAATGTATTGTTTTACCGCTCAGCATATTCATGCTGTACTTTTTTTTATTCCGCCAGAATATCCTAGCCAACGAGCGTTCAGTGTCACTCTGACTGTGTTATCTGCCTAGTGAAGAGCCACTAGGATGATTAGACAAATAATTTTCGTGTTTGTGTGTGTGTGGTGTATATATATTTGTATTTTATTAATTTTTTTAGATATCTTGAGTGATTTCAGGAGATTCCTGCCTTGAACGGGCATGTGTGTTTGATTCCTTGAGTAGGAAAGAAATCCATGCATCTGTAAAAGACTGATCGAAAAAATACAAAATCAAAATAAGCATTGAAATGTTAAAAGATAAGCAGCAAGAAAACCAGAAAACAAATTCCATACTTCTTTAGGTTCATCCTCGTGGATTGAATGGCGGGGGTTCTGCCAGCTGGTAACTGAACTAGACGAAGATGAGCGCGGCAGGCCAGTGCTTCGTATCAATCCAATCTGTTCCTTTTGCTCGGTGCTCAATTGTAATACACTAGCAAGAATTGTCAAGATATCATATCGTTTACGGTCACCTCGAGGAGCTATCAAAAAGCCGACCAAAAGACTGGTCACAAGTTGCCTGCAAGTCATTAAAGAATGTTAATATTAAGCTTTTTTTTTTACACCACTATTTGTTCATGTTACTGCATACCTGTCTACATTGTTTTCACTTGACTCTTCTTTAAGTCTGCGCATGGCTTCCACAAGATGTTCATTAAGGATAATTGCTATGTATAGAGTTTGTTAATATTTATTTAAAATTATAATTATGACTCTTATAAGTTTCCTTGCTGTTTCATTTTCATCTTTTTCATTTTTATTAAAATTAATTACCTTCGTGTCTCAATTTTCCAATTAAGAGACCCTTCTCCTTAATTTCTTGCTCATAACGTTGAGCTTTAGCTACATCATGCTGGTACTGTTCTAAAGAAGCCTATGCACACAATAGTTTTACATCAAATTACATCAAAATATAACTTTAATCTTTAAAGAAATGGATCTGCACCAGTTTTCTTTCTTGGTTTGTTGATATGCTTCTTACCTCTGCAACCTGGGCCCTAGACTGATATTCTGCCAGTGAAATCTTGGCGCTTTCGAGTTGTCGTTCAATGTGTTCCACAGCAGCTCTGATCTCAGCATCTTTAGCTTTATAGATATAAGAAAGATGAATATAATGAGCCATTGCCACCTCCCATATACACCCACTCAAACACATAAAAAAAACGATAATAATAAAGTCAAACATACTAGCCTGGAATTCTTCAAGAACTGTCTGAAGATTTGCTAAGCTAGCACGCTCAGATTCGTTTTCTTCGTTTTCTTCCATCAACTGCTTTTTAAGTCTTGCCAGTTCAAGCTCTGTGTATTGAAGCCTATCTTCGAGCTGACTGCGCTCAGCATCAACCTGCATAGCCATAGCCTCGAATTCCTCTCGTTTGCTTTGAACTTCTTCTATCCAGATCTGAAGTTGGCCAATTTTGTGTTCTTTTTGAGCCATGCGTTCAGCCATCTCATTATCACGCATCACCATATCAGCTCTGGCTTTTTCAAGATCATGATGTGTTGCCTGGAGCTCCGCTGTGAGCTCTTCGACTTTGTATCTTAGCTGTTTATCGGCTTCCAAACGTGGCATCAGGTTTTCTTTGATATGAGACAATTTGGCCAGAAGAGATTGATGTTCTTGGCTCAAGGTTGCCAAACTCTCTTCCTTTTCTTTTCTTTTCTTCTCAGTTTCTTCTAGTTGTAATTCAAGTTCCTTTGCTTTCTCTTCGAACCCTGACTTTGACTCTAATGCATTTTCCAGGCGATCCTTTTCATTTGCGAGCGCATCCTTTTCTTCTGAGAGAGTGTTTATAGCCATTTGTAGCTGTGTCGTTTGACGTTTGAAATCTATGTACTCCCATTTTTTTCAGCCGGATTTTTTTTTCGTTTTGTTGTTGTTGTCGTTATTTCTTTGGTCGTCGCCTTTTTTCCGAGCATATTTATCAGCCCTTACCTCTCTGGTTTGTCTCAATTGCCTTTTGATTGTTTTCTTTTTCTTTGGTAATGGTGTCAGTCTGAGATAACAGGTGGCTTCTCAATTTTTCCAAGGTTTGTAATAGATCAGGTGGGATTGAGCTGTCCAGATTTGCTTGTTCTGCATCAGCCATTATTTCCTCCAGACCTGTATTCACAATGGTTGCATCGCATGCATTGGCTACCCCACTAGCATCATTGCTACGATTTGATTTGTTTTTCCGGACTATGTGGAAAGGCAAATCCCACATTTCAGTATTGGAATTCCCCCAATAATAATAATAACAGCAATAACAGTAGCAATATACATATATGTCTATAGCAACAACCCTTTCTTTTTTTGATATAAAACTTTACCCTTTTTCAATTCACCTTTAAGCTGTTCGACTCTTTCTTCCAGCTTTTTTACTATTTCCCAAAATTCCTCCATTCATCAGCATCGTTATTCATATTACACACACAGAAAACTGCCACATTTTTCGCTTTGTTTGCTTTGCTGCTTTTTTTGTTTTTTGTTTTTTAAAATAATAGCATGACAACATAATAGCAAAAGCAACAACAGCAATAGCCAAATATACTTCTCTTGGAGACCCGATCTGGTCCCTGGACTTTGATATATGTTTTTCTTCTTCTTCCTCTCACCTTTTTCAATGTTTGCAGCCTCTAACTTGCTATTCAATTGATTCTTTGCTGTTTCTACATAGGCTCCTAGAATGGCAGGTGATGGTATGTCAGGGATCTCAGATTCATGCCCAGTACTCATCGTTTGTATTGCTCGGGTTAAAACTATCGTTGACTTTTGGCTATTTTCAAGCTGTTCATCTTTTTCCTTCAATTTTTCTCCAAGTTTTTCCAGTTCCTTTGTTGCCTCATCGTGTTTCTTTCGCTCGGAATCCAAGGCAATCTGTGCCTTGGAATTGGTATCATCATATACTTGTTGCTGCTGTTGCTTTTGTTCCTGAAGCTCATTAAGCTGTTTGGATAAGGTGGAATTCTCTAAGGCGATCTTCTTGAGATGGTTACCAGCTAGAGCTAGTTTCTTTTGATATGAGAGTAATATGGTACGCTCTTCTTGCCATGCTTTTTCTTTTTGTCGGTAGATTTCTAATTGAGCTTGCAGTCCGCTGATCGAATCTAAGTGGATGGAGAGGGTCATCTTCCTTTGTCGTAGTCTGAGTTCGAGAAATCCTTGGCTGGTACCTTGGTCCTCTGACATTATAGACTTTCGCACAAAGAAATTGAGGACGAAATGGATACACTCTTATAAATGCACTGTCGTTTTAAGCTTCCTTTGAGATGAACATCTTTGGCATTTTTCAATCCAGCATGAGTTAGGCTCCGCCCAAGGGCGTGACTGTGTCACCAGGGCAAAGACAAAAAAAAAAAGAAAAGTAAAAAGTGTACACACACACACATATATATGACACTGGGGGTTTTTTCTATTCTTTTGTATTATGTAATTAAATGTGTAAATATTGTCAAGTACAAGCCAATAGATTCAATATATTTTGGAGGGGGTTTTTTTTAAAGAGGAAGAACTTGAAGTCGATTTATTTAAATAGTTAAAATTAGTATACGCTAAAAGCTTCGATTAAATCTGGTGATTCTTCAAATACAGCCATTTTGCCTTGCAGCATATGTGCAGTGATGTGACAATGAATGGCCCAGTAACCAGGGTTATCCTATGTACAGCAAAATGTGTAAGTAAGTAGGTAAGTAAGTAAGTATATATATTTTGCTTGAGAAAAACAAACTTACAGCTTTGATTCTGATTTTAGTCCAACCGCATCCACGTGTTACTGGATCGGGTTCGGAGGGGTAGACGACAGACACGTCTTTGTATAGAGGTGTAGCAAAGTTACGAATGTCCTTGTGTTCTTCATGGTTGTATTCTCCTACTCCAGAGGCAATCAAATGGTGGGAATGTCCATGGGTGTGCCATGGGTGAAGTAGGCAATCAATACCGCCCATCGCATTTTGAAGCACTACATCGATTGTTTCTTGGTAGAAAAGCGGATAGGTCTTGAGTTCTGCACTGTAGCCGTCTTCTTCTAGTTCTTCAAGTCTGGGCGTCTTACGGAGACCTCTTGTCAGAGAGTTGTAGAGTGGTAAGGCGTGTTCGATAGGAGGTCTTCCATTCATGTAATAGCGAGTTGTATTGTCACCATGTTTCATTATCGATGCTCTCAACTTAATGGTACGATCCGGCTGTTCATCCAGAATTTGATCCCGGCCTTGGAGTGGTTGCAGCTTATCCCAGATCCAGCCAACACCATCCTCTTCTGGAAAGACAGGGAAGTCCTTTGCGTATGTAAAGTCCCTTGGAGGCCTCTTTCCTCCCGGCCCTCCACCTCCGCCTCCGCCTTTACCTTTACCTCCTTTACTTCCTCCACCTTTTCCACTGCCTCCTCCTTCTCCTCCAGGCTCACCAGGTCCACCGTGTCCACCATGTCCTGATTTTCCGCCTGTCTCTTGTCGTTTTTTTAAAAACGTTGGATTGGAACATTTTCCACTGTGCTGCTTATTGCTTGTGGCTGCATAAAGCTATAGATTTGTTTTATGTGTTACTTTATAAATTGCTTGACAGGTTTGATTTGCTTTGATTTGAATTTCCCTTTTTAATAAAAAAAAATATGATAACCAAATAATACTAACCTTTCCACTAGAATGAGGATAAATTGAATCTGGCTTCATAATGTTTGAATAAGGCTCTGTTAGCCCACCGGGAGCAACGTAGCGCATGTATCCAAAGCCGTTCTCAGTATAACCTTTACCGCGATGGCGGTACCTGTAGTTTGTTGCGATTGCAAAGGCCGATCCTGGTTCTGCATTGGCAGTATGAACCAATACTGAGAACCTTTGGCCGGGAGTAATCTCGAGGAAAGATGTCTCGTAGGGAACGACCTTTTCGCCGTCGACCTCGATAATTGTCATCGGGTGGTCTTTAATGGCGAGTGCAAGGGTACGGAAGGAGTTTCCACCAATGATGCGGAAACGATAGGTCTTGTTGGGCTCTACGTTGAGGGCTGTGTAGCCTGGACAAGTTGCAGGGTTCATTATCTGGAGTGGATTGTTAATCGTCCTCCCGTTTATTAGAATACTCTCCGCGCTGTGATCAAATCGAAAGGTGGGACCAAGGTAATACGATTCACGCTGATGATGATGCTGGCGCCACCATTCACTCAGATGGATGATCCGCTCGTCGTCGTAGGTGAACGGGCCATCAGAAAGCTGTTTACCAAGCGAAGACGGCCAGGAATTTTCGTCATCGTAGACTATAAAGGGACCTTGGATTGTGTCGTCCTGCATACCAGCATGAGCATGGTAAAAGAATGTTCCTGACTGATTTTGTACACGGAACTTGTGAACATAGGAACCACCTGGTTGAATCAGTGGCTGGGTGACTCCAGGTACACCGTCAGATGCTACTGATCCGTATTGACGAATTCCGTGGTAGTGTATTGCCGAAGGACTGTTTGTTTCCATCCGATTGTGGACTGTGATAACTACATCGTCTCCTTTGGTTACGTATATTGGCGGTCCTGGGAACTGGCCGTTCACAAGCATAACTTTTGTGTGATTTGTGTGACAGTCCGGATTAAAGTCGCCGTTTGTGAGGTTCAGTTCAAATGTGCGCAAGGCAGCAAAGACTACATTGCTGAGTAACAGTAGACCAGTTATCCTACAAACTGCCTTGTGAATCATGTAAGATGTTAAAGAAGAAGAAAGGTGTAGAGGGTTTCGTGAAATCTGGTCTACCATTTCAATGCTTTATGAAGATGACTGAGAGCAAAATATTTTATATTTATCTACGAATGAAAAGGTGAAGTAAAATAAAATAAACAAAATAAGACTAATATTAATACTAATGTTAGTCCTTTTCTTCTTCTTGTTCTTCTTATTTTTCTTTTGACTTCTTCTTCTTCGTCGTCGTCATCATCATTACCCTCTCCTTTTAATGCTACTTCTTTTTATATCAGGTGATGTTTATTTAACACGTATTGTTCAGTCGTAGACTTTTAAAGAGTGGAAACATTATCCATAATAGTATTTATGATTTTATTTATTTTGAGGAATTGGACTTCAATTGAAATTTGTATTCATTAAAGCTAGTAATTATTATCATCATTATCATTATTACCCCAAGGTACTTGTCTTATTTGATGATCGCCGAGATTGATCCCCTTTGATACCATAATGATTCCTTGGTCGGTTTTGCATTCCTCAATCATTATTATGTTTTTTTTAAAGGTAATGATAAATAAGCCGATCTGATATAACAGTTGTAATCCAAATCGTGTTAAAGATACTGTATCGAGAGTTTTCTGTTTACTAAACAAAATAAAGACGTGGATTTTGACGTAGAAAATACAAATATTTTTCCGTTTTTTTTTCTTTAAGCGATGAAGAAATTAATCGTACATAAGCTTTATAATGGGTATCATTTCTTCTTTTAGGATATGTCATTACTGAATTGGTTTGTATAAGATATATAAAGTTGAATATAGAGTATATCGCAAACCTCAAATTGGCTTATCTGGTCTATAGCTGTACTTCACATATTATTATTATTATGAAAATTGTTTGAAAATAGGATCAAGTAAATTCAGTAAATTATTTTTTTTCTATTACCTTGAAACGAAGAACTATATACAGATAGACATATAGAAGAGCAAGAAAAGGAAGTGTTATGCTCAAAATAAGAATGATAATGAAATTACTCTAGACTTCTTTAGTTTTATTCTTCGTTGTACTTAATTATAAGGAGCTCATTTTGAATTGCTTCAAAAAAAAATTGTTCTCAGATTCATGCAGTTCATCTCTTTGCTTATTAAAAAGTTTGTCTAACATTGGTCTGTTACACTGTAATCCAAAAGAAAATAACAACCAGTCAAAATAACCTAGAGTCTTGTCCAAAATACTCTACAGTGTGAATTTATTAAATATATATTTTTATTATTTTATTTTATTTTATTTTTTTACTCACGCATCCTTCTCCATTTTCTATACAATTTATTTTTTTAACAAAAAAGCTCTCATATCCCATTTTTGTTTCTTCTTTTGGAATCTAATGTCTATCGAGATGGAAACACCTGAACCAATTGAAAACACAATTCCTAATCCTCATGCCGAGATTGTCGGTCTCCATTATCGAGTTGGACACAAAATAGGCGAAGGCAGCTTTGGTGTGATACATCAAGGTGAATTTCTTTCTTTTTTTCAAAAAAGGATAACAAAGATATCTATAGAGAAAGAGAAAGTATTTAATTATTTCTCTTTCAAAATAAATAAGGCATAGACTTGAATACAAACGAACCAGTGGCAATAAAATTCGAGTTACGAGACACAGAAACACCACAGTTGAGAAGCGAGTACTGCGCCTACCGAACACTCATTGGTCTAAGTAGCTCGAATATATTTCATTTTATTGATTTAATGTGATTTGTTCTATAAAATAAGATGAAGAAAAGTCTTGCGAATACTAATCTCATTAAGAGTAAGTAGCTGGTATTCCAATGACACGTTATTTTGGAATCGAGGGCCCTCACAATGTAATGGTTATGGACCTACTGGGACCAAGTCTAGAGGATCTATTTGGAATGTGTGGTCGAAAGTTCACAGTAGAAACTGTATTGCTTTTGGCAAAACAAATGGTATACATACATATACATAAAAAAAAAGGTTAATTGTTTTTTATTGGTAAACACGAATTGTATAAATGTACCTGTATGTAGCTTGAGCGTATTCAAAGTGTACATGAGCGCAATATGCTGTACCGAGACGTGAAACCAGATAACTTCTTGATCGGTCTACCGGACAGTAGTGAGCCAAATAGTATTAACCTGGTGGATTTTGGGATGGCCAAGGAGTACCGTAACCCAAAAACCCAAAACCATATTCCTTATTGTGAGCGCAAAAGTTTGTCAGGAACAGCACGATACATGAGTATCAATACTCACCTAGGAAGAGGTAAATGTCAAATACAAATACAAATTTTTTGGTGGAAGGCAGTGGTTGAGGTATAAACTAATTAGTATTGTAGAACAATCACGGAGGGACGATCTCGAGGCACTTGGGCATGTATTGCTGTATTTCTTGCATGGTTCTTTACCTTGGCAAGGGCTGCATGCTTCGACAAACAAGAAGAAATATGAGATGATTGGTGAATTAAAGCAAAATACACGTATTACTGATCTGTGCGAAGGTCATCCAGGTGAGAACTTATATTTGTATACTTTTTTAAAAAAAAGTGGGGGAGAATACTTTATTTACTCGATAAAAGAATTTGCACTATATCTCAATTATGCTCGAAGCTTGAGTTTTGATGGGACACCAGACTATAGCTACATGCAGCAATTGTTTGATCTAGGTCTTGCCAGAGTTAATAAAATTGACCGAGACGTGTATGATTGGAATCTACTTAATGATGGCAAAGGATGGCAGGTAAATTCGCCCACTCAATTGAATAACATAATAATCTACACAGTTCTTGTTTACTACACTATTCCCCTTCTTCTCTTTTTACTTATTACATCTAACCACTACCACTACTACTACTACTACTACTACTACTACTACTACTACTACTACTACTACTACTACTACTACCACCATCAACCACCAGACCTTGGAGCGTAAACCGGTACGAAAACCGCTGTTATTGATGAATTGATCCAAAATTAAAAAAAAAAGCCGACAATACTCTATAAGCCAAAAATCCCCCAGTCACATATCGAATGGTAGCAAGTACTAAGGAAAAGAAGATAGGGAAAAAGATGCACATATTTGTCTATTATCTAATTATGTCCAGTATATATATATATATATATATATATTATATACAAATACTGACTCTTATTAATATGAGTCTTTCAAAATATCAGTAGTTTTTTTTTTCTTTTAAAAAAAATTAATAATGAGAAATACTTTACAATTTCGAATCTATTCATATACAATTATTCTTCACAGAGTAACTTCCATTACAACCAGCTCACAATATGTATATATATATATATATATATTTCGGTTGGATGGTCTGAGGTCTTGTTGGCTGTCATTTTTTGGTTTGGTTTGGTTTTATCGTTTATAAGGAAAGAAGAAGAATCCGTTACATAAACTTGTCAAAGAATCGTTCCAGAGGACTCTGCTGTGCCTGAGTCCACCTAATTAATTACACACAGGAACAAAACAATAGTATGTTAGCAACAAACACGGTTTTATCTATATCTCTTTTGTCTATATATATATATATTTGAAATAAAAAATAAACTAAAAAAAATCCCCCCATCAGAAACTCTCTTTCTCTCTCGCCTTCCAACTCGATTGTTCTTACATAGCAAAACCTCTACGCTGAACCCATCTGCCGTTCATCTTCTTGGCATTCTTGGCATTGTTACGAGTACGCTGACCGCGAACAGGTAAACTCATTGCGTGACGTTTTCCAACGTAGTTGTTGATGTTACGATGGTGCATAACTTGGTCACGGACCTGTCGCTTGAGGTCACTTTCGATTGTCATGGCCGCAAGGGTGTTTGTGAGCTCGTTGACCTGAACTTCGCTCAGCTCAGCGACCTTTGTGGCCTTGGGAATTGCCATTTTGTCGCACAGCTTGATAGCAGTTGGTTCACCAATGCCATAGAAATATTGTAATGCCGTGCTATATATATGTGTGTGTGTGTATGTATATATATATATACATATATTTAATACGCTTTGTTTTTTTTTGTTTTGCTTTTTTTTGTGCGTGTGTGCCAAGCTAATCAGTGGAACATCGTACCTCACCAACTTGCGGTCTGGCAGATTGACACCGAGCAAATGCAACATCTTCTTGTTTCTATAAAACTCAAGGTGTTGTGTAGTGTGGAAGGCCCTGGGGCGGAGTTTTCATGCCTGTTATTTATCTGAACCAGCCACCTGAATTTTCTAAAGCGCAGGATAAAAGTCACACACAACTGGAATGTTAACTAAAAAAAAAAGACTATCAGACTTTAAGTTTTATTTTTGAAGAAGAAGAAAAAATAAATTATTTATATATAAATTTTTATTTTATTCTTTTTTTTTAAAATTCGTTTCATTTCATTTCAATTTTCTTTACCAAAACGTCATGTCCCGTCCCGAACACATTGCACCTCCTGAGATCGTATGTAACACGCATTGAAGACTACGAATGAACAGAAAGACCTGGAGACTCAATTTGTGTGTAGTTTTATGGCGAAGTAGAGGCCAGAAAGTATACTGACAAGTAAGCCGAGTTTTGTGTGTATAGTTAATGATTAAATTTATCTATCTACATATCTATTGTATGTATATGTACATTTATATACATATATGTGCTTCTTTTTTATTTGAATCAATTACTGTTTTATTTTTGTTTTATATTTTGGCTTACTGACTATGTATTATTCATATTTTTTGTGCATAAAATAGTTCTCGTATTGCTTCCATTCAAGCAGAGATGGCATACCGTGCTCTGGAGTTGCTGAACTTGTCAGAGGGACCCAAGTTCCTGTTGGATATTGGATGTGGATCTGGACTTAGTGGAGAGATTCTTGAAGAAGAGGGCCATGTGTGGGTTGGAATGGATATTTCACCACACATGATTGATGTAGCTAGAGAAAGAGAAGTAGAAGGTGACTTGTTTGTTCAGGATGCTGGACAGGGTGTCGGTTTCCGTCCTGGAACATTTGATGGTTGCATTAGGTAAGTTTTTCTTTTGTCTTTAAAGAATAATAGATATATATATGTGTGTGTGTGTGTGTGCATAATTATTATATGATTCTAACTGAATTGAATTGAATTGAATTGATGGTGATTTAGTGTTTCAGTATTGCAGTGGCTGTGTAATGCAGACAAGACTATCAATCGACCCAAGGCACGTCTGCAGAGATTTTTTTCTACTTTATATGCTTCGTTGAAGAAGAGCGCCAGAGCTGTGTTCCAGTTTTACCCGGAAAACGATGATCAGATCAAGTTGATTATTGACGTGGCAACAAGATGTGGTTTTGAGGGTGGTCTTTTGGTTGATTATCCCAACTCCAAGAAAGCCAAGAAATATTATCTCTGTCTGTTTGCTGGTACTCAAACAGGCCGCCGTAATGAACTTCCAAAGGCTCTTGGAGAAGACGGAGAAATGCACCCGGATGAGGTCAAGTCTATCTCGAACGAGAACCGAAGACTGGTAACCCGTAAGCGAAAGACAAACCGCACTTCGGTCAAGGACAAGAAGTGGGTTCAGCACAAAAAAGAGGTTGCTCGTGATCGGGGCGACAAGGTTGTTGCCAATGACTCCAAATACACGGCTCGTAAGCGAAAAGTCCGCTTCTAAACCTATTTTTACATAAAATGTGTGCATCAAACCCTCTTGTTCTTGTTCTTTTTTCAGCTTTCTTTATTAATATCATTTACTATTAATTTGATAATAAAATTTATTTTTATATATAATATTTTTTATTTTATTTTACAGTTGAAAGAATATCTGTCCTTTCCCCCCCTTAAATGATCATATAATAGAAATAAATGATTATAATACATATACATAACAAGAATGAAAGTCAATAAAGAAATTGAGTCTTTCAGACCGTTAAAACTACTATCAAAATGATAGCAAGAAGAAGTACGTTTTGCTTTATTTTGATTAGAAATCACCGAGACTTTTAATTAGGTATTTAGCTATTTTTATATTACAAAATAAAATCAAAGCCCTTTCTTGTATGTAAAAGAAGGTGATCCAGATGGCTTGTTCTTTTTGGGTTTTTTTCTTATTTAACTTTATTTAACTTAGTCTTCTCCGCTCGTCCTCCCATCGTGTTTTGACTACCCGCTCAATCAGTCTAATACTCACCTTAGTTGAGTAGCAAAAAATCCTATCAAACACTCTCTCCGCCCGCCACCTTTTTTTTTTTGTTTCCTCCCTCCCTCCCTCCCTTCAATCACAAACCAACCCCCCCCCCCTCCCTCTTTCTCTTCACCTTACACTTCCTCCTACCAAACCACATTAATCTCCCCCACTCCTCTCTCTCTCTTTCTCTTTCTCTTCCTTCTCTCCTCTTTACCTTTCTCTTAATTTACCTTCCTATTCTTCTTTATATTGATTGAATTCTCTAGCTAAAGATCAATACAAAAAAAGAAGGAACCTACAAAACACCAAAAAAAAAGAGCTTCTGTCTTCCCCCTCTTTTTCTTTTTTCTACCTCTCAATATTTCTGTATTTTAAATATATATATATAAAACCCCATCCTATATATATCTATACATATATATATTTGTTTTTGTACTTCTTTCTGTTCATCTCTCTTTCTATTCCCATCCTGTCATCATGGGCAAACAAAAGAATAAGCCCCATAACCTGGCTGATCTAGCCCAACTAGATCCTCCATCAGAGGAGTCAATCACCGGAACCCTTAAACTAAGGTTCAGAGGTGATATGGTCTACACGCGCATCAACGACTCTGTCCTTATTGCCCTGAATCCATACAAGGACCTTCAACTATCCCAAGACTCGCTTCAATACGTGGCCGAGTATAAGGACACGACCTCTGAACACCTCGAACCACTCCCACCACATGTATTCCAGCTAACAAACCAAGCCTATCTCCACATGAGACGCACAGGTATAGATCAATCAGTTATTATCAGGTATAGTATTCGATCATTATCACCAGGGAGCTGTATACATATATGTATATATGTATATATGGAAATAAATCAATAGAGATGAGAATGAGTCAGTTTATGTATATATATATATATATATACATACATACATAGAGTGTGTGCGTGTATGTGCGTGGGTGCGTGGTTGCGTGGGTGCGTGCGCGTATGTGTGTGAAAGAGAAAGGGGCCACTGTCCAATAGCACAAGGAGGGTAGGGAAGGAAGGGGAGGGGAGGGGAGGGGGGCGAAAACTAAGAAAAAAGGGTTGAGGATGTGGGTAGGGGCTGTGTATAATGTGTGTATCTATTTCATTTTTTTTTGACATTCACTGACATTCAAAATAAATCAATTCTTTGTACTCCAAAAATAAAATACAAAAATATAAAATATATAGTGGAGAGACAGGCAGTGGCAAGACTGAAGCCCATCGATTGATTCTTCAGCACCTCGTGTGTCTCAGCAGCCAAAAAAAGGAGTCCAAATTACAGAACCAGATCGTTAATGCACAGATTATCCTCGAAGCCTTTGGCAATGCCAGGACAATGATGAACGCCAACGCATCAAGATTTGGCAAATATATGGAAATCCAATTCAATGAACGTGGACGCATGATCGGTGCAAAGACTCTTAATTATCTTCTCGAGAAACGACGAGTCACCCACTGTCCCAACGGCGAACAGAATTTTCACGTCTTTTACTATCTTTTGGCAGGAGCTTCAGAAGAAGACAAACAGATCCTCAGACTCGAAGATGTCACCCAATATACTTACCTTAGACGCCCAATGTTGCAGGACCTCGGTGAAGCAGAAAAACATGAATCTCTCAAAACTGCTCTTAGATCATTAGGTTTTGGCAAACGCCACCAGGCACGCATCATGCAGTTACTTGCTTGTCTCTTACATCTCGGAAATCTCCAGTTCGTCGATGACACCACCATGCAAGAAGCTGCCTATGTCCGCAACAGCGAAATCCTCGAACTCTGTGCCGATTTTCTAGGTGTCGATCCCACAGGCCTCGAGAGCGTCATGACATACCGCACCCAGATGATCAAGAAAGACATCACAACCCTGATTCTCAACGCACAGCAGGCTGCCGAACAGCGCAATGAACTAGTCGTTGCTCTCTACTCACTTCTTTTTAGCTGGATTGTCGAACATATCAACACAAAACTCTGCAGCGACACAATTCACAACTTCATCGGAATCCTGGACATGCCCGGCCCCCACACATACTACTCAGAAGCCTCGTTTGACCAGTTTTGCGTCAATCTGGCCAACGAGCGTGTCCACAACTATATGCTGCGTCAGATATTCGAGACCGACACTGCCGAGTACCGCTTTGAAGGACTCGATGTTCCAGACGTGCCTTATTTCAACAATGCGGCCTGCATCGAGTTGTTGGCCCGCCCCAAACAGGGCCTGATCGATATTGCAAACAGCCACAGTAAATCATCGACCAAAACAGACGCAAACATGCTCGATTCATTTGCCAAGTACAACAATACCCACGACTCTTTCTCCCTAAAAACCGCAACAACCGGCGCACGCCAGTTTTCTATCCAGCACTTTGCTGGCCAGGTCACCTACACAACCGAAGGCTTTTCGGAGAGTAACAAGGACGTCTTGAGCGCTGATTTTGTATCCCTGTTGCGCGGAAACGGCACCGATGTACCACCTTCATACAACTCATTTGTCATCGAACTCTTTGCGGACAAGAGTATCAACACCGAAACACATCCCAAGCACGCCGAGGCAATCCTCAACGCACAGCAGGTCAATAAGCCCATGCGATTACCTTCCATGCGCCGCTCAAAGTCAAAGCGACGCAACGCTAACAATACTACAAATGGCGAAGACGATGAGCCTAAAGACACAACCGCAACCACAACAACAGCAGGTGGAGGGGCTCAGAAAGATGGCGATCGTAAGGTTTCATTTGTTCTGTCACAGCTCCAGTCATCTCTGGATGATTTGGTAGCCACACTAGATGAAACCATGCCTTGGTTTGTGCTCTGCATGCGCCCTAATGACACCTCGGCGCCAAATGCGTTTGATCAACAGCGTGTAAAGTCTCAGGTGCGGGCAATGGGTGTACCACAGCTGGCTCAGAGACTCCAGACTAGTTATACAATCTCATTCTATCACGAGGAGTTTTGTCAAAGATATGCCCAGACTCTTTTGGCAGTTGGTGTAGAACAAGACCGCCTCCCACGAGCCCAATGTGAGGCTGCTGCTGCAATTTTTGGCTGGCTGGGAACACAAGCTGCTATTGGAAACAGCAAGGTAAAAAAAATTATATCGGTTTTTTTTATAAACTATACAAAACCCCCAACCCCCAATATTTATATTTATATTTATATATATATGTGTGTGTGTGTGTGTTTGTATTATAGATATTCTTGGGGGAGAGTGCATGGAGACATCTTGAGGATGGACTTAGATCTGTAGAAAAGGACGACCAGAGACGTCAAAAGGAAGAAAAGCGAATTACCGAAAATCTGTCTGGAGGTGGTGCATTACTACCTGTGGGTATGGCCCGTGAACACAGTACAGGTGCATTGTCCAACGTATCCTTTGGATCGGGTGTCGACTTACTGCCCACCAACAGCACGTCAGATTTGGGCCAAGATAACAGACGTCTGTTAGCGGCATCTAGTGCAGCCGCTGCCGGATTACCGGTACCGCGAGGATTTGGTGAAGGTGGGTCAGTATACTCGGACGACAACCGTTCGTTTGTATCAGACGACGAATATTACAAGGACCAGCCTTACCATAGCAACTACGATGACTCCCAGTTTGGGTCTGAAGGGTTTACATCAAGTCAATCGGGTAATATGGAGCTCAAGAAGATGCTTCCGGTAACCACTGAAGCTGCTGAGCCAGCCGAAAAGGAAGAGGTATCAGCGGTCCGAAAACACTGGCTTAGATTTGTCTGGTTTATGACCTGGTGGATCCCAACCAAGTTTATTGAGTGGTGTGGCCGTATGAAGCGAGACGATGTCCGGATAGCCTGGCGTGAAAAGGTCACCTTGTGTGAAATCATCCTCTTTATGTCCCTGTTTGCCTTGTGGTTCCTTGTTTTCTTTGGAAAGACTATCTGCCCTCACCAAGACGTTTACTCCTTGTCTGAGTTACAAGCCCACGGCACAAGCGACAATGCTTACGTATCTATTCGTGGTGAAGTATTCGACCTCTCAAAGTTTGCGCCACGCCACTGGGCTAGCGAAGTAATCCCGGCCTCAAGTGTGTTGTCCTATGCTGGTGTCGACGCCTCGGATTTGTTTCCTGTCCCAGTATCGGCTCTTTGCGAGGGAATTACGGGCGAAGTCTCACAATATGTCTCACTAGACTTTCATATCAATCTAACCGATAATAACGCCAAATACCACGACTTTAGAGCTCAGAATCCCGACTATCGTCCCGACTGGTACTATGAAAAGATGGTCTATTTGCGCAAGAACTACAAACTTGGCGTCATGGGCTTTGATGTCAAGGACGTTGCCAGCCAGGCCAACAATGCTGTCAATCTCGGAGGTATCAACACCATGCGCAACTGGGCTATCCTGAATGAGAAGATCTATGATCTCACGTTTTACATGATGGGCGGCCGCCGTTCGCTTATTCCGGTTGGCGAGGATGTTCCAGCCCAGGTCGACACTAACTTTATGGACGAATCGGTTTTAACCTTGTTCCGCCAAAAGTCTGGTACCGATATCACGGACTACTGGAACGCACTCCCTCTGTCGGATGAAGTCAAGAAACGTCAAGAAGTCTGTCTGCAGAATCTGTTCTATGTCGGGTCCGTCGATCAGCGCAACTCTCCAAAGTGTCTGTTTTCCGAATACTTTTTGCTCATCGTCACCGTCTTTTTGTGTCTTGTTGTCGTCTTCAAGTTCTTGGCTGCTTTGCAGTTTGGCTCGCGCCGAGACCCTGAGAACCACGACAAGTTTGTCATCTGTCAGGTGCCTTGTTACACAGAAGACGAGGACTCGCTCAAAAAGACTATTGACTCTATTGCTGCTCTCAAATACGACGACAAGCGCAAGCTGCTGTTTATCATTTGTGATGGTATGATTGTCGGTGGTGGCAACGATCGTCCTACACCCCGTATTGTCCTGGACATCCTTGGTGTCGATCCTAATGTTGATCCCGAGCCTCTGTCGTTCTTTTCTGTCGGTGAAGGACAAAAGCAACATAACATGGGCAAGATTTACTCTGGATTGTACGAATGCCATGGCCACGTTGTACCATATATTGTTGTCTCCAAGGTTGGAAAGCCTTCCGAGCGCCAGAAGCCTGGCAACAGAGGAAAGCGTGACTCTCAGCTGGTTGTTATGCGTTTCCTGAACAAGGTTCACTTTAACTCTGCCATGACCCCTATGGAGCTTGAGATGTACCATCAGATTAAGAATGTCATTGGTGTCAACCCTTCGTTCTATGAATTTGTGCTCATGGTGGATGCCGATACAGAGGTTATGCCCGACGGATTGAACCGGATGGTTTCCTGCCTTGTACACGACTCCAAGATCATCGGTCTCTGTGGTGAGACAGTGTTGTCAAACGAAAAGGATACCTGGGTTACCATGATTCAGGTCTACGAGTACTTTATTTCTCATTACATGATCAAGGCTTTCGAATCTCTGTTTGGTACTGTTACCTGTCTTCCCGGATGTTTCTCTATTTACCGTGTCCGATCACCCACCAAGAATCAGCCGCTTCTGATTGCTAACCAGGTCATTGAAGATTACGAAATCTGCAAGGTCGAGACTCTCCACTTGAAGAATTTACTGTTCCTTGGTGAAGATCGTTATCTGACCACACTTATTCTCAAGCACTTCCCGAACTATAAGACCAAGTTTACGCCTGATGCCAGATGTGCCACCAATGCTCCTGATCAATGGAGTGTGCTGGTATCTCAGCGTCGTCGCTGGATTAACTCTACTATTCACAATCTCGGAGAACTTGTGTTCTTGCCTCAGTTGTGTGGTTTCTGCTGTTTCTCTATGCGATTTGTGGTCATGCTTGATCTCTTGAGTACTCTGCTACAGCCTGCTATCATTGGTTACTTGGTGTATTTGATATACTCGCTCGCGACCTCTACTAGTGGCGTTCCGGTGATGTCTATTATTACTATTGCAGGTGTCTATGTACTACAGGCAATTATCTTCATTCTCCATCGTAAATGGGAACATATTGTTTGGATGATTGTATCCATTTTTGCGATTCCCGTCTTTTCCTTTTATATCCCGCTCTACTCCTACTGGCATTTCGACGATTTCTCATGGGGTAATACTCGTGTGGTTTTGGGAGACAAAGGCAAGAAGGTCGTTATGCCAGATGAGGGTAAATTCGATCCATCTGTGGTTCCTACCATGACCTGGGAAGAGTATGAGCAAGGACTATATGCTGAAGACTGGAATGACAATGCGTCTCTTGGATCCAAAGGAACAGCGCGGTCTGGCCAGAGCCAGGGCAGTTACTACAGCCAAGGCACCTATCGCAGCCGACAGCAAGGACCTGGGCAATACATGGGACAGCAGCCAAGCAACCAGTCTTATATTGCACCAAGTGCTTATTCGTACATACCCAGCAATCAGTCTTACATTGCACCTTCAAACCAATCCTTCATTGCACCCCCGCCTGCAGGCCAATTCCGCTCTTCTTCACCTCTCCATCGATATGGTGAATAAAATCAAAATCCAAAATACAGAATACAAAATACAAAGTACACTACACTACAATACACCACACAACATTACATCCCAATTCCCAATTCTATTCCCATTTCCATTTCCATTTCTTATTTCCACTGCCATTTCCTCTTCCTCTTCCTCTTCCTCTTCCTCTTTTTCAATTTCTTCTTGGCTAGGCATTTTAAACCCTTTTCTCTGTAAAATGTTTTGCAATAGAATACAATAGAATATATTCCATATCCCCCCGTTATATTCTTCTCTCTCTATATCTCTTTATATTTTTTTTAAAAAAAAAAGTAAAAAAAAGAACAACCCAAAGATGTACTATTTTCTTTTGTACAAATATATATATATATACATATATATGAAGAAGGTCTATAAACACACATATATATATCTATACAGTACCTCCAACAAGAAATACCATAAACAGTCAAAAAAGATTGATTATCGTTAAAGTGCACCGGACTATCTAGCAGTCTCTAACACTTCTCTCATAAACTATTAGACACATTTTTTTGGGATCTTATATATGTTAACTAATTTCCAAATAATTATAATTAAGATCTTTTAAGACATACCGTGAGGGTGAATAGGTCATTAAAGGAGAATAATAATAAGAAGGATGCCTTTCTTTAATTAAATAAGTTAACTTTATGACAGAGTATCTCAATCTTAAGTAGAAACACTGTAATAGAGAGCTTCTTAGCTGAAGATTGATCTCAGGCCCTATCCTAAAAGGAAGTGATTTGAGAATATGTAACACAAAATATCTAGTATCCTATATCTCAACGCCAAGGAAATAGAGGAATATGTGAAGCCCAAGATCAACCTTTGGCTTGCGGAAGAACCGTTTTATTAAAATATATCCATGGAAACACTCAATGTGATATATATGATACATTTATAATGATCCTCATAATATTCAAAAAGAAAAAGAAATATAGCGGCTTAGTTACTTGTGTTCAAGTGAGAAAGACGCCTGTCTTGCCATAATTGACTTTTTAGAGTTATCTAGAAATCATGATAACATTCATTTTTTGATCATAAAATGACTGTAGATAACGTGCTATCTTGAGGTGGTGGGCGTGGTGGTTGGTAACCCCCACCTTGCGGAGAAGGAAAGGATTGAGATTAAAATAAAGTGGGGAGAAGGAATGAGTAGCAAAAGTAGGTCATAGAAGTCATTAGCAGAGAAAGTTTGGTAGAGCATAATAGATACTATCTTTCACAATTTCTCGTTCTGAAAACTGGCTCTTATCCCCACATGCCCAGTTATGGAACTATTATTTGAATAGTCCTACTTATTATTGGAGTGGATATCTATTCTTGAGATCCCATCCTCTTGAAAGTAGTTTTTTTTGTCTGTTGTTAGCGTGCCTCCATTTGGGATAGAAAATCGTTGGTGGCCAGTAACCAGTTTTTAGACATTATACAACTCGAGCATCCTTCCTCGTAATAGAGCTGCAGTTGATTATTTTGCCTCACTCAAAGTACTCTACATGTCAATACTCAACACCAGCAACCGATTAGCAATAAACTGTCACATATTACCATAAACAGTAAATATATTAAATTTATGGTCGACTGCAACTAGACAAACATCTTATATATATACCTCTTTTTTCTTCTTTCCTTCCTTCCTGCTATACATATTATTGATTGCTATTCCTCATAGGATATTGTCGAGTATAGCTTGTTTCCTTGCCCAATATATAAATAGATATATCTATTAAATGTTTACATTGTTGGCTATGAAATACCCAATGGTTTCTTTTACCCAGCGCGCATTTAATTTAATTATTAAAAAAAGTATCAAAATTTTGTGGCAAGATTCTTTTTTAACCTCACAGTAATTGACATTATTCTTGCTTTTTTTGGATGATTAAATGTCACTTTAAGATATTTCCAAAATTAGAAGCTAGACATGCGTTTTGTACATTTTTCTTTTCTTTTATTTATTTATATATATAAAAGATATTGAATTTTGTGAGGATGTTACATGTGAATTCTTATCAGATATTTCACAGCAGCAAAGTACTCAAAGCCTACCATTCATGATATTTAGTATGAATATTATAAACAAATTATACATATATAGATGTATATTAAACAATTTTTTGTTATCGGAGTGGCTCTTGACATGGTACACATACATTTCTCTCTCTACAATACTATAGAAACAAATTTCCTTATGTAATTCAATGAATTAAACCCCTTTTTCTTGATATTTATATATTACAATTTTTGCTTAGATTTATATACTAACATATATACATACATTATAACTTTGTCTCTTCATATTTTCTCTATACAAAAAAAAAAAGGACTTGTATTCTTATTTAACCTTCAATTCCTCTTTTTACTACTTTTTATTTTCTCTCTATAAAAAAAAAATCACAACAAAACCCTTTCTCTCTCTCTCTTTCTCTCCTTCACCTTCTCCCTTTCTTTTAACCACCGTGTTTCTTCTTCCTTATCTCCTTACAACGTCCTTGTTGAATGCCCATTCGATTAAATTGATCAATAGCCTACAATGACTGCAGACACAAAACTCATTCTAAGCTTGATCAACAGAATCACCACAAGGGTATAAATAAAAAAATAATTAGCCTGTAATTCTTATCTTACAAAACCTTATAGCTACCGAGCAACAGCGGCAAGAAAATTGACCATTTGGAAAATGATCCAATGATCAAACAAACGTAATGATCAATGGCTAAAACTTGATCGCTTTGTTAAATTCTAATTATCTTATTATTTTTAGAGGTACCAATACGCATACATACACGCATACACACACACAAATACATCAATACATCAATTCTCTTTTCTTTACTTAGTCAATAGGTAGTCCTGTCGAAACTTAATACTTATACTATTTTTTGCTGCTGTTATTTTCAAAAAGTTGCTGCCTTGGTAGATCTTTCCAAATATAGATTGCCAGTCATAGCAAGCGTGTTAACTGGGGCAATTGAAACGGCTACAAAAGTAATATCAGATTTTGTCTATTGTACTAAGAACAAGAAGCTAGTCTTTGTAATTATTTCTCAGCAACTTGTATTATTATTATTATTATTATCTTTATATTGAAATAGCCCATTCTCACAACCCGACCCGATGAGCTTATTTCCTGCGACGTTCTACAATCTCAACTATATCTTCTCCGCATCCTGTCAGTTTGTATGCAACACCACTGGCAGTTTGTTAGAGATACAAACTGTACCACAGAATCTGACGAAGTACGAGGCCCAGTCATACAACCGCATGCACCAGTAGCCATTTTAGGACGCGAAGGTTTGCTGAATCACAAAAACAAAATAAACTGGAACCCAAATGCCATGTCTCCAGAAGAACTCCTAGACCCCCCTCCGCTCGAAGACAACCTAACAAGACTTATAATCTCAGTAATGTCTCGCATCATGCACCAAATGATCGTTATGGAAGAACGGGATCCAGTTTTAGCACATAGTTACGCCATCAACCTTGTCAGAACAGAGTACTACACAACTGTCAAAAGTCCAGATACAACTTCAGACCTTATGAAAGAAATATACAAGACATCTAGTCGAATCTTGTTTTATCTCAGTGCGAGCAATTGGACAATTATGTTTTCCAAAATCAAATCTAGGATCCTCTACCTCTCTACAACCGCAGATGAAAACCCTGACACGTCTGAGATGCGATTTCTCGAGTGTTCATGTCTTAACAAAAATCGATTGGTTATAATCCTGACAGGTAAAGAATAATCATGCATATACATTATCCCTGGACCTGCGTGATTACGAGATCTTGTGGCTGTACTTTTATTTTATTTGATTTGATTTGATTTGATTTTGTTTTTTGCTTTACGTTTGGTTTGTAGAAATATCATCCTCATTTATTCATCTCAAAAAATCTGCTCAGCTTGTAATCGCCATGGTTTTGCGTAGAGCTATCTGGAACTGGATAGAGACATACCCATACGAATTTATGCAGCTTTATCATCAACAACGACGTATTGAAGGTGGAGCTGATTCTCTATTCGACATATGCTGTTCATTAGCAGACACAACACGAAAGAAGGCCGTCTTTTGGCCTCTCCAGACAATGCTGCTTGTTTTGTGCCCTGATCTTTTGTTTGCAGCCACACTTCCAGAATCTCGGAATACGTCCACCAAAAAGGTGATTTTTAATTGCTATCATTATTCCTATTACAATCACTATTACTATTACTATTACCGTTACTGTTACTGTTACTGTTACTGTTACTACTATCATGATTATCTATACTATTATCAATATCAATATCAATATCGCAACCTTTTATTTTTTATTGCTATTATTAAAAAAATTATTACTCTCTTTGAAAATATACATACACTATATTTCATACGAAAACTTACATTGTCTGTCCGTACTAGACTGTTTTCTTTGGCACTCTAAGAAAGTCGATCAAAGGAGGCATGCTGGCGGAACTAGCTGCAGTTTGTTTTGTAGACATCTTGAAAGCCAGTACATATGTGTCCAAGGATGACATGGCACTTCTTAAAAACGTTTTGCCAGAAGTCGATATGGAACTAAAAAGACGATTGTTCGACATGCAGAAACCCATGCCTTTTGACAGTTCGCTCATCAACGTCGGCACACCAATCGACCATTGCTATCTTATGGCCGATTGCATTGTTTCTATGTTTCGACTAAATCCCCTTGAAACCATAAACTCACTGTTTAGTATGTGTACCCTTGATCGGGCACCAACCATTTTCAAACAAAGTTCAATAAAGGCAGCACTCGTTCTTGCTATGGAACACAGTAGAGTTCAGTGGATTCAACCTATAGAAAGAATCTACACTGTCCTCTGTGAACCTCTACGAAAAATACTATTGGATTTTTTTGGACGTGATCCTATCAAGCCAGACGTCAGCACCAGTCGGAAACCTATACTACACATCAATGACAAGAAAATAAAAAAAGATCTGCGTTTAGAAATCAACGAAAGAAACGATCTTATCTTGGATATACTACGCCTTTATAAAGTGATACCTAGAATCGCTGTTCTGGTAATTTAATAGTTTTGCTTTATCAATTATGGTCAAAATATGTGTATTAAATGTGCAAAAAAAAAACTCCCAAAAAAAATTTTTTGTAGGGTTCAAGTAGCTATTGTTTTGATCAAAATGCTACAGTCATATTCACAATTACACACTGCCTTCGAGACCCACTCAGATCGATCCGTGAAGCAGCAGCTGATTGTATATATACACTTCACCAACCAGTTTATGTTGTGTCTTGGGGTCCACCCGACTGTTTTATGGAAACTTTTTGGAAGATCTCTTCTCAAGTCCTATTTATCATTGCTAAGCAACTATTAGATAGCAGGTTTAGGGACTCTGATATCAGAAAGCTATTGGATCTTCTTAAGATTTTACTCGAAACCCGGAATAACTTCCTTCGCGAGCATCAAGTAAGTGTCAAATAGTAGACTTTCTCTAAAGCAGAAATAAATAATGTACCTAATACTCTGTTTGTTTGTTTGTTCTTTGTAATAAACAAAAGGATGTTGCATCTCACGGTTACGATATAAGAGAGCGTATCCAATCTGGAATTGGATTAGAAGTTGCGCTCCTTGTATTGATGTGTTCATCTGACAGAGATGTTTACAACAGTGTGATTGCATGCTTTGACCACATGTGTGCTGAAGCAAGATTGACCGGAAGCGATGTTGGTGGTAACCCAAACTCTAGAATATTGGGAGAAAACCTACCTGTATACGCCGAATTGGTTGCTGGATCAAGTATTATCTCTGGTCGCAAATCCCAGCAAAAGCGAGTGTGCAGGTCTCTTCGGTTGATGCCTACTCACTCTCCTGGAAATCTTGCAGCCTGGGAAGAAGTGTGGAAAAGATGGAAAAATATGAGCCACACGATTCTACGGCCGCATGATGATGTGAAAGACGACATGTCAGAAATGAGTCGAAAAAACATCTTATATCGTCATGACAAGGTAAAAAACAATTCTCTCCAACGCCAGGCTGTCAGTATTTCGACATCAACCCGACTGGAAGGAATGGACGATGACAAATGGATAGAGTGGCAAAACTATGCCGCGTTTTTGGCATCGTTGGGTGGTGTTTGTTTGATGGCAAGTGCTACCCAGACTTTTTCTTCGGCATCATCCGGCACTTCCTCTACCAAGGGATCTATTTCGTACAGCGATTCGGGGCACGCGAGCCAGAGGTTTTCAGCAGCTACAGAATCATCATCCATGGTCGATCAATATCTTTTGGATATGGTTGAATTGTTGATTTCTGACAACGTTCTCGTTCGAGAGTGGGTTCGAGAGATTCTCGGAAATGACCTTTCTCCAACACTCTACCCTACAATGTTCCGTCATCTGGAAAACACTTTACAGACTTGCTTTGGAGCAGATAACGACCCTATTTGTGAGCCTCAGTATACGCTTTTTGTGGAACAGGCTATTTCTGTTCTCAAGCTCGTATTAAACCGCCTAGAAGAAAACGTGAACAATATGTTTACCGTCGATTTTAGTAATCTTATTCATCAGTATGCACAATACCTGAATAAGCTTGGATGTACCGAGATGTCCACCAAGATTAAAATCAAGATGTGCCAGCTTTGTGAAGTGTTGATGGAACGCAAAGATCGAATAACCCTGAGACAAGAATTTAAGTTGCGTAACAAGCTTCTCGAGATAATAGTTGAATGGACTAGTGATTTTGCTTTGGTAAGTTATGAAGCTTGAACCTATGTTTTATGTTGCTTGGAACTTTTAAAAAAAAAACAATTGTGCACTGAATTGTTTATTTATATATATAGCCTGACGGAACTGCGTACTCTGCGACCTCGACAAACATGATAAAGTTTCAACGAGAGCTTGATTTGGCGTGCCTAAAAACTATTGTGGTTCTCCTTCACCAATTGCCACTTCAGACATCAGAACCCTTGCATGATACCGACTCTAGCCAATTGAAGAGTAGAATTTTCTACAAGTATTTCACCTTCTTTTTGAAGCTTTTGAACCGATGCAGATTGTCAGAGGTAAACTATATAAAATGTATAATATTTAATGCAGTGGTCTAGATATTCATTCTCTAAAAAAAATACTTAGATTGGATCTAATTCATCCATGAAACGTGTTGAGAATACTTCAAACTTTTCTGTGGTAAGGCTTATAGATGCACGTAGACATAATAATATTTCTTTATTTTAATGCAACATGTATATATATATTTTTATTGTAGCAAGTCAAGGAAAACGCTGGTTACATTTCGCCTCTGAAAAATTTTACAATTCTTGCACTGTCCAATCTTCTCAGTGCAAATATTGATATTGGATTGAAATACTCGCTCTCTATGGGATACCACGAAGACTCGCGAACTCGGTCGGCATTTATGCAAGTATTGACCAACGTCCTCAATCAGGGAACAGAATTCGAGACTCTTTCAGAAACTGTCATGACAGATCGTTATGAAAAGCTTATTGATGTAAGTAATATATGAATATATATATTTCTTTTTTCTATCTTGCCTTTAAAGCAAATTAATAAATTTCTAACACTCATCATTTGCTTTCCCTTCTTGATCTTCTCTACTTATACGTATTTATAGATGCTTGTCGAATTTAGCCCTAACATTGTATTATCTCTTTGCGAGGCATGTCCTGCCTCTGACATAGATAATGTTGTACAGGCGCTTTTGGTCAGCTTTAGATCTCGCAATAAAACAATGTTGCTTTTAAAAGCACTTATTGAGCGCGAAGTACAAACCACTGGTACATTAATATTTCTGTTATTATTAATTTTTATTTCTACTTTGTATTTTATGATGTTTTAGCCTCGCTATAAAATCAAATATTAACATTAATTTTTAATTTTCATAGTGAGCGAAGTGGATCTTTTTAGAAAGAGTAGTGTTGCAACACGTTTGCTCTCTATGTTTGCAAAAATGAACGGCTCTGAATATGTACGATCAGTCTTAAAGCCAGTATTTCAAGTGCTGGGAGAAAGATCGCCTAGTCAGAATACATACGAACTTGACCCTTCAAAAGTCAGTTCAAACGAAGACTTGGTAAAGAATAAGGAAAATGTGATCACAGCTACAGAGATGTTCTTGAATGCAATTTGTTCATCTGCTGATCAAGCACCAAGGTAACTCGATCAATTATTTATTCCACAACGGGATAAAAGTAAGACTTATGCAGTTGTGTATTGTGAGTTAGATCGTTCCATGAAGTATGCCACTGCATTACTACAATTGTTCGAACTCGATTCCCCGAAGCAAGTAATACTGCTGTTGGCTCTTTTATTTTCTTACGCTTCTTCTGCCCAGCGATTGTTTCTCCAGAATCAGAGGATTTACTCAAGCATGGCACAGTACTCACAAGAGAAATGCGCCGTGGTTACCTAATCTCGACCAAAGTGATTCAAAACTTGGCAAACAACGTTTTGTTTGGATCAAAAGAAGCATTTATGATTGTCCTCAACGATTTCTTAACAAGAAACATCTACAAGGTGGCCAGCTTTTTGCGTACAATTGCAAAGGTTCCTGATGACAACGATTCAGATATAATAACCGAAACCCCGGTTCAGATGACTGAAAAGGATTATGCTTTGCTTCATCGTGTCCTTTTCGACAACATGGAACGTATATCAAGAGACTTAGCGGCTCGTCGAACTTACCAGTCGCACGATCAAGAGCTACTTAGCATCTGGAGACAAAGTCTTGACAAATTCGCTAATCTCCTCGCTCAGCTTGGAAAACCGCCAGAGGTGCAAGATCAAGGGAATAATGAAGCAAAGAACTTTACTTGTGCGGCTACCAACCAGTTGTTTGCCGAATTTATGCGCCGGAATCATCGCAGAAACGTGGATATTATTGTTTCAAAGAGTATATTCTATGAAGGTGGTGTATCAAAAGCCGGAAGACCCGTATTCTACTTCATTGCACGCCATGTTGTCGCAGATAGTATTGATTTCGAGCTTATGGTGTATCATATTTTACAGGTAAAATGAGAATACAAGCTAAACATATGAGAAACAAGAATTGTTATTAACAAACGATTGTATATCTTAAAGACACTGGATCGTTCAGCAAATAAGAGCTTTGAATTGGTTATTGATATGACACAATTCAATCAGACAAATGAAATACCCAATCAATGGGTTAGCCAACTTTTACAAGTATTACCTTCTGGAGTATCCGATCGAATAGAAAACATCATCATTATGAACCCAAACTCACATCTGCGCAAGTACATGAAGAAATTGTTAAACCCAGTTACTCACAAGATTATCAAAAAGCTTGTATTGATTGTGTCGATGGTTGACTTTCACGAATACATTTCCCCTCCCGAAGTTCGTCTTCCTAAATCAACACGCAAGTATTCAGATTTTTTTATGATTGTTTGCTTTTTATCAATTCTCATAATAATATTATTACTATTGTTTTAGTTGGACTGGAAACTGTACCCAGTGCTATGTTCTTCCCTGTAAATCGTATAATGCAGTTTAGAACACTTGTTCCCATCACATTGAAAATCAGTGCAGAGTATATACAACTGACGACTGTCCGAAAACAAGAAATCTTCATTGGCGTTAGTACGATTATGAATGATGTGTTTCATATTTCTGAGATCGAGAATATCGAGACTGGGCAACATGGACAAGGGTTAGACAATATGCATGTATTCAATTTTAGACACGGAAAAGATCGACTAAACATTGTATTGCACTCTCTCAAGAAGGATGCTATTGTTGGGGTAACTAAATATTATATTTTGATTATGTCAAGTTTTTTCTGTTAAAAGAAGAACTTATTTATGCATTTATATATAGACTCTTCGGCACAGTAAACAGAGATACGAGGCATCTCTACCAACAGCTCTTTCGGAGCGTGTGGTTCGGCCTAATGATGTTCCTGGAAGATTACTTAACATGGCCCTACTTAATATTGGCAGTGTTGATCCTAATCTACGCCTCTCTGCTTATAATCTTCTGTACTCTCTCAGTAGAGCATTCAACTTTAATGTTGGTAGACAACTTCTTGATGCAAAAGGTTTGTTGAACTATTAAAAGAAATTATACGCTCCCTTAAAATTTGGCAATTAACTTTTTTTTTACCAAAAAAAAACAGATCTTTGCCTTCCATCAAATAGCACTGAATTTGTTGTCAGCATAAGCAAGAGACTGGCAGCTTCCGAACCAAACCTGACTTTGGAATTCTTAAACGAGTGTTTTGTTGGATTTCAAAAGTCTAGTGAGCCACTACGTTACCTTTGCTTAGACTATATGCGACCCTGGCTTCCAAACCTGGCTCTATTCTGTCGAGGTTCTCTGGAAGATTTAGCAAAGACAAAGGATATTGTTCGATTGTTAATTGACTTGACGATTTCTCGAACGGATGTAAGCAGTTTGTATACATATATATATTGAATCATACTCATATGCAATGTTTATAATATGTAGATGTATAAACTTATTCAGGCAAAGGTTTGGAAGACAATAGGAAAAGTAGATGATGTCCTTGATCTTGTCCTGGATACATTTATTTTGTTTTCTAATGAACATGGCGTTGGATCTGTTCAAGCGGAAGCCATGGCGGATACATTTGTTACTCTCTCAAATGTAGTAGTTAGAGGAAAACTTGTCACTCGACTTCGCAAAGTTCTCCAAAAGACATCTTTTAAGCCTACCCGGACACTGACTTCTCACGTAGCATGGACAGAGATAGCCGTCTTGATCCGATTCCTTCTTATGGTGTCATTCAACAATCATGGTCCCGTAAAAAGCTATCTACCCGAGATATTTTACATTGTTTCCTTGGTTGTTGGCGTTGGTCCTACATTAGTTCGAGCCTCTGTCCATGGAATTATTATTAATGTGATTCAGTCCCTGTGCACTTCCATGCCGCTTTCGGACACAAACGTCAAAAAACTTCAGTTGTTGCTGGAGGACATGTCTGGATCCAAAGCACGCCTTCTTTTTGGACTTGCCAAACCTCACACAAATGCATTCACTATTGCGACGGAAACGACCACAGACACTACTGGATTGATCCATTTGACATCTCTAGAGTCAATTGTTAATACTTGTCTGGAAGTTCTTCAGTATAGTGCTCCATCTACAGGTATGTGTGATCCCGAATATTTCTTTTATTTACTTTCTATTTATTGGAGGTTCATAAAAAAAACTCATTTATAAATTTCTGTATCTTCTATATGTTATCTAGATCTAGGTAACGCGTGGAGAGCTAGATGGATGAGTTTGGTAGCCAGCACAGCTTTCCAGTTTAACCCAGCTATTCAGCCACGTGCATTCGTTATTCTTGGTTGTCTAGGCCGTGAAGAAGTAGATGACGATTTGCTCTATCAGATTCTTGTGGCCTTACGAGGTGCACTAGCAATATTCAATGACTCTGACCCTAGTCTTGTAATGAGTATTATGATGTGCTTAAAAAACATTGTGAGCAGTCTTCCTACAGAATCGCGTTACTTGCCACAGCTATTCTGGGTTGCTATTGCCTTGCTTGAGCTTAATAACAGTTCAACATTTGGTATGGCAGTGGATCTACTTCAGGCAGTATTGCGTTCTTTGGAAGTGTGTGGATTCTTTGAAGAAGATACCATCGCTTCTGTACTCTTGGCCGCACGCGAACCCGTTGCTGATATTGCGCGAAAACTTGATGGAATATGTGGTGTTAACTTTGATACACACTTTTCGTTTGCAATTTCGGGAATCTTCATCAAGGGATTACGTTACAACGACTGCAAGGATGCTATCTATCAAGGGTTGACAACATTCTTAAACATCGAGTGTAAACATATGGCGAACATGTCGTTGGATGGTGACGATCTTATTGATGAATCGCAGTCCCTAGGTTACATTACTGTCCTTCTTCCCATCGCAGCCAAGAACGAGGCGCTCAAAGATCTGTTGAGAGTTGCCGGTATTAATGAACTTGATGTTGACAACCTACAGGCTGGTGGTATCTGCTATGGACTGTTTGACAAACTCGATATACCGGACAACACAACTGCACTTCTTTTGTTTTCGTTGCTGGCAACCCAATTGAATTGCTCTGATAGTGAGTCGGAGCGTCTGTTTATCTATGGACTTTTGGCCGAAGCAGCTGTTTCTATGCCAGATGTATTCCACTTTGTATATGAACTTCTCCTTCCAAAGATGAACCAGATTGTGATCAGCAGTCAAACACAGGCGATTATGGAATCTGTAAAGACCATTCTGCTTACAGCTTGTTCTAATCCTGTATTTATCAAAACTCCCGGAAAGCCTACACTAAAAGCTCTTCTTCAAGAACTTGGATTTTCCTCCTTGTGTGACCCCACCTTTGGCGTTGGGGCGGCAAACTCGACACAGAATGCGAAACTGGCAAGCGAACTGGTAGAGCGTGTCATAGCGTAAAGGCCGTTGTATTATTACTATTTCATTCTTTTTTTTGCAAGGCTAGTGGAAAACAAGTCTTTTTTTGTTTGTTTGTTTGTTTATTTATTTTTACTACTACTACTGCTACTATTACTATTACTATTACTATTACTATTACTATTACTATTACTAATATTATTATTATTATTACTATATTTTTTATATTTACTATTTCTACTACTATATCTACTATTTAGAATTTTATTTTGCTATAGTACCCTTGAACTTTACATGTTCTCTGCGTCTACTCTATGTTACCAAGTGTATATTTATATGTCTATGTCAACCAAATAATATGTATTTATTTTTACTGCTAATTAATATACGTTATGAATCTCCTTATTCTAAATATGTGTAATTTAATCAAGGCACAAATGCCACGTTTGCGGAGAAGTTGTATACCACGTAATGCTCCTATTTCCAATTTAATTACATAATTCAAGTATCTAAGATTTGGTACCAACTTCCCGGTTTATTTATTATGATTGCCTTTTTCTTCCCCTCCCCCTTCTTATTTTTTTTCTTGTACAAAAACACAAGTCAAATCATGTTTTGTAGTGGTGTTACAAGAGTTTATTAGTTAAACCATTATAAGTACTATTATCAGAATATCAATAACAACAATCAAAACAAATACACTTGTATAAATATAAGCTTTATATATATGCGCTATTATAATAATTTAGAATCATTCAAGATTTCAGTAGAATTAAAAAATATTAAACCTAAACCGATTGGATAGGTTTTCGTTATCCACTCAGTATTTCATTTTCATATTATATTTGCTCACCCACCAATCAATTTCTTAAACAAGTATTTTTGATCCCCTATATTTAATCACCGAAATTCTGTTCCTGTCTTTTTTTTCTTTTTTTTTTCTTTTTAAGATCCAGTCATTAATCGTTGCCATGGCAACCATTTACATTAAATCCATGATTGGTCCACCCGAGTTTTACTTTTACTATAAAATTGTAGACACAATGGAACTGGAAAGACGCGTGCGCGCCATCAATTTTTTTCCAGAATAGGGTAGAAGCTGACTTCGCATTTTCTCTGCCGCTTCTTGTTTCTCTTCCCACCTTCCCCTCATTTACAATGTCGCAGTACAACGATGGTCAAGAGTTCGAAGAAAGTGGCCCCTTGCTAATCGCCCATATGGAGGTAATTTAGGTACACTATAATGTCATGATGTTTCGTTCTGATTTCAATGTTTAGAAAAGCGGAATTTCTTCAATGGACATCAAAAAACTTAAAGAAGCCGGATTTTATACAATCGAATCGATTGCATATGCACCAAAGAAGCATCTTTTGGCAATCAAGGGAATTTCAGAAACCAAGGCCGACAAACTTTTGGCTGAAGGTAAATTAGTAAAAATGGACTCATTGGTATCTTTGGGGAAAAAATTCTTATCGGGATCACCAATAATTTCATAATAGCTGCCAAACTTGTCAACCTGGGATTCACAACAGCAATGGAAGTACACACTAGACGACAGGATATTGTTACCATAACGACCGGATCTAAGGATTTGGATAAAGCACTAGGAGGTGAGATCTATTTTTTCTATCTTAAGCATCTCTTCTTTTTGTATGCCTTTGGCAGTCAAGAGTTCAAGATTCTAAAAAAAAAGGAAAAAAAAATTAAATAGGTGGCATTGAGACTGGATCAATCACAGAAATTTTTGGTGAATTCAGAACAGGAAAAAGTCAACTGTGTCATATGTTATCTGTGACATGCCAGGTATCTTAGAGATGTGCCAGGGTTAGTTTGGAAATTATTCGTGAGTATTAACATGATGTTATTTGTAGCTTCCTATTGATGCTGGTGGAGGACAAGGAAAGTGTATGTACATTGATACCGAGGGTACATTCCGACCTACTCGTATATTGGCTGTGTCGCAACGGTGTGTATCCAAAATATATATTTATATATAGATATAAAGTGGTTGAGTTAAAAAAAAAAGTTACTTATCTCATATATATTATATAGTTATGGCATGGACAACGAGAGTACTTTGGATAACATTGCTTATGCGCGAGCTTATAACACTGATCATCAATCTTCACTGTTATTACAAGCAGCAGCAATGATGTCAGAATCAAGGTAAAATTGTAGTGTGTGATGGCATTGATTGATAGTTCTAATGGGCTATATCGTCAACCTTTATGCTTTAGATTTGCAATTTTAATTGTGGATAGTGCGATGGCTTTGTATCGCACTGATTATTCGGGAAGAGGTGAATTAGCGGCACGGCAAACTCATTTGGCTCAATTTCTTCGTCAGTTGCAAAGGCTGGCTGATGAGGTAAGTAGAATATACATATATATAATAAAGTGCTCTTATATATTACAATATTTTAATCTTTGTATTTGAACAGTTTGGAATTGCAGTTGTTATTACTAATCAAGTGGTAGCTCAAGTAGACGGTGGAGCATCCATGTTTAATCCTGACCCAAAAAAGCCGGCTGGTGGAAATATCATTGCTCATGCATCTTGTACAAGGTATTTTTTCCCTCTCTCTCTTGATAACATCATGCCATAAATTCGAATGGAAACCCTTACCAGTGCTCTTTGTAGACTTTATCTCAGAAAGGGTCGCGGTGAGAATCGTATTTGCAAAATATACGACTCTCCTTCTCTTCCCGAGAACGAATGTACCTTTTCCATCACTGAGGATGGTATCTCTGATGCCGTTGAGTAATTCTTCTGGTTGGCTTAGAAATTCCTTGCAAAGAAGCTTTTGATTGAGCATGAATATTTCTTTCTTTGCTCTATCCATTATTTGCAAACTTTTGGTGAAGAGGATTATCTCTCGACCCAGTCATTTAATGTCTATTATGTAAATTCATTCCCTGCGAACACCCATTTATGTTTTTTTCTTTAAAAAAAAACACGCAACTTACCAAGTAATATATATATATATATAAACCACAAAATCATCATAATTGCAATAAAAAATAGCACAAAAATTATTAATTATTATATTGGGGTATCGTGGTATAAGATGAAATTTATTATATGTTATATGTAAGCATTGATCAGGAGAGAAAAAAAAATGACGAAAGGGATGCTGATATGTAAGGGGTGAAATAAGTGGCGACAGTGTACATAAAATGCTTATATACTATAGAAAGTACATATGGGGGGATGGTTGGCAGTGAAGGATAGTGAAAGAAGTGTCATAAAGAGGTCCTGCCATCTTAAAAGAAACGCAACCTTCAAAAGGTTTTTTAGGATGCAGTGTTGAATTTGCGGAGATGTGGGCCAGCAAGATCATGGAAACATGTATCGCATACACGGCCCCATTCTGGTTGCTCGTCTGTGGTTTCGAACAGTGGTAGTCGGTTTGAACTGTGATTATTGCAGAATATGTGCCCACATCTATAAAAAGAGGCTAGGGTTTGTCTCACGTTGATTTATATGAAATCATGAATTCAATCTTACCTGCGGCAATGATGACGACGCTGGAGGAACCCAAACTTAACGGAACATGTTGATGCTTCTTCAGACTCGCTGCCAGGACTCAGCACGAACTCGCAACGCTTGACTTCTTTATCCTGGGTCCATTCTTTGGTAGACTTAAGTACGAACTTATTACGTCGGTCATCTTCATTCAATTGCAAGACGTATTTGTGGTGGTGTACAGCATCGTCTTGAGTATCAGAGACAAGACGCTAAAAATAAAAAGAAATATAATTTTAAAAAAAAATGAGCAGTTAATAAAAGCGCTAAAATAATTTGTATTTGATTAATTTGGTTTTCTTAATCACCTTTGGGAGCAGACGTGATTCGGTGGTGACACCTGAGCCAGCAATTACCATAACGCACGAGCCATCAGTGTCGGTCTTCTTCTCGACCAAACGTCCTGTACCGACTCCTCCACCGACGAGCTGGCTTACGTTCCAACGCATTTTAGTAATGCCTTCTTCCTTGGTACCGTTCCACATATTGCTCCAACTGGCCTGTGATGGGGTAGATACTGAACCAGCGCTTGATTGTGAACTTGTTGATACTGAAAGCTGAGGCCGCTTTGTGTGGACACCAAAACTAGCTAATAAACCCTCCATTTCATCCATCATCTGACGCTGTGTCTTGACAATGTTCTTGTACTCCAGGATCTGCTGGGAAAATTGCTGGTCTTGCTTAGCGGAAGGCTTCTTGGATACCTGGTGGTTTATAACCATTTCGTTCATGCGCTGTTCAGACTCCTGCAGATCGCGCTTAAGCTTGTCAAGTTTATCGGAACGCTCAATGCAATTAGAAAGCATATCCATAAAGATCTCCTTGTGATCTCCCTCGATCTCTGTCTCGGCATGTCCACGTGTGGTTGTGTTCACAACATAAGCTGCTGCTGCTGCTGCTGCTGTTGCGATGGCGGTAGTGATACGGCTGTCGGACGAAATGGTACCATCTGCATTGACTACGGTTGTACTGACTTGAGCATCACTTGTGGTGGCTTGAGGATCCTGAGGATAAATTGATGATGCTGCTTCGGCTGCTGCCACGGCTGCTGAGGCAGCCAGGGGTAAGAAGGCAAGATTGGCATGAAGATAAGTATGCTTTTGAGTCAAGTGATGAAGAAAAACTGATTGAGTCGGGATGGAAGAGCTGGGGCATTCGGGTGAACTCTCATGGTCATCTGCAGTACGGGAAGATTTCTGGCTTGCGGCAGAGGACACAGTGTGGGCTGTTGCACCTACGGGAGAGTCTGGCTCATAGTCGTACACAATCTCGTCACTAATCGAGGACAGACTGGGGTCGAGATTCACATTAATCGAGTGATCGTCAGACTTGGATTGATTAGATTCATTCAGCAAAGAAAGGCACCTGAGTGAGCTACCGGTCGAGTGCTCGAGCCTGCCCAGGGAGACGTCTTTTCCGTTTACGGTCGGGGCAGTCTGGGGGGGAAGGACCAGGGAACCAGCACTACTTTTGCGATCAAACAACATCGAGCTAGACCTTGACAGTGTTCGGCAACGGCCACTTGAACCTTCACTAGAAACTCCCTGTGCAATATCTGCACTGATGTTTTTGGCTGTGTGAGAACTGCAGGCCACACACTTGGTTTTGCGCATAAACCCAGCATTGGATAACCATGTCGGGTGTTGGGTGCAATTGCTCCCGCGCAAGCTAGATTGGCTGCCCTTGCGTGACGGAGTACGTGATTCTCGCGAGGTTTCTGTCTCACCAGAATTGTTGTGGAACGCATCCGGGACAGATCGTCGGTGACGAAGAGTCTGAACATTAGGTTGGCTAGGTACAGATGGTTTCAAGTCAGTTCGTGCAATGCGATTGAAAAGAGGGTCAGGGGTATCTGTAGATTCAGCTTGAACCGCAGGCGAAGTAGGTGAGGTAGGTGAAATGGGTAAAATGGGTGAAATGGGCGAAGTGGGCACAGCTACATTGTCTAAAGTAGATTCCACCCGAGCCACAGCACCGGCATCAGAGACAGGACTCTCTGTACGACGACTTAGATTAGTCGAGCTCTCGCCGGATAAAGATGAAGTGTAAATCGAAATGCTAGATTCCATGGCCATCTCAGTGCCAAGGATGTCGAGTTCGTCTTCTTGCATATCACTGTGGACTGAAGATGTGTCACTGGCAGGCGGGATCTCATGAATGACGTTCATCGGCTCCTGGCTGAGTAATGACGCTTTTAGTTGTTGCGATTTTTTCTGGGTCAATGCAAGGCTTCTGTCCTTGACCTCAACAGGAGAAGGCAATCTTTCGTTCATTTTCTGAACTGATGTTTGAGATACAGGTGTAAGTGAGGGTCTATTCATTCCGAATGGAGACCATGGGCCACGCTGGTGTGGTTGGACTGGAATATTAGGTGTATCATTGGGGACTGCAGGCATCGAGAACCGACGGACTTGGCGATTGATTAATTCGAGTTTCTTCTGTTTTGATGACTTTGCTACTGGTGAGGTTGGTGAGGGGACTTCGTTTGCCAGAGAGCTGATTGCTGCTGGTGTTGCTGCTGGTTGCATTGTTTTTTGGTTTACTGTTGCCATGGCGCTATTTCTTCGTCTTGTCAAAATGTTTATGTTGGTTCCCCTGAAGGCTTTTCCGTTTGTGGGTTCTTGCGATTCCGGTCCGCGCGTGCCCACGTTGGCTGGGTTTTTATTGGGGGTGTTGGACAAAGGAGCGGCTTTGGCAAGACCAAGTGTAGTTGCTCTGGTAACAGACTGGCGCCTAGATATCATTGATGGACTGGCGATCTTTCCATTCTCTTTTCCCTTTATGACTGCAGCTGGTGCATTGGTTGTGTTGGCTGTGTTGGTTGTGTTGGGAATGGTAGGGGAAAGAGAGGGAATGGAGGCGTGTTTGAGAGAGTCTTTACGAGTTGGTAGTCTGATGGATGATTTGGGTGTTGTCTGCTCCTTTTTTATGGCGGCAGGCGGTTTTGAATATTCGAGTTTTGCGGTAGACATTGTCATTCTTCTCTTTCTGGCGTCGTCCTGGTGGGAGCTAGCAGTAAGAGATAGAGTGTGTGTGGACTGTGTTCTGGATACGATGACTTCGGTTTGCATGGTGAGAAATACCAAAATGGGAGAAGAAAGGGAGAGAGAAGGAAGGAAATTAGGATCGAGGGGGACCTTGAGTTGTGGTTGAGCAAAATGATGTATTTGGCCCTATAAAAATAAAATGGCATTTACATCCTTCTGCAGGTTAAAACGACTCAGTGGTCAGGACATTTATCAAAAAAGGGAGATTATCTCATGTCGACTATAGACAGCATGACTTTATTGATCATCCCACCAGCCAAAATTTTTCTACAAGAATACTTGTTGATGTTAGTCTTTTTGAGTCTGGCGGATTCATTACCATCCATGAACTGCGGTCATTACAACGCAAAGGTCCTAGCTCCTTGAAACAGTCCGGTCTCTTTAAGGTATAGAGATTATAGTGTGGCTCGTTATGTCAGCTTGTACAACTGATGCCATCTTCAGTATTCATCTTTGTGTAATAGAGATGGCGATGCTAAAAAAAATCATAATAATCATAATAATAATCGTTTGTCACAAAAGATAAGGCAAACACACAATAGATTTTATAAAAATCAGTTGAAGAATAGAGTTGCAGCAAACCATGCCATATTCTCTACCTCTGTTTCGTTTGCTTGCCATTTGCTCGTGGAAAGATACCTACGACATAATGTTTAGTAGGTGCCACACACGAACTAGTGTGGGTCGGTTCTTCGGAGGGAGGATTGTGGTGAATGATACGTTTCAGAGGCTTGGCTGTGATCTAAAGATCAAAGCATTTGCCGCAGTGACAGAATCCAGACGATTGAAGTTCTTAGCATTTAATTCGCTCGACTGGTAGATTAAACAATACATATATAAAATAAATGTAAAAATAAAGAAGGTTTATATTTATTATTATTATTGTTATTATTATGATTATTATAATAAGATTAAAATTCTAAAAACAAACCATCTCTGACACAATTAAGTACTTGGACTTTTAAGAATAAAATAGAAAGAGGGGGTAAGACTCTGTTTGACGTGATAAATGTGCAACGGCTCTGTGTATCTTTCAGCGCCCTGTGTTTGACTATTTGTGACAAAACAGTAATGGTAACAATGAAACTAAAGGCAGCTCTAAGGAGTACAAGACTATACAAGCACACAAGCACACAAGCACTCACGCACTCACGCACTCACGCACACCCGTTGCTATAGGAAATAATGGATATTTCAAATTCCGGGCTTGCAACTTTTTTTATTTTATTTTTTTACTAACCTAGTAACGTTTTTTTTAAGCCAATAGAGTTCAAAATTTGGTTCATTAGTCCCACTTTTCTTAACAAACAGCTGTGATTTTAGTTTTGTACACTTTGGTAAGCCAATTGTACAGATAATGTACATATAAGCTAGACTATCTTTAGGCACCCTTAATAGCTCTGAATTTACCCAGCAAATGCACAATGTTCTATAGAAACATTGTATTTATATTTATATGTCTTTATGAATTGGACAGAACGTTTTATTAAAGTCTTGTTAATTTCCGGTCATATAACCTTTATAATTTTCTACCAAATAGACGAAGATTAGCTTTTTTTGTTATTTCGCTAAAGTACTGCTCCGTTATCTATAAATACATACATGTCTTAATTGAAATTTTTCACAGTAGGCTCAAGTCTTTCGTAAAGTTCATATCAGTAATGTCTTGCTTTTCTTTTCTTTCTTACAAAACATTTAGACATATATTGGTTGGATTCTTTAAGGTTTCAAAATTTACCTGGAGAGAATGAGGGAAAGAGAGTGGATGATAAATAGTGAGTCTATTAAAAAGATATAATTTACAATATTTACTATATTTGACCTTAATGATTGAGTGTATATTTAATGTAAACATAGTTCATAGATTAGATTGATGGCTTATTATCAATTTTGTTATTGTTTTCAATCAAGCAAACAGTCTATTTTTCATTTTTATCCAAAAATGCTCGAATTAAAAGAAAATTTGCATTTTAACAGCAATGCGATTCTCAAAAACATAAAGAGTGCCGTAAGACTCTCTAACTTTGGTAGCTCCATGACAATCTTGCAAAATCCGTATCATAGCAACATTGTGAAATCAATGGAAAAGTTCCCTTGCTTCTTTGGGTTCTATGATATGCTATGCTATGTTTTGTTTCAAAAATCAATATTAAATCATACGTTTCAACTTTTCAGTGAGGTGAGAATCAGATTAATGCTTTGTAATAATTGTCTTTTATTTGTTACATTGGTTGGCTTTTTTTTTTTACTGTATCTTGTATTTATTTATTTTTGCTCATCCTACAATAAAATTCAGTATGATATAATCCTGGAATGAGGGGTGGAGAAGGGGTTTCCTTTGATAGTCTTTTTTAATATGTGGCACAAGTGCAGGCAGTTTTCTTCCTCTGACAGTTATAACTCAGCCCTTGGAATAAAATAGCCACTGAACTGTGCGGTACGCAATACGTCTGGCCCAAAAGCTGTAGACCAGATGTCCCCTGAGATTACTGAAAGAAAGAGAGAGGAAATCGAAAACCAGCATATGTGAAGCATGTGAAGCTGCGTCTATGGGCATGCTAGTTTGCTTCTTGATTAGCATATATTGACGATCAAGCATTCTCATGTACAGTTCTTTTACTTGTTTCTATACATTAATTGATAGGAACCATTTTACTTGTACATAAACTGCATAATGATAGCCATTTAGCATATTCAATGCACAGTAGTACTACACTGTAATTTATAAGGGAAAATTACAAAAACAAATATATATATATACACAGGAAAGATGGTTTAAGTTACTAACACGAATACGAGCATCTAAAAAAAACAAAAACTTCCATTTCAAGATACTAGTCTTATCTTTTATTTCATACTTTATAGATTATATTAATTGAGTTTTAAGGCAATACTATGACAAATAATTGCAACAATAAAAGTATTTAAACAAGTATTTTCAAACAGCATATATCTTCAGGTAGCTATGAGACTATATTATCGAATACTCTTTTTTGGAATAATGATAAACAGATAATTTCAGAAAAATGAAGGACATGTAACCACCCACAAAAGTAGCTTTGTTAAAGTTATATAAATCACTAAAGACCAACTCGCCATCTACAATGCAATTATTTTTTCTTCTTTAAAAAAAACAATCCTTAAATTATTGTTTTGCTTTAAAATACTATATATTAAATACAACAGAATAAGTGTAGTTTATAGCGTTATGTTACTTTCAAAATAATGCTTTATATATGTATATATTTATAATACAAGGTTAGGTTGAATAAAAGAGAAGTTATGTAATAAATTTATGTAAGTATATGATATTGTTTAGAGCAAGCTTCCGAAGAAAGGGTGAATGGCTGGAGTTTTGCGAACGTATTCAAGGATGTATGGCTGGAAGAAGTGGAAGGGATTATTAAACTGAACCCCGAGGGTAGTGTATCCTAATAAAAACATATGGAAGAGCCAAAACGCGCAAACCACAACCCAAAGCCACTGGAGAAATAGAGCAAACAGAGATTCGGTGAAAGATTTTGGTAGACGACGGCGCAAAGAAGTTCCGACAACTTTTTCAAAAGCTACAAGTGCAGCCTGGACCAAGAAATAGCACATCTGACCACCCATATAAAACTCTCGGTAGATTGGCCAATCTAAGTTAGAATAAAGGAAAAACTCATGCATTGTAGCCGAAACTATGAATACGGCAAATGATGCTACCGCAGAACAGATTGCAGCTGTTTTCTTGGTTGGTTTTCCCAAGGCCTTTTGCAATACATTGCGAGTGGTTCTATAAGGGAATGCAAGCCATGTGGAACGCAGCAGCCGGTGCCAGCGTTCAGCCCAGAGTGAAGTTATAGAAGTTGAAATAATAGGATTCTCCATCAATTCACGCCATTGCTCTATAGTTAAATCACTTTGTTAGTTTTTACTAAATCTTTTGTTTTTGTTTTCTCTCTAATGCTTACCTGAAGAATAAGATCCGCCTTCATAATAGAGAACATAGAACAACTGCAACGTGTAACCCAGAATATTAAAGGCACTTGTCATCACGACAACCACTCCAGCAAAAATGAAAAAGAACAGTGGCGTGTTTTCTTCGTAAACTCTCTTGGCATCGTGAGCACTAAAGGTCACAAACCAGGCACCCAGTACGTCGCAAATAAGATAGTTTGCAAACCACAAGGGAATTATATGATAAAATTTCTTTATATAACATGCGTAATAAGTACCCTTTCTGGTATGACATGTTATGACATGTATTTACCCTATCTTTTGCGTATGTCTTTGTCTCTCCTTTCTTAAGTGTCTTTGTGTCCTCTTTTGCTGGCTTTGGAAAAGTACGCAGGCAACTCCAAAGCTCGATATGGAAATCTCTGCTAGATATATAAGCTTCGCGACCCTGTAGAACTGGACCCAGCCAAATTATCTCCAAAAAGCGGATGAATACATTGTAGGTGAATAGAGATGTTAAGATATCGAGAACTAAAGTCAATTGTGGAAGTGAGGGCAAAATAATTAGAATATTTTTCCATTGAAATATATTTCTTCTAGGCTATATAATACTAACTCTTTTGGTCGCACATGAATGCCATTGAAAGAGGTATTACACCAATAAGAAATGGAAAAGATAGTATTTGCTTTGTTTGCGTTGACAGCGTGCTGGTGGGTGTAGTAGCGATATGTCCTAGAATCACTGCTGGTGTTGCGAACAGCAGTAAATGAATTGGTATCGGAAGAACAGTTCTCCATGAACCTCCTTCAAAGAGATGTTGGTAATCCATGTAAGATATTTATTTCTTTTTGTTTCTTTAATGATTAGTTAAAAGGATGCGAGAATTGGCCCATCTAGCTTATATAGTCATCATAAAAGGTACAAGTCGCAGTTTCAACAACTGGTGTAATCCAGAAACCTTCTTATCCAAATACATATAAGCATTTTTATATATTAAAGAATATCACATCATGTAAGAATCAAGCTGTACCACCTTCACTCTATTTTCACCAGCCATTCGCACATAATTAAATACGTTGACTAATCTGATGTGTAAATCATTCCATGTCTGTGGGTAAGAATGCGTGTTATCTAGAAGCTTATTCTCTAAACCTGGACTAGATTGTACAAAATGGCCAACTTATAAAACGTGGGGTCAAATCATATAGTTTATGAGAAAAATACTAAATAGTAAAATAACAAAGGTTTGATATTTTTATAGAAATTAAACGCTGTGAATTTGTTCACACACCATTCGATATTTTGATTTAAGAATATCTCAAGGGCTTTTACTGTATTTTATAGCTTCATAAATTCGATGAAATATATAGTTTAATTGTTATCTTTTTGATTTAAAGGAAGTGGAAATGTTAAGCTGCAATATATCTACATATATTAAAAGTATTTAATTTGTGATATCTGTACATTCAGTTGCGCTTATATATTGATCCTATTCTTTTTTTCTCTCCAAACTTTACAATTATTATGATGACAATGATCGGATTTGAAGGAAAGGGTATAATTCATCTAAGTCTTCATATTTTGTGGATTCTCCGAGCAGCTTATCAGAAATAACGCGGTATTCTACGGAAACCTTTTAATTTTAGATGCACTAAAATATTCTGTCATAAAACAACCAAACTACTCAGACTGATATATCAACTTGTAATAAAAACAAAGTCGACATTTGACGGCCTATTATTATTGAAATCCCTTTTTGAATGTTAGATATTCTTATGATTAGCTATTGTTGAAAGTGATTTTGTTGTAATGTCACCAATTGATAAAGACTACTCTATAATTTATTTGTGTGTCTGACTATATCATAAAAAAAAACTTTGTGGAAATACTTGCATTTAGAATTATTGTGCTATTATATCAATTGATTAGTGGCTTGATCATTTTTCTTTTTTTTAAAAAAAAAAAAAGGTAGCCTCTTTTATTGCAATGACCTTTACTAAAAAAAAATATTCTATAATCTGAACTACTATAAATAACTATGGAAAATGTCAAATATGCTAAACTCTATTATAATAAATTCTTTTTTTTTTGTCAAGTAAATAGAATATTAATTATTTTGCTTTTATTCATTAATCCTACTCAATACTTAGTAGGTATTAGCTCTTATATTTTATGTGTATAAGCAGTTACTTATCATTAAGCATGGCTTTGAACAAATGAATGAATAAATAAAAGAATACCCTTATTCAAGGATGTATTCCTTATAGGTAAAGTGCACCGTTTGATCAGTGATATCAAAAGAAAAGCCTGGCTTTCCATTGATTTTTTCTTTGAGTTAATCCGTAGACTCCACTTTTCAAGGAACCAAAGAAAAAATAGACTCCTCATTCTTATAAGTGACATTTTTAATAACGCGTGTTTCAATAATAGGTAAGGGTAATTTGTGGCATCTTTCTCTTTTTCGTTCAAGGCAAATAGTCACTAAAGCTGTCTTCTTCTTTTTTTCTATATAAATTTCTGCTTGTTAGGAATAAAATATTTTTGTGTACAAAGCGGTGTTAAACCTGGGTTGGTTGTGTGTAGCTCAAGTACACGTGTATGAGATAACTTGTTTAACTATCACTTTCTGACCTAGTTTTAGTCTTGAGAAGAAAATCTTAGCCAGCCCAGGGCCGATGTTCTGGCTATTTGTTCTTTTCCTTTTCTCTGTCTCTCTTTCCATAAAAATATATAATCTAAAATATATGGCAAGTATATTTAAGCTAATGACTACCCTTTTGTTTTAATACCTGCACTTGTCTTAGTAGTCTATGTATTTTATACTATTAACATGGTTTGCTTTATTTTTCTCTTATTTTTTTCATAGTAATATTTTATGAGAAGTTTTTTTTTTGAATGTGAATAAATAAATTATATTTACTATGAGTACAAGTAATCTATACCCTGCTCTTTATTGTGATTAAATAAGAATAAGACAAAAAAAACCTAACTCTAGCTATCAAACGCAGTTGATAAGGTTGATACATATTTAATTGATGATTCTGTTCGCTTGATTTCTATTGAATAAAGCAAGTATTTGAAGCTAATGCTTTTTTATTGTCTGTGTTAAAGTAATGACTTTAAAGGGTGCATTTGTAGTCCTCAACAAGCATGCCATCTCATAGCCTAAAAATACAACCCACGGAATCAATTGAAGCTGTATAAGAGCAAAAAGAAACCAGTCAATATAATGAGTATACACATGTGCTTTCCTTTTAGATTCGGGTCTAAGCCATTAGAAATCCTCGATTTCAAGTCCAATTAAGCAAGCGTATTTGTCTACAGCATATTTAAAATCTGCCCTGTAAGGCATTTATCTATTTAATTTAATAAATTGAAATATAATTGTGCAGCCAAACAATTACATACAAATGTCTCTCATATGAAACTACATCAACTTGTCTCTATGTATCGAAGCAAAACACGTATAGTCTTGGCTCTTTTATTTTAGCTTTTATTCTCTAGCACAAAATATATTGTGGTCTTGCTCAAATGATTCTGAGCATCAATATATGTAATAGGTCAGGAAGCCAGACATAATAGAATATATATATTTTTCTCTAGATACTCACCAAATTATTGCTTTTTTTCACGTCGTACGGCTTTGTAACATGTGATATTCTCTCTGGCACTCATTATCACCCTTTTTTTTAATACTTTATTAATTGCTTTATTGAGTAACTCTACTATTGAGCAAATCTAGTACTTGACTGAAACAGCCAAGTCTTTGTAAACAAGATCAATTGTTCTATATCACAAAGCTAGCCACCCTTTATTTTTGTAATAAAAATCAATAACTGGGCGTGAATGAATTTCAGGAAGTTAAAAGCGCGCAAATAGAACCATGAAGATTATTTCTATCCAGGCACAATTATGAGTATTCTGTACAACTAAATCATCATTTGGTGATATTATAGCATCTATTGTCTATACATGTAGAATAACCACACTCTCAGAAATAGCTTATGCCGAAAATATGCCTGATAAATAAGCGGCAATACTATGGCTGTAGTATAAAATACTACAGAATCAAAAATGTGCCATTGCTTTTTATAGTACTTCATGGAGAAGTCATATATGATCATCAGGCTTGTGTATCGATAGTACGACTTCATCAATAAACAGCACATAAAAGAAAGTCTAGACAAGACTAGGAATAGATAGTGGGTGTGTGCGTGGTGTAGCATTTCTTCTCTTTTTCTTCCGTACACCATAAAAATATCAACTTACTCATGGCGACCTCCACTTCTCCTCCTCCCCGACCAGAAAAAAGCAAATTTCGCAATATACCATCTTCTTCGTCAAGGAATCTTCCACCACCACTTAATATAGATTATGATCCAAAAGAGCCAAATAAGTCCCTGGTCGAAAGACTAGAGAGTCCAATCTATCCACTCTATACGCCCGTACACCTCTCTTCTTCAAGACATGAGTCGGTTGTTTCTTTGTCTATTCCAGAAAAAGAATCAAATCAATTTGAAATCAATATTGATGAAATCAGACATTCGGGCCGTTTTAAGGAAGAGTTTGACCAGATTCCAACTCCTGAGCTACTGGAGCAGCTACTGAAGTCGAGCTCGATTAAGCCTTTAAAGAGACCTTGGCTCCCAAAAAAACGTAGCAAGTCCCGATCGCATGTCATTCAAACGTCTAGTAGTACTTCAACTGTAGACACCGCGGGTTCATTTGGACCCCCTTTTCCAGGAACCCCTATACTTGAGTCACCCCAAACTCCAACTCCAACAACCAGTTTCCAGAAAAACACCAGCTCTTATTTTCCATTATTTTCTACGGCACCGGCGGCACTTATTGCCGGACGAAAGACCAGTCTTAGTAATGAAATATCTCTCACAGCATCAACTTCTAAACCAGAAACATTGGCTGTCTTGGTAGACACTACCTCTCAAGCTGTATCAGACAACGTTGAAGGCAACGTTGAAGACAAACTCAAGAGAAGTTTATCAGTTACAGCAGCCCCAGTAACTTCGATACCTACAAAACATACTCCATTACCTATTTCTTCGGCACATAAAATAAAACAAATACAGCAAACAGAGTCAAAGGTCCACAAGGATATCTTACCAAAGAGTGATAGCAATCCAGGTACTCCTGAAACCGCGGTTCCTGTTCCCCCGGTACGCAGACCTACGTATACCAATGCGACTGAGAAAAGCAATGGAAATACCTCTCGACCAGCTGAAGAATTTAGTCTGAACCGAGCCGATGTGGTTATTACACGTTTGGAAAATTGGTTATTTATTATCAAAGCTATCGGAGCATGGTTAGAAGAGACGGCTAGGATTAATGTACAAAGCAGTCGATCTTTTCAGCAGCAGTCGCTATCATTACTTAAAGAAGACTACATGGGACAAAAGGAACCTACCAACGCCATTGCAACTCTTTATACGGGTTTAAAGATGTTGACGGTCACTGTTATTCAAGAGCAAAGAGACTTTAGTGAACACGTGTTTCAGGACCATATACCAGCCATTATGAAACTTAAAAAAGAATGCAAGGAAAAGATTCGAGAACTAGGAGAGAACCAAGATCTAGCGATGGACGAGCTTTTGAAACGTGCAGAGGTTACAGTAAAGACTATGTCCCATCTCGACAGATGCTGTAGAGGAATGGATCGAGAAACTGGAGATGATCAACGCCTTCAACAGTTGCAAGATCCATGGGTGGCTAATTTATGTAAGGTTGTATGGAAGACAATTGAGTATACATGTACTTAATTGTATTTTTTTAATAGACGTGCTACGACAATTGAAAAAGGAGGTCGATGAAGAGAATAGGTTACGAATACTTATGGTTGGGGTTCAAAAGGACGTTGCAGCATTCGAAAGAAGGGTTATACAAAGTCTGAAAACTTCTATTCAGTTTTGCTATGAAAACATTCCACCTGGTTTATCCGACGATTCTTCAGAAGATCGTACTCCGTTCAAGGCGCTGCTTGATATGTCTACGCCAGAAGTCGAGTGGGAACAATTTATGGAAGATCATAAAAAAGATTTAGTGAACGAGCAGTTTCCAACAAAAGATTACCGCAATATCAATTTTAAGAATAAGCATAACCCCTATGTTCTGACCTTGATGAAAGGAAAAATTGAGAGAAAGACTGGTGTTCGGAAGCAGTTTGTAGAGAAATATTTTGTTCTTAGTCAATGTAAGTAGGAGTAGTAGATTTGAAGATGCTTTGAGCTATTTATCTAATGCAAATATCTTTTAGGTGGTTTTCTTCACCAGTTCAGTTTAAGCGACAAAGTAGCACCCGAAAGATTTATTTATATTCCAAATTCTGTGATCGTCCCGTCCATTGATATCAACCAATTCGTGAATGAATCAAATATCTCGAACGAGATGACTAATGATGAATCCAATCAACATTACACGTTTGAAATACGAAGACCGTCCACAACAGTACTACAGCGTGACAAGACGTATCAATTCCGTGTAAGCTCTCGACAAGCTCTCCTGGACTGGTGTAAAGCACTGGTTGAAGTGGCAGGACGGTCCTACATGGCTCAATACCTAGTATCCAATCGATCCTCGATTGGCCTGAACAGAGACTCGAGCTCAATATCGGCGGAAGATAAACCTCCGTCTGAAACTGATATGACAACTAAGTCCACGGAGGTGTTAAATCCATCTTCTTCAGATATGGAAGCAAAAGCTGGCAGCAACAATAATAACGATTCGACATTGTCTTTTGTATCTGAAGTACAGTCAGGATCCACCGAGTGTTCATCAAAACTTGACGAAAGCACTACACAGAATACTCGCCCATTGGAAACTATTGAAAGCGAAACGGGATCTTTGGGAAAGTTAGACAAAGACAATTCTCGCAGTAGCGACATCAAATTAATCGACGATCATGGCAATGTCAGTGATCAGGCATTGGTAAACGTTTTGGAAGAGGGTGGAACAAATGATGTTATTCAAGAATATTATGCATCGCACGATAGCGGAGATGAAGATGATGATGCCGATTCGATCAGCTCGAGAAGCATTTGTACTGCGAGACAGTCATTGAGTACTATAGCAGACTTACCAGAATTGATTGATATTGCTAGAGAGCCTAGCCAAGTGTCGGATCCAAGAAGATATTCTGGAGAAAGTAATTTAATAGATGATGCTGCATCTTCTTTATATTTCTCATCGACTTCAGGACCAAATTCACCATCGGGATCAACATTTTCGATCGATTCTTATCCGGAGATTGATATTGCCGCATATTCTCTACCTGCCCTGGAAGCACAAAATAGACAATTATAGGAATATATAGAATAATACCCGAGATTTCTCTTTTATTTTATTTTATTTAAGAAAAAAAAACAAGCCAAAAAACGTATAATTATATATATATACCCAATCATTTTCCTCAAACTACATATTATTTCAATCAATTATTCTTTTCTGTCATATATAACCTCTAAAAGATACCGAGACAATGATAAAATTCTGTATTAATTTCGAAATTTGATACGGTGTGTTAATAAAATCAAAGGTACAGCACGTTTTTTTTTTCTTTTTCTTTTTTTCATTCATATTATGAATTATTTTCCATGTCCGTTCAAATCTTATATATATAGGTGTTTCAAATAAAGGTTTTATTTTGCATAAGTTCCACTGCAGCTTCAACTACTTCTTTTGTCATGTTCTTTTTTTTTCTTGGCTCTAGAATAAGTATCTCCGATGTGGTCAAAGCAGTCCAATATAATCTAACGAAGGCACAAAATCATAATTCCGTTAGCTCGGTGATACTTATCAAAAAGTTTAACCTGATAAGATGGCATGGGTCGTCATTCACTAAATTAAGTAGGTTAAATGGGGAAATGTATTTGTAACCAAATAGAAATTAATAAATGAGATGTCTACAAGGGAAATAAGTAAACCAAGTATATTATGCACAGATGATATATACTTGGTATTTTTAGCTAGCTAATTCAGTTTTCTTCTTCTTCGCATCTGGTATAAAGACAATCTCATTTGTTAAAAGCACCAAAGTTTAAGGGTCAAATATGACAGGTGACACTATCCTCTTGAAATGAAAGGAGAATAATGTCGTTGGACAAAGTCTCGGGGGAGTTTACAAAAACCTGACACTTCTTCTACATGGAAATGTATGGTTTTATTATAAATGGTTATAGATATGTGCAATGTATTGGTTAACAAAGATGTATCATATTAACTTTGGTCTATTAAACAAAGAAAATGATACTTTTAGTTATTGTAATAAAGTATAAATGATGTAGGATAAATTACAGTGCTTTAAAAAAGCAAAAGAGAGAAAGAGAGAGAGAGGAAGGGAAGGGAAGGTGGAGGTTTTGAAGTATAATTTGTCTAAATTGAAGTTTACAAGCGATAGATAAAGTTAGGGTCCTGGATATCACTCAAATCATCTTCCACGTTGGTTAATATTGCTGATGAGTTTTCAAGTCGTCTGCGGTTTACATTTGCCATTCTCCAACGTGCAACCAACATGAGTATGATGGTTATAAAACTGGCGATAATATAGCCGACCATGCTGCCTAGATATCTTGGTGCGTGACTTTCGTTCATCATGAGCGGACCACAGAAGTTTCCGATTGTATAGAATATCATAATAAGACCGTTATAAAAGATCTTTTTAGTGTATCCAGATACATTGTTAGAAATAGAGGTAATCATAAGAACATATGCTCCAACATAGGACCAGGCTAGGTAAAATCCAAAAAGTTTTGCGCGTGTTTCTGGAATGACAAGAAGAAGGATCAAGCCGATTATGTCAATTATCATCATAAAGCAGGCAGTATATATCGTTTCTCTGGTCTTTCTAACAATGATGATTGATAGTACAATCATCAGTATGACTGATCCTCCGGAGCCAACACTTAGAAGTGTAGATTGAAGACCCTAAAAATCAAAGGTTTAATTGAAGGTTATGTACCAAAGTATATACATTTACTTACTGTAAATCCAAAGCCCATCGTAATCTGTGAACTGTAAACTGTCATGGCACCGTTTTGAAGGTTTATCAGAAGACATGCGAAGGAAAAGCACCAGAAACGTGGTTCACGTAGAGCCTCAAGGATCTGACTTTTTTTCATTACCGAGGTACGTACGACGGCATTATCTCTGGTTCGTTCTTCGACCAAGATTTCCTGTTCGGCATTTAATTCTAAGGCTCGCGATTTCGGATTGTCGATCAAGAAGAAGAAAGAGAAAACTCCAACTGTGGCGGTAATAGAGCCAAGAATTATCATAATCCTATTATTATTATTTTTTAAAAATGAATATATAAGCATTAATATGTGTATGTATATTACAAGAAAAAAAAAGGATTTACCATTGCCACTCCTCAAGACCCCTCAGATTTTTCATGGTTCCGATTCCATAAGTAAGGATTCCTCCGATAATAAGCCCTAACCCGTTGCACAGCCAGAATGCGCCCAATCTAGTGATTTGTTCAGAGCGACGATAAAAAGTACTGACAAGAAGGGTAAGGGCAGGGTATATGCCTGCTTCAAAAAATCCGAGTAAAAAGCGCATGGCTGCAATTTGTGAGAAATTGTGTCCAAGTGCTGTTAGGGCCAAGACTGTTCCCCACAGAAACACCATGACGCCTATGTATTTTCCAAGTGGTACTCGCTGTAATAAAAAGTTATTTGGTATCTAAAGAACCAAAAGAAAATATATTTGTATATAGAAATTATTAAGTATCATTGGGCAAAAATATATATATATATTATATATATAATCATCATTCAGGCTCTAAACAGAAAATTTAAGCTAAACTACCAATTTACCTGAAATACCAAATAGCCGAGATAGAAAATCGACCCTAGTAGAGCGTATTGGTTTCCTACAAGGTTTACTTTTTCTCTAAAGCCAAAGCCACTTGCATATGTAATTGTAGATTTATCAAGGAACTGAATTAAGCGTCAATAATAGTATAATTTATTTATTGAATTGTCGAGTTTTCTCACCTGAAGAAAATCGATGGTGCAGATAATGGGCATGATCATAAAGTCCAATTTACGAACAAACGCACGTTCTTCGCTAGATGACGGTGGGTCTTCTTGACCATACATATAATCATTGTATTGGTGGTATGGTGAAGATTCTGAGTCTCCGTAGAGGGATTGGTTTGATTGTTTTTCCATTGTGTCTAGAGGTATATCTGAGGACGTTCTGGGATATACTGACATTGCATTTGTCCCTGCGAATATCTATAAAGGGAGGGCTTTGAGCAGATAATCTGAAAGTCTCTTTTGGCACAAATAATAGGCGAGCAGAATATGAGAAAGAAGTAGTACGGAGAAAGAGAGGTATATAAAAAAGAAAAAGAAAAGAGTTTAATTACGATAATGAGTCTGAAATTGAAGAAATTAAAAACAAAAAAAAATCAAAAAAAAAATCAAAAATTGGATTAGTCTGAAGATTTGTTTTTCAACATTTGTTGTGTGGATTATCAATTCTGACTCTTTAGAAGCAGTTCAATCACCTCTTTTGAAGTCTAAAATAAGAATATTAGTGGCGTGAAAGAGAACTAGTACTTTTCTTCAGTATAGGAAACCTTGAACATGTATAGCATTTCCATAACAAACACGACTTCTTTTAAAGAAGAAAAAAAGAAAACAAACAATAGACTATAATTTAGATGATATTACTAATATATTTGAAGTTAATGGCTAACTAAACTTTAAACGACAAGAAGCCGTACTGCTTAAAGTGGATTTGACGTATTACAACCCATATTTTTTTTTAATGTTAAAAAGACGCTTTTTGTTGTACAATAGTTCGATCACAATTCCGCCCTACACAGTCAAACTTTTGGATTTTTTTTTTCCTTTGTATTTATCGATACTGTCAAACCTATTGAATTTGGCGTTTTCTCAAAAATTATGTCGGATAATAAAACCCAAATGCCATGAGTTTAAATTGCTTTTATATCACTTTTGTTGAAAAACAAATTGTCGGATATGGCTAACTATAATTGACTGGAAAATTGCGTTTACTTATCGCATATTTTCTGTACCTGCTTTTTTTTTTGTCTCTCTCTCTTCCTAATGCGCTCTGAAATATCAAAACGTCGTCACTCCCAGAAATACACCGTTCTTTTGACCACCCTTTGTTTGCTTTCCTTTTGCATAACATGTTTTTTTTACAGCTTAAATCACTCATGCCATCAATAAATAACAAAAACCTAAAGTCCTTTTGTCCTCTAAACGATACTTATTAGAGTTTGAGCATAATGGAATTACTTGGGCCTATAAAGCCAATAATACCCCCACAACTGAGATTACAAACCACATAAGCATCCCGTAGACAACAATCAACATCACTCATCATCAAACTGAAAATAAATTTGTATCACAAAAACCAAAAAGACCAAAGAAACTCTATGTTATAGATGTTATAAGTCTTGGATGGTATGCCTAGTTTTCAAAAGAATTACGTCCCACGCTCAAACAAAGAATTTAGAGGCTGACGGTGTCATCATCTGTGGACAGAGACGCACATGTAAACTGGTTGTTCGAGTATATCAATTCATGATATCCAAAAATTAAATGAGAAACATGATACTGTGTTCACGTTCCAAGAAAGTGGCACTAGCTACCACACTGGGGTCCTACATGACGTGGTTTAAAAAAGATGATGTGTAGTTTACTAGGGATTAGAAATCAAGAAATCTAACGCTGATTTCTTTGGCATGAGAATAATTGCTTCTATTTACCATGAGTAGAAGGCTAAACAGCTCAGATAATACACGTATAGCAAATGCAATCGTACTATGTCACGACTGCGAGCACAGGCTTCATAATTTTTGCTAATCTGAAAGATAAAGTCTATCAAACACCTTATTATAGTGTTCATGGCTTTATGTCCAGGTCTTTATTTATTTTACTTTTTATGGAAATGTAAAAAAAGAAAGAAAAGTAATAGGGTAATGAAGAATACAGTTATTTTTCAGTATGGTTTGGCTTGACACAAGCAAAAGGGATCAAGTTTTGGATTAGAAAAACAACAGCTTTTTTTATTTATTTGACATTGAGCTATACATAAATTAACGTTTTTGACACCTATGATATTTGAATACATATGTAAATGATTTGTTGTTTGGCTCTGGGTTAACTTTAGGGTTAAGAATATATTGACGGTAAAGAGAAGTTCTTGCACCGTAAAGTGATATACAACCAATTGAGCTAAGTAGCGGTATTGTATTTTTTGATAAGGACTATAGTAAATGGAAATACAGTCTTAGTAGCTACTAGATAAGGATCGTACTATTGGTACCCGAGCCTATACAAAGATACCGTATAGAAAAAGCTCACCAACCAAACCGGCATTTCCTTTCCGAAATAAAATATAAGAACCCATAATCTCCAACATTCATGAATACCATACATTATCTATAGATCTTAAATGTCTTTCTCGACAGCATTACTGACGCTGGCCATAGCTTTTGGTATTAAAAAAGGTATTCATTATTATGTTATATATTTGTATTAGGATGAAAGAGAGAGAGGCAAAAGCAGGTACAGAAGATATGCGACAATTAAACGCAAGTTTCCATTCAATTATAGTTAGCCATTTCCGACAATTTGTTTTTTCAACCAAAGAGGTAAAAAAGCAATCTAAACTCATGACATTTGGTTTTGATTATCCGACATATTTTTTGAGAAAACGCTAGATTCGATAGGCTTGCCTGTCCATACCACGCTACCCGTTCAGTGCAACATATTGACTCTTAAATGATGTATTCATTTTATTTTGTATTATATTATTTTATATTATATTGATTTTGAACTACGCAGAAATTCAATTTTTAATCTAACTCGAATCACAATATGTGTCTGATTGTGAATCCAAGAGATACACAAAAGGGTCTTTAACAAAAATGTATATATATTTTAAATGATATATTATTATATAGAGGGAAAAATATGATCCATTATTATTTGAAATCTAATTATAAAATATGAAAGTATTAAGCTGAATAAGTAAAAATGCAGTAGTGTACAAGGAAAAGAACCCTGAACATGTGTTACTTGAGGGTATTTTATGTGAGTAATAAACAAGGTACTGTGGGATTCTTCGAAGCCACTGGAAATTTTGTGAGTTAGCCAGGAACCGGACTCATTATAGACGGTAAATGTAGTTTGGGTTTTGGATATCAGTCAGATCATCATTAACGTCGATCTCATCTTTACTCGGGTTGGCGAGGCGTTCGCGGTTCGATTTCATCATGTAGTAACGAGCCAGTAGGAGAAGACCAATACAAACTGCGTTGGCACACATGTATCCGATCATACCACCAAGGTAAAGAGGTGCTTGCCATGAAACCATCATTTGGGGACCAATAAAGTTTCCAAATGTGTACATCACCATCATTCCAGTGCTGTAAAAGATCTTTTTTGTATAGCCAGCAACATTGTTTGCCACTGATACCAAAATGAGGGTATATGCAGCAGCATAAGACCAGCACATGTAAAGACCAAGCAACTTGACTTGAGGCTTAGGAATTACGATAAGTAGAATGAGACCAAGTACAGAGATAGCAAGAAGTACACAGCTGGTATAGATTGTATGGCCATAACGACGGTTGAACCAAACAGCAAAGGCAATGTATATGCAATCCACTACCCCGGATGGTACTGAAAGAAGAATGGCATTAAGACTCTAAATAAGTAAAAATGAATTAATATTAATATTAATATTAATATTAAAATTAAAATTGGTCAACATTTTAATAACCTTTTCTACAATTATACAATGAATATAAAATCCCTTACCGAAAACCCAAATCCAGCTGTGATAATTGCGCTGAAAGTACTCAGTGCACCGTTTTGGAAGTTGATGAGAAGAGAAGATAAAATGAAGCAGTAAAAGCGGGGCTCTCGGAGTGATTCAAGCATGTGGCTGTACTTAATTTCAGTTGTTCGTACGACTGAATTGTCTCTTAGGCGGGCATCAACAACTTCTTTTTGTTCGGGCGTGAGCCGAAGGAAACGAGATCTGGGGTTGTCGATTAGGCAGAAAAAGCATATTACGCCAAATAGAATTGTGACTGAACCAAGAATGATCATGATCCTACAGTTCATAAATTGTTAGTGACAGTAAGGCAAAGGCGCAAAGTCTTACCATTGCCAAGAACTCTTTCCAAGAACATTTTCCATGTGACCAATGCCGTAACTTACAAGGCCACCAACAGCCATTGCAATACCGTTGCAAATGTAAACGACACCAATTCTAACAGACTGTTCTGTGCGACGGTACATTGAACTGATCAACATGATACAACATGGGTAGATTCCAGCCTCAAAGAAACCCAAAAGAAAACGAAGGGCCGCGAGTTGAGAAAAGTTTTTTCCTTCTGAGGTTACAGTGAGGACTACACCCCAGATTATAATCAGTGATCCCATATATTTAGATATAGGAACTCTTTGAAGAAGAATTGCATTGGGACCCTATAGAACAGTGTTAATATTTTCTGAAACGTGCTTGTATCTATTTTATTTTTCTGCTTGAAAATATACCTGGAATAGAAGGTATCCGAGATAAAAGATAGATCCAAGCCATCCATACTGAGCACTTGTAATACCAGTGTCGGCTTTGATAGTTAACACGCCAGAGTAATTAAGAGAAGACTTGTCAAAAAACTAGACAGAATTTGTTAGTTCAAGTCATATTTCTTATAAACAAATTCTTACCTGCAAGAAATTGAGGACAGCAATAAAAGGCATAACATAGATATAATCCAACTTGCGAACCAAGGATCTTTCTGCAGCTGACTGGACGAAAGTCTCATTCCCAGCTTCGTCAAAACGCTCGTTGATGCTCACAGTCTCGAGCACATCTTGTTTTTCATAGTCATTGGGATGATAACTATCAACTTTTGTGTCTACACTCCCTGTCATTATGTAATTTATGCCGAATTACAGTTGATGAATAAAGAGATAAAACTTCGGTGTTCTTAAGCCTTCTTTATTTTTTTTTAAAAAAAAGGGCAGAAGTTAAAGAATTAAGTCTAGTTAAAAAATTGATCCAAGTTTTATACTGGATCCCAGTATCTTTTTTTATTTATTTATTTATTTACAGTTATTTCAAAAAAGCAAAGGAGCGGTTTTGGAATTTGAAAGGACTCTATTTGATGTCTACCTTGGTCAATGATAGTCCGGAAATCTCTTACAAAGCCGCGATGAAAATCCCGATACGTTTTTAAGTATTCTGTGCGTCGCAACACGGGCGTAAAAACTATGGGCAGATATATATCAAGATTAAGACTGATTTTGAATAAAGGAACCAGAGCAACAAGCGTGTATAGTGCTGTAGTACCATATTCCATATCTCTCTCTTTCTCTCTTTATGTATTGGTATAAAATAAAATATATAGCCTAGTACAGGCCCTGTATTACTTTCAGTATGCACACGATATTGATTTCCAGGAATAGTATCATCTGTATTATTGCTATTATTTTTATTGGCTGGTTGCTTGTCAGCAAAAGATTATGTATATTGCTTCCTTTCTGTAATCATTTTCGTTTTCTATTTTTCTTTCTGCTGTGAATACGAATCGAATTCGTTTAGTCTCATTTTTCTAGCAGAAGAACATACATTACTTATAAGAATAAGATGTCAGTTTTCCCTTGTTTGGGATTCCAAAGGAGCCATGAATATTTTTCATGCTGGGTTAATATTGCTGTAGTATTTTAGCCGGAGTAGAAGCCCATCAGAAGATATAAAAAAAACACTACCCTATAATGATACTAGTTCCGCAAAATCGTACCTGAAGTATATACAGTATCTCATTTTATTTCATTTCATGCTATTGTTTATTTATTATTGTGAACAAACTTCTTTTTGACATCCCTGTTACATGCTTTTTGTACAATGTTGCTTTTGGCGTGTACATGGTCTCACATGCCACATGGAATCTTACAGAATCGCTTTGTTGATTTTCGGGGTGGACAAGAAATTGATCGTGTATGAATTTGTGATCCTGTGAATATTGATTTGAATGGGTTATGAGTTGTACGAATTTCATTTTTGTAAAACCATTGTGGCATGGTTTGAAAAATATATGTAAAATGGGGGGAAAAAAGCGACTACTATTCTTCGTATACTTTTCGTGTATTTCCTTGTACTCCAGTTTTTTTAATTTTTTTACTTTACTTTATTTTTATTTCTTCTTTACAGGGCACTCGTAAGTACACAAAAATATAGACAAATCAGCTACGGACAGTCTAAAAATCAATAAACTCTCTTCATTTCTTGTGCATAAATATAACCCAAGCGTATGTGATGAGCAGCATCATGCGCTATATCACTTAATAATATATATCATACACAAAAATCCTGTATAGACTCATATCTAGTAGCTTTTAGTGTCATCCTTTCCAAAAATGACCCTTTACTCAGAAGGAAGTGGTTATGTACTGATATTATAGTAATTCTATAATAGAATACAATAGAATACCCTTTCTACAATGTCTATAAAAAACCCTGTAGATATATACCCATTAATTTATTGAGCTTAAAGTATTAAAAAGTAGTAAATAGATGCATATATGTTTCTTCCACCAAATATTGACCATCGTATTGTATTACGATTTGAATCAGTTAACAACGTAGCTATAGAAATTTAAATATATATATAAAACAAAAGACATTTTTGGCTTTAGATCAGAATTACTTTTATCTATTGCTAGGTGATAAACTGCGGTACTAACCACCAAAATATAAGTGTATAGACAGTTAAGAGGATAATACACCTGCAACCAATGGATATTCTGGTAAGAAGGGCAAATAGCATATCAGGGGCTGATATATATATCATAGCATAGATTGTGAGCCAAAATGATACCGTGACAAGATAAACAAAATTCAAGTATCTTTTGAGGTTGGCTATAGAAGGGATATGTCACTTAATATATGCTACCATGATTGCATACGGCTAAACCCAGAAAATGTACTGGTTGTCTTATAATAGTCGCTTCAGCGCGTGATATATCTTTCTCTCTCTATGCCTTTATTACTCTTAATAAATATAGCACTTATCCGCGTTTAGCTAACTTTATAGCAAATGATTTGTTTTTGCGAGTAGACAAAAAAAAACAGTAAAGAAATTGTTTATAAATTAATTATCAACTGACTGAAACTTTGTCCATTCTTTTTATAAAAATAGCTGTAGCTGTAGCTGTGAATGGTGGAATGATTGCCTTAAGTATAAAAGCTTTGTTTTACTTAGACGTCTTGACTATATTATGAAGATAATTAGATTGAAAAAAAAGTAAGGGGGATAGTATTTGAATAAGCTCTTGAAATATTTCCCGGCATTGTCTTTTGTATACTAACTGGTGTCAATACCTTTTGGTAAAAAGAACTTTTGAAGACGATTCGGATATTTTATGTTACACAAATTTATTCGAGGATGTTACTAAAGCTTAAGGTTGCGGCATTGTCTCAGTTCTATAGTTAGCGAGAAGGGTTGTTTGTTACTGTACTGCCTTGATCATCCAAATAATTTCGGCTTGTATATTAATAAATTAAGAATATACATATTGAGAGGTGTAGTTTCACTGGGGTGTTGGGCTGGGGCACTTATTTAAACTTCTTTATATCGGAATTGCAGTAAGGACAGGCACTTTCTTGTAAAATTAACCCTTCACCCCTCCTTTTTTTAACTCTTTATTTGAATTTATTAAAGATATAATAACAAGAACAGATTGGGATCTAAAAAGCATGGTATATTGGTTTAGAAAAAGAGATTGTTTTTAAAGACAAAAAAAATAGTCGAACCTTCACTTAGATTCATAGAGGTACCTCGATATTTCCTATTCAAAATGATAAACGAACGACCTTGAGAATAAAGTCAAATAAGATTGACTATTTACTTGGTATTTCTTTAATAAAAAAACATGGCGGTAAATGACAATTTTGTACACTCTGATCAATTAAAAAAACTGTTATTATTATTATTTCCAAAATGTCAATTAATAGGTTTGGTTGCTCCAAAACAAAACAAAGCAAATAAAAACTAATTACATTGGATTGAAGGCCTATGTTTTATGGAAATCAGCTATGAAGCTTACAATACATTAATGTAAATTAATATATTAAGAAGGTTAATTGTTTTATCAAAATTAAAAAAAAAAAACCAAAAAAAACTTTTCAAATATTTCTATCGAAAAACAGTGCATAGAAATTATTACTACTATTATTATTGTTTGGCTGTACTAAATCTCATTAATGAAATAGCTTTAATAGACAAAGAATAGTTACTTTTATACATCAGTAAAAGAAAAGTCAACTAGAGGGTAAAATCTGGAAGTCTCCCCTCTTCATTATGAATACATAAAGAATCATAATATTTTGGTGTATCTATATATTTTATACTCAAATACTCAGTAACTTTCAAACATCTTATTTTTCACAAAAGAAAAATATATCTTTAACTCGCACTAATGATAGTAAGTACATAAATCACATGACATATGCGCCCATTTATCGTGCGGGTAATGAAATCCAAGGGCTTTTCATTCTTCAAGAACGTAAAGCAAGATGGTAAGGGCAAATAGAATCAGAATGGTTTACACAGTAAAACGGATACTAAACCAACAAGGATACAGTCGAACGAAAGCAGAGATAATCTCCTTGCCCATGATAGTTTCATCTCTGCAGACAACCTAGAAGCCGCTAACTTCAACAATAACTTAAATGGAAATGGAAACCCAAACGTTAACGCAAACAACAATGTGATCCGGGACTACTTTGAACAATCAAGGTAAGGAATCATTGTGGCATTGATCTGTTCTTGAATTAATTGTTGATAAAAAAAATGAAATACTCTGATTTATAGTCACCCCATTGCAGCTTTTTTCTTTATCGCGTTTCGACTAGGCGCACTCCTAATGTATTTGTTGGGATCGATTTTCACAGACAACTTTACGCTCGTCTTTGTTGTGACAATCCTTTTACTTGCCTTTGATTTTTGGACTGTAAAAAACGTTTCTGGACGTTTACTTGTTGGTCTCCGCTGGTGGAATGAGATTCAGGAAGATGGTTCTAATCGATGGGTTTTCGAAAGTGCTCATGTAAGTTATTGTTTCATCTTGAGATTACTTGGTTAAACTTATCTCTTGGCATAATATAGCCTAATCGAAAGGCTAACTCCGGAGACTCGCGTCTTTTCTGGTCCGTTCTATATGCAACCCCCGTTCTTTGGGTGCTTCTGGCTTTGACAGCGTTGATTACTGTCAAGGCATCTTGGTTGGTTATTGTGGCAGTGGCACTTATTCTGAATGTGGCCAATGTGTATGGTTATACTCAATGTGACAAGGATGCTAAAAGAAAGTGGGCAACTGGAATGGCTGCTCAGTCTGCATTTGGATCGCTTGGTAGTGGTGCCTCTGGCTTTATTGGGAAAGCCGTGACATCTGGTTTGGGGAACTTCTTTGGATCCCGGTAACTGAGGTCTGTCAAATTATATCACATAAATAAAAAGAAAAAGAAGTTCTGCAATAAACAGGAGTATATTTACATCTTTCGTCAGGAGAAATGTATTTGCATTCTTATTCCTCAGGGGAGTTGGTAATTGAATATTTATGTTTACAAAATCTTCTATATGATTATTTTCAACTCTTATCTTTATCCTTATTCCTATTACTCCTATTCCTATTCCTATTCCTACTCTTCTCTTTTTATACTTCTTCTAGTATTTGTTACCTTATTTTTCTGTCTAGGCATAAAATAAGCCAGCTATGAAATATTTTAATGTTATACCAGCGCTTTTAACTTTAGTACTCTCTATTCTCTCTCTTGTAAAATGTCAGAATGTATGCAATGGCTACTCTGGCTTGTGCGACCGCTCATATACCAACATAACATACCTTGTAACCCACGATTCATATGCAGTAGGAAGAAATATAGCAGCTACCCAAAACTTCCCTATTATTGACCAACTTAACCAAGGTGTAAGAGGTCTAAAGTTTTCAGCAGTTGCTCCGATTCTGGATCGAGCTGCTGTACATCTGTGCCATACGTCTTGCAGTATTCTTGATGCTGGACCTGCTTCGGGTGTTTTAGATACAATAGCTGAATGGTTGGATGAACACCCTCGGGAGGTTATAACTATCATGTGGAATAATCTATATAATATGAAAGCGGGTCGACTGGCGAATGTATATAGTGCTTCGAAAATAATGCCTTACATCTATACACACGATTCATCAAAACCTTGGCCGACATTGAACGAAATGATTGATTCAGGGAAGCGCGTTGTTAACTTTGTGGATTCTCAGGCCGATGAAAAAAACATTCCTTGGTGAGCAAAAAGAAACTTTAACAAAAAGAACGATTAGCTGAGCAATGGAGATGTATGCTCACACCTTTACATGCATATTTATAGGCTTATGGATCAGTTTCAATTGGTATTCGAGACTCCGTACGAAAATACAGATCAGAACTCTTTCAAGTGTACTATCGATCGACCTTCCACTCTAAAATCACCTGATGGGCATATGTATGTAATGAATCACTTCTTATACGGGACCCTCAAGCTAGGCAACATAGAGGCTCAGGTTCCCCAACGAGACAGTGCCACAGTGACTAACAGTAAATCGCTTCGTGAGCAAATCGCTGAATGCACTCGTACCTTTGGGAAAAAACCTAACTTTATTGAAGTTGACTTTTATGATGACGGAGATGCCATGGAAATTGTATCAGAGCTAAATGAAGTACCATGGGTAAAATTAGCTGGTGTAATCGAAACACCTATCAGTACACCGCCTGTAGCTACAAAAGCACAGTTTCCGTGGATTCCCACTCATATTGTTATAAACAACTCTGCGCTAAAAGAAGGGATTCAAACCTTAAAAATATTATATTTATCATTAGTAATAGCTGCATTTAATTTTTGAAGCATATAAACTTTTTTTTAATATTTTTTTTCCCATTTATATCTAACTTTAATCTGCCTATACTCCTACGAGATTTTCTATTTACAATTTTCTTCTCATAATTGCTATAATATTGGAATTCAGTGCCTTGTTCAAACTCTTTTTTTGGAGGACTTTTCTTGCAAAAGTACCTAAAAAGATTTAATTAAAGCGACTTATTTTTCATTGGATAATTAGACTTAATAATAAAATTCATCTTTTATTTTCTCTCTTATTTGCTATACTCTTGTGTTTGTTATATCTTAAGAAAAGAAGAAGAGAAACAAAGTGCAGATGAGAAGTAAGGTGAGACTTTGTTTTATTAAAGAAAAGAGAATAAGAGTATTCCTTATTGCTATTCATATTATGCGTTTATGTAGACATTGCAGTTTGGGTGATGATAAAAGTATATAATGTAATGTCTGTTTTCTCTATTATTGATAAGATATACTAAGTTATTAGACATGCTTTGATTATGATAATAAGTGCTGTAGAATGGAATGTGAGATCTTGCTACTGCTATTATATATATATATTTATAGTGTGAACCAAGATATATAATTTGATAGTGATTACTTATCTAATAAATTTCTTTATTGAGTATATGTGCACTCTATTTTTGATTAGTAATTATGTTGAATATAACAGTGTTATTAAAGCTTGACGAACTTGGCTATGTTTACAGTGAATTGAAAGATAGACTTGAACAGGTACAACAAAATAACATTCTGTCATAGTTGACATTGGTGATCAAAATTGGAAGTTATAAGCAATCAGTAACAGCTGACTTTTCAGAATAAAAGATCTTGACTTTGCTGATTGGTCTTCTGTATATGCTTTAGATGTTTTAAATGGTGAATATACTTGTAGAAGATATTACTGGACAATTAGCATCTAAGACATATTATTGTAGCTATTCTTTTAGCCAGAAATCAAGTATCATTTTGTATAAATAGTTAAGAAATATAATTAATAAAAAGTATCTTTATTCTTATCTAAAAACTATTCTTAAAACTTGACAATCCACAGTGATATTGATTCTGCGACTTTGTTACAAGTGCCCGAAAAGAAATGTCAAGTCTCGACTGGATGTATCTTTCTATTATTTTAACTTGTATAAGTTTTAATAATAGATCACCACCAACTAGGACGTTGTGAATAAATAGGAACATATAGGAATATAGAGAATTGAATGCTTTTTATTGATATAAATCTTGGAGTATTTATACAGATTTCTTAAAAGTGAAACTATCTAATCTAATTATTTTACCCAAGACATATTGGTTTTACATTTATGGAAGGCGATATAATATGTCTTGGTTAACAAAAAGGGGAACCAATCAGTATAACATTGACGGCATATGTTAAAAGGAATAACCAATTGGATACCTGACTTAAGGATTTCTATCTACGATGTCAACTCTGACAGAAATACCAGATCGAGACTTGACAGTTGTTGTGACTGAGAGTCACAGATGCACTACTTGCAGTAGTAAAGGACTACTGCAAGAAGGTACATACGAGTGCATAAAATACTCTCTCTCTTCATCATTCTGTCTGCATCAATATCCGTAGTCTTTTCATATAAAATAGCTTCATATTCTCGTCAATAAACATCATCTTTCACAAGCTCAACTCTTCTTCCTCTTACTTCTTCTACTCCGTTTCCTAAAACGGATATTATCACATCTTAAAGACCGCTGTTCATTATGTCGGACATTATTTTGATGAATCCGAGAAATCGGGATAATTGACCGCAGCAGTTCTGTGTGTCAAAGATACCTCATAGATAACGAACCGCAGTAATGTCTTGTAAAGATTAACCACAGTAACATCTTCTGAGCATCAACCGCAGTAAAAGGACTTCTCTTGTAATTAAATAGAGTATAATAGTTTACTGCGGATAATGCGCAGTATTAGTTTAGAAAACTATATAAGACAATTCAATTCCTATCAATAAAAAGTACCTTTTATCCTCTCTTCGATTTTACATATACTCTCCTATCCCCAGTGGGTTTGACCTTTTGACTTTGCTATAGTAAAAGGAAGACCATCCCAGATCAGGAACGACAATTACACAGTTTGACTTTGTTATAGTAAAAGGAAGACCAACCCAGATCGGGCACGACAAAAAACAAAAAATTATCCCACAGGGACAAGTTCAAGGGCTTCTCCGGGAATCGAACCCGGGACCTCTCGCACCCTAAGCGAGAATTATACCACTAAACCAAGAAGCCATGAATACATGCAAGTAGAAACACATACAATAGAGAGTTCAAAATAGCATGGAAATGGAGCTGTAAGGAGGATGAGACTGTGGCGACGTTCTCCCATCACCTTGTCAGCACCTGAAGGATCTCTACAAGCTGGCAATAACATGATCGACTATCTTGAGAACGTTTTTGGTGGATCTGCGGAAATACGGACTGCTCCAACGGTTTTGCCATTTAAACCTGGCACATAAGAGGAAAAGAAAGTACCATGGGACGTAGAACAAGTCAGAGAAGCTATTCGAAATCTGCCAAATCAAAAAGCACCAGGTATTGATCACATTAGGGCAAAAATGCTCAAACCTCTTGTTAGAACTCTTGGCCTCTTGCTCCATAAGCTGTTCATTCTGTGTTGGAAATGGTCGTGGACGCCTATTACATAGAGAACTGCACAGGTGGTATATATTTACAAGAACAAAGGAGCTGTTATGTATGAGATAAAAATAAGATATAAAATAAAGCAAGTGCAGACGAGAGTACAGTGAGACTTTGTTTTATTAGAAGAAGTGAAAGAATCAGAAAAGAGATGCTGTTCTATTGCTATTAGTATTGTGCATTTATATAGACATTGTATTTAGCTTGGTGATGATATGATGATATCATATAATGTCTGTTTCTCTACTGTTGTGGTGGTTGAAGTTGAAGAAGTTTTTAAGAGGAAGAATTCAAGATTTGAAATTAGGAACGAAGATTCGTGAGAACTTGTGTAGGTTTTGTTTATTGAGAAAGATTTTGTATCAAAGTTTGACCAGGTTCCTACACTGAACTACTACTGCTATTTATATTGTTTTGGATTGGGAAAATTATATGACTGGGGTCAGGTAATCGATCCTATCTGAGCCTTAATCAGAGCAACGTGATCTTGGGATAATTAATGTATGATTAATTATATAAATGTGTGTAGTCCCAATGAAGTATTAACATCGAAAGTAAATGTGTTTATGAGTTATAATTATGCTTATAATAATCCACTGATGTATCCCATATTATGGTGATATCATCATATGAAATATAATCACTATCATGCATGCTAAACCTGTGTGTTAAATAATAAAGTAATCGGTAGACACCTTTGACTGGAATAGCTGAGGCCTTATATTATGTCCTTCAGACTTATTCTCAATTACAGCAGTAGTCAATACTCATTTACAACATCTACCATTATCTTCTATGATTTAGTTCTTATGTTTTTAGTGTTATTGACTAGAGTCTTAGTATTTGTCTTAGTATGTTCTTTATGTAATTTCCTTATATAAGGGAAGGTATATCTTTTAGTATCATTACTAGTTGTCGGTAACTCAATGTACATATTTATTGAGTATCTGTACTTTTAATTTAAATCTACAATTATGTTAGATACAACAGGAGCGCACGTAGATCTCAGCAGTTATAGGCCTATCAGTCTGACTTTGGTGTTTAGGAAGCTGTTAGAGCGATATCTGGCTGTGAAACTCCTTCAGACCATGCCAGAGTTGGACATAGCTCAGGGAGGATTTCGTGCAAGTTGTGAAACCCTAGACCAGGCGCTTTGTTTACATGAACTGATAAGAATGTATTTTGTCCCTGACCCAAAGCAAGAGCAAGTGCTTATCCCCTCAGTTGTTGTCTTCCTGGATATTAAAGCTGCATATGACAGTGTTAATTGTCTGGTCATATAGAAAATGTTAAGGCCCTTTGTGTCTGAACCCTTGCTAATGCTGCTTCAAAACTTATTTAATGACATTGTTGTTACTGTAGTATTGAAAAATGTGGTATCCCGTGATATCTCCCCAAGGCATGATGTGTTGCAAGGGAGTATTCTTTCACCCTTTCTTTATTCATTGTTTATTGATACTCTCTCTCATTTTCTGCAAGGAGTCTCCACTTGCCCCCAACTTGTGCGCATCCCCTCCCCAGATTGTAAAAGGTCATTGCCTATGTCTTCTTTGCAACCTGACACATTTGATACCTGTGGTGATCCAGACACTCGGATGTTGGATTTGTGATATACACACCACAATTGAGTGAAGAACAGACCCCACAACCAAACACTGGTTCCTTCTTGCTAATGAACCTGGCAAGTTAACAATCTCCGGAACTGTTACACACCAGGCACACGTACACTACACACTCATACAGTGTAAACCAACCATTACACAACAGGGATTTGAATTACAGGGATTTGAATAGTAGCAGATATAAACAATATTATTTGGTCTTTTTAATAAATAACACTCTCACAGTATCTACTCTTCCCATTATTGAGATACTAACTCATAAACAATCCCGAATACCTCAGGATTTATCACATATAAGAACATATTCATATTGGGATAGTGTAGTAGCTATCATCTTATCAGTATTATTGTGAATGAGTATTGATTACTGCTGAATCTGAGAGTAAGACTGAAGGATAAAATAATATCCTCAGCTATTCCAGTCAAATGGATCTCCCTTTATGATATTATCTAATACACAGATCATCATACACATACTTGATTATTTATTATTATCACCATGACATAAGATATACAAATACATATACATTATATATATGGCATCATTATATTTCATCTACATATTTCTTTTATTATACAAATACTTAATTGAGAGACTATAACTACAACTATTTAATATTATGAAATATTACCCAAGTATCTGGGTCGAAATACTAAAATATTACCAATAGCATAAATGCTCTTCTTTACCAAAACTCTTAGACTGATCTGACTGGAGAAGTATCATATCAATTTGTTGTGAATGAGTATTGATTACTGCTGAATCTGAGAGTAAGACTGAAGGATAAAATAATATCCTCAGCTATTCCAGTCAAACGGATCTCCCTTTATGATATTATCTAATACACAGATCATCATACACATAATTGATTATTTATTATTATCACCATGACATGGGATATACAAATACATATACATTATATATATGGCATCATTATATTTCATCTACATATTTCTTTTATTATACAAATACTTAATTGAGAGACTACAACTACAACTATCTAATATTATGAAACATTACCCGAGTATCTGGGTCGGAATACTAAAATATTACCAATAGCATAAATGCTCTTCTTTACCAAAACTCTTGGACTGATCTGACTGGAGAAGTATCATATCAATTGGTCTTTCCGGATCTTTCCAGAAGAACAATACTCCTGGAAGATGACTCATCGTGATAAAGATTACTTAAGCACACACTGAATTACAAATTAGAAAAACATATAAATATCAGTAGATAGTTCCGTGTAGAAAGACAATCGAATTTTATCATTCTTTACTTTTCTTTTGAAATAAACAACCTACACAAGTTCTCACGAATTCTTTCGTCTATATTATATTTTGCTTTATTTTCTCCCCACAACATTTTTTTTCGTGAACTACAATGAACTCTCCTGCTGACTTGTTTCCCGCTGGTTTGACCCCTGTTCCTGAGGAGGCTACCTTGTCCCCCATGTCTGCGGATGAATTATTCTCTGACTTGAGTGAGCCCGTCCTCTTTCCGGATGCTGCCCCTGGTTTTGGTTCCGTTTCTGGTTCTGGTTCCCCTCCCGTTGGTAGAGAAGTAGCAACTGCTTCCTCCTGTGTGGCCGTTCTCAAGGCTGAATTGGGCAACCACATCGAGGCCTTCAGCGCTGCTCATGTAGCAAACAATGAGCAAGCAGCTGATGATGCACTCCGCAGGATCGAGCGCACAAGATTGGCAATCACTAGCCTTGAAAAGTGCAGCGAGATGCTTGCCTCTCCTGGTACAAACACAGAGAGAGCTGGCCGTGAAGGAGGGTTGACTCTCAACAGAAGAGATCTTCCCAAATTCCAATTGGCCTCCAGTATTATTAAGCCCTTCCCAAATGAAGAGGTTTTTGAATCAGTTGGACATTTCCTACGTACCTTCAAGAATGTGATCGAGTCTTCTTCCTTGGACATCGAGAGAGTTTGGAAGAAATTCCTCCCACTTTGCCTGCCTCACACTGATGACGGATGGGTAGAGATGGATCTTAAGAAGTGTATTGATTGGAAGGCGGCGAAATCATGCTTCAACAAAAGACATGGTTCCAGCTTGGTGTCTCGACGATTCACAGACCAGGTCTTTACAATGATGATGAAGAACACTGAGTCCATCGGTGATTACTCGAAGAAGTTCCTCCGTGCGGTTTACAATGCTGGTTTACCCAAAGACGATGCTCGCATCGCTGATCGCTTCCTTGCCTCGCTGACCTTATCAGTGCAAACACTGGTAAGAGTTACCATGGCCCGCTCTGGTCCCAATGGGGAGTCCAAGCGTGATTGGACTGTAGAGCAGATCACGCAGATCGGCAGAGACATCCTTGGGGATGACAACAGGCTCTATGCTGAGGCGACCCGATTGATTCCTGGTTCCCGTGGGCAACCTGAGAAGAATAACGAGGAACATCCCAGAAAGAAGCTTCACCATTCCAACAAGATAACCAAGCATGAGAAGACATTTTTCTGCTCGCACCATGGAAAAAACCCGACCCATGAGTCCAGCAAGTGTTTTACCTTGATCAACCGCAAGAACAAAGCCAGTAGTTCCAACAGTCGCAATCCTTGCAGACGTTGTGGTGAAAACTACTACCATGGTCATGTCTGCAAAAGCAAGAACAATGAGCCAATTCTCATGGTATCCCAGTCTCCCGCAAAGGATAAGTCTGAGCAGACGCTCAAGACGATCCAGGACAGGATAGATGAAGACATGGAGGAAATATCATTTGAATGTAAGTACCTACTTGACAGAATTGAGAGAAGAATTAAAGCTAATGATGCGTTTAATCTTGTAACTCCAATCATAATAGAGAACCAGAAGTTAATCGGGATGATCGATACAGGCAGTTCCCGCACGTTTATAAATTTGAAATGTTTAAATAACAATTTACAAATAACAAAAATAAATTCTTCAATTGGTTCCTTTAATTTTCTGTCTAAGAATAGTAGTACAAAGAGATTAGGAAAAACTGATCCTTTAAATTTTAAATATATAAATGGCATCACCTTTAAGCATGCACCAGAGGTGTTAGAGTTTAATACGGGTTTTAATTTTGATATCCTCCTTGGAAGAGATATTTTGGCAAAGATGAATATTGGATTAATTAATGTTGCATATGATATTGAAGGAGAATATGTCCATTCAGATAATGCAAAAGACTATGCCGCCATTTATGAAAATCTAAATATTGATAAAGAGAAAAAGTTTGAACCTGATAATTCGCCAGCTGGCACAGCACAGCAACGAGCAGAATTTATGAGCTCTATTAAAGCATCACTGGAGGAAAATAAGAATATTCCCGTTGAGTCATATTGTCCTTTATCAGAATCTATTATTCGTTTACCTACTAAGGAAGGTGCGACGGCTTACAGACGGCAGTATCCTATACCGCACGCTCTAAGACCAACACTTGACAAGCAAGTAAAAGAATGGCTTGAGACAGGAACTATTGTCAAGTCCAAGACCAACACTTCCTTCAACAGTCCAATGTTGCTTGTTCCAAAGAGAAACAAAGCTGGTGAGATTGTCAGTCATAGAGTGTGTTTAGATGTGCGATTGTTAAATCAGATCCTACCTCCCACATTCAATTATCCAATTCCAAAAATTCAAACAATATTTCAAAACTTAAGTGGAAAGAAATTCTTTACCACACTCGACTTATCCAATGCGTATCATCGTTTCAAAGTTGCACCTGAGGATGTACACAAACTGACATTCACTCACTTAGATGGGCAACAGTATAGCTTTATTAAAGGCTGTTTTGGCTTGAAGATGCTTACTTCACAATTTCAACATGTCATGGCTACTTTATTTGATAAGATTGACTGTGTACAGAATTTTGTTGATGATTGTATTGTTGCCAGTGAAACATTTGAACAGCATGTCAAAGACGTAAAATTAGTTATTGAAAAATTGTCATCCGCGAAGTTGATTCTGAACTCGGAAAAGTGTGTCTGGTTTCAACATTCAGTGAGATTGCTTGGTTTTGTCGTCAATGAGACAGGCACCAAGGTTGATAAGCGAAAGTTGACAAATGTTGACAAATGGCCTATTCCTACAACTGCGAAACAGATTCAGCAATTCATGGGTTTGATCAATTACTTCAGAGATTATATTCCTATGATTTCGAAGGTAGCTGAGCCTATTTCACGTTTGAGTCATGCCAAGAATGTGTCTGGTCAATGGACAGATGAGCAGACGAAAAGCTTTAAAGCACTAAAAGACATATTGCACCAAGATTTAATTCTTCATTACGCAGATATGTCACGTGAAATGTATGTGGCCACAGATGCATCCCTTTATGGAGCAGCTTGCTTATTGTTTCAGCGAGATGAACAAGGGCGTGATAAATATATCAGCTTTGTATCAACTTCCTTAAGCCCATCGCAGCGACGATGGAGCACAACTAAAAGAGAATTATATGCAGTCGTTTTGGCGCTTGAAAAATTCTGTCCATTTCTGTGGGGCCGACAGTTCACAATTTTTACTGATCATCGAGCACTCATTTATCTCCACACTCAAAAAATCGCTAATCCGATGATGATTGGCTGGATTGAGACACTCCTTGACTTTGATTTTAAAGTGGTCCATATTCCTGGTTTGTTGAATAAACTACCTGATTTGCTAAGCCGCTTGTATCCTCCAGAGGATAGTGACAAGCTGGTGGAGGATGATGGATTGAGAAAAATCAGAACAAATGACTTACAAGCTAAAAACAGAGTTATTGTTCAAAAGAAAAAATATAGTAAAGACAGAGTGCTAAATGTACTTGCAACGCAACTCGTCGAAAATGCTTCAGAGTCGTCCGACTATATGTCACCTCCTGAAGAAAAGCGTAATGGCTTACTAAAAGAAGCACATTCGTTTGGTCACTTTGGAAGTCAAGCTATAGTGAATGATCTTCATTCACAAGGCTTACACTGGACTAATATATATGAAGAGGCTAAAGAGATTATTCGTTCTTGCCCTGAATGTCAGAAGCACAATATTAGCAAGAAAGGCTATCACCCATTGACTAATGTTGTAGCATTCCGACCATTTGATCATATTGCAATTGACTTATGCGGTGAATTCCCTGTATCAGAGGATGGACACACGTACATGTTAGTTCTGGTTGATGTATGCTCCAAGTACATTATCTTGAGACCACTGCCAAACAAGAACTCAACAACAATAGCTAAAGCATTGATAAAGATTTTTGGAGATTATGGTTTTCCCAAAGTAATGCAAAGTGACAATGGTCTGGAATTTAGAAACTCTTTAATGTCAAGCCTATCTAAAGAGCTTGGGATTGATCGAAGATATTCGACAGCATATCACCCACAAGGAAATGGTATTGCCGAAGCCAGTGTAAAAATTGCAGAGAATACTGTACGTAAAATGATGAGAGCGAACAGCAATGACTGATGTCACTATCTACCGATTGTTCAGCTGTGTATCAATAGACATATTCCTCAAAAAACACTAAGTGCGCCGTTTTCATTAATGTATGCTCGCAGAGTCAATGTGCCTGATGAGTATGGTGACAAAGATAAATACTCTCTTCCAAAAGCCACAGTTACAATTGATGAGCTAGAGAAGCAGATTGATCATATGAAAAATATTATATTCCCTGCCATTAACGAACGTGTGTTAAGGATTAATGAGGAATTAAAAAAGAAATATGATCACAAAAATATCCTAATCGACATCCCCAAAGGAACACACGTTATGGTCAGATTACCACATCGATCAAATAAATTGGCACCTATTTATGAAGGTCCATATACAGTGGTTCGAAAGAATAAAGGAGGATCGTATGAGTTAAAGGATGAGCAAGGTGAATTGTTACACCAAAATTATACACCCTCAGAACTCAAGATGGTCACCATCGATGAATCAACAATTGAGAATGAGCTCTACAAAGTTGAAGACATTCGAGATCATCGTGGTACTGCTGGTCAACGAGAATATTTGGTCAAATGGGCTGGCTATGGCGAACGCGCTAATACATGGCAAAAGGCTGAAGACTTTACCGATTCCACAATTGTACAAAAATATTGGAAGAAAGTTAGAGAGTTGGAACGTTTAGAGAATGAGAGAGCTGAAGACTTGATTAACAAAAGTGCATCCTCAAAAAAGAAAATAGTTCACACTTCAAGACTAAATGGTAAAAGTAACAATAACGATGAGCACAAGAAAAGAACACTTCCTACCACTTTGAGTAGAGAAGAAAGATTACACAAAAGAAGAGCAACAAAAAATTAAAATAACAAAAAATGAACACGTAATCCACAAAGCTGAGTTTACAGTGTAGATCTCCATAAAGTACAAAAATTATGTGCATGATTGACTATAATAAAATAAGCAATTGGCCAGACAATGAAATAGTAAATGAAATGTTTTATTGCCGAATCAACAAAAGGTATTGTTGAATCTGGTGGAGGATAATGTTGTGAATGAGTATTGATTACTGCTGAATCTGAGAGTAAGACTGAAGGATAAAATAATATCCTCAGCTATTCCAGTCAAACGGATCTCCCTTTATGATATTATCTAATACACAGATCATCATACACATAATTGATTATTTATTATTATCACCATGACATGGGATATACAAATACATATACATTATATATATGGCATCATTATATTTCATCTACATATTTCTTTTATTATACAAATACTTAATTGAGAGACTACAACTACAACTATCTAATATTATGAAACATTACCCGAGTATCTGGGTCGGAATACTAAAATATTACCAATAGCATAAATGCTCTTCTTTACCAAAACTCTTGGACTGATCTGACTGGAGAAGTATCATATCAATTGGTCTTTCCGGATCTTTCCAGAAGAACAATACTCCTGGAAGATGACTCATCGTGATAAAGATTACTTAAGCACACACTGAATTACAAATTAGAAAAACATATAAATATCAGTAGATAGTTCCGTGTAGAAAGACAATCGAATTTTATCATTCTTTACTTTTCTTTTGAAATAAACAACCTACACAAGTTCTCACGAATTCTTTCGTCTATATTATATTTTGCTTTATTTTCTCCCCACAACACAATTGGTCTTTCCGAATCTTTCCAGAAGAGCAATACTCCTGGAAGATGACTCATCGTGATAAAGATTACTTAAGCACACACTGAATTACAAATTAGAAAAACATATAAATATCAGTAGATAGTTCCGTGTAGAAAGAGGGAATTTTTTTATCATTCTTTACTTTTCTTTTGAAATAAACAACCCACACAAGTTCTCACGAATTCTTTTGTCTATATTATATTTTGCTTTATTTTCTCCCCACAACAAGTATAAAATATATATAAACAATTAAGTAATCAGCCCAATAATTATTACAGTTAGTGTTGTAAATGAGTATTGACTACTGCTGTAATTGAGAATAAGTCTGAAGGAAATAATATAAGGCCTCAGCTATTCCAGTCAAAGGTGTCTACCAATTACTTTATTATTTAACACACAGGTTTAGTATGCATGATAGTGATTATACTTCATATGATGATATCACCATAATATGGGATACATCAGTAGATTATTATAAGCATAATTATAACTCATAAACACATTTACTTTCGATGTTAATACTTCATTGGGACTACACACATTTATATAATTAATCATACACTAATTATCCCAAGATCACATTGCTCTGATTAAGGCTCAGATAGGATTGATTACCTAATCCCAGTCATATAATTTTCCCGATCCAAAATAATATAAATAGCAGTAGTAGTTCAGTGTAGGAGCCTGATCAAACTTTGATACAAAATCCTTTCTCAATAAACAAAACCTACACAAGTTCTCACGAATCTTCATTCCTAATCTCAAATCTTCAATTCTTCCTCTTAAAAACTTCTTCAACTTCAACCACCACAACAGTTAGTACTGTAGATAATATCTTAAAGATTGTTAAGATAATTATATCATACTGCCAGGTAAACTGTGTCAGATCGATATGGAGCTAATTTAGTAGGAAGTCCTAAAGCTCTAGTGTAAAAGAGAAAAGAATAGCTAAGAGCTAAAGAAGTACAATTTATGACTTGATGTCATAATTGTAACACCGACACTAGTTAAGCAGTAAATACACTCTAATAACCAAATATAGTAAAGGAAGAAAGCCTTAAGAAACTAAGACGTAATGACAAGAGCAGATTGTGTTTTCTTATAAAAAGGGACACTTTTTATTTATGAATAAAGACAACTTATATACAGTCTCAAAGTATTTCTATACGTCTCTATTATCAAATATTTTATTTTTCTATTGTTTCGTACCTGAAATACCACAGTAATGACAAGAGCAGATTGTGTTTTCTTATAAAAAGGGACGCTTTTTATTTATGAATAAAGAAGAACTTATATACAGTCTCAAAGTATTTCTATACATCTCTATTCTCAAATTTATTATTTTCTATTGTTTCGTACCTGAAATACCACATGTCTGGATTACCACAAGTCCAAAAAAAAAATTAAATACGATGGCTCCGCATGTTTCTTCTTGATTATGAGGCTGCCACACTACTTTCTGCCCTACCAAGGCTACTTTTAAAAATATAGTTTAGTCAGTGTATTAAGCTTTAAATTTGAGCAATCTATACATACCTCAACTCTTTTTCTTGAACTTCTCTCCTCAACTTTACCTGCGAATTTTTTTAATAAAGAAAAGTATTAATGAAATATCTTGCACGACACTAAACTTAATATGTACGATTTGCCATTTCTCTATTTGGCATTCAGTCTTCATCACTTCTTGAAGGAGAAGAGCAGCAGCCCATTGACCCCTGTATTTATATAGAGCGAACTGGTAATTCAAGAAGATTAACTCCCCGAGTCTCAAAGAGTATTGCAGCTTTTGTTAACTACTCAATCTTCCCCAGTTTGTCTCTACAATGCCGTCTTCACGCATGATATGTCGGTATTGCCTTGTATACATATGGAACTGCAGTCAAATAAGCTTCTGCTCTTCTAAGAATACATTGATATCCGTCTCCTGTTTCTTTTTCCACAGATGGTTGATCAGTACATTAATCCTTGCAGTTGCACTCGGTGTCTTATTTGTTCTTGTTAGGATAAAGCCAACATGAGCCTCTGTCATTGTAGCAGGAATATGCCTTACTCCTCTCACAAGCAATAAAAAATAACTTTTTGTTTTGTCAATAAGTCAAATATACTGTTATTTTAGTAGGTTAAACTAGGTAAAAATAAAAAAGAGAGCACGTCGTGTAAATTAGATGTATAAAGTAGCTATAGAGATTCATCATTATCTTAAAAAATAACTTCAAGATGATGTTCATTTACAATGAAAGGGAAAAATAAATGCAAAGTAAAAATTTGAACAAAATAAAATATAAAAAAATCAATTTAAATCCCGCACTTCCGGTAAATTAGTGGAAAAGATAGTTGGTCTGCCACATTGATTAGTGGTATTGTCAATATACAACAATCTTGACAGAGACGAAAAAAAATTTACGATTTTAAATAAAAATAAATAAATCAAGATATTATACTCTCTATATGATATACATGTAAAAAAAAAGACGTTTGTATTATGTTATTTCGCACTTAAATACAACTTTATCTTTTTCACCTTTCTTTAATATTTTTACCAAAATCTAAAATCAAATCGATTGGTTAATTAAGATAAATTAGTGGCATATCCACTACCATTAGTGGCAGCCACATCAATTTCATTCATAGTGAATATTCAAACTGGAGTACAATCTCTCAAGAGTATAGAAACTAGATGTGTATCAGACATGTCTGTCTACTTAGAAAAAATGCTAGACTTTACCAGATGATACAAAAACTAAACATCTATTGCAAAAGTCAGATAATTATGAAAAAAATGTAAAAAGCAACAGTGGATTGTAATTCTATGTCTGGTAAATACTATAGAATAAAATATCAACTATTAATAAAGTCTGTAGTAAATAAAATGATATCTAGCCAGTATAACTTATATATAATAAATCATTTTTTTTAAATTAATTTCTATTTAAACAGTCAATAAAATACTTCTTTATAAGAATATTTATAGAAAAATATGTTTTTAATTCAATTAAAATTATTAATAATCCAAGCTCTATATAAATTAAAACTAATTAAGTTAATATTACTTGTTGAGATATTCAGGATTATTTATGGGTTAGTATCTCAATATATAGAAAATTAGATACCGTGAGAGTATCATTTATTAAAGAGACAAAATAATATTGTTTATATCTGTTTCTATTAAAGTCTCTGTAATTCAGATCTCTGTTGTGTAATAGTTGATTTACACTGTATGAGTATGTAGTGTACATGTGCCTGGTATGTAACAGTTTTGGAAATTATTAACTTGCTAGATTTATTAGCAAGAAGGAACCAGTGTTTGGTTGTGGAGTCTGTTGTTCACTCAATTGTGGTGTGTATACCACACTTGTAAAGTGACCAATGGTTTTAGATATAAGATTAAGCTGAAAATTATAATATCCAATAAAAGATAATTATAAATCAAAGCTTTCATATATAGATATCAATGAAAAGTCAAATATAAGTTACAAAAATGTGTGTTGGTAAATAGAGAACCCGTTGTCGAGTGAAAATTCTAAATTTTCACTCACTTTTGCTTTACGCGGCGATTGAAATTCCAATGAAAAGATGTAAAATTTTACTGAGGGAGGCCATTTAGTGATGAAATGGTGAAAAATTGGGAGTTTTCTAGTTTTTCACTCCATTTCATCACCAAGTTTTTATTAAGAGTTGAGTTTATTTTTCCACCTTCTAACATAAATCTAATATAGTCAAGAGTCTTCTCTATCTATCTACTTAAGAGAATAAGTCTTGGAAAGCCAAGTTTATTAAGATGTATCTCTCTTATGTTTGTCACAGTACTTATGTTTTCATCAACTGTGGTTGAGTTTTTCTTTTTTTTTGACTGGGTTTCACTAATAATTCTTTTTTAGCAGTCTTTGAAAATATCACATCCCAACGGGTTCTCTAATGAATAAAACCTCACATCTGTTAACGAGCGGAGTTATACGGTAATCCATAACAGGCAGGAGGTGAAAAAATGGGTAGGCGAAAAACACCCACCTGGGCGACATCCTGAGAAATCCCCCAGTGAACCCCCGGAAGACCCTTTTTTTTTCCCGTAGTGATATTAGGGCATCCACAGTGGTTTGTGTAATTAAAATATTTAAGTCAAACTAAAAATATACATTTATATAAAATAATTTAGAGCATCCCTAGCAGTTTATCTAAATCTGAAGTCGCATATTCTTATTGCTCACATGTTTTAGTAAGGCGCCAAATTTAGATTTCTGCTAAATAATTGTCTAAAAAAATGGTTAAAACATTTATTTAGACAAACTACTATGGATGAAAAATCTAAATCTTCTATTTAAATTTACATGTTCAGCGAGTTTACATAAATCGCTGTGAATGGTCTAAGGTATTGCACACAACGTAACGCTTCAATAAAAACACATGGCTAAGAGATTTCTTTTTAATTCATGAAGTTATTTACAATATTTTTGCCTTTTAGTTTCTAGAGAGAGAGAGATAGAGAGAGAGATAGAGAGAGAGTAGTTGGAATTACAGAAATAAGCTATTAGGTTTAGTAAGAAAAATTGTTACTTTCGTTAAAGCTCAAACATGGAACGTGTTTGTTGCTTTGTCAGTTAAAATCGTGAGTATGGCTCATCTAGTGATAGGAGCATCCACTGCTTCCACCCTGCAAGCCATTCTATAAACCAAAAGCGTGATGCCAATGGAGGAATTCCTCCAGGGTAATAGCCCGTGTGATGATTTGAAGAAGCAACGTTGCACAGAGACCCCGCAGCATGCACCACACCGTACAATGCTAGAGTATATACTGCAAAGTGTACGGTACTGGTTACAAATATACGTCCCCCGCTATGAGCTTGATTTCGACTAAAAATATCTGTGTGCGCCATAACACTTGTTATGATATTTCTTAACGTAACTGTTTGGTGGTCAATCTCATCTGTCAATTTGCATGCCTTGTCTTCCAGTTTGGCATTATAAGTGGCACACTGAGGGCAAGGGTCACGCGTCTCATGATGCTGTTGCGAATGCGGTATTACAGGATTGTCTTTCTGAATGGCTTTGTCAATAGATACTCCAGGAATCTCACGCGCTTCCAGTACTGCCAGCTTCTGTTTCAAGTCATGGTTTTCACGTTCAGTCTTTACAAATTCGGTCCGAACTGGGCACGGGTTGATATGAGGAACACAAAGAGATAATTAACCATTACTTCTATTTTACCTGCGTCAAGTTCCATTTTGCACTTATTCCGCTCTTGTTCCACTGTCGCAAGCCATTCTGTATCCATCTGTACATAAACAAAAAAAAAACAGAGTTAATAAGGCTTGGTTGTTGCTCTAATTCACAGTCCCTTTGATCCTACGCACAATTTCATCTAGAGCCGCTGAGGTTTCATGGTCATTGTCATGACTGCTGTCGTTGAAGTGTGATTCTCCACCCATTTCTGATTTGAGTGTCTACGGTAAAGCTTATGAGCATAGATAAAGACAACACAGCTAATTATCTTACTCTTACATGTGTCGGACTACATGTATTACGTCCATTGTTTCTAGCTTCGTCCAAGTCAAATTTGAGCCGATCAATGATTTCTTTAAGCATCTGATTTGCAGACTGGACTTCATCATATTTATTTTGAAGCAAGCCTTCTTCTTCGAGCGAGTTTTCTAGCCTGTTTTGTATTTCTAAAAGTTCTTCACGTTCTTGTATACGTGCCCTTATTTCTTCCTGTCCATTCTTCCACTTGGTTTCTAGGCGCATAAGCTGCTCTTGTATTTCAACAAGCTCATTCTTTGTCTTTGCCAATTCAGCTAAGGAAAAACGATGTATTGTTAATACGAGGTTTCAAATAAGTTGTAGATATCTTTGTTTTAGAGTGGTTTGTTTACACAGATGTACATATATATATAACTCTACTCACAGCATTTTTCATCAAGCTGGGACTTTGTTTGTTGTACTAGTTGCTTTTGGCTACTTTGGGTGGTCAAATAATGAGAATTTTTGTTCTCAAGCTAAAAGAGGCCACACATTTGTTATCAATTCATCCAAAAATGGGCATACTTAATAAAATAAAATAAAAACACTTACAGTTGCAATTTGATCCAAGTGGTATTGTTCAAGTTTCTTACTTTCCAAGATGCTTGCCTTGTATATCGCCATTTCTTGCCGGACATTATCAAAGTCACTTTGAAGTTGTGTAATTCTGTCATCGCAATCTCTCGTTACTTCTTCTAATTCTCTCACTTTTTCTTGAAGGCGTCGTTTAAGATCTTTGTTTTCTCGCTCGCAGTCAGCCAGATATAATCGCGACATGCGATTTTCGTTCTAATTGCACACACATACAAACCATTCCGTTTAATTTTATCCATTTCAATTATATTCAATTTTTCCTTTTTTTTACTCTTACTTCTGGACCATTAATCATTGAGGGTGTGAGATCTCTTTGCATTGTACGTGTTAAGTTAGTGTGAGGATACTGTCGAGCAGCGGAATCTAATCCCCAATCATCTTGATCAAGACGTATATAGGATGGTTCACCGCGGTGGATTGCAGCTGGAGAAGAATAGTTAGGGTACACAGCCATATCTTTTGGCAAACTCTATTGAAGTCAAAGCAAAATTATTATTATTATAATATATATATATATATTAGTTTTGATACAAGTTAGTAAAGCTATTATCACTTGGGTTTATTTGGATTGTACACACTACTTGCATTAAAAGACCCTGGAGAAACAGAGGGGTGGCTTTCGCTTCCATTGTCGTCGTCGTCGTCGCTCAATTCATCCAGGTGTCTATCAGCATCATAGTCTGTACGTCTGTGGTTGAGTGAAGTCATGCGAAGTCGTCTTGGACCATTCTTAAGGAGATTAGACGATCGTTGCCTAGATGCAAAAGGAGTAGCGCTTGTAGAAGAAACAGGGAGAGGTGGAGGTGAATGTCTGTCGGCAGAGGGATCAGCAGAGCGAGTGTCAATAGCGTCGTTGTGGCGTCTATTGATGACCCGCAAGAGATTTCCAAGATCTTTAGGTTCCATCTCGAGTTCAGGGTTGGCATTGCAAAATGGTTGAATAGCTATTTTTTGCTCGTCTGTAAGAACAACGAGATTGTTCTCTTTCTCTTGAGTGGTGATGAAGTGCATCCATTCAGCAAGAGTGGCTGTTCCATGAAAATCGTTGCCATGGTTAGACCAAAGTGCGTTAATCTTATCCATAATCTGTTGGTCTTCTACGTCTGAATCCATTGGTGCAGATGTCTAGAAAAGCCACAATGCAATTCAAGCAAAATAAAAAAAGGTCGATTTGATTAATATCCGATGAAGCTAGACATTGCATGTGTGAACGAGTGAGATAAAGACGAACTGTAAAGCTGGGGTCATGGCTCTGAAAACTGCGACTGCGATTATCTCTGAGCATCTCGCGAGTGGGAGGAAAGAATGTAGTAGAGAGGTTTGGGGCCCAGGAGATGAAAAAAGAGGGGGAGGGGTGTTTCTGGGGCTCTTTGTGTAGTTAGTGGACAGAAGGAAAGGAGCCGTAAAGAGCACATTGTGACTTTGTAGATATCCCAAATGGAGAAGGCGTTTGCAACACAACATAGCGCACAGTCCTGGCGGTGTCATGCTTGACCATTTAATTTATATCAACAATTCTTCAAAAGAATGCTTTAATGTACCTTCATTATTTCAAAAGTCACTCTTGTTATACCAATTTTTCTTTTACAAAGATGAGTGATATACTTACTTTTACATTTGTGTAGATATATCCACTGCCTCTCTAGTCTATAAAGTAAATAAAAAAAGAACCCCAAAAACATAGAAACTGCTTTACTAAATTATGAGTTTGAGGAGTCCATGTAAATTTACACACGTGGTAAATATGGATCATTGAACTAATGCGGTAGATCTTGGTATATTCTGTGAGTAAATGTTACAGGACATTTTTTTCTGCTTAATTTTTCTTGTAAAAATCAAAACATTTCTCTGTGTTTGTGTTTATGTATGTGTATGTGTCAGTGTGCATGCGAGTGATTCATTTTAATGACACATAATAATTCTCAGCATAATTAATGTCTTTAGTTTATTTTAAAGAGGTCCGTTGTCACCAAGTAGTGAATGATACGCCAAGAGCAAATATTAAATAGCCAACGATTATACTTTAAACATATCTAGGCACATTTAACTTTGACTTAATTAGACAGTTGTCTATATCAATGCAAATAAGATAAGTTCCATAGAAATATTAGCTATACTAATCAATAGTCAAGTTTGCTTCAATGTGGGAGCAAGGATAGGAGAAAATTATACTGGCATTTAATGGTTAGATCAAAACTTGTTGGTCGAATGATCATAATATTTGGACAAGTAGATCTTAGTTGAACTTATTCCAACTGTCACAGTTGCTTTATTTACCCCTAGTCTTGTGCTAGAGCAAAAGTCTTGACTTGTACTTAGATACTTGTACCTCTCCTATAATGTGTACATGCCATCAGCATATATCGGACATCACATCATCGTGTAATTTGATAATAAAAAGGGGGGAGATTTCGATTCAATTAATAAACATGTATTCTATAATTACAACCACATTGGATTAAAGCAGTAGGACTAGATAAGAATTATATCTCAAGTATATTAATATTAATAAAGTTTAATATTGGATACACGTACTATATATGTAAAATATGTATATTATACAAAAGCGTTTTTCTTTGTTCCTCAACCATACCATTGAATCATTTATACTCATATATATATTTAAAAAAATATATGTGAATATATGTTTCAATTCACTTCTACAAAACCTAAGATTGATAACGTTTGAAAATTTCATTTGTACTTAAATGAGGCCAACAAAGAAGAAGAAGAAGTAACAGAAAAAGGGCAGCTCACAATTCATCCATTAAGCATTTACACATTTATAGTCATATCTTCCCAGTGTGGCCAAGGTATTTAATAAAGTATGATATACTTTATTTAGACTGCAACCTATAAACTCGCAGGACCTTAAACGAGTTTTCTCAGACATTCGTACACACTAGCTTGTGTAGAATTTATTGACAGCCGAAGACTTTCATTCTTTTCTTCTTATGACGAAGATCCGTTTACTTTTTTTTTTATTGTTAGATTTATATCACCCTGAAAGAATAGAAGCGGGGTTTGTAGAAGAAGTTCTTTAGCAATTCTATCTCTCTTTTTTTTTCTCTTTCTCTTTTAAATACATCTTTTTTTTTTGTTCCACAAACCTTTTTTATTTATTTATTACTATTGTTTTACCGTTGATGGGGGTCGACTCAGCGGTAACAGCTCATAACCGGCCCATTAAAAGACGTGCTCGACTTGCACTGTCGTGTCAAAGGCAAGGATGCCTGAGCGCTCTGGATTGGGAATGATCTCATTGCTCATCATGATCACAGGTGCCGCAAGCAGCGGTCTAAATGTTCACGGACACGTCCTTCATGCGACGAATGCTTGGCTGCTGATCTTGAGTGTGATTACTTAGACACTCCTGGGGATCTCGAAAGTACAGCCCTGAGAAACCGGTTTTCAGGACTAGAAGATCAGATTCACAGCTTGATGGCAGAGTTTGGTGTTATTGAAATGCTAGTAAAACATCCACCAGCAACACCAGTCATTCAAAACGCATCATTACAATCGTGGAGTATACAATGTAATCCTCAGGGTCTGTCTATAGAGACGCACATGATAGCTGTGGAATCAATATACTCAGCATTAATCAGATTTGCACTCGACAATGCAATTCCGTCAATTCCTCCAAGTATACGAACACATGGACAGCAACCACGCTGGTTAGTGCGTAACAAAACAATATTTCCTACAGTCAAACTTGGGCATTTTACTAGTCTACTACCTTCCCCACAGTCTACAGAGAATGTTGAGCTTGATGGCCTCCTACCACCGCTATTGCCCTTGTCAATTGTCAAGTCACTACTGGAACTGTATTCAACCTGCTTACTACATGGAGGATTACAGCCATTTCAGAAATTGTATATGAATAGGCTAATGGAATTTAACCCAGAAACGATGCCTGCAGCGGATCAGTTTTTGTATGCATCGATCATATGTCAGATGGTGACGCATGCTTACACATGGCACCCAAAGGTGTTTACATCGATGCCGATGACCAAAGCCGGAAGTCGCCGGCTGGCAAGTCAATACTATGCTTATGCCAAACATCTGTTGTCTACTTTGTATTTTGAGCCACCTACGCTAGTGGCATGTCACGCAGCATGTAATCTAGTGCTTTATCACCTTGAGAGTGGTCAAACAGCCGTACTCTACATCTACTCTGGAATTGCTGTGCGGATGGCAGCCGCACTCCAACTGTACAGCCCCAAAGGTATTGAGCGTGCAGCAAAAGCAGAAGCAGGCAATCTTCCAGTAGTAGAAGTGGAAGAGTATGGCCGATCTGTACTTTGGTTGCTTTATTTTCTCGACACAGCTGCGTCTCACTTGCATTCTCGACCCTATGAAGTACGTCCAGATGAGCCAGAAATATCCAGCATACTTTCACAGGGTCCATTTCCTTTTAATGGTGATGCGCATCAGCACTTGTTTCAATGGCTAGAATACCAAGCTTGTGCAATTACTCGTACTATCCGCAAGACCTGCTTTGACAGCAGTGTAGAACAAATTCCATATGACGCTATTGCCGACATTGAACATCGTTTGACAGCATTCGGAGTATCATTACCGCCTCTTGAAGCGACTGACTCAGTATGGAATCTGCGGTGCCAATACGTACATCGGATCAAATACCAAGGACTTTGGATTCTTCTCCATCAAACATATTTGCCAGCTCCGATTTCAGATAAGCGATGCACAGACGCAGCCCTTGCCATTGTCGATCTATTTGAAGCCTGGCTGCCACACATTGATTGCTACTTTAGACCTTGTGTTCATGAACTTCGGCAAGCAAGTGATATTCTATTGTATCATGTCGAAGGTCCACTTAAAACAATTGCTCTGGACGGACTGGAAAAATTAGTAAAAGTCGTGTTACAGACACCGGTGCACGCTATTGCACGTACAAGACCTTTTGTTCAACGACTACAGCAGGTACTGGCACTACATGGGCGAACCACAGACTAACCTGAATATAATATAATAATAATAATACATACAATAAAAATAATAAAAATAAAATAAAATGATTGTATATGCCAGAAGATTGTGATACATTGGAGCCGACAGCGTGATTATATTCAATTTTTGTTTTGTTTTTGCTATGTTTTGCTTTGCTTTGCTTTGCTTTAATTTGGTTTGGTTTGGTTTGGTTTGAATTGAATTGAGTTGAATTGAATTGAATTGAATTGAAATTGAAATTGAAATTGACAAGAGGGGGAAAGAGGGGGAGACGGGGGATAGGAACACTTCTTTAAATATAGAAGAAGAAGAAAGCTTTGAGAGAAAATGAGAGCAGATTTTGTAAAAAAAAAAGAAGTAAAAAGTAAAGTAAAAAAGAAAAGAAAGGAAGAAAGAAAAAAGAGGGAGGTCTTTGTAAGCTGTCTCTACCTCTCTGCCTCTCTGCCTCTCTCTCTCTTTCTCTCTCTTTCTATTTCGTTCTCTCTCTCTCTCTCTCTCTCTTTGTTTTCTCTCTTTCTTTCTTATTTGGGGGTTGCAATTTTTCTCTTAATGCTCAGGACTTCTGGAGCGAGACTTTGGGGAAAGCTTAATCTTTGGCGATACAGAGCGTGAAGGGTGAGCTGGCGAACGCGAGCGAGACTCTGGGATGGGTTCTGGGGGATAACGTCCATCTGGAAGACGTGGGGGAGGTGAGCGCGAGCGAGAGTCGTAACGACGGTCGTAAGCAGCTGGAGGAGGAGAACGGCCGCGCGGAGGTGAAGGAGAGCGTCCAGGGCCAGGCGGGGGTCGGAAGGGGCTGCGGGACCGACTGTGACTACGACCATACGACACGCGTCGTTCAGAAGGACGACGGGGAGACATCGATCTTCTGCGACGAGGAGAGCGGTCGTAACGCCACGACGCACTTGGCGCGTTGCGTGCCCACTTTTAAAAGTAAGAAAAATAAGAAAGAAAGAAAAGAAAAGAAAAGAAAAGAAAAGAAAAAGACGCGTTTAATAGAAATGGAAAGGAAGGAGGAAAGGAGGGGCGAGGAAAGAGGGGCGAGGATTTGTCCTACCTGGACACTGATGGTGTAGCCATCTAGACGTCGACCATGCATCTCATTGAATGCATCTTCTGCATCACGAGGATCTTCAAATTCTACAAACGCATATCTAAACAGACGATGAGTACGTTTCGCAATGGGTAGGGTGACTTACGGCTTGGATGAAAAGCTCTTTGGGGCCGGGATGTCACAGCGTACCAGACGGCCATATCTTCACGGTGACGAATAAAATGAGTTCGTTAGTCGTCAGGATCATAAAGAATGTAGTAGGTGTGAAGGGTCTTTTTTGTATCGTCGAAAGCAACGTCCCGTCCCGTTGGCACACGTTCTGCTCTATCGTATCCCCTCTCGTCCACGTCCGCGTGTGCGTTACAAACAAGGGTTCGACGGCAGCGTTCGTGGCGTCATGGTGTGTAGGAATGCTCTTCTGCGCGTGATGTTGAAATGTACCTTTCAAACTCGTAGGCAAGATCTCTTGCCCTTGTTCTGGAACCGAAGCCGGCGACAAACAGCGTAGTTCTCATGACGTGTGGATGGGGTTTGACGGAGAGACTTGGCAAAGAAGGGAGATGCATGTTCTCCCTTTCGCTCTTTTATATAGCCCTCGCTGACATCACAGTCGCTTTTCAACCCGAGTCAGGAAAACAAAAAATAAAATTTATTGTTGGATTTGTACTATATATTTTTATTTTTTTTTGATTTTTATTTTTATTTTTCATATTTTTATTGACTGACTGATTGATTGGATTGGGTTGGATTGAATTGGAATTGGATTTGGATTTGGATTTGGATTGGGTTGAGTTTGGTAGGATTGATTGGATTTGGTTGATTGATTTGCATTTGTATTTTGAGGGTTTAGAGGGTTATTTTGTTCTTATTTTTTTTATTATTATTATGATAATAATAATAATCACTGCCGCCATCCTGCATTAAGCTGCATTAGAGTCAATACGGCGTCCATGGGGTACTCTGCCTTCTTCTCGCTTGAACCTTCTTTCTCGGTCTCCTCTTTCTTTTCTGTAGGCATAATTGTGTTGGAGGAGAGTTCGGCAGCAAGAGAGGATAGGGCTTGTTCGGTTGTGGCAAGATCGGGCTTGATATCTGTGTCAGGTTGAAGTGATTCAGATGGGTACTCGACTGGAGGCGTTGGTAATTTGGCATTTGTGAGAGCCTAATTATTGTCCGAGTAAATAGTTAATATAAAGGAAAATAATAATAATAATAAAAACAACAGAAGAAACACCAAAAGATAATAATAATTGTTTTTCATCTTTCTTCTTGTCCTGTAGATTAATATAATACAGACAGACAGACAGACACACACACACATATATATATATACATATATATATATTTGTGGGTGGCTGTCTGTTTTTATTATTCGATATAATTATTCATTTTACTCACCATCATACTATTATTTAATTGTTCCAATAATTGTCGCTGAAGATCAGAAGGAAATCCAAGTATTTTGGCTGCAGAATCAGGATCGATTGACACTGGCGGATAGAATGTGGTAGGCGGAGTGCTTCCGGGGAGGCCGATCGGCATCGACTGGCCTGGCACACTCAGCACGTTATCCACAATGTTCTTCCGGCGTTCCTTCTCCATTCGTTTTTGTCGTCTTTTTTCAAACTCTTCATTAACCCAAAGAGTCTTCGCATCGTGTTCTAATGGACCAAATAATTTATTGGCCCTTTTATTGACACGACATCGCAGATCATTATCTTTATCTACAATTTTTAAAAGCAAAAAAAAAAAGCAAAAAGCAAAAAAAAACACACGCACATGCACACATGCGTGTCAATCTTCTTAATTCATTCATTCATTCAGTTCTTCTTATGTTCTCCTCTTTCTTTTTTCTTCTTCTCCCTCTCTCCCTTCCTTTCTCTTCGCCATGGCCTTATATAAAAAATAAAATAAAATAAAAAAAGCAAAACTTACTTCTCTCTTCGTTGTGTAGACGCCACTTCTTCTTTCGTTCACGATTAGCGACCCGGATGCTATCTTTCTTTGCGTAGTCTACCGGTCCTTGCTGGTGATCGTTCTGTGTGTTGGTGTGATGTGCGTGAGCATGTGCAGCAGCTGCCGCCGCAGCAGCTAGTAGTCCTTCATGTGAAAGAGAAGTAACGCCGTGACTGTTGACAGCAGCTAGCATAGCTTCGTGTAATTGCTGATAGGGCTGGAATGCCGAGGAGGACGGTGTGGGACTACTACTAGTCACAGTAGAGGGAGGGTCGGCGGGAGCGGGGGTGGCGGTAGACGAGCTGGCGACTGTGGAAGCTGGTTCTTGCGTGTTCATACTGTGCAAGTTCAGAAGGGTCTGCAGGGTCAATATCAAGGAAGAATCAATCGTTGTAAAAATTTAAAAAATAATAATAATAAAGAGAAAAGATTCCTTTGGGGCTGTTATCGTCTGGGTAGGAGAAAAAAAAAACCCATACAGCTCACTCAATGTAAAAAAAAAAAGCTGGCATCCAATCATTTCGCTTTATTATAGTGACGTCGTTTATTTAGGTCACGTGAAAAACCACTACTTCCTCTCTAAGACTTCTGGAAGTGAGTTAAAGTCTACAAAAAGGGCGAGGGGAATAAACAGTGGCTTTTTCTGGCACAACTCATCCCACGTCATCCAATGCCACTCTCCTTCAAGCTTCTCTGGCTCCATTACTTTAACATTGGCTGCTTCTGAACGCGTCACTCTGCCATGCATAAATAAAGTCACATAGTGTTTTTTCTCGGCTGGCATCCGTGAATTGACCGCCGTAATGAAATCGATTTGACTCAATTTGAGATTTGTTTCCTCGAGAACCTCACGTCCAGCACAGTCCTCAAATGTCTCTCCAAATTCAAGATGTCCCCCTGGAAGTTGCCAGGTACCAGCACCATGTGATCCTTTTCTCTGTCCAACCAGAATTTTCATTCCATCCTCAAATACACACGTTACAAAGCAACCAATTCCTACTCGGACAACAGAATCTAGAACAAAATAAAGCTGGTACTTATGATATATGCGTGCATTTTTTTTAGCTTTAATAATGAGTTATTACCAGACATTGAAAATTATATTAATATTAACAGCAATAGTAGTAGTAGTAGTAGAAGAAGAAGAAGAAGGATAATAATAAAAATAAAAATGGACAATTCATGGCAGTTACAATTTTCCCGTCACTTTTCCCGACAACTCAAATTAAATGGGAAAAGGGGATTTTTTTTTGTAAGATAAAGCTCATATTTATTGTGGTTTCTTGTCAGCGAGAAAAAGAAAAGTCACCTCACTTTTTTCTTTGGTAAAGGGGAAAGGGAAAAAGCAAAGAAGGAAAATAGTCTCGGACAAAGTCCATGATCGCCTCCGGGCTACCAAAAAGAATTTACGTCAGTGTCCAACACTGGTTATTGAGGCCAGCAACCTCACAACACAACGTGTCACTACCGCAAGTGTAATCTTTTGGCAATTTCAGTACTTTTTCGTAGCTAGGTCAGATTTTTATTATTTTGGATTTCTTTTCCTAGATGTCGATTTATACGGAATTCTTTCCCAGCTTTTACAACCTTAAGTGTAACAGCTTATTAAGCAAGATAAAAAAAAGTAAATGGTTGGCCTTTTGTATGATATCACAATTTATCTTACAAAACGTTTTAAGATAATGAATAATGTATTTAACTAAAGCCATTCTTTTCTAATCCACACTTGTATATAATTTTGAAAAATAAAATAGGCTATGCTTTGCGACTTTTAGGGTCTGGTGCAGTTTTACTGTCATTGATGGGAGACATAGTGTGGGGTCCAATTTTGATAAATCTTGACTGTATTGGAATGATACATTCCCCTGAGAAGATCTTTTCTCTAAAAAGAATTGGCGATCATTTACTTATTCATAAGGCAGTAGAACAAACTATTGTTGAATAAGATCATTTGAATATATATAAATGTATAAATGAAACTTTTAATCTTAAGCTAGATATACGACAAATTACAACCAGACTAAAATCCTCTATAATACTTCTCTCTTTCTCTTGGCTATGGTCCATTTTTTTTTACTAATTGGTATAATAAAGACAAAAAATAGGCAATTTCTTGAGTTTCTACCCTTTTGCTTTATTAAAATCTGCAACAGAAAAATAAGCAACTTTATAAACATGTAAAAAAAAAAGAAGAAGAATGAGGAATGTATAAAAAATGCAAAATGCAAAATGCAAAATGCAAAATCGAAATTTAATCTTGGAATTTGATTACAAATTTGACATGCAAGATATAATTTGCCATTACAAGTATTTTCTTATTTACTTCATTTTTGGTTACAGGTTACTTTTGCTTAATAAAAAATAAATAGCTGGCCATGTCTTGGTCAACCAAATAAGAAGGATAGAGAGAGAGAAAGTAAATTACTCACATACTGTTCATACAATGTCATGATATTTCCTACATACCCTTTCACTATTGACTTGAAAAATAATAATAAAATAAAAGCTTTTTCATTTAGAATACACACATAAATACAAAGGCTAAATTAATTAATTATATTAATATGTTTATATCTATATTAAAAGCTTATTTCCACATCCTCTACCCACCCACATAATTATGATTTTAGCCTGTAGTATACCATGGTGTACCGTAATGCATTAACTACAATGTATTTATATCCTGTCTGACACAATTGATCAAAATTCACAATGTCTATTACACCATTTATTTAAATAAATCAGTTGTACAAATTATATACCTTGAGATCTTGTTAACCAAATCTTAATTATTGTTTTTTTTAGCTATTATTATTTAACCAAGATAAATAAGATAAATTCATCCTAATAAATTATTCCTTCAATAAATCAATCAAATAGATCTTTAATATCCCATGGGTAGACATGCAAATATATACAAAAAAGAAAGAGATCATCACCTACAACCGCATACACACATCAAATTAGATTGATCAAGGGATAGTAGCAATAAAGAGATACAAAAAAAAAACTACAGCAACCAATACTTTCGTTTATATGAAGTACGACTTGAATTAAAAAACCGGCCCAAATAAATAAAAATAAATAAATAAAATAATAATACAATATAATTTTTTAAAAAAAATATATACGCACAGACAGATAGAGACAGACAGAGACAGAGAGACAGGCAGGCAGACAGGCAGACAGGCAGAGACAAACAAAAGACAGGCAGAGACAGACAGACGTATTCAAATATCACGCATGACTATACTCTCTCTCTCTCTCTTTCTCTCTTTCTCTCTTTATTTTTCCACCTCCTTTTTTTCTTCATTTGATTGATCTAATGGCAGAATTGGATGACACATTCGGAAAAGAACTTGATGCTTATATCGAAGCACGTACCAATCCTCCTTTAGACAATACTGATTCACCAACACACTCACACTCAATTTTGTCGCCACCACCGCCACCGCCACCGCCACCGCCACGAAAAAGACAACAACAACAACAACAACAAAAAGACCAGGAATGGGAACATGAGTCATCCACAAGTACCTCTACAGAATTATCTCGATATCTCTACAATGAAGAAACTGGATTGTGGTACGACACAGTAACAGGTGAATATTCCGTTTATGATACTGCAACACAAATGTACATTCCAGTAAAGGTGATCAATGACGATGAAGATGAAGATGATGGATCACGAGAACCAAAGAGCAATGCAGTTTTACGTCTGGTGGTAATAAAATCCACTTTATTTACACCGGGAAATGTTGTTTTGGTCGATGCAAACGGTCTGACTGTGGGTCGAGACAGATCTGCATGGGACACACGGCTTCGACTGGCCGAGATGCCAGTGAGTAAGATCCATTGTCAGATCTATTGTGAATCCAACAAGAATGAGCCAGAATCTTTTTATATAATCGATGTCGGATCACGGCATGGTACGTTCGTCAATGGAGAACGTCTATCGGAACCAAAGAAGAGTAGTCTACCAAGGCACCTCAAACATCAAGACCAATTGAAAATCGGCTCAACCGTTCTACAGGTCCATTGGCACGACTCTTCCGAGTGGCCTTGTCAGCAATGCAAAGTCGACAGTTGTCAGATCATCGACACAACAGAAGGGAAGCGTGATAAGGAGGAAAAGGAAGAGGAGCAGAGACAGCGTAAGAAACAGGAATTGTTCCAGGGAAACCAACGTCGGAAAGACCTCGAGACCACCAGGCGAAAAGAACTGAGCCGCCTCAAAGAAATCTTTGCAGTGCCTAAAAAAGAAAAAGAAACTTATAAGGATCGAGCAGAATGGCGTCGGAAATGCGAACCACGGGTTCCTGTGTCGGCCCTGCGACAACACACAATAGAGGCAGAGCCCAGCGTAGTAGAAACTGTGACAAACCAGATGACACCTGTGCAGGGCGTGGGAGATCGGATGTTGCGCAAGATGGGATGGCAGGATGGCCAAAGTTTAGGAAAGACAGGATCGGGTGGAATTCTGGAACCTATCTCTGCGACTCCTCAGACTGAGCGAGCCGGACTTGGATCTCAGACAAGTGAAAGAATAGGAAGTGCACATGAGTCACCAAAGACAAGGGCATGGCGAACAGCTAAAGAACGATATGATAAAGTTGTCTAAGTCAAAATTCACTCAAAAGCTTCCTTCACCCCTTCCTCCCCCCACACACATACATATACACATACACATACACATACACATACACATACACATACACATACACACACACACTACTTGTACAAATTATGGCTTTATATATATATAGAAGAAATACGCACGCGTATGTGTTTGTCTGTGAGAGAGAAAGAAAGAAAAAGAGAGAGAGAAGAAAAAAGAGAAGGGTTATTTTTCACCAAGATTTATATTTAAGAATACGTAGTTTTTTTTCTTATTTAAAAAAGAAGAAAAGAAGAGGTTCAGAGAAATGTATGATAGATAGATAGATAATAAGCTTTTCTTTATATATATTCTGTGTCAAAAGTGTATACTTTCTAGCTTAATACTAGTGGAATGCATTATACGCATATGTCTAAAATACATGTATATCCAAAGGGCTTAAAGCTTTGGATCTTATATCTCGATCAAGGGTATCTCTAGTGGATTAACACCACTGTCGATTTCTGAAGCTGTGGGCATTTTACCCAATCGAAGCTAGAACCACAGAAACACATACAGAGAGATATAAAGAAAGAAGGATAATAAGAATAAGAATGAGAATGAATAAATTAATACATATGCTTATTTGAATATTTGAATATTCGTATATGTTGTATTTAATGCATTTTAGATAAACCAAATAAAAAGAAAGAGAGAAAGTCTTACCAGTTCAGCACAGTGACTCACAATAGGATCTTTCATGTAAGATGAAATGGCAAGAACATTGTTATTTTCTGTATATCAAGAAACATTGACGGTAATAAGCATAATAGAGGTTAGTTTGTTTCTTATTCTTCTTACAAAAGAAAAGAGATCCAAAAGGAAGGAACTGTTTGTATTTTTCACTTTACTTGTATAATAGGCCACAAATGACATCTTTTCAATATCTGATGTTTCGCCTTGAACAATTACTCTGTCAAAGGATTTTGCAAAACCACAGTAGCGAAGAGTAGCACCAAACAAAACCTAAAAAACAATAGAATTAGCAACAATTATGATATATATATATGTCGTGTGCATATTAAAATCTTAAATATCATATCAACCAAAAGACATTGATAATTATCCTTCTAATGATAATAACAATAGTTATAATAATTAAACTTACTGTCCAGAAGAAAGGCACAAAATTGAACTCGACAGATTTCTTCTTCACAATATTGGTTGCAACTGTACGTCCAGTGTTTTCAGCATGAGCCCAATGTTCGATACGCATTTGTTTACCAGTGAGACGATTAGTGAATGTAGCAATATCGCCTTAATTTCCAACCAGAATATATATAAGTATAAAAAGAGAATTTTGATAATAGTAAGAATATTATATAATGCTTTGTATGCACAAATTACAGACAAAAAGTATGTATATTCAATGGTTGGTTAGGTTGGGTGTACCTGTAGCATAAATAGAGTCGCTTCCCTGTACTTTAAAGTATCTGTCGACCAGAAGACTCTTGTCTTTAGCTAGTGGGAGACCACTTTTCTCAAGGTAGCTTGTCTGAGGAGCAACACCGACTGCCAAGATGACAATATCTGCAGGCACACTATCACGTCCTTCGACAGCGACACTCCCGACTGCAGAGGTGTCAGAATCTGTGTAAATATATACGTAAGTAAATGTGTAAGTAAGTATATTTATATATATATATATATATCTGTACTTACCTTTGTGTTTAAAGCCAGTGACCTTTGCATCCAAGACAAACTTGACACCTTTGGATTCATGTCTTCTCTTCATGGCATCACCAACCACCGGTCCCAAAACATTTGCCAAAGGTACCCTGTCTTGACCGATAACGGTTGTATTGGCTTTTTCGTTTGCAGCAGCCACGAGCTCCATACCAATAAAGGAACTACCCACCACCACAAGATTTGGTTTTCGCTGAGTTGTTTTGGTAAATGCCTCGATAGCTTAAAGAAAGTATGAGATTTCTCTTGATCTTGTTACCGTTGTTTCTTTCTCTCTTTTTGTTTTCTGATTGGCTAACAAGAAATAATAATAATAAATGGGGGGACTTCAATATTTACACACCTTTAGAAACCTTTTGGTTGTCGTCCACGGTGCGGATTGTGAATATGTTTTTGAGGTTCTCTCCTTCCCAACCAAACTTTCTAGGCTATTTTAAATAAAGCAATAAAGCAATAAATGAATTAGAGCAAGCAAATGATACTAATGGGCTCATTTGATTGTACTTTACCCAGCCACCTGTGGCGAGAATTAAATGGTCAAAAGACCAGACCTGGCCTTGGGCTAATGTCACAGTCTTTGCCTTGGGATCGACATTTACCACATCCTAAAAGTATATAATGTATTCGTTATTGATTTTGTGGTTTTTGCATGTTTTGTATGTCTGTCAGAAATAAGGGAAAGAAAGATAGAGAGATGTGCTTGATTTGTAATGAGTAATTACCGTGTTTAATAGAAATTCGATATCCAAATTGTCCCAAAATTCCTTTGGGCGTAAGAGGATAGAGTTAACATTATCGATACCAAGTTGTTTGGTGATCTTGATTCTACCAAACAAAATATTCAGCGTTAAAACATGTATATATACATATACATATATATATTACCTGTCAATAGGATAGTAGTTTTCGCGAGACACGATACGAATACGACCGTCAAATCCTTCCTAATATTTATAGGAATAAGTATAAATATAAATATATACATATACATATACAAATATAAAACTTTACCTCTCGGAGTCTTTGGGCGGCACCAGAACCACTGGCACCACCACCCAGAATAACTACAGTTTCCTTTGATTCTGGGTTGTGCTTGACACACTTTGGAAGAAGTCTGGGATTCTCGAGTTCTTCTTGACTGATCTTTACATACACACCTCCGTCTCTGACAGATACATCAAAGGTACGAAGTCTATCCAGTGCAGGCGCATCCTCTAGTATCAAAAAAAACGAAAAAAAACCAATTATTATCATTTATATATGTACAAAATTACTTACCAATATCGCCAGTCTTTAGATCAAAGCAGGCACCATGCCATTTGCTATATATTTATATTATATATATATATTATATATATATACATTATGATTTTTATAATTAAATATATGTGCGTATATATTCATCTATCAAAGGTGCAATAACATTACCAAATTACACGACCTTCTGATGTCATGGGACTTTCTGATAATTTTGCGCCTACAGGATAATAAAATCAATTATTCAAAAGATAAGCAAAAAAAAGAGGCTAGGATTTGTTGTAAAAATGTAGATCGTATCTTTTTACATTATTTTCTTATTTGCTTATTTGCTTATTTGCTTACCATAGTGAGTGCAAGTATTTGAGGTTGCATAATAACGATTGTCAAGTCTCGTCAAAAGAAAGCTAAGGTTTTCATTAACCTTGATCTCTTTTCTGGTGACCATAAAGATAAAAAAATGAAGCTTAGTTTGGTTTATGGTCTTGATTCAATTGAATCTACTTTATCCAAGTTTTTGTACCTCTCCATAGATTGCATTTCACCATCTTTGATGGCAAAGAAGTCTTGGAGGTTTGACTTTGAAGTATCAGACATTGCAAGCAAAGGTAGATAGATAGAGGGAGGGGGGTTGAAATTAGATAACAAAGAACAAAGAGTTGGGAAATAGATTGATTGTTCATCATCTTTTAAATAGTAAAAAAAAAAATTAAAATTAAAATGAAGATATACATATAAATATGTATGCTGATTGTACATTTTTATATATTATTTACACCGCTTACACGATGACGCCATTTAATCGCGAATGTTTTTAACATACATACACACAAACACAAGAACACTCTTGATCTCTATACTTCTTTTCCTTCTTATTTAATACTAGTATTATTATCACTGGCATGGTGGTTGGCTGATTGTATTTGTTCTTTAATAATAAAGATAATAATTAAAGAGAAAAGGACATTTCTTTAGTGAAAGACAGAATGTTGTTATATAAAAGAGAAAAGAAATATAATTTGTATCGATTCATTTGATGATTTTTTTTCAAGTATAAAATAAGATAAAAAGAGGGTTCTTTCTCTCTTTCTTTTGTTTTAATAAATGTTGATTTGCTTTGATTTGATGTAAAGGTGTGAAGGTGTGTGTTTATGTGTTTGGGTGTTTGGTGTACAGAAGAGAAAGAAGGGAAATATAAAGAAAACAAAAATGGTTTCTTAAGCGCTGGAGATCTTGAAGAGCTTGGAGTTGAAGGAACACAACTCGGTATCTTTGTTGGATCCGACATCGAGCCTATTGAAAAAAAAGAAGGAAACATTGATGGTTGGTTATTAAGTTATACGCTTAGAATTGGCACAATTTATATATGGGTCTGTTTTTGTCTTACTTGTAAAAGTAGTCAGCAGCCTCATCAAGCTTTCCATCGGGCAATACAAGATGGTCCTTGAGGGTGAAGGCATCACCAAAGATCTCGTTACCCTGCCAGACAGCATCGATCTCCTCGGCTTCACCGTTCTCGACGTTCTTGTAGAGAGTGACTTTGTAGAGGTTGTCGGTCTGGGAAGAAGTGTCACGGTTGGCAGTGATGCGGAGATGCTCACCGAGCTTGTAGGTCTGACCTTCCTGGGGCGAATCTACGGTGAGACCGAAACAGCCTCTGAAGAAATCAGGGTGGTAGTAAGAAGCATCGGTCAGAGCCTCGGCATAGCCAATAGAACCGTCGGCGTTGCTGTGGGAGCTGGAGGTGACCTTGAAAGTGTGGGAGGTCTCGATACAGTCAGGACCACGCATTCCGTTGATGCTGTTGCTGACCCACACACTACAGGACAATATGATGATGATAATAATAGTAATAATAATAACAGAAAAAAATTATTAGTATATTGTTGTATATGGTGTATGAATATAGCATGTAGCATGTAGCATGTACACAGATTATTATATGTAAATACATAAAAGGAAATTATATAATTACTACTTACCGGTAGTAGTAGAGACCGGCAGCAGAGGCCTTGGGAATAGTGTCGGGGATCGAAGCCGACTTGTTCAATTTGTAGCTACCGGCCCAAATGTTCTGGACGTACTTGGGCTTTCCTTTCTTGTCTACAGAGTAAAGCTATAAAAAGATGATAAGTATATAAAGGTTTGCAGATTGGATTTTTGCCTCGGAAATAAAAAGTACAAAAAAGAGTGGTGCCTTACATCAAGTCCAGTAACAGTCTTGACATGGCTATTGGGAACTCTGGCTGTGTAGATTTAATAATAGAATAATAGAATAATAAATATATATAAAAAATTAAAAATTAAAAATAAAAATTTGGTGAGTACATGTGTTTCATTACTATTGTTGCTATTGGTGTTTTATTTTTATTATTTTATTATTATTTTAACAATCAATTTATTATAATTTCTTGATACTTTTTATTATCATTATTCTACTTACAGACGGTAACCTTTGTGGAAGAACCGGCAACTACAACAGTAGAAGCACTAGGGAAAGGTACAGAGAGACCTTTAAACAACAGGTAAGTAAAAGCAATCGGGTAAAAAAAAAAGTAAAAATATTTACCACCACACCATTCCTTTTGGATGGCAGCATATTCATCAGCCTTGACGACTGAAAAGAGGGTGGCGAATACGAGAGCAGAGGTGGCGGCAAGGGAGAACTTCATGATTGAATAATGTAGAAATAAAGTGAAAGTGAAAGAAGAAGAAGAAGAGAAAGAAAGGAAGAAAGGAAGAAAGAGGGTCGGCAGAAGAAGAGGATGTCGAGCGGAAGAGAAAAGGTATTAGGATGGACAAAAGTCGAGTGTTTGTGATAAATGTTAAAATTATATAGAAGGACTAATGTAGTACAAATTGAGGTAAAAAAAAAAAAGGTCTAAATGTCCACCCAATTTCTACTTTATATCCAGTAGCTATTCGTGGACTTCAAGTCCGACAAAGATTGACCTACTTCCTTCCTTCCTTCCTTTTGTCTATGCATGTGTGTGTGTATTCTTTATATTCTACATTTTACATTTTACATTTTACATATTTAACATATATATAATATCTTTAAAGATTCTCTTCAATATTTCTGATTTGACTTAATTTAATGTGATGTTTATTATACACCTCTTGCAATTATTCTTTATCTACTTCTTTTATTGATTCATCTAATTGTTGACTTATAAAGTCAATTGTATTATCCAGTATGTGTAAAGTAATTACATTTGTCTGTATATATATATAAGCACTGTGATTTCATTTCTCAATTCACCAGATGTTTGAAAACTCCTCCCAGTCCTTTTGTAATAAAAATAATATTGGACCTTTGTGTGAGGTTAAATTGTCCAAAAGAATCATACGAACTTGGTCAAATATTCGAAACTAAGATGTCCACCATTTCGAAAATAAATTTCCCAAAATTTGTCCCGGGATCCAGAAATAGAGGACTCCAAAAAAGGATACTTCATCTCACTTTTTATCTCATTTTTTCTCTTACCGGGAGAGAAGAATAAAAAATTGACTAACCATCCTTTGTCACATTTGTAAAACTGTCAACTCCACGACTTTTTGGCATTCATCTCACTTTGGTCGGGGGAAGACAGTGTGAATATCGACCACAAAGCTCTCTACAAATAAAAACAAAAACTTCCTTCGCGCCATCGTTATGGCAAGGACATGAATTTATTATGCAATTATCTGTTTATTATTATTATTATTATTATTTATTTTTACTTGGTAAAAACCAGAGCCAAGAACAAATACAAAGCGAATCCACCTGAATGAATTAACGACACAAGAAGTGTCGAACCAAATCAGAAATCGCAAATCCCATCCATTACTTATTCACTATTCCTGCCATCCTTGGACTCAATCTTGCTTCATTGCTGATGGAAATGGTTTAGAAGCAAATTTACAGCAATCTTTGTACCGTCTGGCTCAGCATCATAAAACTACCATTTTGGATCATAATCACATATTGACGATTTTTTTGTGCTTTTGCAATGAAATGAAGACTTGGTTAGAACGATTTTTACACTTTTTTTTAGAATAATGACCACGATGACAATGGAGCTATACCATGTTTGAAAGACACACTTTTATTAGTTGACTCATACAAAAAAAAAGTATAAACAAGAGTCATTCATTGTTTCAGATTCCCACTCTGGACCATCTCCTGTTGCTGCTCCTCATTTACGGCATCAGAGCACTAACTGGGACGTAGTGGAGAATTGTATTGCAAATCTCAATCAGGGAAATTCTATTTCTTGGATTTCTGTGCATCAACAAGGAAAAATCCAAGGATTGTTCGCAACTTATTCGAATGACTCGTCGATGAAACGATTCTATTACCGAGAAAAATAAATATAAAAAAAAAACCGCTGGAGTCATTGCATAATAGTTAGTCTCTTAGTTATAAAGATTGGAAATATATGGTTATGTTAACAAACGCACAAGAAATGTACGTTGTTCATGGTGAAATCATTGAGTACACTATATATCTTATTTATTGATATGAGCAATTTACACCTGATTACCTACTTCTACTACGAATATGTATACTAGTATACCCTAATTAAGACTTGACTATGCGCAATCACTAAGAAAAAAAAAACTGGGAAAACAACTAAAAGTGAGACGTACATTATTCGCTGTTTTTTTTTGAAGTTCATCAGTATTTTCATTCCAGTTTTTTTTTTCACCTTTTCCAGAACGATAATGAACGTTGTATCCAACCTTTAAAGTCTTCTTTATTGATATGTACTGATGCATTGCGAATGCGTTCCCTGATCTTCGTACTTTGTCTGACTGAGGCAGGGTCGTTGTTTACAACATTTTCTAACTTGGACAAAAACTCCTCAATTGGATTTAAGAATGAAGAATACGGTGAAAAAAAAAGTAGTTGATATTCTCGTTGTTCAAACCAGTCTCAAACAAGACTAGTATTGTGAATGGGCGCATTATCAAGAACCAAACGCTTGTAGTTCGTACCAGTTGCATCAATCGTAATGAGATCGTTCTCTATTAATTCTAGAAAGTCATTACTAGTTGTGCCTTTTTCATTTTATAGCTGGGGTATTATTAGTCTGTCTTTGCTTTCCTGCTGCTGCTGTAGTAATAGTCTCTTTTCGTAAAAGAGTAATAAGACCGTGGCCAATGATGTAGAATTCTAAATATACAAATAGTAACTGAGTGGTATTAAAATCGCCTTCTTCATGTCCATATCTATAGGCCCAACCTTGATCTTAAAACTGTTGGACAGTTATTGTTTGATTCAATCATGCCTTTTCAAAACTGGTACTTATAATGTAATATAGATGATTTTGCACTGCAGAACCTTATTAAACCCTTTTCAGTCGGCTACTAAGATGCTCTCGGAGCAGACGTTTGGACAATATTGTCGCCTTTGTAGCTCGAGATTCCCAGCTCTAGGATGAGATACTACTTATTAGCAAAGTTGAAGGCTCTCAAGTTTACAGTTCCTGTCACTGCCACTATTATTAGTCACATAATATGGAACTAACCGGTAGACAAAAGAAAAAAATCGTAATTAAAGTTAATAAAAGATGAAAATTTGATCAATAAAATTAGCTGTTTCATCTTCAAGTAGTGCTTTTCCTCGTTTAAATTGCTCTATGTCAATATATATTCTTGTATCTGGCCGTGGAACAAAGTTGTTGGTATCTGGCTCCATTTCAACTATTTGTCCAAACTTGTGCTTGACGTTACCAACAAGTTACAACTTAAGGCTCTAATTTTCAATTTAGTCGTATTATCCTCTTGAGTCAGACAAACTGTTATTTGGCTATATCTTAATTCTTTTTTTGTTGCTTTTGGAAATGAGGATTGGTGAGCAGCCAATTTTTTTCTATATTCTTAATGTGCGTCAATCGTCTTCAATCTGCCATAAGGTTCAACGCAGTTTATTAGTAATGATGTTGATCCACTTATAAGCACATACCCTGTAATCTTTTTTTCAATATTCCAAAACTGAGCTGCGTAAAGAAGACCCAGATTTTGTTTATTTCTTATATGATTTATCTGCTCAGTTCAACATAGGGTTGATCAACTAGGTGCTTGAATATTGGATAAGCACAAATAATATGCTTAAAACAACCATACTCATTTGTTAAAACCGAATGGTCTTCTATAGCGGCACATTGGACTTTGGGGGAGATTCTAAGTTCCATTAGGCTTATCCGATAACACATTATCTTTCCTGAAGCTGCAGGGAAAGTATATGTGCTACCGTTAGGTTTCGTCAACAAAGTTGACGTTTACCACTCCATCCTTCCTTCTGTACTTTCACCTTTCTTATATTTTAATTACAAATCCCGCACACGGTATATGCGTCGGAAGTATTAATGAATACGAAAAAAATAAAAAGTGAGATAAAAAGTAAGATGAAGTATCCTTTCTTGGAAGCCTCTATTTCTGGACCCCGAGCCAAATTTCGGGAAATTTATTTTCGAAATGGTGGACATCTTAGTTTCGAATATTTGACCAAGTTCGTATGATTCTTTTGGACAATTTAACCTCACACAAAGGTCCAATATTACTTTTATTACAAAAGGACTGGGAGGAGTTTTCAAACATCTGGTGAATTGAGAAATGAAAGCAGAGTGCTTAAATATCGAAGTTTCCCAATTACACATGGTGAGTGTTCCGAAAAGGGACAAAGAGACAAAGAGACAAAGAGGCAGAGCGAAACAGAGACACAGAAATACAAAGAAACACAGTAGAGTACAGTACTAACTGGAACGAGAGGTGGTGGTGAAGGATGGTAACCAATATAAAAATAAACCCTTCATGGGCTTTTCTTTTGATGGTTGTGTATAATTATAAATCCTATTTACTCCGCCGTCGATCTTAATTACCTGTTGCCCAACCTGAACATTCTCTGAGAATGGAAATACTAGGAAATAATTGGAAATTTAAGCCTAGATTGTGTAGATACTAAAATTAGATTAGACTTGTACAACTATCCAACTCAACTCAACTTACCAAAAATTATAAGGAAGTACGAGACAAAGACAAACGATAAAAATGGCTTTATTTCATTATTATTATTACTATTATTAAAATCACCATCATCATTATCATCATCATCATGTTTAATCTACAAAGCTTTAGTTTTATTATTATTATTGCTAAAGTTATTTGTGATTTGAGAATTAATGAACCTCATTTACAAACCCTACATTAGAAATGACGTTATATATATATATATATGTATTTATGCATGTATAAAGTTAATCAAACTTGGCTGAGATGAGCATTAAGTAAGAGCTCATGCAAACGGATGTGCCTTTCCTAACCTAAATATATGAAAGGAGGAAGAGGGCCATTGTTACTTATTATTATTTTTGAAAACTAAAATGATGAGCAAAATCAACAAAGTTCAGTTGACAAAAAATAAGATAAATAAGAATATGTACTTTTAACCATACACTAGATTTTTAAAGATATAATGAATGAATATAATATTATTTTGGATCAAATTATGGTGAATTTTTATTACTGATATAATAAAATATTATTATAAAAGAAGGCATGCTAAAGGACGCCTGGTCTTGTGGAATAATGGAAAAGAAAGAAAAAAAAAATATACAATTTATTTATCGATTCTTATTGTTATACATATTGGCTTTTTATATTATAAGCATTAAGCACTATCACTAATTTACTTTTATTTATCAACCCTCCCATTCTCTCTTTATAGATATACTCTTTATATTATTATCGTCAATTCAAACTGTCAATGGGATTTCATATAAGTATATAGATCTATGACAACTGCAGAAGACAGAGGCTATGACGCTTATTCAAAAAATAATTAAAGAAAAATCTGTCACATATATGTGACTTGTATTTTGTTTATTCGCCTGCCAAAGTCCCTTTTTTCTAAATCAAGGGGGGTGGGGACGGGTAAAAGAGAAAAAAAAAAAAGAAAAGGGAAAGAGACAGAGAGTTGTCATTTTCCTTTTGGAAGCAACCAAAAAAAAAGTTAAAAAAAAAAACGAAGGAAAGACCTTAACGACAATGAAATTGAAGCAACTCAAGGTCCGCCCCAAGAAGATTCTCGAATCGAGTCCCTGCGTTGTCGAAATGGGTTCTCTTTTTGAGTGCTGGGCCACTTCCGGAGTAGATGACAAGCGATGCATCGCAACTGCCAAAGCATTGTCAGAATGTATGACAAAGCCTGTAAGTTCCCATTTCAAATTATGATTATTTTTTTACTTGAATTCATCATCAACAAGAAGAATACATCTATCTATATAATTTAACTAAAAACTTTGTTTAATGAATTAAATTATTTAATTAATTACCTATATATTTACTATTCTATTATTATTTTTCTTGAAAACAAAAACAAAACAAAAGGTATCGAAAGCCAAGCGTCAAAACACCATCAACTATCACTTGGCTCGTTTGAGCAAGCACTTGTAAAATGGTTTAGATTCCATTGGCACACTTCTTCCTTTAGAATTCAGTCACATTTCATTGAAAAATATCACCACACACACACAAACACACACACACCACTTACACATGTATATGTATGTATGTACATATGTACGTATACTAGCAAAAAAAAGTACTCCCGATCAATCAAAAAACCAAAAAAATCAAAAAAAAGACCAGCGCCTGTATATTATTATTATTTATCATTACCACCATAATTGCTACTATTACTGCCACTATTTTATTCTCGCATTATCTTTGACTATGATAGGTATATTATCTATACACTACGATGAAAAGAGGGAAACTGTTAAGGAAAAGGACAAGGCATGATATAGTATGTTGGGATAAAATTCGTGAGTGCATGTAAAATGTGGTTATTACAGGTACATTGGGACAAAATGTGTGGATATACTAGGGCTATGATAAAGTCTGATAGAGTTAAAAAGGCATTATTTATTACAAAAGGCAGAAAGCAAAAGAAAAGAAGTGTAGTGGTTAAGACAAGAATACAAAGAGAGCTATTATATATAGCTATGGAGAGAAGGAAAGAGGGAAATAAAGAAGTGAAAGATCTATATATCTAGATGTTGAAGTGTTTATGTCTATACAAGCATATATATATATATAAGGAATAATGGTAATAAAAATGAAATATATGAATTGAAAGTAGAGAGAAAAAGTAGCTTGTTCCTTTTTATATATATGATATTATTTTGTAAATATAAAATCTGTTTTATATATGTATGTACATCTCTTCTATCTTGTCTATGAGTCCATATATACACCCTTTTCAGTAGAATGGCGTCTGTGGTGGCGGATACTAGCCAATTCGTTGGTTGATCCCAAGGTGTCGGCATCTGTGACAATCTCTACACTAGTTGTGGTGGTGTTGTTGTGTTCGTTCTTGGAATGATGACCCAGATCCTCGTCTTCGGAGAACTCGTCCTGATGCCAGTCGAATTCTCTTCCTCTGACCTTTGCTATCAAGAATCGGATCCAGAGAGGGACAAACGAACGACTGAATGCAGCAGTCCACCAGTCCTCACGAGCAGAGTAGTCTGGCTTGATGCGACCTCCCGAGGCACGGTCGACGATGTAGACGAAGCCATTGATGACGATATAACTGAGGATACCACCGATAATTCCGTAGGCAACAGAGTAGGTCAGGGGCATGACGGCGAGTGTGATGAATGCAGGGATGGCATCTCCGGGGTAGTCCCAGTTGATGTTGCGGATACTCGAGGTCATCATTGAACCGACCACGATAAGAGCAGGACCGGTGGCCCAGGGAGGGAAACTGGCAAAGATCGGAGCAAAGAAGATGGAGACAAAGAAGCCAAACGCGACTGTGATGGCAGTGATACCTGTGCGTCCACCCTCGGCAATACCAGCGCCAGACTCGACAAAGGCAGTACAGGGTGAAGAACCAAAGCAGGATCCAATAGTTACGCAGCAAGCATCACAGATGAATGCCCAGGTTGAGTGCTCAAAATCACCGGCCTTGTCAGTGAAGCCACCATAGCGAGCCATTGAGTACATTGTACCTGTAGTGTCAAGGATATCGACATACTATAATATAATTTATATATTAGTTTATCATACTCATATATATATAGTTATTAAAATGTTTTAAATAAAATTCTTACCAAGAAAGTAATCAAGGCAATCCAGATATCCTTATTGTCAAAGCTAAAGTCGAATTTTCCAAGGATGTGTTTCATTGGGTGAACAGTAACAACCTTTTTGAAGAAGTCGAATTGGTTGTTGCCTTGGACAGTGTAAGGGAAATAGGTGACTTGACTAACGCGAGGCCATGATGTAATTGCGATAAATGCGATAGCAATCAAGATTGCACCACGGACACGGTAAAGTAAAAGGACAGACATGATTACCAATCCAATGATACCTATGATAGAATAGAGATATATGATTGTATATGATTAATATGATGCACACAAAACACTTTATGTATTTTACTTACCCATATATGTTGTTGGGTTTGTCATGCGTCCCCAGAGACAGACACCGTGTTCGTCCAACGCTTCTTTGGGGCAAGCGCCCAAAGTAACAAGAGTGGAGTAATCGAGACCAACGAGGCCGATACCAGCCGAGGATTGAAGTCCGATGAAACAAAGATATAGACCGATACCACAGCCCATGGCTACCTTGATACTCATAGGAATCACACGAGCAAGCCATTGACGGACACCAAAGATGGACAAGAATAAGAAGATGAAGCCTTCAATAAAGACAGCAGCCAATGCAGTCTCGTAAGGGACCTTTCCAGAGCCATGGTATCCGACGACAGTGTAGGTAAAATAAGCGTTCAAGCCCATACTAATAAAAAGAAGAAATAAATTTTCAATTTTCCTTTGTATAAACTCACACATAGAACTACATGAACAGATATATATATATATATATATATATATATATATTGCATATAATTAAAAGAAAAGTATCCTTACCCTGGAGCCATTCCAAGGGGCAGGTTGGCAAAAACACCGATTAAAGTACTAGCGATCATAGCAGCTATGGTTGTGCCCATAATCATATCCAATTTGACTTCGTAGACGCAGCTCATGTAAGCGTCGTCGTTGTCACAGGTAGGGTCTGTTGGGGTGCCGTTACAGACACAAGGTCCACCACTCTCACTGATAATTGAAGAGTTTACCGAGATGATGTATGCCTAAAAGAATAATTATAGATTATTAACTTAAATACAATACAATTTAATATAAGCGAATTCTCACCATTGCAAAGAATACAGTAAATCCAGCACGGATTTCAGTGAGAAATCTGGTTCCTTTGCGTTCACGTCTAGCACCAGAGCCTTCGAGCTGGAAATACCGACCAAAGAAGGAGTGCGCAACGGCATCGTTAACTTTGTCGGACCAAGTCATATTGAGTATATTCTATATATACAATTGTTGTTTGCTGTTTGTTGGTTTTCTTGAGGCTAACTCCCAAAAGGGGGAGAGCGAGTTACAAAAAAAGAGAGAGAAAGTGCTGTAAGAAAACAAGCGGGAGAAGTTAGATTAAAAGAAAAATAAAATTTGGCATTTTGTATTCTCGGGAAAGTTGAAATTTTGTAATATAAAAAAAAAAATAGGAAAAATTTCTCTCCAAGCCAAAAAAAAAAAATCTAACCAGTTAATAAAGTCAGTCAAGTAAATTGGAGTAGATTGGTTAAGATTAGGTTTTTTACTCCCACGATTGGATCCCTTTCTTTCTTTAACTATCAATATACTCCGCAATATAAACATCTACTCACTCACTCACTCACTCATTCACTCACTCACTCATACAGATATTATATTTATTTATATTATATTATATTAACTACGACAGGTAGAAAGGAACGTATAGAATAGAATGCTGCTCACGCGCGCTTATAATGGATTTATTTCTGTATTTGGATTCCTAGTATTTTATTGGATCCATTTGACTGAAACAAAAATGAAAATTCACAGAAAGAATAGTGTACTAATAAAAGTATGTATGATATACAAAAAGAAATAAAGAGCCCCTCCTCTCTCATTTTTAGTATTTTGTGTGTGTATACTCATGAAAGCCGTAAAGAAAAAAATAAAAATAAAATATTCTTTTTTGTTTCAAATGTTTCATTGTACGGCTTACACTGATTATTACAACGTTACCATTACATAAGGTACAGTATTTGTATATTTATACATTACCCCCTCCCCCCTTTTTTTTTAACTTTCTTTTATATATATGTATAAAATATCTATAATTTGATAGCAAGAGTAATAATTGCCAAGGAATTCTATCATCTGTCGTGACGGTCTATCATTCTACCGAGTAAATCCTTCGCAGGCAAGTATTTTATTGCTGAATACAAGAACAGCGTTGTGTTCAGCATGGTCGGACAGATAAACGTGGGTCGGTAGATAAAATACTTGGTTCAAATATATAACAAGATGTGTACATAATTTTTTTTTGTTTATTTTAAAAAATAAATAACAAGGAGTATTATGACTATGTAGTCAAAGAGCTTAAAGGAACTTATGTACAGCCAGAATGCTAATAGTTAAGACTAAAAACAGTCAAAGAGAAAGATAAATAGAGAGATTCTTTAAAGCCAAAAAATAAAGTATCATCTCTTTCAATATAAGGATAGTCACCATTTTGTATACGTCATTGTAATAGACTAAATACTAGATCAATTCAGCTTAATGCAATTCAATGCAATACACTTCTTTATTCTAATTATTACTTATTACTTAAGATTAACTTTTAAAATAAAACAAAAAGATCAGGAACTGACTGTACATCTGAAATGTGTCATTGTGATATGTGTTTCTCCGCAAAAGCGGCAACAGAAATATAATAAAAAAAATTACTCTGTTGTTCATTGGTTAAATGAGTACAGGAAGACAGGAAGAAAGTCCTGTCAAAAGGACAATAACAATCGTAGAAACCTAGCTATACATTGTTTTATTTACATTCATATTAAAGAGGTGTAAGTAAGTTACTGGTTAAAGAGTTGCATTTCATATAACCACTATTATTACTAGTATTAACACCACAAAGCTATATATATATATATATATATATATTAAGCAATTCATCATATTCAACTGTCATTACTACATATGTAGTGTGCGACAACAAGAAAATAGAATAAAATAAAATGGACTTTTTTTTATGGACTGTATATAATTCATTGGTGGATTTAATGTAACCCCATTGCGCGGGTCTCAAGGGTACCTTTGAAAAGATAAAATATATATAAAAAAAAGTAGGCAAAGAAGATCAAGATCAAGATTTAGTTAATCCAGGATCTATTTGGAATTTCACTGTACAAACCATTATACAAGGACTACCTCACAAAATAAATGAAAACAAAATCCTACACAGACCTTCAATTTAGTTTAATTTCATGTCATTTTATTGTTGTCCGTAATTCCGGGAATTGATCGAGTTTCTCACAATTTTATTGAATTATGAATTATGAATACATATTTATATTTATATTATATCATTATATAGTATCTTATGGTATAGTATGTAATACAACACAGTGAGATGTATTTTAGCCACATCGGGTGTTACTTTGGAATCTAAATGTATGCAACCTTGAACCTTCCACCTTTCTCTTGTATTTTGAATTTTGAAACATACAATAGAAAGGAACACTAAATCAATTATTTATAGTATTATATATATTTCCTCAAATCTTCAAGAGCTTTATTATACACAATAATGTATATAGTACATTTACTGCTTCCAAATAGTGGCGTGTTTAATAATAATTATGATGATAATGCTGATAATGATTAGTGCCTTAAATATTTGCCCTTGAACAAATCAAGACTTGCTTATTTAAAGAGCACATTTAAATAAAGTGAGGCTTAATATAAATATGTACTCAAAAGACAGATTCAAGTAACTAATACAACCTCTTGTAGTCCATTGTCTAAACTGTACATCATGTTACTTTCCTTTTTCTGAAAGAAAGAAGTAAAATAAAGATTTCTCAAGGTCTAGCATATATACATATATATATTTTCTTTACAATCAATTACCTGCAAAGGCCAATTGGTTCTGACAGCCATATATTGTATATTTATATGTAAAATTTGTAAAGTAAATGTTGGCAATCGATTTCTTCAGCAACAGTTACGCGGTAGAATACGCACCGGACTAAGAATCGGCCCGGTAAAAAATATCTAGGGCGGTTGCTTGATTTGGACACCCTTGGCAAAAAAGACCCACCACACCCAACGATAGTGTAATTCCTCCTCTCTTCGACAGCAGCTATATCCAAAGGTAACGACTACGCTACCTCTGTATGTAGAACAAAGAGATTACCATATCATCCAAGACGTCTATTCCTCTTTATTAATATTGATGCACAAAAACACTGGAATGGATGATTTGGATAATCGATTTTTCTACTACTTTTACTTTATTTTACTTTTATATATAAAATAATATAATTTATTATTATAATTCTGATTCTAATAATTCTAATAATTCTAATAATTCTAATAATTAATCTTTATATAATTCAACATTGATTATTGGTACAAAACACTAACTTTTATGATAAAATTCCTATTCTACTATTATTATTATGATTTATTCGATTTCGACATCATTGACGATCATCAAAAACACTTTTTTTTACAATCTACACCACATCACTTTACCTCAACAACAATTCAATGACACACCTTACTACCGTTATTATATTTTTAATTAAAATATAAATAAATCAGACTTGATCTACCATGGTCAGATACGCTGCTACACCCGTCAACCCCGCCAAGGCTGCCAAGTCCAGAGGCTCCTACCTCCGTGTTCACGTACGTATACACAACAATCTACATATACACATACACAACAATATAGATATGTATGTGTATGCGTACCTTGGCTTACAATCTTTTTGATGGGTTAAAAGAATTGAAAGGATTCCTTTTCTCCGCATTTTTTTTTTGCTTATGGAATATAAACTAATTTCTCCTGAATTATTATCTTTGTGTATATATAAATTAGTTCAAGAACACCCATGAGGTTGCTGTCGCTGTCCAGGGTTTGAAGCTCTCCAAGGCTTACAGCTACTTGAACAACGTCAATGAGCACAGACAGGCCATTCCTTTCCGTCGTTTCAACGGTGGTGTTGGTCGCACTGCTCAGGCCAAGGAGTTCGGTACCACTCAGGCCCGCTGGCCCGTCAAGTCCATCAAGTTCGTCACTGACCTCTTGAAGAACGCCGAGTCCAACGCCGAGTCCAAGGGTTTGAACGTTGAGGAGCTTTACATCTCCAGCGTCATTGTCAACCAGGCCCCCAAGCACCGTCGCAGAACTTTCCGTGCCCACGGTAGAATCAACCCTTACATGACCTCCCCATCCCACATTGAGGTCATCCTCACTGAGAAGGATGAGGTTGTCCCCAAGGCTAACGACAAGAAGGTTGTCCGTCTCAATGCCCGCCAGTTGGCCCGCAATGCTCGCACCTCTGCTTAAATAATAAAATAATAAATTAACAATAATAAACGAATAAAGAGAGAAAGAAAGAAATAGAGGCAGAGAAGCAGAATTTTGTAGTTTCATTCTATAATCTTTCTATAATTTTTGTTCTTCTTCTTCTTCTTCTTTATTTGCTTCTTTACTTACTCTTATGTATTTATCATTATCATTAATATTTTCTATTTAATTTTATGCACAGTGATTTCTACAAAAAAGGAAAGGAAACGTAAAAAGAAAAAAAGGAACATGAAAGAGTTTCTTGGAAAGGAGTGCTTTGTCATATACCTTTTTTGGCGTCACAGTGGATGTTTGACGTCATGGAGACGCGCGCATAAAATAAAATAAAATTAAATAAAATAAAATAAAAAGGTCCAAGGATAGTAAATGAAGCTGTTAGGATTACGCCTTTGATATCATTACCATTATTTTTGGAATCTATTTTACTACATAGCAATAACATAATGTCAGGCGAACCAGTGAAATTGTATCTCTATGATTTGTCTCAGGGAATGGCACGCCAAATGTCCATGTCCCTGACGGGAAAGCAAATAGGTAATTAAGCTTTTTGGATATATACACTTATTTTATTTTTTGTTTGTAATTCGATCCATTTGCTTTTTTTTTTATTTTAAAACAATCATCTTGTATAGATGGCATCTGGCATACTTCAGTTGTTGTTTATGGCCAGGAATTCTATTATGGACAAGGAATTCTTGTGTCATCGCCAGGTACATATATATTAACATTTAGATGCGAGTAATAACGATCTAGATTGTACCTTTTTTAAAAAAAAATTAAATTAATTTAAATTAAATCTTAATGTGTATATACATTATATTTCAGGCACAACTCATCATGGACAGCCTTTACAAATCTTTGATATGGGTGAAACCCACTTACCTCTCGAAGTATTGGTTGAATATATTGACAGTCAAAGATCTGTGTTTACGTAAGTAGGCTAAATATTAATATATATGTATGTGTTATAAATGCTTTTGTTGGTCTTAATTATATCTATATATCCATATATTTTATGTATCAGAGCTGACAAGTACCATTTACTTGATTTCAATTGTAATACATTCTCGAACGATCTCTGCCAGTTCCTGACAGGCCAAAGTATCCCTAGCCATATTATTGATTTACCCAAGGAATTACTACAGACGTAAGTTTATAGAAATCCAATTAGACAGTAACCAAATATTATTCTTCCTTTTTTCAAAAAAAGAAGCTTATAATTCTTATGTATATATTAACAACAATAAATAAAGGCCATTTGGAAAGTCTATGCTGCCTATGATCGAGAATATGTTTGGAAAATCACAATTGGTGTCTGGCCCTGTTGCGCCTCAAGTCGCAACCTCCTCTTCATCATCATCTTCCGCTCCTGCGATGCCATCAGCAGAAGCAATGTCTCTCTTACAGGGTGTTTCTTCTGCTGCTCTTTCTGCAGCAACTCCTCGTCCTGAACCTGTCCAGATTGCTAACAGCCTATCTACTCTCGAAAAGTGGATCAAATCTTACGATGCTGTCGTGGTCTTTTTCACTTCTGCCACATGCCCACCTTGTCGTGTAATAAAGCCCGATTTTGAACGTCTGATAGAAGAAAAGAATCCGGCCGGAGGGCATTCACTCAAAGTAGTAGGTGTGATTGTCGATACTTCGGTGGCCTACGATGCAGGTGCAGTCTACGGAATCCGTTCAACCCCAACTTTTATGCTTTTCCATAAAGCACAAAAGGTAATAAAAAAAGGAGAGAGAGGGTATATAGAGAACGAATATGATATCTTTAAATATATTCATGAAAAAATAATGTTACAAACATCCTTTTTTTTCATTTAGTTTTTTGAATTCAAGGGTGCTGATTATGCAGAACTCAAAAGCTCGATAGACTTGTTACTTTTTACTGCATATCCTCGTAAGTAATTTTCTGTCTTTCTTAAATACATACATATACAGAAAAAAAGCAGTGTACACGGTTATTGATTCAATTATTATTATTATTAGCTCATCCTCACCGCAAGATTCAGTTGCGTGCAGCAATTGATAATCCAAAGAAGCCTATATTGTACAACCAATCATCCAATACTGCTATTGTGTTTAAGAAACTTGACGAATTTATGAGTCAGTCTGGCGTACAATTGAACTCGGCTCAGAACACAGCTCTTCAAAGGGCCAAAGCCTTGATGGATAAATCTAGCCAAAACACAGATTTTGTAGTTTCTGACTGGAAATCTACTGTTGGTAAGTACGCCTACCACTACTTCTTTTTTTTTTGAATTATTTATTTCCAAGAAGAAGAATAAGAAGAAAGCATATAAAAAACAATGATTGTTTACATTACAAAAAATACTTTGCCTATTAGATACCCTCTTGGACCACCTACCAGTAAATCAAATATTCCCAGTTCTTGATATCTCACGCTGTCTTATGGTTCTTCCAAATGTTATTTCTTTTTACGAAACCGATTGTAAGTTTTAGCTGGCTAGTTTATATGCCAATATACGCACACGCATGTAAATGTATGAACTCCTGTTTTCTTCTTCTTATGTATATATTTAGGCTCTCAGATAGTACGAATTTTGGATTTGGGTTATCAGCAAGAAAACGTGCCAAAGGCAACACTTCTTATGATCCTTCGATTGGTGAGTTTATTTATTTATTTATAGAATAAACTATATTAAAGAAGTGATAGACTAACCTTATATTTTTATTCATACTTATATATATAAATATACTTACTTTGGATATGAAAAAAAAAACAAAAAAAAACTTAGGCATCGAATCTGTTTGCCAGCCACAGCTTAGTGACTTCTCAATTCACTTCTCATCTTCCTTCTTCTCATCGTGGATCTCTCACCCAGTTACTTATTGCCACACTCTTGTCTCAAGACAATTTGGTCCGTCAGACAGCTGCATCTTTGGCTTTCAATTGTTCTACTGTGGTTGCTACCCAGCGCCTCCAAAAAGAGGAAAACGATGGTGAGCCCACCGGAACTGCTGACCAAGAGGACGATGACTGGCAAGTAGAGATTGTCAGTGCACTCACAGACGCATTGTCAAAGGAGACCGATGAAGAGATTGGTAAGTAATAAGTACAAATTAACAAAGGAAGAGTTATAAATTATATTGATCTTATTTATTTAATTATTTAATGTATGTGCATACAAAAAAAATTAGTACTTCGATCTTTGGCTGCAATCTCCAACTTTTTGTTTTTGGTTCCTGTGGATGCTTCTCTCCCACATCTTTTGTCTGCACTAGATATTAAGTCTATATTGGACAGCAAGAAAGAGATCAAATCAGCTAAAGTACTCGGGCTGTCAAAAGACATTGGAAATATGATTTCTCAGAGTATTCAATCTTAGATAAATATAAATATAAATACATACGTTTATATATATATATGAATTGCGCTCAATCTCTGAAGTATCCTTATAAAAAACAGTAAAAAGAAATTTCCTTTAGGTCTATACTTCTTCCATAAGCTGGGATAATTCTATATATACTTACAAAAAAAAGCATTATTACTTTGTAAAATTGTATAAATTATTATAATTCGTTGAACACTAAATTTGTGTGTGTGTTTTATATGAAGATCTGTTGGCTCTCGATTTCACTTGATTTATGCAAAAAGTATATTTATGAATGAATGGATGAATGTAAAGAATATACATACATATATATATATGTATGTATTACAGTATTTATTGATTGTTTTGAGAGCAAATAAATGAAAGCTATGGAATAAATGAAAGGAAGAGAAAAGAAGCAAAAGAGAAAGGGAAAATTAAACTGACAAAGTAAAGACTATGGCTAAGTTTTCGACTTCTTGGACTTCTTGTTGTTCTTACTATGTCTTTTCATAACGAGGTCGGTCTTCCACTTCATAAAGGGCTCTTCAACCTGATCTAACAAGATCGACACTTGATCCTCCATGGAATACTTTTTGCAAAATTCTTCCACGCAGTCTTGTACATTGGAGCCCTATAATGCACACAAGATATGACAATACAAAACAATAAAATAGAAAGTATAAATACATTTTATATACATATTTTTTTTTAAATTTATTCTTTTATCATTATTACTACTTTTTTCACCTAGAGTAATTTACTTGCCTCAAAAAACAGTAGACACTGAACACCGTGATCTTTTGTTGAAATTTTAAATGTTGCCCTCTTTCCCGGTTTCTCTTTACTTGAGCTTGTTGGGGAAGTCTCAACAGGTTTGTCTGGGGTCGCAGTACCTGAGTCGAGAAGTTGATTGGAAACGGGCTCCAAGAATGGGGGAGAAGTTGGCATAGGCGTAAGTTCGGCGCCTTTTTCCTTGGTTTGAATTGGATCTACAATGTGATCAGCGATATTGAAAGGCGGTATGTTTTCTTAGTCATCTTTTATACCTTTAGGCAGTAATAACGAGTCCTTTGAAGTATCAACATCTTCAACCTGGTCTTTGTTAACTGTCAGACCACCCCAATGCTTTTGTTCTTGGTGAGAATTTGCTGGGGGTTGCTTGCTTGTACTGTCACTATTATTTGACCAGATAATAACTTCAGCTGGTATATTTGATTCGGATGGAGTGTCATGTGCTTGTTTGTTTTCGTTGTCATCTTTCGGAAATGACAAGTCAATACCGGCTAACATCTTTAAATCCGCATTAACTGGTTTTGTATATTCTGGTGTGCTTGGAGGGTTAGAATGAGGTTGCACAATGTCGTCAGTGTCGATAAGTTTGTGAGGGCGTTGATCATCTACAGCAGTTGCTTGTGCACTGTAGCTTCCCCAACTGCCTGTCATCTTTCCTGGAGGAATAGCCTGACGAACTGTTCCTTGTTTTTTCCTTAAGGCTCCGGATATAGCTCGTGGTTGAGGTTGACGGAAATTACGAGACGAGGAATTTGGGAGAAGATTGGCCGACATTGTGCTTGACGCTCTAAATTTATTCCAGCCTTCAATTGTGGTAGGAGTAGAAGTGGTTGGAGTGGCCGTGGTTGTTGTAGCGGTGTATTTTGGAAGGTTTGTAGTTTTTGGGGACTGGCTTCTTGGCCTTGTAGGGAGAGCAGTTGTTCTTGTAGGTTCTAAATCACCAAATAAATACAGTGAATAAATACAGATAAACAAACGATAAATATGTTTGTACTAACTTTGTGTTTTAGGCTGGAAGCTTCCTTCCGCAGGATTGTATACAATATCAGTACGCATAACCTCTGAATCACTGTTGTCCGAACTATCATCTGAGCTTCTGAAAGATCCTCCTCCTGCTCCTGCTCTTGTTCTGCGTCTTGGTGTTCTACTAATCGGTGTGCTCAAGCGCTGATTGTTGGCTGCTGGAGGTAATTCTGCAAACTTCCTAGCCGAGAGTTTACTCCATTCTCCATCTCTGGTTTGCTCCCAGTATATAGTATTTGATTGTGCCTCCAGAACATCAGGTACATATCCTTTGGTCTGTTCCCACGGGACAACATTCTCAACATTTCCCCAGCCTTCTTCTGCTCCGAACACAGCATTGAATTTTTTATTTGCTGTGCCATTTGACATGGGCTGCCCTCTGCTTGCATTCCAACGCATGGCATCTTTTTGCTTTGAATCGCCTTGTGCTGGTTTCCGATCATGATTTGCTTTGGGATTTAAAGTAGAAATCTCGGCCCCCTTGGCCCAGTCTTGTCCATCAGATTGTGTCCATCCACCAAGAGATTTTTCGTTGTTAATATTCTCAGTGGAGTCCATCTCTGGGCGATCAGAAGGAGAACCAATAAATGAACTTGCAGATAACAATGATCCAGATGTGTCTCGCTCACTTTCAGATGTATAGTCTTGAGTACTGCTTCGGTTCTGGATCTCAGGTGAACTGACACCTGTTTCTGGCTCTGACGTTTTGAGAGGTAGACTTGTGCCGGGCCATTGTGTAGATAGTTGACTTGTTGTTCTTTCAGTGGAATTGTCTGTATACTCTGCTTGGCTCTTGTTGGCTTTTTATGATTAGAATTATTAAACCAAACGAAAAAAAAAAGGCTTTCTCTTAATATTCTAGTTTGAGTAATATTGGTATATATATATATATATATATCCTACTTGTATACAGTACTTGCATATAATCTTACTTTGATTGTCGTACTCCGAGTTACTGTATTTATGCAATACTTGAGATGAGCTTGAGTTTTCGTCGCTTTCTTGTTCTGAGCTATCTGGTGCCATAATCTATGTATACTTTAGATCTCCTGTCCTTCCTACCGGCATTAGTTAATCAACATGACCTGATTCTTACTTGTACTTTATTGAGAATATGCTCGAGTGCAGGCAAACTCAGCTGAAGTTCAGTGGCTAGGGCAATAATTTGATCTCCTGAGAGAAAGCGTGCTTGTGGTTTCTGGTCGAGGTCAGAGTATTGTTCCATAGGTGTGTCTACTAGTAGCTCGATGGCCTTTTCGTCCAAAATCATTATGCTTTCCTTTTCCTGTAAAACGGTCGCAAAGTGCCCAATAGTTGAATCCATAAGTTCCGGGTAGTTCACAAGTCGTAACGTTTTAAGATGATGTATATGTGTTTCTCGACAAAGTTGATAGATATCGCTTGGTCTAATATGCCCAGATCCTTCAAAGTTGACTTCTCTTATCGTTTTACGTGTCTGTTTTTTTATCATAGCGTTGATGGTTTTGCTACCAATCTTTTTGCACTGGATTATGTGGGCTACTTCAAGTTTATTGAGCCAGCCAAACGACTTTTCAAGAGGTTCGTCCGTCAGAGAGTCACAGTCAGAGATACCGAATACAGTGAGCGAGGGGCATGCGCGGAGGATGTGAGTGAGATGTGTATTGCTTATCTCCAGATGATGGATCGCAAGCCGGTACATATTGGGTGCCACAGTCCAGGTTTCCTCGTCGTCAATGCCACTGTCTTTATTGGGTAGAGGTAATTGGTATGCCGAATTGCCACGAATATCAAGATCTTCGAGAAACCTGGAGTAAGTAAAGGCATCTCTGATAGTCTCGACTGTTAGATGACCCGCGTTCTCTACTGCAAGTCGAACAAGGTTTGGAAAGGCTTTAAGAACATGGGTCATGTGAGAGTCTTTGATATGTGCAGCATGAGTAAAAACAAGTTCTTTTAAATCCAATATATCATGACTACACAACTCAGCCAATCCGTTTGCACTCATTCCTGCAAGTGATAGATGTATTGACTGAAGGTTGTGGCATCGGGTGGCTAAAGTTTTTGAAAATGATGTAGTAATACTGAACACACCGTCTAGGCCCAGTGATCGAAGTCGTGAGAGTATGTTGCTATTAATGACAAATGGCGGAGGGTGTGGCGAACTTGGGTCTTGTGGGTCACGCTTATTGCCAATAATATGAAGATCAGTAAGGTCACTCAAGATGCTAGCAAGTGTTTCTACATGTGAGCTTTCTAGATTGTATCCGTATATTTTCAGACTTTTGAGTTTTTCGCATCGAGAGGCCATGAATCGAATGAAGCTAGGATTGGACAGTGTTGTGAGTTGTGTGTCATGAAGCTTCAAGTCTGAGTTGTCAATTGGCTTGAATATAGCATGGTCGTCCGGTCCATCCGCACACATGCTGAGCGATCTGACTGCAAGAGCGCATTTTTTTGTCGTCATTACTGTGTTGACAAATGCTCGGAACGATGCCGGTTCATAGAACTTGGGTGCTTCCCAAAGAATGTTTCTAGCTGCTGTTTCCCAGATAGGATGAATTAGACATGCATTGAATTGGTCGGCTCGAGTTGGTAGAAATCTACAAATAAGTTCCATGACTTTGTTTGGTAGCCCAAGAATCTTGGATTGGCATTTTTCCAACTCGTATATCCATTGGTTGTCCTGGTCAGCATGGTTTCGGTTGGACATGATTGCATGTACTTTTCTGCCTTTTTCTGCCTTTTTCTATCTTTTCTACCTCTTCCCTAATATAGGTAGAGCTTGAATATATATGTATACTTGTGTATGTATGTATGTGTGTATGTATATATATATATATATTAGTGAGGTAGAGTAGTTAAAAAAATATATATAGAAAAGAATAAATAGTAGTAGTAGTGGTGGTAGTAGTGGTAATTATATAACTGAAGGTAAATATTTTTTCCAAAAGTAGAAAATGTAAAATGAACAAAGAAAAAGGTTCTTTCTTTGTGACGTGAGGTTAATTATACTCATCACGTGAAAGTACATGATGTAAAGTTAATCTACTTGATATTTTTTGTCTCCTAAAATGTTTGTCACAGTAATTAGGGTGAATGGTTTGAAATAAATTAGTAAAAGGGTTCAAGATATATATATATATATATATATATATAAAGAAGAAGAGAAGGAAGGGGAGTGGGTAGGGAGATATAATTGCTCAATCATCTTTCAATACAGAAAAAGGGAATATTGGATTTAAAGCGCATTCATAATAGAATTCAAAGCGACGCGATTCTGTTCAGCTACAGACAAGACGCTCATTATCAAATTTTGCTGTTCATTATCCAAGTCTTTCGTGAGCAGAGCATATGAAGGGGGGTTATTGTGTTGCAAGCCTTAAGAGACGTTGGAAAATATAAGTGAAAAGGTCGGTTGTTAAATGATGTAATAAACAGATTGTCAGTATTACAACAAATATTTAGTAATTAAACACCCTTACCTCTAAAAGCTTGCTCAAAACGGATGTAAGGGTCAATCTCATCCAAAGGAGATTCAAACAAGATCTCTTCTTCCATGTCATCTTCTTCCTCATAAGTGTCCTCGTTGGCTTGAACATTCGCCTGCTGAGCCAAATATTCAAGATAATTGCTTCCCTCATCATCAACATCGTCATCTATAAAAGGTATCAATATATATTATATATTAGAAAAATAAAAAAATAAAAAAATCAATAACTTTTTTTTATACCTCCATTGTCAGTGTCATCATCATCTGCACTCTCTCCATCAACAGCACTAAGCGACTCTTCTCCTGCAAATTCATCCTCTTCTTCATCTTCGTTGTAGCCCTGACCATATAGTTTCTCCATTTCTTCCCGATCTTTAAGAAATAAGGTTTGAAATGTTTGTTAAAAAGGACATTTAATTTCATTTTTCTCCCCCTTACTTTCTATAGCCTTTGGCAATGTTTTGAAAACATTTACTATGTTGCTCAATATTTGTGGCCAGCCAGCCTGCAGAGAGAGCGGAATGTGTTCAGAAGGTGCTTCCAAAAGGGCACAAAGAGCGATGATGACAAGTTTCTTGTCATGAACTCTAATTCAAAAAAAAAACATATATATATATATAGTTATTTTTGTTTGTCTGTTTAGTGACGGGATATATTTATGACACATGTATATATATATATATATGCATTGTCATTATTATTACCTTGAAAATTTGTGCAACGTACTAAACCACAAGCTAAAGAACCCTTGTGTCCATTGGTTCTTTTCCAGGAGCTGAAGGGTCAGTACAGGGTTATAGTAGAAGCAATTGATAACCTATTGAAAGATTATTAAGTAAATAAAGAAATAAATTGCACACTTTATACAGTTATTGTATAGATATATTACCACTTCAATACAGTGCACTTTGAACTCGGTTGATTTCATAGATCCTGTAAATATGTACTGGAAAGCAAGGTTCAAGAATGGTGCCACATACTACAAAATTACCCGCAATGAATACAAGACAACTATGACATAATATGATACTATAATAGCTCTATTCTACAAGGCAATTTCTTGTATCCTAAAAGGCTTACCCCATCAACATGGCCACGACAATTCAATAGAACAGACTCCATCAATTTACAGGCACATACTCTGTCAGCTTCTCCCACTCGATCACTCTTCATCACTGTATCGATAATATCAATCATCATATGCTGGACTCCCTCGTTGGTAATAAAGACGCTATTTCCATATGAAATATAATTGTCCAAGGGGGCCAGCATTTCATCCATAAAATCAATACCCGAATCCTTGAATGCTTTGTAAATCAACTCAAATACACCCCACATAGTAGGTGTAATACGCTTGGCTGAGAATGTACAAGAGTCTATGATCTCAAAGATTTCACTGTACAAATCCACAATAGAGTTCTCGAGGGTGTATGTAATCACAGGCAACAATGCATCTTCTAACTGCTGGAGTACTTCGGGGGTACTTTCCAGACTCAAAATCAAGGTTCCAATTGTCTTTAGTACTCCCATGGCGGCCATAGTCTTGTCACTCATTTCATCAATGTCTCCATTAAATGAGCCATTTTCGTCATCTCCATTTATGTTGTTTGCCTGAGCAATATCTTCCATTATTCTCAAGAATGTATCTCGGAGCTGGGTGCACAATTGAACAGCGAATGGTGTCAGTTGCTCAGCAAACACCTCAACAAACTCCTCCATAACATTCGCAAGTGTGTCAATATCAATTTCATTTGTGAGGTTGAGAAACTCTTGCATAATAAATGGCAAGTGTGGGACCATGGCTTCTCTGACTATTTATATACATGCATATACAAATAATAATAATAATAATAATAATAATCAGAGGGTTGAACGTTCTATTGGCATGTTATTCTTACCACTCTCATGACGAATCATAGGTTGTAATGCAAGAGCCGCTTGGACTTTGACTGGTAGTTCAGTATCATGAAGACAATCAAGAACACTTTGATACAAGGTGGATAGGTTCTGAATACATAAAAGCAATTAGTGATGTCTTTAATAAATTGCTTCCGTTCTTTCCTTCTCTTACTTGCTCATTTGTAAAATCAAGATTACTAAAAAACTTTGAAATATCGCATGCCTATTATGGATGAATATATATAAAAAAAAGGTTGTAAGTCTTCAGTCCCAAAAAAAAAGTAAAAGCGATCAATTAACATACTCTTGCTCTCAAGAATGGAAACCTGCTCTTAAATTCGGGAAAAACATGAGTAACAAAGAAAGGCTCCATCATTCCAGATACATTCGACTTCTTTTCCAAGATCTGCTGTGAAAGACATCCAATCATACACAACGCACCATCCTTTTCACGTCCGTTCTTTTGATCTTCGGGCGTATCGATGTATTTGTTTAGTACATGGTTGACAAATCCCAAGATTCCCATAAACGTGTGCTTTTTACGATCCTGAGCAAGATCAATCAATAGGTTTGTCACTGTCATCTGAGGTGAATCTAAATCATCCAAAGGATCTGTGTGTATGTCAAATAGATAATAAGGATGTATGTCTGTGTAAATATTATCTGTTGTCTTACCGATTTTCTTGTGTACATACTCTACTGGGTCCTCAGCCCAGAGCTCTTCATCTTCAATAGAGAAACAGAGCTGTGGATAAATGAAATGCCCGACCAAAGTTTCCACATGAGGCTTGAGGATCTGCCAAGTCGTCTTGTGCTTGATACTAAGATAGGATTAGAGAAATTACCACACGGTTTGGTTGTTACTCTTATTTCCTTTTACCTGTCATTAAAAAATGCAGCAGATAGAGCTAGACATTTGGTTGACATCCAACTCTCCTTTTTTATCCAGCCGTCCACTTGCTTAAGGTATGTTTGGAGGATATTGGGAGCAAAGTTAGCTGTGAAAGCTTTAGAAAACCCAATGTACTTTGTTGCACTTGGTGGAAGAAGAACTGGATTTCCATATTTGCTAAAAAGTCGATTGAGACAGTGGTATGCCCACTTCTTTGTCTTCCACCAAGGGTATTTTTCACGTTCTTCTGGATCGGCAGGAAGAGCTTCATGGGGTATATTCTTATCAATGAGTTGCAAAAATAGAGTACCCCACGGAACAAGAGAGGAGGAGTCTTGCAAACATTTGGGCAAGTCAACCTAAATAAATGCACAGACCCATATATTCTATAAAAATACTCTCACCCAATTTATATATCGGTTATTACCTGAATGCTTGCGTGATAGATCTTAAGAGCCAATTTTAACATTTCAGCAGCCTCGATGCTATCAGATGCTAACAAATTGCTAGAGATGCTCTGGATAGCAGGAAATGTCAACTTTACAATGTGCTGTAAAGGTTCGCGTCTTTCCATCGATTTCCACCTTAATGTATGACAATCGATAAATATGTACTTGAGGTTAGGACTCCAAATAGAGAGAGAGAGAGAGAGAGAGATGATCTAGTAAGTTCTCGACTATTAACTCTTACTGATAGACTTTGACCACCTCTCGTAGAGCTAAAAGACCAACGTAAACCAAACGAACATCGGAAGAAGTGAGAAAGTTCTGAAGCTCATTAACAAAATTTGGCCAGAGGTCAGGGAAGTCATTGCAAAGAATTGTGTTTAACGATGATGTCAATTGGACTCTAATCATAACTCCTTTTCAGTCATTTCGAAGCTCTTTGTATATATGTTTTGCTTTGATATTGTGTTAAAGCTTACTGAACTGCGTTGGGAGCGGTTACAAGAGCCTGCAAAATTGACTGTTTGACGATATTTCGGTCGTCTTCATTGATTGGATTGGCTGGATTCTTGGACTTATCCCATGCTTTGTTAATCCGATTCTTAAAGTAGATTGCAGCTGCACATTTGGTGTCAAAACTGCTCTCCAACATCAACTTGTATAAGTAATGTAAGCTTTACCTGCTTGGCGAGCACCTAATTCTAATTCTTCCGAGGCAAGAATCTGTAAGACAATTGGCAGGAATCCATTATGCGTCTCAATCTAAAGGACATTAGTTTTTGACTGATATATATGTATATATGTGTGTATAGCTTATGTTTGAATAGTTTACACTTCTGATATTGAGCTCTGCTTGCTTATGAATATTTGGATCGGATTGATATGTGGCAACAAATAGCTGATAAACAGTATTTTGATCCATAGTTCAAAGTAATCTTTTTGAGAATATGAAAATAAGGATTTCTTGCTAGTGACTAAAAGAAGAAAAAAATCACAAAAATAGGCAAACCCACTTGCAAAAAACCAAAAAAAAAAAGTTATTTTCAGGAACGCGACACAGAAGAATATATTTAAAATTAATACACACACACACACACACACTTGGAAGTACACGCGTTATCAAATAGAATAAATTGAGTGTATTAATCAAGGATAAGCTACCCCAAACTCTATGAACCCTTCCACTCCGCTATTTATTGGCGCCTATTCAAGTCAAATACAGTCAATCTTTATCCTTTTTGGTTGTGTATGTATTTTTTTATAGGAAAAAGAAAAGAAAAGGAAATGGGATTGGGATTGGGTTTTCTTGTATATATGTATATATGTTTTTTATCGTCTAGGCATACCACGGCCACGACCCATACCACCACGGGGTGCCTGCTGAGCTCCAGGCTTCTCACTTTGTGCGTTCTTTACTGTCTCATCTACAGACAAGATCAGGCATGCTGCCTCTGCAGCAGCTGCAATAGCGTTGGTCTTTACCAGCGCGGGCTCCCACACAAATGCCAAATAGTTATCTGCGATAGTCTCGTTGTTGATATCAACACCAAACCAGGTTCCACCTTTATAAGTATGTAAATGTCAGTACATAAGCTTGCGATCCAAATATAATATTACTTACCCTGAGCGTGCTTCATTCTCAATCTGTTGAGAATATCTGTAGCATCAAAACCGGCATTGTCACACAATTGTCTGGGAATAACTTCGAGGGCCTTTGCAAATGCGCCAATAATGAGCTGCTGTTTGCCTTCAATGGTACGGGAATGTTCACGCAGGTATTTCGAGATCTCCATCTCACAAGCTCCACCACCGGCAACAACCATGTTGTTCTTGATTGCACGACGAACAATCATAATGGCATCGTGCAGAGAACGCTCTACCTCAGCAATAAACTGCTCAGCACCACCACGAAGGATAAGTGTACAGGTCTTGGCCTGGGGACAGCCTTCGAAGATGTTGAAACGCTCACCGCCGACCTGCTTCTCCTCAAAGGTAGCGCACTGACCAAGGTGGATAGGGCGAAGGTCAGAGCAAGTGGATTGGACGGAACCACCGAGAGCCTGGAGAACACGATCAATGTCATCCTTGGCTACACGGCCAGCACAGAAGATATCACGATCAGCAAAGTACTGGGTAGCCAAATCACCGATTGGCAACTTGGAAAGAACAACCTTGGCACCGCTAGCAACAATAGCCTCAAGTTTCTGGAAGATAATCTGCCATTCTGCGTCGACAATAGCCTGGTATTCGGAGACTTCCTCAACACGCACCTCTGCGTTATCTTTTTCAGCCTTCAATTCGAGTTCAACATTCAAGCAAAGAACCTTGGGGTTCTTGAAAGACTTGGGCTGCTGCTCAAAACCAGCATAAGAGAATGTCTTCTTAAAAGCAACACCGTTAATCAAAAGAGACTCCTGCATGGCACCACCGGGAACACGCTTGATACCAATCAAACGCTCGTTCAGGCTGTCCTGATCAAGAGATAAAACTGCATCTACGACCATCTTGGTGAAGAAATCGCTTTGAGAGTAGATAAGCTTGGAAGACATGGCAGTGGCAGCACACTTGGACAACAAATCGCGGAACTCACTGGAAGCAATTCAGTTCGATTTATAAGCACATGAATAATGGGATATTTTCCTATTTGTTTAATCATTTCTCGATCTTGATCTCCATACTTACGTCTTGTTATCCTTGTTGACTGTAATAGCCAATTCCTTGATCTTGTTAATAGCCTTTGTTGTTTTAGGAAGAAGGAAAACGTAACAGTGTTAGCCATCTATACTTTATTTCCTCGCTTTTTCCATTTTATTCACAAATGTTACTTATATCCCATATATTTAGAGCCTTACCAGACGAGCAGCATTACGGTAACCCTTGATGATAACATGGGGGCTCACACCCTCCTCGACGTAGCCCTTGATCTCCTTCAACAACTCACCAGCGAGAAGCACCACACTGGTAGTACCATCACCGACCTTTTTTATTATTATTAGAAAAAAGCACACCAATTAATGATATGCTTGAGAGAAAAAAGTGGGCCATGAAATATCTCTTTATTTATTTACCTCGGCATCCTGAGAGCGGGCAATGTCAACGAGGGTCTTTGCAGCAGGGTGAACAATATCAAGAAGCTTCATGATGGTAGCACCGTCATTGGAAATGGTGACCTGGCCTGATGACAGTAATGATGTTAAAATTTATTACAGATGGCCGCATCTATTTCCTCTTATTTATTTTCTTTAGATTTTACCTCTGCCATCGACCATCAGCTTGTCCATGCCTCTGGGACCAAGAGTGGTCTTTACTGTATCAACAACTGCAGCACAGGCATTGATGTTGGAAAGAAGCTGACCGGTTCCCTGAGAAGTGTCTGTGCCCTCTTTAAGAAGGATAATTTGAGGTTGCTAAAAGGTTGGCAAGGGATGATGAGACCATCTGATGACTTTTATTTTATTTTATTTTATTTTATTTTATTTTCAATGCCATCTTGCCCCTGTGATTAAATCTGTTTTTTTTTGTATATATATGTTTAAATGGGAGATGAGCTGATGAGACGCGGATCGCTGTGGAACGCGTCTCTCTTCTCTACCTGATGAACATGTAGATGATGTGTGGAGCTAAGATGAATAGATGAACAGATAGAATCTTACCATCATTGAGCGTGACATGGTGAGAAGTTATTTGACAGCTTATTTTGGAGAGGAGCAAACTTTCGAAAATTTTCTTTGGCAACGGACACGCGAAAGGTGAAATGGAAAGGTCCACCCAATGTGTACGTCACTTGTGCGGGGCACTAAATAGCAGAGAGGAAGATTTCCTTTTTCTGTTTGGTTTCCAATGTCTCCTATTGAAATATGATGTTGGTTCTGGGATATTGCATGATAGAAGCAGTAAACGGGCTGTATTGCACATGGCAGTGGAGTTTATATGTTGTAAAATGTAAAGAAGTCTCTATACAAGTTGATTTTCACTTTTATATACATATGAATATAGAGATGTATATTATAGAAATAAAGGTTTTTTAAGAAAAAAGGTTTAAATATTTAACGAGGTGTGGCCATCTTTCTGATCTTGCCCCTTCGGCTAGAACCCTCTCCTCTAACGACCATCGAATGGTCAAATGTACAATCAATTACACGTAAACCAGTTAAGAGGTAACCGCCACCGCCATTTGTCATCATGTGTGGGTGAGTGCGACCGGGCAAGACCTGGTATTCTCGAAGACTGCTCTCAGTGATATCTGACTGGATAAACTCTCCAGATTTACGCATCATATAAGCAGCATCGAGCAACATCTCCTTGTGAAAACTATAAACAACAACAGGCCTTGATCCAAGGATGTATTTTGACAGCTTCTTGATCACAGTCTCGGGTTTATAACAAGAAGATATAATAAGACTATAATAAAATTTAGTCAACAAAACAACAACAATCTTATATATATATATATGTGTGTGTATCCATAAACTTACCCATCAAACTCACCCTCCACCAGTAACTGGAGAGCTTTTGACCGAACAGCATACATCCTTGTCTTTCTTTCGTAAGAGCGCAAAGCCTCTTCTGTCATTTCTGATATTTCTTCTTCTGTTCTTTTCTCGACCTCATCTATCCTAGCTCCTATCAATACCATGCTTACTCTCTTCGGATGATGTCTACGTACCATAGCCCTTTTCAGAATCGACCATTGAAAATGGTACAGTATGAACAGTATCCATGATGTGTTTCGAAAAATTCATGTAACGCAGGACATCATAATTCGAATCCTTTCCATCATGCAAACCAACTAAAGTACCATAGCCTCCCAACCGCTCAGCTACAGCAGAGATAATTAAACCCTGGGTATCATCCACTACCAGGATCTTGCCATTGGCGCGTACGTTGGCATGGTTGAGCAATTGAGACAGAGTGTCGATGCGGAGATGTCTGATCTTTTCGGGATTCTTGTTAAAGAAGTATTGTGTTATAGAATAAAGGGTGGGTCGAACAGGTGTGAAGACCTTGAGGAACTTCATCATCTTGCGCTGGATGTATTTTGCTTTTGAAAACTCGGTCTTTTTGTCAAATTCGGTATGAGATTCGATCATTTTGCGAATAATTTCTGCAGCATCCATGTTGCCCTTCATGCCTTCTTCTTTTAACCGTTCGACTTCTTCTTGGGATAAAAGTTGGACAGAAGTATCGTCGACGATGTTCTGATTGTTTGCTGCAGTCTCCTCTGATGTTTATATCGTTTTTGTGTCAGTTTATATATATATATATACCTAATTGTTTTCTGGCCAAACTTTACTTACCAACTGAGCTAAGTGCCCAATTCGGTACAGGGCGGATGTTACCTTCCCTGTCATAGATTTCGTATGATAAACCAAAAGGTTGTCCAATTAGGTTATTGCACTGGAAGGAGCCAAACTTTCCGAGTGTTACGGTACTGATATATTTATATATATTTGTGAGAAAGCAAAGGTTATTTTGAATGAGTAAATTAGAATTGTGGCATCAAATGTCTATTTTCTTACCTGTCGGGTCTCATGAGGACCATCTTTACATTACCACTAGGCATATGGATAAGTACAAACTGCATGGCCTGAATGTGAGGAAATTGATCAACAATATCATCCTCAGATGTTTCTGCCGAGACAGCCGTAACAGGAGGTTGTTTTGTGGAATCGGCCATGCTTAAAGGAATGTGTTCTTAATTGGGTCTTTTTTTTTTTGTTCAAAAGTCTCGTAAAAAAACAGCTCAACGATAATGTAAAGTCCATAGTTTGTGGCTTTGTGGGCTATTAAGCGAGTCACACTGTCAAAAAAGGAGCAAAGTGTGGCGAGTATGATTGAGAAAGAAAAAAAGAGAGAAAGCGAGCGGAATATAAACTTCCGAGTATATTGAATCTGGTCTTGATTTGTTTGTAGCTTACCTTTTTTAGCATACATATTTCTCTTGATGATTTATGGAAATTTTGGAAAGTATGACAAAAATCAAGACTTGTTATATGTAAGAGTGCTATTGTAAGGTATTAGGTTATTCGATCTCATATACTCTGCTATCGTTAAATCTATTGCGTAGAAGAACAAATAGAAGCTGTTGGAATGTATAGGTGGTGCACGCAAAAATGCTATTTGTTTTATATGTACTCAAAATGCTTATACAGTCAAACCTGTAGATTTTTTGGGTTGGAGAAAAGTAAAATCTATTTGTCGATTTATACTATGTGTGGACAGACTGAAAAGTTTAAAAAAAAAATCAAAATTAATTCAAATGCATATTAGATAAAATTAAAAACCTAATACTATGTTTCATCAGGTAAAAATCTTTTACTATGGGATCTTCCGGGCTTTGCACCCTGTGACCCACCTCTTCCATCAAAAGTATGATCTTCTTCTCGACCCAGCTAGTACTAAGAGAAGAATGGCTGGTCAGAGCCATTTGAGCTTTTCAGTCTGCTCACACCAAGTATAAAAAAGTACTTTGAATTTAAATAAACATGGCATAAAGTATTATATTAATAGATGTTTCTTCTTATATCAGTAAAAGTATTTTCACGAATAGACTGCTTATTTGTATGAAATATTTAGTACGATTATTTTTGAAACAAAATATAAGCACCTCTTTAATTGTTTATTTCCCCTCCCCATCCTCGGTTGTTTTATTTAAGAAATGCACTATATAAACTTGTTGAGGATTTCCAAGAAAACAGGTACAAGTGAATCCTCTTTTCTTTTGGTGGTTGAGATTTAAAAAATAATAATCTCAGTCAATGTGAACGCCATGGTTGCTGCGCGTAGACTGTAACACAATCACACTTAAATTCTCTTCATTTTCACTGGGTGGCTTTATCTAGGATAAATATTAAAGCTTTGAAAGCATTCTACTGCGGTTCCGGAATAATGTTCAGTTCTTTAATACCTATAGTATGCTCTATAGAAGTTGCCTTCTTTTTTAAAAAATAATATAATAAAATAAAGGTTGCTATTCTCTATTATTTACATTTTTAAAGAAGATATTTTTTGCTTGGTTATAGCGCTGATTCCTATCATTGTACTTGAACTGTACTCATATTTGCTTGCTCGGGATGATGACACGACCTCAAAACAGCATTTATATGTGCTGCGGTTACCATCGCGCAGTATGTATTAGGAAATTCCTCAAAACGGCTTATTCTGGTGTAACCCCCATATTTATTTTAAAAAAAAAGAAAGAAAAGAAAGTATATAAATAAAGGTTTTTTTTGTTACTGTTTTTTTTTATCATACACTTTCTTTATTCTACTTTCTCAAATATGAGTAGCAGTGTCAATTCCACGGTCTCTATCCCTGCGATTATCGACAGTCCCTTGGTGGATAAAGCTTTCTTGCTTCTCGAGACTATCTCTGAAGAATCCTTCTGGGTCAACTTACTTGGTGAACGTCTTCTCAAGATTCTCAAGCGCTACTTTGGAAGTGATGTTGTGTTTCTGGGTATCATTGTCTACATGGCCCGTAAGTACCAGTATCTATCAGTAGATATTGAGATACTAACAACCTTTCAATATATTAGCCATTATTGGTGTCTATTTTAACAACCTCTTGTTGGTGTGCACGGTCTGGTTCAGGGAACGATTTTATGTTACTCTGCAAGTCAAAGATAGCGAGGACATTTTTGAGGGAATTCAAGAATACGTTGCAACAAAGGCCAAAGAAATTAAGCACCTTCGGTCCATGGAAGCACGCGATAAACCAGAAGAGGAGAATATCGAGCTCCAGGGTCCCTCTCCTCCTCCAAAAATTGATCTCTATCCATGTAAGCCAATTTCTCTTTCGGGACTGATCTAAAAAAAAGAATGATTATAATGTGTAAAACTGGCATTAAACTTTTATTTTGTTTTATTCCCTTTACAAAAAAAAATAAGTGGTTGATACAGAACAGGTTATTTGGTACAAAGGATATAAATTCTGGGTGTCATTCCGAAAAGATATCAGTAAATCGAAATACGCTCATCACTATGGAAACAATCTCGGGGATCTCTTGAACATGGTTAGTCAGACACCTGTAGTTCATGTCACGTAAGTATACATATATAAATATAAAGATTATTGGGGTAAAAGGGCTGCCTATTAAACTTAAATGCAATGTGTATTGTAGTATGCGCAGCTCAAACATTAAGCTACTCCGTCAGTTTCTTCAGGAATGGGTAACTCTTCACCATGAAAAGAAGCATGGCAAGGTAAATAAAAAGATGACAATTACTTAAATATTTTTATTAACTTTTTTTTATTATATTTTATAAATGCAGCTCTTGATTTACAAGTGCGTTCACACACGTTATGAGGGTGAAGAATGGAGACAGGTTGGTTCAAAAGAGCTTCGATCTTTTGATTCTGTTATCTTGAAACCAGGCCAGAAAGAGGTTCTCTTGGCTGGTAAGTAAACCATCAAGTCAAAAGTATATTTGTGGTCCAGGATTTTTGCTTAGCAATTGTTTTCTTCTTCTTCTTTGATTCAGACATTCAACGGTTCCGTCGTCGTGAGAAATGGTATTCTCAGCGTGGTATTCCATACCGTCGTGGATATCTTCTTTATGGACCTCCTGGTACTGGAAAGACTTCTTTTGTTCAGTCAATTGCTGTAAGTCATTGCATACTTTGTTGGCATATATAAAATTCACGCCAATATATCATTTGGCTTATTTATTTATTTATTTTTTGATTTATTTTTTACGTATATATAGAGTAAAATCAACATGAACGTTGCTATCATCAGTCTTTCGGGTTCCTTGACTGACGACAGTTTCAGCTATCTTGTTTCAGAGACTCCTCGTAATAGTATCCTAGTGATAGAAGATATTGACCACTGTCATATTTCGGACGTTTCTGATGGTGACAGTTCTGCTCCTGACTCGGGTGGAAAAGGAAAGATTACTATGAGTGGATTATTGAATGCCCTTGACGGTGTAACTGCTCAAGAAGGATCAATGGTTTTTATGACTTGTAACAGTATCGAGGCTCTTCAACCTGCCTTGTTGCGACCTGGCCGAATTGATATGAAGATGGAACTAGGCTATGCTAATAAGAAGCAAATCGAAGACATGTTCTGGCGCTTTATGGATCTGGATATTGATGCCGATATGAGTGAAAAAGAAAAGAAGATCCGTTCGGACAAGCTGGACAAGGTGGTAGTTAAGTTTGTGGACATGATTCCTGATGAAAAGGTCACACCTGCCGAACTCCAGAACTTCTTTATCATGAACATGGATGGATACGAAGAGAACAATGGATACGAATATATTATCGAAAAGATCCCCGAACTGTTGGAATCAATCGAACGAGACCGCCAGCAAGCCAGGGACCACAAAAACAGAGCAAAAAATGTAGTTCAAGGCACTGAACCAGTAGAGCCAGTTAAGCCAGTAGAGCCAGTAAAGGCAGTAGAGCCAATAGAATCGACTAAACCAGTAGAGGCTGAAGATTCAATGGACACAGACTCTTTGATACCACCAACACCCCCCTCAGATCCTGAAGATGCTATCGGATCTACATAGAATAATACATATTTAATCAACTTGCTTTAGGATAGTGCATCCAAAAAAGCTTAATAAAACAAAAATAGTACAATAATTGATTTAAAGGAGCTTTAGCTTTACATGCATTTTATTTATATTTTTTGGGAATTTAAAATAGTAAATTATTGGCCTTATTTAATTTAATTTAATTTTTTTTTAAAAAAAAAAGGTAGACAACAGCAGTAACCATGACAACAAAACTTGATTGTAAATATGTTTCTTGATATTATTTTCAGATATTCAAGCCACAAATTTAAGTAATTAAAATATAAAGATGGATTTGAGACTGTTGAAACATACAAAGATTTACTGTTCAATTTTAGGTTATTGAATGTATGATAATGTATCTATTAGAGCTTCTTTTAAATATATCCAACATAGAATTCCATATTTGTTTGTAGACAGGTTAGAACTATTGAGTATGAAATCAAGAAAATCTATATTTCACAAATGCAGTGTATAACATAAATATGTGTAAAAGAGCAGTTATGATATTCGTGAGATTTGACACCATTATTACAAGAGAAAACACCAAAAATAATAGATAAACCTTTATTTCAATTGACAGGTTAATTAGGTTTATCTAAAGCATTTAAGATTCTTTATTTATTTATTTATTTATTTGTTAATCCCTCGACCTACTTGACAGATTTCCTACATTTCTCATAACCAATTTTTGTTTTTATTTATTTATTTATTTATTTATTTATTTATTTATTTAATATACACACATAAAAAAAATATGCTTGGGTAAAGATAAGGCCGGTAGAAATACATGCACAAGTATGTATAAAATAGATGTTCCTTCTTTACATTTATATAAAAAGAAAGGGAACTAGTATTAATATTATTGGTTAACGATCAGAGTTTTTTTAAGACTATATAGATATATAGATAAGTAAATAAGTAAATAAGTAGATAAATATAAAAAGAAGAAGAAAATAGACATAAGAATAATAAAATAAAATAAAAGGGTGTATAGGAATATATACATATATGGATATATATAAATAAAGAAAGAAAGAAAAAAGAAAAACATCAAAGGTAAACTATAAATGCAGGGACAACTATATAATAAAATCACTTAAAAATCAGAAATAAGAATAAGAATTGGGTTTACATAGTCAGAACCAGTGCTGACAATATGCAACGTTTGAAAGTAACTAATATATATATCTATATATGGGTGTGGGTTTATATGTATATGTATATGTTATGTATAGTAGTATAAAAGAAGCTGAAAAGAAGAAAGGTAAAAAGGTAGAAAGAAATAATAGAGATGTAGTGAACATGAAATCAATATTCTTTTTTTTTGTGGGTATGTTTTTTTTTTGCTTTTTTTTTTAGGGGGTTTTTATATGAGTCTATGGTGAGACAACAGATCCATTTGGTTCTGGAGTGTGTTTCCGTTTCCTATTGATGGGTGTGAGAGGGGTACAAACGAATAGGCAGAAGGAGGGGGTGAAGGGCCGTCTGTGGGAGAAGTGGGGGGAGAAGACGACTCTGAGCATTCTGGAGAAGGCGGTGAATAAAACGTTGAATTTGCAGAAGCCAAGAACAACGTGCCGTTATTGTAACCTGATTGGCTTGTCTGTACACCTACAGGGGGGTTTGCCAGGAGGGATGCTTGTCGTGTATCAATTCGATTTAGCTCCTCGCCCTTGATGCGGTGAGTGGTTTGATCGCTAGACAAATTCTGTGGAGAGGCACTAAGGGACGGCTCAGATGATGGTGGGGAGGATGCATAAGACAGTACAGAAAGAGCCTGGATTTGCTGGTGCTGGGTGAGCTGGGTGAGTGTTTGGTGATCGTTTGAAGAGCCGGGTATAATAACGAGTGAAGAGCATGAGGATTCAGATGAAGAGGGATAGTCGTCCATTGGGTCAGTGTAGCTAATATCCGATGCATTATGGCTTGATCGCCGGTCTAGAATTGAATATGGCTCTGCCTGGGAATCATTAAGGTAATAGTTACCGCCAAATGATGATGACAAGAACTCCATTCCACTATTACTATTATTATGGTTATGATGATTGTGATGATGATTATGATTATGGTTGTGATGGTTATGGTTATTCTGTTGCTGTGAGTAATAGAATGAGGCATCAAATGGAGAAGATGGAGTAGGGGGACCTCCGATGTATGTAGAGGAAGATGCTACGGCAGCGGCAGCAGCAGTTGTGGCCACAGAAGCAGCCATAGACAAGTACATTCTGGGATTTGGGTGGGCGGTGGCTGGTGGTGGTGGTTGGTAATAATAGGCTGGGTCGTGTTGCCACAGTGGCTCAGAACATGACACGTCCTCAAATGGTTTTGTGTCCACTGAATAGTCCATACTTGTGTTGATCGATGGTTTTGTGTCTATTGAGGATAGGCAGGGTAGTGCAGGGGAGGATGTCTGATCGATCTGAGTTTGTGGTGACTTTGGCACTCCATTCATTGTTGGGCTGGTGCATCCATTGCGTCTCGAAATGCAAAAAGGACACTGTCTGACAAAACGGGCGATGAGCTCCTTGGGGATCCATGAGTAGCGTCTTCGGACCTTGAATGGCAAAGTGTCAGTGATTATTCAAGCATTTTTTTAAGAAAAAAAAGGAGAGTTACACGAGAAGCTTACCAGGGCTGATGTCTTATCTCTGCCTCCGTGATGGGCTTCACGGTGTGCACGTACTAGGATACTGTAGATCTGTTCACGCATAGCAACGGGTTTGTTGTCATGACAAACTACATCCATGGAATTTGTGGGGGCGAGCTGGAACATCTTTTTAACCCAGAATCTGAATTGGGCAGTGGATATGGCTGTGTTTCTTGGATCCTTGAGTACCTGGAGAATGAGTGAGTATCGATGCTGATCGACAAGAGCCTTGTCACGCTTTTTGGAGGAGAGATTCTGGAGATACTCTTGGACGATATTATCAAATTCCTTAAAAGACGGGTATTGTTCTTGATCATTGAGAACAGGTGCTGTTGAATGATGAGAATAATAAAATGGAAGGTCAGACTGGATAACCCTAGTTGGTTTGGATGTATTTGAGGCTGCTGTTGCTACAGCTGCTGCTACTGTGGCTATTGCAGCAGCAGTGGCGGTTGGGTTATGTTTGAGAGATGGGTTCTGCTTGAGGAAGGCATAGTAGTTTGGTTCTTGGTTGTGATAGTCTTGTAGGATTTGACCGTTAGTGAGATGCTGTAGTTGGGAATTCATAGATCGAGTGTTGAAGACTTTTTTTTAAAAAAAAAAAAAGAAGAAGAAGAAGAGATATTTTTTTTTGGATTATTTTTTTTGTTTTGGAATGAAAAGGTTGTATAAAATAAAACAAAATAAAATGAAATAAAATATAATGGAATAGAATAAAGAAATATAGGGGTAAAGCAAGAGGGAATATGAGAAATCGAACTCAATTTTTAGTATGAAATTGGGCGGTAAAGATATAGTCTTTTTGTAAGCGGAATTTTTTTTTCTTTGTGGTGACTACAAGCAGGTAAAGGAACCAAACAAGCAAGTATAAGATATATATACGTATAAGAAGAGTACGGATCTACCCGAAAGAATGATCCTCTTTATTTACTTTATTAATTCATACGGCATGATAAAAGGGAACTATTGGAAAAGAAAAAGAAAAAGAAAAAAAATACTATGTATATATATGAAATACAGGGTGACCTATTGTTATATATATATATATATATATATATTTATCATATCATATCCCCTTATTCATCAAGCCTTTTGTTATGCGCATCTATTTGCATACTCACTTACATATTTCCTATATTCTCTTTCCAATAGCAACATTAAACACACAACAAATACTCTGATTTATTTATTTCCAAGAAGTATACATATCACTATACACATATTGAATCGATATATCATTTCATTTCATTTCGTATCATAGCATATCAGAAAACTCTCTTTTTCTTTTATTGGCTTCAAGAAAACAAGGGGTGGTGTATTGTGCCTATTAAATGTATAATGTAAAAGATGTTGGTGAATGCAAACCAGTAATCCAATGCCTTTCTTATTTGTAGATTAATGTCCAAAAAAGATGATTAGAAATGCTTCTGAGTGCTGAGGTATGTGCATCATTTTTTCTTTCTTTATATATATATATATATATAGATATATTTCCTGTCTGTGCGTTTATGTATCTATGTATGTATATATGAATATATATATATATATATAATTATTATCACTATCTCAATTAACCGAGCTATACCGTATATTTATTTATTTATTTATTTTATACATGTATAATTATATTTACTTGGCAATCGATTGGGTAATTGAGTAATTGATTGGATAATTGATTGATTGATTGATTGATTGATAACTTGCAAGTCATTATCAGAATATACATATATATACATATACATATACATATACATTTATACATGTACACATACATATACATTTATACATGTACACATACACGCACACGCACACGCACGCACACACACGCACACACGCACACACGCACACACGCACACACGCACACACGCACACACACGTATATATCTATATACGTACTTATGTATGTATTTTATTTGTATATATATATATATATATGTAAATGTGTAGATATATACGTATATAAATTATGAAAATGTAAAGAGAAAATAGACACTATAAATATTAAGAAATGAGAAATGAAAGATGTTTGAAAGGAAAAGGGTGAAATTCATTAAACAAACAAAAAACTGTTTTCTAAAAAAAAATTAAAAAAAAAATTGTGAGATAAAACGAAATATGAAGGTAAAGGTAAAGGTAAAGGCAAAGACAAAGGTAAAGGTAAAGGTAAATATGGAGGTAAAGGTAAAGGTAAATGTGAAATTGAAGGGGTGGTGTATAAAGGGGGTATGGGAAAATAAATATTAAGAAAAATAAAAATTGCATTTCAGGAAGTCGGATTGTCCTCGGTTGCAACAGGAGTTCGACGAACACCAAGGTTCGAAAACGTAGTAGTAAGGAGGTTTTCTACCCTGAGTTTAATTCCGCGCTCTAAACCATCAGAAACGAATTGGTTTATTTTATTGTGCTTTATAAATACTCGATCCAATCAATCTCAGTCCAATTTACCTTCTTTTTTGCTTAAAGACGACTGCACTACGGCACCACTAGATCGAGAAGTACTTAAATTTGCGCTAGTATTTAGATTTGCAGAAGTACTTGGTTGTGGAGGTACATGAATGAGGTCCAGCTCTGAACGACTCCGCTTCGAAGACATCACTACATTAAACTTAGTACGGCTTATCGTTTTATTATATCATCTTATAGCATATCATATTTTCTAACCTTCTGTCTTGAGGCCCTTTGTCTTGCGCGTCTTTGGCTTTTGTTGTTTTGGCTTCGTCTCTGCCAGCTCCTGTGTACTACGTCGTCGGCCCAAACCGGCTATTCCCTCTGAAAAATCCTTGATCATGCTAGATCGAGATGGTGCTGGCGTCAGATCAAACGTCTCCTTTAGACTCTTGGAACTACGCGAACTTTTGTCAGATGCTGTCGAGGGGGACTTGTTGTGCTTTCCAGTAGTTGTCATCTTGGGTTCATAAGACACTTTGCATCCCCGTTCCACAATACCGGAAAGGATACCTTCGCGTGCACGGGCCATTGGCTGTGCAAACTTTGGTGATTTCAGGGCGGCATATTCGGCATTAATCACTTGTCAGAAATTTATGGGTTAATTACCATCAAATAAATCCCAATTTACAATCATCATCACCCCGGCTTACATTTTGCCAATATAAAGGATCGCAGATCTGACTGCTCAAAGAAGAACCCGCCATCAGGTAATTTAGGTCCAAAATCTGGTACGTCTTCCACAGTAGCCACTTCCACTCTAAAGTTCATTTATAATAAATATATATATATATAATTGAAGTATTAGTTTGTTAATCTATATATACATATACATACATATGTATGTATGTATGTATTTATTACCCCTTGTTTCTCTATTTACGCTTTGATCCAAACTCCCTTTCCTCGCTCTCTTTCACTTCTTCTTTTTTTTTTACCCCTTGCATACCTCCAACCAATCTTGCCATTCCACTCTTCTTCGTGCACGACAATAAATGCATGCAAAAACTGTGACTTGATCGCTGCAGGGTTAAATGGCTGTCGTCCTTCTGCAAAAACAATACACACAATATCTTTTATATATATATATATCATTAGTACAAATATTCTTATCAGCCAAATTAACACTATTTTCTCTCCCCCCCCCCCCCCCCCCCCCCTTGCATTCTATTGATCTTACCATTCCCAATATGTCTCTTTCGTTGAATTTGCTGTTTATCGCCAGGTTTTGAGGGTATAAGCGTTGACACGTGGTAAGCCAGGACGTTGTCATTCCAAACGTCCGTGTAAGTATGTTCACCAGAGTCACCGCCTAAATTGAAGAATTAAAAAAAAGGGGTGGAAAAAAGTGTATATAGGTTCGTCAAGGAGGCTCCCCTTCTTATTGCTTTATTTTCTTTTCGTCTTGTTCTCTTGTATTCTCACAAACTATTGAGTGCACAGACTTACTCTTTGTATCCAGTCCAGCTGCCCACCCTGTGTATCCCTGCAATTCTACCCGTTGTCCGATAATATGAAGGAAACGATCGAATTTGTCGGAATCGTGCTGATTTGAAAACCAATCCTCTTCTTTCGTCTGACCTTCCTTGACATATAACACACCAAATTTATATCGTTTGTGAATCTAGAATAGAAATATATATATATACATTCAAAAAAAAATGAGCTTAAAAGAACAAAGAAAAAAAATACATATACATGTATCTCTGTAAGAATTGGTGCTCTTACTGAATTTTCATCAAGTTTCAAAACTTCCTCTTCGATTCCACTCGACTGCATGACACCAGCATCAATTTTACCCAGTCGATTGAAAGGCACGTCAAAAGACATCTCGATTACACCTTTCCATGTAGTGTCATGGATCATAGTTTCACCCTGAGTCTCCAGGATGCCGGCATCCAAAGGTGCATTAAGCAAAAACGAATCTGGCAAGATCTTCCTGGTGTCGGGACTCTAAATCACAATTTATTTATTTTTATATAAATCTAATCAAACAAGGAAAACTCATACAGATTCTCTCTTTTGTACCTGCTTAGTTCTGATTATCACTCGATATTGTCGCTGTGGTGTGCCAGTTTCGTCTGCACCTTCTGAGTCTTTCTGTGTGTCACACACGGCTGTGATGAGTACAGGCTCGCCATCCTCCATGTAACCACAAAAGGTAGAATAGTCGGTCCCAACAAAGTGTGATCGGAACCAACACACATCCCAATCCATGTGTTCGACTTCTGATTGGTCATAGTCCTGGTATGGTGTCTCCATAACAACAGGTTCAATACCAAACCTATTACTGCCTTCGATCTTGTAACCCTTGCAGGGAATCACCATAGCCTTTTCGAATATCTTGTGGTATTGACAAATACACTGATTCACCATCTGCTTCATTGACGAAACGATTTCCTTCACAGTCTTGGTTACCGCCTGGTTAATTTCGGCTTCTTTTTTAAGTCGGTCTCGGACTTTAAGGTGTTCCGTACTCGCTGTCGAGCTGAGTGCACGACCATCGGCTAGTTGGGAATCAAGTACGGTAAAGAATGAAGATACACTTTTGCGAGAGAGAGGTCCGTATTGATCCCACTCTACCATGTCAGACATCTTGCGTAAATCGACTGCGATAGACTGAAGTGCTTCATCGGGGAAGATTACGGAAACCCTGGAACCAGCCGAGGGTACAGGTGCGAGTACAACTGATGCAAGTGTCCGATCGCATGCATGAATGAGTTTACTATGAAGTGTAGTTAGAGTGGTGGCAACAAGTAGGGTCGGGTTAAAGAAATCGATTCTGGGCCGACTGGGAATAGCTTCGACAATCTCAGGGTTATTGTTATTCGTGGATGATAGTGTTAATGCTGATGTTGGTATTGGTGTGGTTGAAGTTGAGGTTGAGGTTGAAGTTGATGATGAGGTTGATGATGAAGTTGAGGTATGTGCTGTAGTTGAAGTAAAGGTTGATGTTAATGATAAGGTTGCGTTTGCGTTTGTGTTTGCGGTTTCGTGGGTGAGTGTGGTAGTATTTGAGGAACAAGGTGGAGGGTACTGTCCCTGGGCAAGTTGACGTAAGGACGGTACTTTATCTTGACATGACTTTGCACGTTGTCGACTCCAGACAATGTCTTGGAGAGATGGTTTGGAGGTAACGATGTGGTCACTCTTTGTATCTGAGGAATACTGGTCTACAAGGTCAAGATTGCCGAATGAAATCATACTAGATGATGCCGAGCCCTCTCCCAACTCCTGGTCAAAAAAGGCCATGTTTTCAATTTCCTCGCCAAACAATAGTTTCCCCACAGCACTCGATTGGCTGCTGCTGCTGCCAACTACTGGATCAAGACCGGCACCGTCCTGCTCCATTATCCTAACGATCTCATCACTAAATCCGAGAGTATGCGGTTCTCCCTTTTCTTCATTAATCACAGACACTCGCCTAGATGGGCTTGTTTCTTCTTTTTTAAGTAACCGTACTGCTGGATCCGATGCCATGCTGTTCCTCCGTTTTGAGAATGTGTTTGTTGTTCTGGATTGTCTCGTATTCACTAAACTCGTGTTTGCGCGACCATCTTTGAGTTCAAGTACCGAATAGCTCGTGGAGGCGTTTAGACTCAAGTCGCCCAGCGACCGGTCTACATCCAACATATCGTCTTCGGGCGTGCGAGAGAACATTCCGGCAAGATTCATTGCACTAGGTGTTCGTCGGCGTAGTCGCGTAGAAAACGATTCGCGGTCTGTAGGGTGATATAAAGATGTTGGAACTGTTGGCTCGAGACGGGCCTGGATATGACGAGCGTCTTTGTGCCTCGCCCGTTGACTACCTGATTTGATAACAAAATCCTTTACGGATACTAACGAGGATTTAACCACGTTGGGTAATTTACTGATTCGACTTGCAGTGCTGAAGATCGAACTCGTGGTTGACATGTTGGACCGCAGTGAGTCATTCGATGGTCGTCTGGCGATTCGTCGAGGAAAGGTGTCATGAAATGAGTCTATAGATGAGAGGCGAGGGGATTCTTGTCGTATAACGAAACCACTAACGCGTGGACTTTGTTGTTGTTGGTATTGAGCGGAATGTCCAGCAGCATCTCGGTGCCGTTCCTCTGCATTATGGATCTGTTGGAAGCGAGTGTATCCAGTGTCATTGGTTGTCTTGGTGTCATCACTCGTCTCTCCCTCATTATGCTCTAAAGAGTTATCGGTGGAGTGTCTTTGGGGATAATCGTTTTTTGGGTCGTAGCTGGTATGAGATGAACCGTAGGTCCTACCATGATCTTGAGCAGACAACATATATTATATATGTGTGTGTACAATATATCTATATGTACGTGTACTTGTATTATATTATATTATATGTATATATATATATATATATTATTATATTATATATTATATTATATAAGATGAAAGAGAGAGAGAGAGAGAGAGAGAGAGAGAGAGAGAGAGAGAGAGAGAGAGAAAGAGAGATTAAGGAGCGGATGAATGAATCGCTTTTGTCAGCAATTTTGTAAAGTACAGAATTAGTAGATGGTAAAGGTGCAGAAAAGGGACAGATTTTTTGGACCTTTTTTTTTGGTTGAAAAAAAGGGGGGTGAGGCTTCTTCTTCTTCTTCTACTTTTGGTGAGGAGAAGAGTGTTTTTTTTTAAAAAAAAAAAAGGGCTTCAAAAGCAAACGCACACAGACACAGGCACAAGCACAGGCACAGGCACAGGCACAGGCTGAGGAAGTGAGCGAGAGAGAGAGAGAGAGAGAGAGAGAGAGAGAGAGAGAAAGGGGGGAGCCCGACCCGTCCTCTCATTACTGAATTTCGATACCAAAAAAGGGAGACCACCCCGTTATTGCTACAACGTGCACTCAAATAATCATATTTACATTATACATATATAAAACATACAGTCTTTATACAGTACATATATACACATATATGTGCATGTAAGGAAAAAGAGATAATCAAATGAACATAAAAAAAACATTAAATACTTCTTCTCAATTAACGTTAAAGAAGTGTACAAAAATAAGAATTAAAAAAAATTAAAAAAAAAAATACAAATTCTATAGGGTTTTATTTAAAAAAAAATTACAAAAGGAAAACAAACAAATTATCAAATTATACAAATATTTTACGCTATCTTAACTGCCTCTACTTCTTTAACGACGTCATCAATTATTGATTCAATCTTTTTTGTAGGCATAATATTTTCTTCCTTCTTGGCCACCATTTCGTCTTCCTTCTCGGTCACTTTTTCGTCTTCCTTCTTAGTTTCTTTTACATCTTTTTTTGTTTCTGCTTTTTCATCATTTGTCTCTGTTGTTTCGGGTGCCTCTATTGTTTCGGGTGCCTCTGTTGTTTCAGACTCCTCATCCTCAACCACTGTGGAGGCAGATGAGTTAAGCTTGAGTCTGGCATGTTCTGCTGCTTGCTCGCGGTCAATCTTGATCTTGGAAAGGAACTCGGGAACACCTTCAATAAGGAGATCAAAGATTCCATCCGGATTCTCATCGGAGCTATTTTCCATAATAAGGGTGATAAAGTAACTCTGGAGCTCAGCAGTTGTAACTTCATCAACTGGAACACAATCGGCGAACGTGTTACAGATTCCGGCCAAATAGTCTCTTCTTTTGCCAACAATCATATCAAATGTATCGTAATCATGGCCAAAGAAGCGCCAGAACATATCCACAATCTGTTCACGCACTGCATAATCAAGCTTCAATTTGACATCCATTCGACCTGGTCGCAGTAATGCGGGCTGGATCTTATTAAAGTCATTGCACGTCATAAAGATCACTATTGAAAATATTACAATATCAGATTTGGCTCAATGCTTACAAAGATTAAAAGATCACAACAACTTACTCGCTCCTTCTTGACCTTGGATGCCATCAAGTGCATTGAGCATACCAGACATAGTCACTCGACCAGTTTCTGCGCTGCTGATATAATGGTCGAGATCTTCAATAACCAGTAACGAGTTTGACGGTGCGTCAGCCAGCATATCGGTGAACTCGCTATCACCATGTACTTCCAGTAAACTGACCACAGCCACATTCATACTCAATTTGCTCTATAAAGAAAATGATTTCATCAATATCTGTTTGGGCAGAGTAAACTATAAACATCTACACTTACAGCAAGCGCTTGGATAAGAGAGGTCTTTCCGGTACCAGGAGGGCCATACAAAAGGTAACCACGACGGTATGGAATACCTCTGGTCTTATACCATTTGCGACGATGACGGAATATTTCCATGTCATTGATTATCTTTTCCTTCAGTCCAGGCTTCAGGTTCACTGTCTCAAATCCACGGGGTTCAACTGTTTTCATACATTCCCAAGAGTAGCCATTGTACTTGTATATTGTCACCTACATATTTGTGCAAATTTATAGGTTAATATATGCACAATACACCTTTTTTTTCTACTAAGAAAAACAAATATGTCTACTTACATTATCACCATCTTGCTCATTGTATTGATCAGCCCATTCTTGCATAAACTGCTTCAATAAATTCAAGTCTTCATCTTCCATACTATACAAGCTAAATGAGACACATAATTCGCAGGCAAACAATATGCAAAGTAAACTTACGAAATTGACAGATATTCGGTTCTTGATCTATGGTGGCTCGTATTGTTATCATCATCTGTTCGTCGAGCGACGTACAATATATGACCCTTGTACTCAATCTCAGCAGAAGTATTAACCACTATATTATAAAGTTAGTTAGCAAATAATATATATATATATGTGTGTGTGTTGACTTACAAGGATAGAAGCCAACCTTTGGCAGTGATTTCACAACAGGAGTATCGGAGGTGTGAACTTCTTCAGGCTCATATCCGGCCACTGCCTCTTTCAAGCCAGGGACTGACTTTGTATTCCGGTTGATGAAATATGATATGGCAGAATAGATATTGTCTGAGGGTCGTATTTCAACCGATACGTATTTTGGGTCATTTCTATTTCTGAGCAGACGTTCTACCAGCTCATCCCATCGTGTGCGAAGAATTGCTAATGGATTTTTGAATGGTTTGAAGTAAGATATCATGTAGTTTTGCAGACGTGTATATATGTATATTATATATTAAGTTCTTACGTGTGATATAGAATATGATGCTGAGCATTACAAAGTCGTTTCCAAAGTAACGTTTGCCGAGGTTTGCAAGACGTTGGCCTATAAGACCTTCCCAGAAGGTTTCTTCGGATATTCTTTCGAGAAGTGTGAGGATTTTGTCAAACACGCACTTAAGTTGGTGCATGTTAAGGGACCGTTTGGCTATAGCGGATGAAGACATTTGTGTAGGCGAGCTTTTGGAGTTGTTGGTTTGGAAGAATAGATTGGAAAAGAAGTGAATTAAAAGGAAAAGAAGAGCTTTTATACTATCGGTGGCAAATGAATATGCTTAATAGGATTGTTTTGTATTACGTAAATTGATAAACGGCTTTAGATGAAAGTATTGAGGATTTTGTATGCAGTGCCACGATACTGTAACTCAAGCTTGAGTAGAAGAAAATTGACTGCGGCTTGTACATCGCTGGAGGAGTCAAAAAAAGGGGAATAAGGAAGATGGCGCAGCTGAGATGTTACACGGTTACTACGGAACACAAGTGAAAATAGAAGTTGAGGACACTTTATTTTTTATTATTATTGTTCAAACAGTTATTTGTGCCTTGAACTACGTGTTTCTTGCACCCTTGTTTCTTTTACTCGCTTGTTTATTTTTCATCCATAGAAATATTAACGAAGACTATTTTTTTAATAAATACCATTTACACTACACAGCCATTTAAACTAGAAAGTACGACGTTCACAAGCGTAATGACTTTTTCCTAAAGAAGCTTCATTCTGGAATACAACTTATTACACTCAGTTAATATGAAAAACGACGCCAGGTTTTGTTAATGTTTATATATTTGAGTACTATCTCTTGGAAGTAAAAGAATCTCAAACCGCAGTTTAATTTTACCTTTTCCTTTTTAGAGACAAAGGAATTTGGTTTCCATATTTACTGATATAATGATACTCATGCATCAAGCCACGCCACGTCGTACCAAAAAAAAACTATATATAAATATATGTGCGTTCGGAACGACTGGTTTTCTTTTACATTTTGGTGCCAGTTTAATAAATTGGAACTCTTATCAAGGTGCATTGCTTTAATAACTCATAAATTGTTCATTTCTTTTTCACACATCAGTAAATATATTTTCAGAAACATTCTCCAATCAAATCCACAAAATTGAATTGTATTTTTACGTACACACATAAAAACCAGTCTGCGAATTTAATTGGACAAGTTATCTAAAAATATAGCTAGAATAAAGTAATAACATTTAGACCATCTGAAATAATATAAGCTATTTTAAAATAGAATTATATTCGATATTGTGATATTATATAGAGAAAGAAAAAGGAAAAAATATCTGTGATGAGGATACTGTATACTAAATTTCCTAACCGATTGTTTTTTCTTTCTTTCAGCTGTATAGATGTTTCTGCTAATGTTATCCTCTATTTACTACAGAATCTCAAAGGTTTGGCAAGCTAGGAAACTGCCCAAGTCAATTATGGTAGAGTTTGACTTCAGTCGTTTATATTAGAGGTAAATATATTGTATTAACAACAACAAAAAGCCTTGACCAGTGACATGAAAATGAGAAACATTCAATAATAATAATAACAAGCTATGAAATGTTGCAAGAGCTTGAGGAAGATTCAAATGAACTTAACACCAAGTTTGGACCTCAAAACAATCCTGAATATCGAAAACATGATAAAGGCCAAGACAAATAATTGAGTTTGTCTTCTAAAAGTATGAGTAAAAAACCGAGAGGACAGAATATTAAGGTATCATAACCAAGAGTCCAGAGATTTGAGAAGCCATTACACCGTCAAATATTGGAGGTAAAATTGACACCAGAGTAGAAAAAGGTGAAATACAGCTATAGTATCAATTCCGAGGTTTTTTGCCCAGCTGAAAGAAAAAGAATACGAACTATCAATGAACCTTGTCTGCTATAAACCAAGTATATCACACCTTATTCTGCTACGACACATTTTCATGGCACTTATAAATATTTAATATCTAGCTGATTGTTCAAGACGTCATGCGCGAAAGAGTGAGAAAATCCTTGACAGAACAAGTCGTAGAAAGATTGTACACTAAAGTTATTGTTTTACTTAAAAAAAACTGTGTATTGGAAAATTCAAGAAATATATACCCATCAAGAGCACGCCAATATTAGCGTTGTAGAATAAATTAAATACTCTACGTAAGAAATTCTCTTATTCTAGTTATACCTTTAGATAATTTGTCCAATTAAATTCGCAGACTGGTTTTTATGTGTGTAAGTGAAAATACAATTCAATTTTGTGGATTTGATTGGAGAATGTTTCTGAAAATATATTTACTGATGTATGAAAAAGAAATTAAGTGAATGGTTGGTAAAGACACAGTGTATAAATAAACAGTACGGTACTAATAGGTTATTTTATGTCTTGTATGCAATGGTAAGTAAGGGGGAAAATCAAACTACATGTGTGGTGTGGATAGGATATTATTTCGCCGTTGATGATTCTTCTCTTGGCTCTTTGTGTATAAAGAAAAAGTGTCTTGTTCGCAAAATATGTCAATAAGCCTTTGGTAAATAATGACATCTAAATATATATATAAAAAGGAATAGTGTTGCAACTCCAATATATTTTTTATAAAAAATTATAATAATCATTTTAAACGCGCCTATGGTTGTTACAGTCTAGACAACGCATATGAAGACAAATAGAGTGGGTGGCACCAATATAACTTGTGTACTTATAAGTAAACTACCACCGATCTTTCCTCTCATTTCTAGTTTGGTCTATCTTTGTATTCGAAAAGCACTATATTTCAAGTAAATAATTATATACAGCTTAATAAATGATACACACATAAACTACCAATTACGCTCGTCTATCTTATGAAATTGTGAGGGAATCTTTCTCCTTTATATAGCGCTCCTTTTCTGTATGATACGATGTCTTTTGATGGTCATATATCTCCTATTAGATCACCTACTGACAGTCTTTTCATGCTTGGTATCTTATAAGACATGAAAACAATCACGTGAGGTGTACCTACAAAGTGATGTGTAAAATTGGGTTCTCGATTCCAACAAAAAAGAAGGCGCCCTCTCCCTCTCTTTCTCTTTCTCTCTCCCTTTTCCCTCTTATTTTATACTACCGAGTCTATTGAAAAACGGACGGTGTATTTTATTTTAAAAGCCTTCTTTTTCTCGTAAACCCTCACACAAACAGACGCTTATCCGACTATCCTGGGCTTTCTTGTTCAATTCTCGGTAAAATGATAAAAGGACTTAAAGACGCTGTAAGTACACGAACACGCACTATCCACAGACACATATTACTATATTAATATGTGTGTAAATCATTCACATAACTAACAATATTCACAATCTTTCTCTCCCGCCTTCTCCCCTTTTAATATATGGGATAATAATATATACTAATATATTCTCTTTATGACAGCTTACTAGGAGCAAGTCATCTCACTCCAGTGACTCAAAAACCCAAAAACAACGCCAGCAGCAATCGATTCAATCAAACCAAAGTGCTCCACAATCTCCAAAAACTAGATCAGCTGTACTCACTCCTATGCAGCAACAACAACAGCAACAGCAACAGCAACAGCAACAGCAACAGCAACAACAACAACAACAGCAGCAGCAGCAGCAACTCGCTCAACAGAAACAACAGCAGCAACAATCACCCTCATCACACCAACAATATCCTCTTCCTCCCGCCATAGAAACAGGTTTACCGGAATTTCTTGTGAATGTAAGCATAAAATGATAATAACGATCTACAATCAGCATCGTCAGCATCAGCAGCACCAAAATAAACCAAAACATTGCCTGATGCCTAATGTATCCTCCTTTTAGGGAGTATTGCCTCAATCAGCACCTAGGTCGCCTGCCTCTGGGGGTGGAATGGCTAAGGGTATGAACAGACTTCAAACCACTCCCAAGGATACTATCCCTCTAGGAAAAACCCCTCGGCGGCAGCGTTCTTCTCGCTTCAATGTCCACGAACAAGTTGAACTAGAGAAATACCCTCACTTTAATGGTAAAAAAAAGCATTGCTGTGTACGCTAATAAAAAAGGGTGGGTTATTGATGACAGATATCTATTGCTGTACTTTTCTCCTTGTGTACTTATAGAGGTCCCACCTACACAGAGACATGAATTGTTTATTCGAAAATTAGCTCAGTGCCAAGTGTTATTTGACTTTAATGATGCATCTTCAGACCTAAAGGGTAAAGAAATTAAACGACAGGCATTACAGGAAATGCTGGAATACGTCGCAACTACAAGAAACGCAATTGTAGATCAAATTTACCCTGATGCTATTCGTATGGTAAGAACTATATTTACATGGAGCTAATATTACTGGGGTAATGTACTGATCATCACATTCTTACCTACCTTTATTTCGTTACCTGTTTTTATTATTATTATTACTATTACTATTCAAATGCCATTTAGTTTTCTGTAAATCTGTTTAGAACCATCTCTCCTCAGGCAGCTGTTGGCGGTGTGGCTTATGATCCTGAAGAAGATGAACCCGTATTTGAGACAGCATGGCCTCATCTACAACTTGTGTATGAGTTCTTTTTACGCTTTGTAGAATCACCCGACTTTAATATACATGTGGCCAAAAAGCACATTGATCAGAAATTCATTCTTCAGGTAAGAAAAAAATGCAAGATGTATATATATATATAAAGAAACGAAGCAAAATCCTTTTGATACAAAATATGTATATTATGTAGTTACTTGAATTGTTCGACAGTGAAGATCCCCGTGAGCGCGATTTTCTAAAGACAACCTTGCATCGGCTTTATGGAAAATTTCTTAATCTCAGAGCATTTATTCGACGATCTATCAACAATATTTTTTTTCAGTTTGTATACGAAACAGAACAGTTCAATGGCATTGCTGAATTACTAGAAATTTTGGGAAGGTAATAGGTGCTCGATGAGTTTGTATATAGATGGATATGTATATTTGTGTATGTATATGTGTTAATATCGAATATATATATATATAATTATATAGTATTATCAATGGATTTGCACTTCCTTTAAAAGAAGAACACAAGACATTTTTGAAGAGAGTCCTTATTCCTCTTCATAAACCTTCTTCTCTGGGAATGTACCACCCCCAGCTGGCATATTGCGTAGTACAGTTTTTAGAAAAGGATCCAACGCTCACTCCAGAAGTAAGTACATTTATCCAAATAAATATAAAGACAAAAAGAGAAAGAGAGCGAGAATTAGATGAATGTACCTGTGCGTGTATACATGTATATTAAATTTTCCATTAAAAGGTCGTTTACAGTCTATTACGTTATTGGCCTAAGGTTAACAGTGCAAAGGAAGGAATGTACCTTAATGAAATGGAGGAAGTTTTGGATGTGACAGAGGGAGTAGAGTTTACAAAATTTGCTGTCCCCCTCTTCCAGAGATTAGCCCTTTGTGTCTCCAGTCCTCATTTTCAGGTAATGCTCTTGACAATGTTTATTTGATAACTATTGAAGGTCTTTCTTTTTTATTAACATAAAAATGATGGGTATAGGTTGCAGAGCGGGCTCTGTACTACTGGAATAACGAATATATAGTGAACTTGATTAATGACAATATCGAAACAATTATGCCAATTATGTTCCCTCCTCTTTATAAGAACTCAAAATCTCATTGGAACAGGTGCTTTGATAAAAAAGGATAAAGATGCGGTGTGTAGTGATGTGTGGGAGATACTTATGTATGCTTTATTACTACCACTACTTTAGAACAATTCATGGTCAAGTATACAATGCTCTAAAGATGTTCATGGATTCCGACCCAATATTGTTTGATCAGTGTACACAAGTTTTCAAAGAAGAAGAGAAAAGGTAAGATAATGAAAAATAGATTGATTGTGAGGGATATCAGCTAAGTAATATGCAACTCATGTGTGTCTTGTTGTAGAAAGGAAGAACTAGATGAACTGAGAGAAATGCGATGGAAACAATTAGAGCTGACAGCATCAAAAGGATTGAATATACCCCTCCCATCGCATAGTCTAGATATCGGTGAGTGGGTGATATATCACAAGTAATACTTAGATCTTTAGAAACCCATATACTGAATTGATAAAATTGTGTCTTTTAGAGAAAGAGCAATATGATATTAAAGGAACAGATGATAAAACAGAAAAGGTATATTTAGAAAGAAATAAAATTAGATTGACTCTTTTGGTGCCGAATTTTATTCATTTCTTTTTTTTTGGCTATGATAGATTATTGTAGATAATACGACAGATAATGTGGGTCAAATTGGTACTAGCTCTAGCTAAGTCCTCAATAATCACCTTTTTACCTTAATTACAAATGGTCAACTTCCTGCTATTTCCGTATTACCGAATTGAAGAGCGAAAACGAAGTTCTCTTTTCTTAAATATCTTATTATCACAACTCCCACGACATGAACAAGATATAGTGCAGAGTAATATTATCAGCAGAATACTCCAAAATGGGAGCCTACAAGTCTTTCGTAGATATAACACCTCTAAAATAAATTAAATACATTGGTCCATTATTGAACTTGCGATTATTATTATTATTTAATTTTCATATAACATATCCGAAATGAATAATATTCATTTATTTATTTCAAACACCCGAATATTATTTTTAAACACATTTATATTGATTTCTGTCAAAATTCAGCAGAAAATAATATCAAGAAATTGGGCAAATAGCTAGTATAATGAAGTGGGTTGGTATATATATATATATATACGACTTCTTTGCTATTAAATACATTGTATTTTTTTTATGTGAAATAGGTATTTGTTTAATATTTCGGGTTAATGCAAGTATGAATAAGCAGCTAATTCAGATTTTTTATATTTATACTTCTCTAAACCATTACAAGGATGTATAATTTTACATAGTATAGGGACAATACTCTTATATCTAAAAGGTAAAACAGAGAAAAAAGAAAGAAAAAGAATTCCGCAAACCGGGGTTCGGGATTGAGCGCAGTCTTAATGTAGTGCTTAAGCTTGAAATCTAAGGAACCTTCCCATAATTGTTTTTAGACCAATGGACACACGTTTTGTTTAAATATATGTTTAATGAAATAACTGGACCCCTTCTTCATTTTTCTTTTATTTAACGTGGTTTTTCTGGTTTCTTTTTAATGTATTGGCAAGATGACTTTCTAGGCTTGCATTTTTATCAACGTACTTGACTTTTCTATTCGCTTTCCACTATTTTTTCACTGTAAAAGACATTCTATTAAAATACCACAAATATTGGCTATCGAAATCCATTGTATAGTATAATAGATAAGTTTTGATTCAATGATAACATTAAAATAGTAAACAATAAATTGAAACCAACAATTCAACTCATATATATATATATAGTAAATTCAAAAACCGGGCCAGCAAATGTAAAATTTGTACTCCGCAACTTATATCTTCTTGAGTTCTTATTCTTTCGCGATAGTTTTAATACACTCTAGGACATCTGTTAAAGAGCTACAGCATACTATGCTAGTATAGATATATATATAGTATTAATAAAAAGTTATATGAAAAAAAGTGGAAATTTTCAGTGGCCCGGTTTTTTAGGTATGGGCCAAAAAATAGAGTAAAGCATTATTTCTTTACTTTCAATGCAGAACTGCTTTATGATAATTTTTATACGGAGTGTGTCTTGTCATTACATCACAATCATGCAAACAAAATAGATATATTATATTGAATTTTTCAGAGTTTTCCTTGTTCCTTTGCTCAACTTTAAAACAAAAATGTCTCCCATCTCACGCGACAAAATACTCTCAATTGAAGTTGAACTTAGACATGGAAAGTCTACAGCCGAGGTAGCAAAGATTGTTGGTGTTTCGCAGACTTCTGTCAAGAGATATCGAAGAAAATTGAACATCTCCACTTCAGTTCCTGGGGGTAGATCTGCCCAAATCGATGAAAGGCTCGCCCACCGTATCATCTATGCATTCCTAAATGAGGAATTTATGACAACAACAGAGGCAGAGAGACGGCTATGTGGTAAAGGTTTTGCTGTCAAGGCTCCAGCAATCCGCACCTTGCTAAAAGCATCTGGGTTCATCTGTACCTTGGAACCACCTCCGAAGGTAAAAACAAACCCCGCTATCCGCAAGCAGCGTATGGAGTTCGCAAGGAACTATATCAACTTCACCGTGGAGGACTGGAAGTGTGTTGTCTTCTCAGACGAATGTAAGGTGAATCGCTTTGGCTCGGATGGAAAGAGATGGAGGTAGGTTGAAGAAGTCGGCAATTAAAAAATATAAGGGTAAGACTTCCCCTGTTCGTGCTGGAGGACACGTTATGGTTTGGGGATGCTTTTCGTCCAGAGGTCACGGAGAGCTTCTCAAGATCAATGAAACCATGACAAGCCCAAAATACGTAACAGTTTTGGAGCAGGGCTTACTGAAGAACTTGAAGAAGCAGAATCTCATCAAGTCCGATATCATGTTTTTGCATGATAACGCCCGGTCACACACTGCAGCCAATACCAGAAAGTGGTTGAAGGCAGAGGGGATTGAGGTCATTGATTTCCCACCGTTTTCGCCTGACCTTAATCCCATCGAAAACCTTTGGGCGTACACAAAGGGTAAACTCTACCAATATGAAGAGCCAGCCGGCTCAATGAGGGAATTGTGGTCCCGTTTCCAGAATGAGTGGGATAGTATCCCAGAGGAGATGTGCAAGAATCTAATTGAATCCATGCAAAGCAGAATGCATAAATGCATTTTGAAGAAAGGGTATCTTATTAATGAAAAATAAAAAAGATACCTTTACCTAAAAAACCGGGCCACTGAAAATTTCCACTTTTTTTCATATAACTTTTTATTAATACTATATATATATCTATACTAGCATAGTATGCTGCAGCTCTTTAACAGATGTCCTAGAGTGTATTAAAACTATCGCGAAAGAATAAGAACTCAAGAAGATATAAGTTGCGGAGTACAAATTTTACATTTGCTGGCCCGGTTTTTGAATTTACTATATATATATATATATATATATATAGGGAAGTGATTTTGGTAAAACCATCAAAAATACCACTTCTATTTTGGGAAATATATTGATATCTCCGTCCGATTCTTACGGAATTCTTTATCGAAAAAGAATAATGTTCCTTTTTTATAAGTATGTTTTTATTATTATCACCTTTCTCTTTATCATATTAAATATCCCTTGAACTTGTACTCTCAAATTACATTTGTAGTTCACTTTCAATCCCTTTTCATTTTATTTTCTGACCAAGTTGCACACACAAAAAACTCAGCACGCATTACTTTTATATTATACGTACTTTTTTTTGGGAGGTCATATTTTGATATTTGTCAAATGTTTCAAAAAAAAAAAGAGTTAAAACTGTAGGAAATAGAAGTGACAGTATACTACTATTTTTGTAGCATAGCTGCTAATTTTTACATAATAAAAATTGGCAGATTTTTTGTTATATTAAATGAAATATTTATTGTTTATTAAGTTTTGCTTCAATTTGTATTTTCTATATGATAATAGTACTGCCAAAAAAAAAGCCCCATCTATTAGAAACTTGCAAAAAAGATATATTATTATTTAGTTACTACGAGTCTATACAGTAAAAGATCTATTTCAAAGTCATCTCATGTGTTTTGAGCACTTTGATATAGAGTAAGTGACTTTTTTTTAATTCTTATCTGTTTCTATAAATATACTAATGTTAGAGAAGAAATATACATTAGAAAAAAGAATTAATAGGTAAGCTTCATATGTTATTAGAATATTTCAGAGTATCTATAATTTAAGTAGAAAAATTAGTAAATATTATTCAAAATTAATATAATATAAATTCAAATTAAGTCTAGTTGAAAGCTAAATAAATATTGTTTTATAAACATAGTATACTTATTTAACTAAGGTACTTACATGTGGTGATCCAGATACTCGGATGTTGGATTTATCACATATAAGAACATATTCATATTGGGATAGCGTAGTAGCTATCATCTTGTCAGTATAATATATATATAAACGATTAAGTAATTGGGCCAATAATTATTACAGTTAGTACTGTAGATAATATCTTAAAGACTGTTAAAATAATTATATCATACTGCCGGGTAAACTGTGTCAGAGCGATATGGAGCTAACACTAGAAAAACATACGGGAATTACCATGTACAAAGTTAAATTATAACAATAGAAAATCTGGGGTATTTTTTCATCTCAGCTTTTTTTGTGTGTTCAAGATGAAAACACTGTTTTCCGGTTTTCTATTGGCTTGGATACAACAGGCGAAAATATTATTTATTATTATTATTATAAAGACATAGTAAATTTAGTAAACGTTGTACTTGTTTCCTTTTTCTCTTAACACTTCAAAGTAAAAATAAATAAACATTATGTCCACAATTCCTGAACTCTACAACGAAAAGTGCCATTGTGCTGGATGTAGTCAGAACGATCTCGGCTATAGTTTTGTTGCCAGAAGAACTGCTCAACGTCATAACAAAAGGGCAAGACTAAATGCCATAAGATGTGAAAGGGGTACAATCTTTGAATTTATTTAATTGTATTGTAATCCATGAAATAACGTGTTGTAATAGACATGTCTACCCAAAGAAATATGATGGAGGTCGATGATGAACGTAAGGTTTATTTAATTCAGATACCGTTAGATATTAACCAAGTGTTATATTCTAAATGTAGCTATCTTAACCCATCAACCCGGAGCCCTGGAAGAATCGTACACTCAGACAAACTCACCTGTTTGGGAAGGAGCTTCAATGTCTGACACTGAAGACGTTTCCGTTACTAATGACGCGATCAGCAATGGCGACAATGATGACAGTTGAAGCAACAGCAATGAAAT